AAAGTCACAATATCTTTCAGAGCCGGAACATAACAGCGGTAAGCTTTATGGGCCGGACTATAACCCACAAAGATAGCATCTGAGGATACCGGAGAGAACACCGATGTACGTTTGGCCGGAGGTATCAACACATGACACTGGACACCAAACGGATGCAGCACAGAATATAAGGGGTCATATCCATACCAACGAAAGAAAGGTGACTTCCCGTCCAATAAAGATGACGGGTACCTGTTCACTAGAAATTCAGCCGTTTTGACTGCCTCGGACCAAAAACGCGAGGGAAGACCTGATGAATGAAGAAGAACACGAGCCTTCTCTTTTAACGTGCGATGTTTCCGTTCGGCAACACCATTTTGAGACGAATTTTACGGGACCGTCAACTGATGACTGATCCCTTTTTCAAAGTAAAAGTGGTTGATTGCTTTGTTGTCAAACTCAGTTCCGTTATCAGTACGAGCGTTGGAAACTTTCAAACCGCGTAAGCTAAAATGGTTTTCTGCAGTCAAGATAAAATTCTTGAAATATGCATTGGTTTCATCCTTCGTATTGAGAGGAATGATTTGAGACCATCTTGAAAAGTCATCAACAATAGTTAGAAAATATTTCTCATCCGCAAAACCCGGAGTTGAGAAAGGTCCGCTCACATCAGCATGAAGTAGTTGGAGCGGTGCCTTTGCCCGTGGGGATGAAGCTTGCTTGGGAAAGATTTGAGTCATCTTTCCTGCAGCACACGAGGCACACTCAACCATCTTGGGACCAGAAGGTACTCCCATCTGAGCCATAACTGCGGGCGAAGGATGACCGAGGGCCGCATGACTAATACCACCAGGAACTGCTAGTGCATCACCAACTAGCGGAGTATAATCAAACTCGTACAGGTCTGGCCCACAAGCGGTCGCAATTTTACTAGCTGTATCATCAGAAGATGAGAGATAGTGAACCGCTTCATGAGAAAATGTAAATGAACCAGTTTTGGAGGCCTTTTTGATGGATATTAGATTTTGGGTGGCATCAGGGACAAAGGAGACATCAGACACAGTAAGAACTTTTGAGGTAACTGGGTGCACAAAGCGGATAGTCCCAGTACCTTTAACGACCAGAGGATTGGATGAGATCCCAGTAATGCAGCCAGACGCCGGAGTAAATTCAGCAAAATGAGACCGCTCATTTGAAATGTGAAGTGTAGCACCAGAATCCAAAATGTAGCTCCGACTTGGCATAACTGAGTCTTCTCTTGAGTTGAAGACTGCCCAAGAGATACCAGAGATAGATTTGGATGAGGAGTTGACAAGAGCTGCTGTATTACCACTAGAACTGCTAGCAGCAATCGGGGCAGCAGCTGGACAATCCTTAGCAACGTGGCCTCGTTTCTGGCATCGGTAACACTTCTGCTTATTAACATAATGTTTCTTGGAAGTAGCCGCAAATACTGAACCCTGCGTTGTAGGAACGAGATCCCGCAGAGTGTTCTCAACCGCTGACAACGTAATGTTCAGAGTTGACACATCTAAAACTCGAGCATTCGCTTGGTCGGACTTAAACATCCTTAAGTAAAACTAACCCATCACTTGGGTAATTTCCGAGGAGTGGTTGAAGTGAGCACATATATCTCTGAACAAGGACAAAGCACTTTCATCACCGGCAGACTTACTGACCGAAGCATCACAAGCTTTATTAACCATAGCATACAATTGACGTGATGTAACCTGGGAGTAATCACGTCTAATCAACATTAGTAAATCAAGTCCGAACGCATTATCAGACTGATACAATAACAACACTTTTGTCGACACAGTATTCAACAGTACAACTTGAATCGCATTGTTCAAGGCAACTTGGAGCTGCATAACTAGAGTGTCGTCTATCGGTTCAGCTGGAGGTAACATCATATCTCCAGTTGTAAAATAAACGTCAAGGCCAGCACCTTGAGTGGCAACAAGCATACCAGTGTAACTGTTCCATTTAGGATAGTTCATAGACGAAGAAAGCTTCAAGCTCTCATCTCTAGGGCAAGTGAGAGCGAATTGGCTCATAACCTGTTGTAATCTAGCTATTCTATTATGAATATCCATTGTATATGTTCACTTTTTCTTATGTTTGTTGCTTATTTATATTTAACTAATATAACTAGCCTACAAACTAATATTCTCAAACATAAATACAAGGGACAAACCTCTTGTATTTATACACTTACACCTTCGGTTAAACTTGCCATTATTCATTTATCATGGCGGCTAACTTTCCAGTTTTAGATTACTTAAGATGCCTTATCATGATAAGACTCTTATCTCTTATCACTCAATCCTTATTGGCCTCGGCATCTTATCTCAACCCTAAGATACCTTATCATGATAAGATTCTTATCTCTTATCCCTCGATCATGATTGGCTTTGGCATCTTATCTCAACAATCCATTGTATATGTTCACTTTTTCTTATGTTTGTTGCTTGTTAATATATAACTAATATAACTAACCTACAAACTAATACTCTCAAACATAAATACAAGGGACAAACCTCTTGTATTCATACAGTTACACCTTCGGTTAAACTTGCCATTATTCATTTATCATGGCGGCTAACTTTCCAGTTTTAGATTACTCAAGATACCTTATCATGATAAGACTCTTATCTCTTATCACTCAATCCTTATTGGCCTCGGCATCTTATCTCAACACTAAGATACCTTATCATGATAAGATTCTTATCTCTTATCCCTCGATCATGACTGGCTTTGGCATCTTATGTCAACAGATTCAAAATAGCCTGATCAGCATTACAGGCTGTACAAAAATAATAGATACTCTTTGATCAAAAAAAGAGCGTCAACAAAAGCTTTTTCAGGTTTGAAAACATCAGTTTGCCTGATAATTTAACAAGCACACATACTACTCAATCAAGGCATTAATAATTACGTAACACAATGTCACTATATTTGGAAAGTGCTTTTTAAACTCAACAAAGCCTGGTTAGCTCAATCGGTAGAGCGTTTGACTCTTATTAGAAAAGCAATCAAAAGGCTGCGGGTTCGAGCCCCGCATCGGGCTTTCTTTTTTTGTTTTCGCTCTATTTTTTGCCTCATATACATTAGGTATTTTTGAAAGTCAAGTTACTATTTTTCTCAGCCAAAGACTTTCCACCAGCTCCAAGTATACTCGTTTTCATTACAGTCTGAGCAAAACAGCATTAACAAAAAACGTTCATTAAGACAACCAGAAACCTCATGTTGAAAGCAGAATTCTAAAAGGTTTGGTATTCTCATCTAGGAACAGGGTTCAGCATCTTACAATGGAGCCGCCTCCACAGAACAAGCTAGATTACTGCAAATCCCAAGCGTTGGATAAAGGTTCTGACAATAGGGAGGAGCTAGAACTCAAGGCAGCAGTAGAAAGTATCATGGGCAAGATACCTAAAGGATACTTCATTGGTCTTTCGAAAGAGCACGCATGGGTGATCTGCTGCATATTGAGACATCTTTTTGGGAAAGAGCATATGCATAGTCGAAAGCAGTTTGTACTTGATCTCGGATCCGGAAAGGGATACATAGATCGAATACTGTCTAGTGTCTACCAAATTGGAGTTTTCTGCGTGGAGGCAGAAAAGGACCGGCTCAAATCTAGCACTCGCTTGCAGAGGCTGTTGAACGATGACAAAACTGCATCGTGTGACACCCCTTTCAATTGCAAGAGGGACTTGCCCCTAATGAAAACCTGTCAGCGCACGCTTGTTACGGAGAATGATTTCATGCTAGTCTGGAAAAAGAGCCTCTCTTATTTCCGGCAGCTAGGCTCACCGGCGATTGAAATTGTCGTTTTGGCACTCAAGGTGTGCGGAGACATGCTTTACAATGTCGTAGACTGGGTCCTTGCAAACTGGGAACTAATCAAAGTCACCGCTCCGACCGAGTGCCGGAACTTGAGAGTAATCATTGTGCCTTGCTGTTTACACAAAAGTACCCGGCTTCGGTTTCCGTCGGCGGTTACCGGATCCGCCCATCAGCTTCGGCTGCAGCAGCGGGAGCTTCTCGGATGGGTCCGAAAACAATTGGCAGATACGTCTAGAACTCCTCCTACTGCATTCGTAGAGGCCATAAACTGCCCCGCCCCGTCAAGCTACTTCGGCATAGAAATGAATCTTCCGTTTCCGACAGAAATGGAAGAGCGAGCGTGTTTAAGGTAAACAAACTTTCGCTATTGTTCTCGACACTATACCCGGGTATTGCTCGGTTTTTTTTTTTCAGAGATAATATATGGGGAGTATGGGCGGGCATCGTTGTTTATGTCTCTTATCGACATGAAGCCCATTCTTCCTCATTTTGTTCACCTCAATTCTTTCCAGTTCTGCTACCTTCATTTTGACAGCAGCCAATAGTTATATCGCTTCGGTTGTTGTTTGCTTGTCTCAATAGTTCTATCCTACATCGTCATCCGGTATGCTTTCTTTCACTACATTGTTGTTGACGGCATCGGCGCTTGTGTCTGCTCAATCTGCTCTTAATGAGTCTCAGATAATCTACAGTCCTTCTGAAGGAACCTGTCCGCTAGTGAACTCATCCGCAATCTACAACTCAACCACCCACGAAGGTTACATTCGTTCCAACTATTTGATTTCTCAGGATGAATACTCGTACATCGCTGCAAGGCAAGCAAAGACTTCCGACAGTTTAATTGAATTCTTGGACAACTTAACCATTCCAGGCTACAACGAATCTTCGTTCGCTAACTATTTTGAGCTCTTGAACCAAACCAACATCAATGTTGGTTTGTCTTTCTCTGGTGGTGGATTTAGAGCTTTGTTCACCGGTGCCGGTGAACTCATGGCATTGGATTCTAGAACTTCAAACTCTTCAGCTTTGAAAGGTTTGCTTGACTCATCAACCTACATCTCTGGCCTTTCCGGTGGTTCCATTCTTTTGTCTACTTTGTTATTCAACAACTGGACATCTGTTGAGAGTTTGATTAATGACAAAACTACCAACATCTGGAACACCACTCATTCTCCTGTCTCAAGGGATATTTCATTCTGGAGAGAATTGCTTGATGAGGTTGCTCCAAAGAAGAAGGCCGGTTATGAAATCAGTATGGTTGATATCTATGGTAGAATTTTATCGAGATACATGTTTGATGAAGATGACGACTCTTACGGTTTGAACGCCGTTTGGTCTGATATCAAATACACTGACGCTTTCATCGACTATGATATTCCATTCCCAATCATTTCTGCAACGGGTGGTGTCGATACCAACATTTCTGAATATGCATACAATGTTTTTGAAATTAATCCTTTCGAATTCGGCTCTTTCTCCCCATATGTTGGCGGTTTCATTCCAATTGAAATTTTAGGTTCTATTTTGGATGCTGGTTTACCATTCCAATCTGCTCACTGTACCTTCGATTTTGACAATGCTGGTTTCTTAACTGCAGCATCTTCGAACATTTTGGAAGGTTACCAAGATGTTTTGGAAGGTTTCCTTGCAGGCGATGCAAATGACACTGCTCTTGCTTACAGAGCTTTTGGCCAAAACATTAGCGCCTCTTATGCTGAAATTCTCTTGGATATGGTCAACAGTGATATCAACGACACATTGTTTGCATTGGTTGATAACCCATACTACAACTCATCATTGGCATCCATCGACTCCTCTATGACTACAAATGAGACTTTAAAATTGGTTGATGGTGGCTACTTTGATGAATCAGTCCCACTAGACTCTTTCCTAGCTCCAGTCAGACAAATCGATGTTGTTTTCGCCTTTGACAACAGCGGACAAACCGATGACAACTGGCCAAGCGGTGACTCTTTATTCGCCACAGAAGAAAGATGGGCTGAGTCGTTCCCTGACGATAACTTTTACGAATTACCTTCTTCTGTTGAAGAGTTTGTCGAGTTGGGCTTGAACAAAAAACCGGTGTTCTTTGGATGCAATGGCTCAAGCTTGGTCACTGATGAAAACAATCCTAATGCAACAGTTGAATATAATGTTATGAAACCATTGTTAGTTTACATTCCAAATACCAACTATACTACTTTGTCTAACATCACTGACTATCAATTTTCATACGCTGAAAGAGATGCTATTGTTGCAAATGGTTTTGAAATTGCTCAGAATGATGGTGAAGAGGATTTTGCTCAATGTGTAGGTTGTGCAATCATCAGAAGATCTGAAGAAAGAGCAGGTATTGATATTTCTCCATTTTGTAACAAGTGTTTCTCGAAATATTGTTTCGAAATTGAAAGTGTTCCAGACAACTCAACTATCAGTGAGATTATTCCAAAAACTATTTACTCTTCTTCAGCCTTACCAAGTCAGCTCTCCTCTTATTTGAGTAAAAAGACTGTTTCAGGTGCATTCCCAACCGCATTTGCCACCTCAGCTTAGTAATTTGTGATACCTTCCTTATTTCTTTCTATTCGTTTTAATTACTGTTTGTTTATCAGTTTTTTCTTTATCTGTTGTGAAAAATGTCCTATTTTACATTATCATTGTTTACGCTTTTATCTATGTCAACTTTGTATAAATGAATCTTTGTTTATAAAAAAAATCATTCTTCAAATTTTGTTTTCCAGGAATCCAGCCATTTACATTTCTTTTCATCATTATTATTAATCTTCCTTGTAAGGTCTACGATCTGGTTAATTTCTTTGGCTAAGGATTTAGAAGCCAGCTCACCACTTTCGACGTTTGCATCATAAACTGTACAAGCAACGACGTCGTCAACATGCTCACTGACTTTCAAACATTTAGCATTTAATGCGTCTAAACCTTTGGAGAATTTTGGGTTGTATTTACTTGCTGGAACAGATTTATCCAACAACGACACCAATAGTTTGACCAGTTGAATCCGAGTACTCCATAACTTACCAAACGCAATTACTTTATCTTCTGCTTTTTCCTCTTCTCCATCGGATCCAATGTCATTACTCAGTCCAAATATATCTTCTTCATCAAAATCAAAGCCACCACCGACTATAGGATTTTCCAACCATTCGTTTAGTTCATTCAACGCGTCGACGACCAATCTGTTTGTCTGTTTGAGCTTTGATCTCAGTACACCACTAGATCCATTTTTGCAAGTTTTTGTCAATTTTTCACAAGCTTCCCAAATGAACCCCACACCAACCAATCTTTGGTCTGTAAGCACAGTTTCTGTTGCTTCTCCGAAACTGACAAGCTCTTTCAACCCACTTATAAGTGCGACGCATGCTTCCAATACTGAGAGTCCATCGGAGGACAATTCATTCGCAAAAACACTAGAGTACTTTTCTTTTTCTTCTTGAATCTGATTAAGCAAGGACACAAGTAGAGCAGCATATTTGAGAAGTGAGTCAACTTCAGTTCGACATGCCTTATAGGTGGTTATTGCGATCGGCGGCTTAAATACCAAACCCAACTTAGTGGCGTGTGCACTTAATAAGGATGAAAGTTTCGGCACTTCATTTAAGGGTTGTGCCACATTAGCAACCTCTAGAGTGTTTGATATAGTAGGTGAATGTGTGGTTACTGATTCTTGACATGATGTGCGGAGGTGGGAAAGGGATTCTTCCACTTTTGAAAGATGCTCTTTGAGGTCATCGGGTGTATTGGCCATATTTACGGTGGTCATCACGTTGGTAGTCTGGAGATGTTTCGTTCGTATGCAATTTCTTATCTGACGAATAAGACAAGAGCTCGTTGCAAAGAGATCCGAAATCTTTTTTTCTTTTCTCTTTTTCATGTCTTGAAAAAATATTTGTACGCCGACATTATCGACCGGTTAAGAATCGTCATTGTTTGACATGCACCAGACAATTGTTTGCAGATCGCTTTACTGACCAGCTACACAAAAATTACCTAAACAGTCATACTGAAGTTGTGTGATAAACAATTATTCCTTTCACAAATTCCTCATTGGTTCCTATGGGTATTGCCCATGAAGGGATGGGAGTTTCGTAAGAATGCCTCTCTCCTGCATACGGCCCGCCAGGCACACCTTTGTACTCGTACCTCCACGCATGCAAGCAAATGGCGTAATCGCCGTGTTCATTTGTTTTTGGAACATGATATTTTGGAGCATTGCATATAGAGCAGGAAGCCGAGTCAACCGATCGTTTCTTGCTTTGGATCTCTTTGGACCTTTGTATTACTTCGTCCCAGTATGCATCAGTTACATCGTTTCTTGATCTTGTAATCTCTTTGTACTTTCCTGTCTTGCTGTACAACGGATCGTCAATAATGGGGCATCCCAAATTGCGAAGATGAATTCTGATTTGGTGTGGGAAGCCAGTATTTAAAAACGCACAAATCACCGACTCGTCCCGTTTCTCATCGTAACAAACCTCCTTGAAACTAGTAATTGAACCCTGGAAAACACGAACCATATGACGTGTTGGATAGAGATAGACTAGATCATCAGTGCAAGTGGTACTAAAGTTTGGAAGCCGACCCTTAACTCGTGCCAGGTAAATTTTCTTGCGGCACCAAGCATTCCTATTTTTGAACTTTGAAACTGTTGTCGGGTTAGTGGCCCAAAGAAGAACCCCAGATGTAAGTCTATCAAGTCTATGCAGAGGGTATAAAGTGACTTGCTTACATGCTAGCTGTTCAGCAAGCATGGATTGGATAGTGTTGTAAAAGTATTTCTGCACACCATGAACAGGAATACCAGGCGGCTTGTTTATTGCCAACAAACTGGAGTTTGTTGATGATAATATTTTAAGCCTTTCTGGCGTCGGCACTGGTGTTTCGTGGATATGTTGGTTATAAGTAATGACACTGTACGGACTCAATGGGGCTTTCATTATCCTGTCAAAAAAGTCATTATCATGAGGTGGGATAGTGATCTTTACCCTGACAGATGATACCCAAACTTGAACCAGATCTTTTTGCAGCAAATGTTTCAATTGGTCTTTCGTAAATCCGAAGCGATATGGTTTGGAGTTGAGGATATCCAGCAAGGACCTCTTGACAGATGGGTTAGATCTTATTATATGGAGTCTGAAGTATGGCAGCGGAGAGTTGATCGGTGAAACATTGTGCACAATCACAGGGAGAGTGTAAGTGGAAAAGGCTTGAGTGAACAGCGTCCCAAACATACTCTGAAATCAGAGATAACTCTAGTCGTAGACATGAGTTCACCAGCTCTATGAAAAGTTCGAACTTTATATCAAAATTTGATATAGCGAGCGAAAGTGGAACGGAGAGAGTTTACAAGATTAGTCGGATTGACTATGTAAGAGGATAATTATACACTTTGTATTGATATAAATACTTGTCAGAATTGTCATTATCACCAGTCACCATCACTTTCATCGTCGGAAGCGGCGACCTTAGATTTTCTGGTGCTTAGAGCAGCCGCCAAAGCATCTGCCAAACTTGCAGGTTGGCCGGGAGCACCGCCAGGGGCTGATGCTACCGCAGGAATGGATACGGGCTCACCTCGGGCCTCTTGCAACAATACACTTGGTTTTTCGAGCTGGCTTTTGTCCACTTTTTTAAGTTTACCAATACCGGCTCCACGGATGGATGCAAGTAAAGCATCTCTATCGCCGTTTCCAGTGGTTTCGACACGAGGTGGTGCTGTGTCAGCCATTGCGGGGAATCCCGGAGGTGGAGGAGGTGGTGGTGGGGGAGCTGAGGAGTTGCTGGAAGGCAGTGGAGGGTTTGTGAATGAGGACATTGGCGGTGGAGGAGGCGGAGGCGGACCTTCCTGAGCCTGTGGTGGTAATTGCGGAGGAGCTTGAGCCTGCGCAGGAGGTTGTTGATGATACTGCTGGTATTGTTGTGGAGGTGATTGCTGCTGTTGCTGCTGCCCATATGGGTTGTAACCCGGGTGTCCCGGAGGCAGAGCTGGTGGAGCAACATTGGCATTGGTGTGCCTTGAGGGCGGCGGAGGAGGAGCCGGGCCTCTTCTGGAAGGAGGAGGAGCGGGAGCATTCGGGTTCCTGGCAGGTGGCGGGGTGGAACAGCACCTCTTGCTGGAAACGGAGGAGGCATCATGGCGACGTTGCCTCTGGCCGGGGGCGCCGGCGGGACTCCATTCCGTGGAGGAGGGGAAGGTATAGGCCTGGCTGCTGTGGGTGGAGCCAGGCGAGGAGGCAGACCCGGACCGGACGGAGCTGAGGACGCCTGCATTGGGGACTGTGATTGCGAAGGAAACGTCATTGGTGGTGGAACGTTATGAACCCGACGTGGCTCCGATGCAGAGGAGAAACTCTGTGCTGGTGCTGGTGGAGGTGATGCTGGAGTAGTTGTCTCCTGCTCTATTATCTCCTCCATATCGGGGTAAGAATCCTGCCGGCTCGGAGACAGGAAGACATCGTTTGTGTTGGAGTAAGGAGGCGGTGGAGGGGTAGAAGCTGTAGCCGAGCTTGTGCCCGTTGACGAGGCGGATCCTGGGGGAGGTGGGGGCGGAGGAGCCTTCTTTTTCCTTTCCGAGTTTCCAGAGTTTACTGTGTTTGATCTGGAACGGAGTGATTGGGAGATGGATCTCGAGGCTTTGAGGGTGCCATTGCCGCTGCCGCTGCCGCCATCTCTGATTTGGTTCTGGTAGCGTCTTGGAATTGGCGGCTCGAGGCCAACCAAGGGCCCGCCTTGTTTGGCGATGTAATCTTTGATGAACTCTCTGTTTTCAGCAATCATGTCTTCGGAGATGCCCATGTTCTCGAGCTCCTTGTAGAAGGACCGCCATTCCGGCGGAGGCTCATTCTCGTAGTAGAGGACACCCTTGGAGCGTCTCATTCTCTGTTCGTTGACAATGCCACCGTTCGTGACTCCGTCGGCAACCGATTCCTGTCCCCGGTACCCTCTGGTGGAGGTTTCCTCGGGCCTCTTGCGAGCCTCCACGGCGTTGTTGTTCTGCACGGTGAGTTTGGAGGCGTGTTTGTGGCGGCTCTGGACCCGTTTGAAAAAGTGCTGGGCCTCGGACTTGTCCTCAAAGAGAAACCCCACGGAAAAGTCCTCGATCTCAAAGCTGTGGAAGAAGAGTCGGTCCTGCGAGTACTGGAAGTCGACCCAGAGCTCCTGGTCCCACAGCACTCCCTGGTTGCCGATGACGTCGACCAGCTTGAAAAAAAAGGTATGTCCAATGAGGTCGTCCACGAGGACAACGGCTCCCGTGAGCCCCGTCCACGTCCATTCCTCGAGGCTTGGGTAGTTCACATAGAGCCTCACGATGGCGGCGTCGATGATCTTGTTCGACGACTTCGGGACGACCCGTTTGATCTTGTCCTTGTCTGCGGACGTGAGGGCGGTCATCGGAGATGCTGCTGCGGTGCTGCTGGCGCCAGTCTATGATGCTGTATATATAAGCTGTCTTTCCCGAGAGACAATGGCTCTCTCTGCGAGCCTCTGCTTTCTGTGCTGCCTCCCACGGGCAACCGCCGGGCCTTCTCTGTAGAGCCCACACTGTCTGTGTGCAATAGGGATGCTGGCGACAGCCGGTACAGAGACGGTGCTGGCGAAAAAGCGGCGCGGGCGGCAGCGAGGGCCAGGAAAAAAGGTGGAGCAGGGAGTTGACCCATTAAACTACGCAGGGCAGAAGAAGAAGCTGAGAGGTTGGACGCGGAGAACAGCAGATTGCATTCCAGTGGACCAGCACTAGCACCAGAAACAACATGTCCGGAAGACAGGGCGGCAAGGCGAAGCCTCTGAAGAAGCCAAAGAAGGCGGCTAAAGATCTTGACGACGAGGACGTCGCGTACCAGCAGAAGCAGAAGGAGCAGGAGAAGCTGCGCAAGGAGATGGCTGCCAAGGCGTCCGGGAAGGGCCCCATTGTCAGCGGCGGGATCAAGAAGAGCGGCAAGAAGAAATAGTGCCGCCATAGGCTCGATATACCCTCTGTAGCTAGTATAGACGTGTGTACAACCGAACAAGAGGCAGTGGTCAGCAGGAACAACAGCTATATTTCCTTCTTGACAGTGTCAAATTTTTTCGTAACGCTATTTTTTCTCAACTTTTGCTGATTATGTCAGCAGCGGGTTACATAATCAGGTATGTACGTAAGCAGTGCTTACCTCAGCAGCGTGGGTGGATGCCGGGGGCGTGGGAGGGACGGCGGCCTGCCTGTGGACAAGCTGGAGTCCAGGAAGGACGGGTTGAAGAGCAGGGTGGGCCGGTGGACGAGGCGGACAGGCAGAAGGGGCGCCGGAGGAGAGAAGGAGAGGCAGCAGCAGTAACAGCAGCAAAAAGTCGGCAAACAGAAACGGAGCAGCAGAGCCAGCACAGCGAGAGATACTGCCAGGACGGGATGCTGACCAAACACAAGATCGTCTTTCTCGGGGACCAAGGAGTCGGGAAGACGTCTCTAATCACGAGATTCATGTACAACACGTTTGACACACACTATGCGGCGACGATTGGAATTGACTTTCTTTCTAAGACGATGTATCTGGACGACCAGACGATCCGGTTGCAGTTGTGGGACACGGCGGGCCAGGAGCGGTTCCGGTCGTTGATCCCCTCGTACATCCGAGACTCGATGGTGGCGATGATCGTGTACGACATCACCAGCAAAGGCAGCTTTGACGACATCCCCCGCTGGTGTGACTACGTGCGCACGGAGCGGGGCGACGACGTGATCATGGTTCTCGTGGGAAACAAGAGCGACCTCCCCGGGCGGGTCGTGTCCACTGAGGAGGGGGAGAAGCTCGCCAAGGAGCTCAACTTCAATCTCTTCATGGAAACCAGTAGCAAGAACGGATACGGCGTGAAAAACCTTTTCAAGAAGGTTGCCAAGCTTCTTCCAACCGTGCAGGGTGACGAAGGTACTTTGGACGGCGCTGCCGCCGCAGCTGGCACCAAGGATAGCAACACGCAGACCATCGACATCTCCACCACCAACACCAAGGACGACGGCCCTGCAGAAGGCTGCTCGTGTTGAGGAGACGGGCGAAACGTCTCCGCACACCAAATAGAACCCCCCTCCCCTCCTCAGGGCACCGCCTCCACCCTTCTGGCTGACTGCCCCCCTCGAAGCTTTACTTTATGACAAATATATGCGTTGCATACATCTCTGCGTGTATCTATACTAGGAATGATATATGTATGTAGTAGACAGACCCCCTTATATAATTATCTCGTGTGTATTATACATTAATATGAATAATTCTAACTATAAATAGGGGATGTTGATAAAATTGGTAATAGTATGTAAAATATTGGCGAGTCTATCTAAGTTTCTACTGCAGGCCGCAGCTCTATAGGTACTTCTTGAGGCCCTTCAGTCTTCTGACAGCGTCCTCCAAGACTTCGTCGTCCTTGCACACGGCGAAACGCAAGCAGTCAGACATCACTGCTGCATTCTCAGGAAGGTAGAACTCGCTCGGAGGAATGCTCACCACACCATACTCCTGGATCAGCCAGTACGCCAACTTGAAGTCCCGGGGCTTGTTGGCAATTAGCTCAGGCCACTCAAGTTCGGGCAACTTCACTGATTTGAGGTTCACCAACAAAAAGTAACCGCCGTCTGCCTTCGTGTATGGGAGCTCCAATTCGTCGAACACAGACTGCAAGATGCTGTACTTCTTCCTGTACTGCTCCCGCATTTGCTCGTAGTAGCCGTTCGAGTCTGCGATGGCAATGGCCTTGGACACTGCAACCTGGATTGGAGCAGGAGTCGAAAAGCAGATCCTCGTGTGGGCAGCCTTCACGTATGGAATCAACTCCTTGCTACCGATGATCCAACCGATTCTCCATCCAGTGGCAGCAAAGGTCTTGCCTGCAGAACCGACAAATAGCGTACGGCGCTGGACTTCAATGTCCTCAGAAGCAGCGATCCGAGGGAACTCCTTGTTGTAGTAAAGGTTCTCGTAGACCTCGTCGGAGAGAATGACAAAGTTGTGCTTCACCGCCAACTTGCCGATTTTGTCCAATTCTTCTCTGGTGAAGATCTTACCAATTGGGTTGTGTGGAGTGTTCAACACAATCATCTTTGTTCTTGGGCTTATGGCCCGCTCCAGCTCGTTCCAGTCGATCGTGTAGTCCGAGCCGTCGACGACCCTTTGGTCGAAGTCCGCAGGAGGGTGCAACTGGACATAGACAACCTTTCCGCCAGGCATCTCAATGTTCGAGATGTACTGATCGAAGAAAGGCTGGAATACAATCACCTCGTCGCCAGGACTGATGAACCCAAAAAACGCAGCCAACATACCCTCATTGGCACCGGTCGTCACCACAACCTCTCCGCTGGACAACTCACGTCCAAGCTTCTTCGAGTAGTGAGACTTCAATGCTTCAATCAATTGCGGCTTACCGGCAGATGGTGCGTACTGGTTATCCATTGGGTTTGTGAAAGCCTCCTGAGCAGCCTTGATGGCAAACTCTGGAGGAGAGTAGGAAAAGAACCCTTGCCCCAAGTTTGCCACCTTTTCGCCGGAATCGGCCTCCTTTGCAGCAGCGGTTTCGTTGATCAATGACCAGATATCCTTGCCGCCTAGGGAAAAGTACGGATTGTTCTTTGGTAGTGCCGACATCTTTCTATATCCTTGCAGGAATTGCTTACGATAACTACTCACAATGAATCTTCTGTTGCAATGTACTGTCAAACGAAACATGCAAGAGCGCAAAACAACCAGTGTCCAACGCTGTGATTACCTACTCGACTTTTAACACCAGAAGCACAAGCAACAAGGCAGAAAAGAAACTGCTACAGTCGCCCAAGACCCCCCACACAGCTGCACGCAGACCAACAGACTAAACAACCACCGTCCCCGTCCAAAGATCCACAATTTCACATTCTGACTAACCGACCTCTCTCAGCGATAGTGGAGATACAAGACCGGGGCTGCCGATACCGTCTCCGTTGCCCAAAAAGGAAACCGGAGAGTGGCCTCTATAACGCAACGGCACGTGACAATTCACGTGACCTTTGGTCACGTGAATACATTTTTTTTATTTTTTATTTTTTATTTTTTATTTCTTACTCCCGTCAGATTCATGTACATGACAAATAACCGGTACATGTACAGTTTTTCAGGTTTAGGAACGATTTCCTCCCATATCCCGATCTTTTCTCTCCGAGACGGAGCTACGCTACCTGAGGACAATGGACACTCCGTTTGAGATTCCGTATTGCATCCTTGAGGATGCTCCGGAAAACAGGCACACCAGACTCTTGAGGCCGTATGTGGAGAAGCTTATCCATGAAGACGTAGAACACCCTGTTCATTCTAACCCGTACAACAGGTTCAGTGTGCTTCGTAACGAGGTTCAAGAAGAAACATTAGAGTACTGGATTTCAGACTCCGAGAACGAGAAGAGGAGTGGCGAGAAGGGACAGAATTCAGGCTCGGAATCGGATACAGGATCGGGTTTGGAACAGAAAAAAAGGAACGGACTGCGCAGGGGAAAGACCAAGGCTAATGGTAAGACAAAGACAATGAAAGCACACATCAAACTTGCTCATGACGCACAGATATCGAGCGCGGGCTTTGCATCACACTACGAGTTCAATTCTCGAGAGATCCAACATATCAAACAGCAGATGTATCTCTCGCTACAGCAAAAGTCACGATCTACGCTGCCTCCAGAAACGGAGACAAAAGACATCAAAATGGCTCTGGTTTCTCTCTCGGGGTACGAATGCCCACCTCCCTCAGTGTACTTCAATTCTTCCCGTCCTAATTGTGAAAGAGTATCATTTATCAAATACCTTTCAAGAGTGATCGACACCCTTTTCTACATCTCCTTGTACAAGCGTAACTGGAACCAGTGCTATAGGCTCTTCAACATTTTGCTAAGGACCTTTGACTCCGACGTTAATCAGATCTGGACGTTAGGTGTGCACATGCTTTGCCAGCTCAACATGTCCGATTTCAATAAATACTTTCAAGTTGAATGGATGAAGTTCGATAAAACGTCATCGGCTGCTCCTCAATTGTCGCCCAAGGTTCTCAATGAGATGGCCTTTCTACAAAACCCTGCCCTAGTCCCTCTTCTTTATAAGGGCGAGAATGACCCGGATCTGATCCGAGTTCTTCAGCGTACAGTGATCCAGAAAAGACCTATGTATGACATAATTCTCAAATTCTTACGACTCTTGATGAGAACATCCAGAAACCAGCATCCCTTGATAGGGGCATATCCGGAGCAGACTTATGTTCCTGGAGGAATTTTGCTACCGGAGAAAAAACCTCATCAGAACAAGAGCCAGGAAGACACAGAAACAGAGCAAGAGGCTACTTCTACCTATTCCCAACATCAAGACAGGGGGAGGTCTAACTCATCCCCTATTTCTGCGAATAGAGCAAATTCACCTAAACCGAAAGACAACCATGATGAGTCAGTAGATGAAGATTCCGAAAACAGTTCCGCAATAGAGAAAGAAAATTTAGACACGGACTCGGACGCAGAGATGGGTACCGACACAGACACAGCAAGTAATATCAACCCGCGTATCCCCATCTCGGCACATAAATCACCAATAGTTATCAAGAATACTGCCTTTGATCCGAAAAATGATGGGCATGTTCCTCACCAGCAAATATTTAGAAAGTCTCTAAAGCGACATTCTACCCCGTTACACAAGCAGGGAACACGTGTAAGAACACCAACGTTTACCCTCTCTTATTTGTGGATACTTGTTCGAAGTGGTCGTTTGAATGTGGTGCAGCGGGCGCTAGAGCCACTACTTCTTGTTGTTCCAACGAGTACAGATGCAAGAGTGGAGTTGGCAAATTTGGCAAGTCGAGTTCTTGACATTGCTGGAGCGGCACACGAGATAAGTCTCAGTGACGAATATGAGTGGGAGAAGATTTCTCTTGTCGAAGGGAGGTTATCAGAAATCGAAGATTGCTGGCAGAAATGGAAGGATCAATTCACAAGTCGTAGCAAAAAAAGGAGAAAAGGAGTAAGACAATTCGAAGGATACAATGAAGTGGGGAACTCTTTAGCGAAGTTGAAGAATTGGGTGAATGATTGTCTTTCGAGGAACAAGGGAGACCAGAAGAGTAAATTTGGCTCAAAAAAACCTAAGCTAGACGAATCCTACGAATCTGCCGAATCTGACGGCTATATTACTGCCAATGAAGATGAAACAGTGGGTGAGAAACCCGAAGACGACATCAGCGAAGATGCCGATGCAGACGAAGAAGAGGAAATCAGAAAAGAGATGGAGAGGCTTTTAGGGTATTCTGCCATGGTTGAGGAGGATGAAAGCCAAGTGAGGAAGAATGATGTAAAGGACGAAGAACTTGGGAAAGATGTTTTTGCCATGGATGATGACGATGACGACGAAGAAGAAGTGCAAAGAGAAATGGAACGACTAATGGGTTATGCGGAGGAGCATAATAATAGCCTTGATGATGAAGACATCGAAAACAAAGACGATAACTTCAATTCAGAAAATGAACAGTTTTACAACGAGTACAATAAATGGCACGACATTGACTCCGACAGTGAATGATTAAGATATCCCGGCGTCCCACTTTGATGATTTATAGAAATGTAGTATAATAATGTATTTTAATCAGCTATTTACTTATCTCCGCGAATCACGTGCCAGATTTTGGGCGAGGGTTTGAGGGCTCGGAACCGTTGGAGATGGTGAATACGTGTTATAGAATATGCATGTGCAGAATACGACAGGAAAAGAGATAGTTGAGAACAGGCTTGCAAAGAGTGTGACTTATCGCTTTACCCTTTAGAATAAACGAGATCAGCAACATGGAGAATTGGAAACGGAACTTGCTGTTTTTAGGGTATGTGGTGGTGAGTATTGCGGCAATGGTGATAAAGTTCTACACGTTGTACGATACCTCACCCAACTCTTTTGTTTTGGGAGTACGTTTTGCAAAGGGGGATGCATTGCTGATCTTGACAAACATGATGATTATGCTGGCGTTGGTTGGCGGCAAATTACTTCAATATATTGTGTTTGGAGAGCTCAGATTGATTGAGATCGAGCATCTATATGAAAGAATCTGGCCCACAATCATCGGATTAGTGGTATCAGCCAGTGCATACAAAGCCAAGGAGAATTCGTTTTTCAGAATGTCACTTTTCGTCGGGCTATTGTTCAGCAAAGTGTTTCACTGCATTGTGATAGATAGACTGGATACATTGATCCAGCAGTATTATCAAGCGAACGGAAATTCGGTTACCCGTTTGCTGTTCAACAGAGTTGTCTTCACGTCATGGCTTTTCCTACGATTGGACATCCCCCTTTTGAGGGCATCCATCGATGAAGCCTATTTACATAAGTCGCCAATGTTGTTAGGTATAGCGTTTGAGTTATTCTTACTCATCATGGACTTAGCGTATGCTGCCATCAAGTTTGCACTAAATGTTTTTGAGCTCTATTATATCCGAAGATTTCCCGATGAAGAGGTTTGGTCCTACAAAGTGTGGATTGATTCTGTTGCAAAACTGCTACTAGGAGTGGTCAGATGTATCATGGTTCCCGCACTATTCAGGTATTTCACTCTGATGGATTCATTCCCATTGAACTTATTGAACGAGATTTTCCGTTCCTTCTATGGCCTATCCAAATCCGTAGGGTCTCTATACAGGTTGATCAAGAATGCTATGAAGTTAAACAATTCTTTGGGATACCCAACTGCAGAAGAATTGCAGGATGACGAAATCTGCATTATTTGCAGAGACGATATGGTTTTTGGTGGTACGGGCACCGCCAGAAGCGTTCCAAGAAAATTGCCATGTGGCCATATTCTACACGATGGGTGTATTCGGAGTTGGTTGGAGATGTCAAACGCATGTCCGACTTGTCGGAAAGATGTTATTCGAAATGATTCAGCAAACACCGGTACGGCAAATAATGAGAACGGAAATGAAAATGAAAATGAAAATGAAAATGAAAATGAAAATGGGAACAATGTTGCAGCTGTAGTTGCTGCCCCGCCACAAAACCTGGTCGAAGGTTTGAACAATATGATTATTAATGGTGATGACAACAATATCAATAACGATGATGAAGATGGGAATAGCAATGATACCGGAGAAAGTGGAGATGCTGTTGAAGTCGAAAGACTGACCAAAAGCGCAAACAACGAGACGAACGAAAATAATACAGATGACCAGAATGTGAATGATAATAGAACGGGAAATTCTAAGGAAGAAATTGCAAACAACGAGGAAACAGAAGATGAGGGTATCGACGAAGAAAATGGTGATGTTGAGATTGCATTTTTCGGAACAAATAACATGTCCATTCCTAGACCAACACCCACCACACGATCTACACAACTGCTTGGTATTTATCCAAGATACATGCCTTCGTTTGGAAGAAGTGACTATTTTGAAGTATGCTCCTCAGAAGAGAAAGAGCCTAGATCTACCGCACATTTGCACAGTGAGAGAATGAACCAGATTGGAAATGTTGTTGATAAGATCGGTTCATTGAACATGGATGAGCACCAGCGTGGAAGATGGAAACGTGTACGTGATAACTTTGAGTTGGCTCGTTCTGGTGGCAATCAAGGTCCAGAGCTGAATGCTGGCGACGGTAGTGGTGAAGGCGTTGATGAGAGTAACACCGAGTTCGTGCATGAGGTTCCTCCTCACACAGTAATACCAAAAGACTGGACGATTTTCCCTATCCAGAAGACTAGGGAGGAAGAGTATGAGGTGAAATTGAGTAGGAAAAGAAGGGTGACCATGAAGGTGGTCAGGAATGGACGGATCATAGACCCAAATACATTTGACAAGTACACACGCAAATAATGAAACGACTTGTCACGCTATATATTGAGATATATATACATAGATGTATTCAATTAATAAAAAAACTCAGTATACAACATATTATACAGTTATACGACAAAACTAGACAACCAATAAAATTCAAATAGATGGAGTGGGGAAAGAAAAAGCGCTTTGCTCAGTTCCTGTTTTTGCCCTTCTCGACCTTCAATAGCAAAGCCTTGTTTATATGTGGCAAGACACCACCATAGGCGATGGTGGCCTTAATCAGGGTATCCAATTCTTCGTCACCTCTGATTGCCAATTGAAGATGTCTTGGTGTTATTCTCTTGACCTTAAGGTCCTTTGCAGCGTTACCTGCCAATTCTAGTACTTCTGCAGTCAAGTACTCTAGCACTGCTGCTAGGTAGATAGCACTCTTCGAACCGACTCTGATCTTGTTTTGGGCGGTTCTCTTCAAATATCTCTTGATTCTACCGACAGGAAACTGCAATCCTGCACGAGCACTGTGGGATTGTGACTTCAAATGGCCATCCTTTGCGCCGGACTTACCTTTACCTCCATGGACTTTCCCTGACATGATTGCGGTGTGTTTTCTTGTGTGTGGATGAAGAGCGTAGAGAAAAAAAAGAGAATAGCCAAAGCCGAAAGAAAGAAGAACGCAAAGAGAAGCAAGAGAGAAAGAACACGGGCATCAGCTGCAAGTGCCACATGTAAACAAATGCGCAATAGAGATAGTGGTGATCTGGAGTCAAGCAAAGCGGTTCAGGATTTGTTTTTCTGGGATTTTCCCATTTTTCCCATTTTCCGTCTGATTTTCGCATTTTCTATTGTTTTTTTTTGTTCCGGGAGGGCAGGGCTGCACCGGGTAACTGGGAGCTAGGGGGCCGTAGTTCCTTACAGACAGAAAGACACACAACATAAAGCTCTAGGGTCTGATATGATTGGGCATTCAATCTTATGCTTACTTATTTACACTTTATAAACGGATAGTTCGTACAATTCAAACGCATGGGAACACGTTCATCCGTTCAACAGGTTGGCGATGCACGGCTTTTTCGTTTCACTGCTGAATCCTAGGGCGGATATGCGAGAGTCTGCAGTCGACAGTGAAGACGATTCGCCTCTGCTGTGCTGCGAACGGTCGTTGCTTGCCGTCGAGTCTCTGGAATCCCTTGACCCAGAGCTCGATAAGCTCGGTTTTTTGATACCTTTGGTATCAGAAACATCGCTGTTTTTGACGTGGTCGAAAGAAGTTTTCGAGACAGAGGGAGATGGAAGGTGGGGCGTGTTTTTGATATTCTCGGTGTTTAGGGCGTCTCTGGCGTTGCTCATTTCAGTAGATGATGTTGACTGAGTTTCACTTTCCTTGAACTCCTCTCTTCTGATCAGGCCGCCGATCGGCTGTGACCCCTTCCGTGGCTCAGGAACAGGCATGTGGTATGCTGTCGGGGTATTAACCAGAGAATTTGGGGTCGGCGCAGCTTGATAAATCGGGTTGCTCTGACTTATTCCGTGTAACTTGCTGCTGTAGGGCTGCGGCTGTGGCTGTTGTTGTTGTTGTTGGCGCAATGGATGGCTTGAAATTTGGTGTTGGGGAAGAGGTGCATTGTAGTGGAAATGCATTTGAGACTGGATGCCTGGCTGCATCCCGTGCGACAGTCGTTGATAGTACAGGGGGGATATGTATGGGTTACTTTGGAACTCAAACTGATTTGTTGTTGGCGTAACCGATGCAGAGTTCGTCATATAGAATTGAGGAGAGAGAGGTTGAGGAGGAAGATGTTGCTGTCCCGATGCGGAGGATGCGGAAGAAGGAGGTTGGTTGTGAGGGTGTTGTGGATGCTGTGGATGTTGCGGGTGCTGTGGCCCGAAGTTCAGCACGTAAGGTGAAGGGGAGTCTGCGAAACCGACCATCGAGGGAGAAACTGCGGGGGATGAGAAGTTGGATGATGGCGGGTACATTGACAAGCTGGGGTTTTGCTGTGAAAAATGGCGTGTGAGGGGGTTCTGTAGGGCCTGCTGAAGTGGGTATTGTTGAAGGGGAGGTATAGGTATGGGGCTGATGTCCATGACGGAACCCGTTCCTGTGCTTGGGGTAATGATTGCGTTGTTGCCTCTGTGGTGGTGATTGAGGATTTTTCCAGAAAAGTTTGAATTGTTTTTAGCTGAAGAGACCGAAGAAGAAGAAGAAGAACCTGGAGCCGAGGAGTCTGCGTTTTCTATGATGATGGGGACAGGTTTGTTTGAAGAAGTGGGTCTGAACTCCGAGTATCCCCTGCTTTGTAGCAAGCTGTTTCTTCTTGGTGGCGGCAACATTGAGTTTGTGAGCTGGTTGACGTGAGGAGAGACGGAGTTTGGCGGGGAGACGAGAGAATGGATGTTTGAGTTGCTGTGGTAATTGGTGGTGTCTGCCGACGGGGTTTTTGGGTTCTGGAGGGCGGGATCCGCGTGGCCTTGGTAGTTCTGGTAGTTCTGATCGTGGTATTCTCCCGGGTGGGGCAGGTTTGAGTAGTGTAGTTTTGAGTTTTTGCGCTTGAGGGTGCTTTTCGGGTTGTACTTCTGGCTCTTCATGGAATGCAGATGGTGCAGGTGGTGTGGGTGTCCGTGCTGGTGGAGCTGCATCTGTCTCTGCTCTTCGGTGTTGAACGAGTGCATGTCGGTGACCGGGGTGCCACTGTTGCTGTTTGTCGGGGTACCACTGCCGCCGGTTTCGGCCGCACGGTGGCCTCCGGGGACGGTGTTGCTTGCGCCGTTGGACATCTGGAACTGGTGGACGGTCTGCTTGTGCTGGCGCAAGTTGTCCAAGCGGGAGAACTTTTTGAAGCAGAAGTCGCACTGGAAGGGTCTTTCGCCCGTGTGTTTGCGGATGTGTCTGGCCAAATGTTCGGACCGCGTGAAGATCATAGAGCAGCCCGGATAGCCTGTGCACTGGAAGAGCTTACCCTTGGATTTCTTTGGCACGGTGCTGTTGTTGTTGTTGTTGTTGTTGTTGGCAGCAGCAGCGGCCGATGCTGCGGCCGGCGGCGTCGGGGACGACGCCGAGGACGACGACGAAGTCGTCGTCGAGCGTTGGTTTACGTCTGCAGCGTTTGCGGCGACCTCTGCAGCGGGAGAGGGGCTTCTGTGGACCATCGCTGGGTGTGTTGGCGTGAGAGTGTGTGGGCGATGACTGCACTATCTAGCAGAACGAGGCAGCAGGGGAGGAACGCCGTCTGTGGTGCGGTGCGAAGCGTCCGCTGTGCTCCTGTTGTGGAGTGAGGACGGCCAGGCAGGCAAGAGAAGAAACACACCGTGGAACAAGTGTGCAGCAGGGAAGCGGTTGCGGTTGCGGTTGCGGTTGCGGGGACGTGTGGGTGTCGGTATAGGTGTGTGTGTGTGTGTGTGTGTGTGTGTGTGCGTGTGGTGGCCCAGTACGTGCGGGTGTGCGAGCGGTGTGAGCAGCGGAGAAAGGGGAGAAAGGGGAGGGCGCAGAGACAGATATAAGGGGGGAAAGAGCAGGGGACTAGTTAGTGCGTGCGTGCGTGCGTACTTGCGTGCCGGCGTGCGGGACGGTGCAGCGCAGCAGGAGAAAGAAAACGTCGAGGAGACAACAATAAATAACAACACAATCAGCCCGGGCGCAGAGGAGGTTGCCGACGTTTTCGTGCCTGCCCGTGCGGGAGCTGCCGTAAAGGTGGGAAAAGGACCAGCAATAAAAGGACCTGGGCATGCAGCAGAGCAGACGCCGGCGCCCGCCCCTTTCCCCTTGGCCACGACGCCCTGTGCGCCGCCCGGGCTGGTGTGCGGCTCTTCCGGACGGGCTGCGGCGGCTGCGCATGCGCGTGCGCGTGCAGCTGCAGCTGCAGCTGGCTGCAGGCTGCGCCGCAGGCCGCAAGGCGGCGCCGACTAAACGGGACTAGACTGCGCTGCGCTAGTTAGTGGCTGGCGCTGGTGCTGCCGGCCGAGGGGCCTGGCGGCCGCGCTGCGTCGCAGGCAGGCACGGCTGCTGCCAGGTAAACAGCACCGCGCGCGTCCCGCGCGCGCGCCGCCCTTGTTTTGTTCGTCACGGATCGTCTCGTTGCCCTCGTTTCGCGGCCCCGACGCCAAGGCAAGGGCAAGGGGCCGGGGGCCAGTGGCGGCTAGCGGGCAGATCGGCGCAGCAAGACGTGGTTGAGACGGCTGCGCTTCGTTCCGCGCAGTGCGTAGGCCCGAGGGCCGACGGGGGCGTCGGGGTCGGCATCGCAACATAGATACCGCACCACGCGCCGGGTGAGGGCGTCGCCGCTGATGCGGTAGGCAAGGGCGTGCCGGACAGCGGTGTCGACGCTGCGGCCGCCGCACTGCGTCAGTGTCTGGCGCCGGCGGTCCGCGTGTTCCTGGAAGAGCACAAAGCGCCCCGCGGCGGCAGCAAGCGCGCGCAGCCGGCGCTTGTAGGTTGCGGGGCCCAGGTCGACGGCCCGGGTCCCGCTGTCGGGCGCGCAGTGGCCCAGAAACACAGGCAGCAGGGGCACAAGCAGGGTTTCGTCCGCAGGGACTCCACCCACGTCATCCAGCAGGCGGCGGACCTCCGCCACCAGCGCCCGGCCGCACGCGTCCGTGCCTGCCTGCGCCGCCTGCGCCGCCGGCCCCTCGGCGGGCCCCACAAAGTGCTGGCCGGCCACGCAGCGTCCGGCCCGCAGCAGCTCGAGGCGGCGGCTCCGCACAACCACGTCCTGCAGCTCGTACTTGTTCGCACCGTCGACGGCAAAAGACGTCTTGCCGACACAGCGCACCAGGGTGGTCCCGCTGGCGCGGTGCACGTAGAGGCCAAACAGGCTCAGCAGCGGGGTCGTGGACAGGCCGTGCTGGTGCAGCTCTTCGGGGCCCAGCACGGGCTCGTCGAGCACGAGCTCGCTCATCGGGAGCCGCATGGGCGAATACTCGTAGCGGGTGTAGTGGTACGAGGCGTCCTGGCGGCCCACGAGCTGGCGTCTCAACTGCGCCTTCAGCAGCACTCTGTTCCGGTCTGGCATTGTCACGGCGTTGGCGCCAGCAAGACCGTGTGTCCACCCGGCGTGCGGCAGCGCTGCAAGAGAGGGAGGGAGGACGTGAAGGAAGAGAAGAAAAACATGATGCGCCCCTAGCGCGTGCCTATCTGACGGAAAAAAGCGCCAGCAGAACCCTCACCTAGTTCTGTATGCCCCATCCACCCTCTCACGCACCCACCTAGCCCCACCTACACCAACCCGCACACACACACACCCACTCAATGTCGTCCCTCGTGGAGTACCTCGAAGACCAGCAGGCGCTCGAAAAACAGGCCCGTGAGCAGATGCCCTACGACCCGAACGAGTGCACGTTCGCCATGGGCGCCTTGCGGCAGGAACTCTACGCCTGCCTCACCTGCTACAGACAAACCGCCCAGCTCAACGCCGTCTGCTACGCATGCAGCATCCGGTGCCACACCTCCCACGACCTCGTCGAGCTCTTCACAAAACGGTCCCGCACCTGCGACTGCGGCACCTCCAGAGTCAGCGGCCCCTGTCTCGTGCGATACCCGCAGTGGACAAAGCTAGACGCCGAGTTCCAGTCCGAAAACGACTCTCACCGGTTCACCCCCGACATCCCGGACTCAAACAACAGGTACGGCCACAACTTCAAAGGCGAGTTCTGCGACTGCAATATGCCATACAACCCGTTGACCGACAGTAACATGCACCAGTGCACCTTCGGAGTAAAATGCGACGAGGACTGGTACCATGAAGAGTGCATCATGGGCCTCCGCCCCGGAGTGGTGAACAGAAGTCCGAAAAGAGCTGCCCGCTCGCAAGCCATCCACGGCAGAGATAGACTCGATGAGCTATCCGAGCCAGGACTGGACGCAAGTAGCGATAACAAGGTCAAGGCAGAAGTGGACGATGAAGACGAACATGACGACAATGATGAGGAATATGATATTCTCCCGTTGCCCGGGTTCCCCGACCTGGACTCTTTCGATTCAACGATATGTTGGAAATGCGCCTCAGAATACCCAGCCGAAATGGAACAGCTAGTAAACACTCTACACTGCGAAACGGTGTTTCACGTCCCCGCTATAACAATAGATGAAAGGATATCCATGATTTCTCCCGACGTTTCAACCACAGACGAAAAAGCTTCCAAACGTACGAAAAAGGACTTCCCCAAAACAATATTTTTGAAAGAAGATTACCGCGAGAAGCTGAAACACCATGTCGACACCGAGCCCTCTAGCAAACTCTCTGTTCTGCTCAAAAAATACCCCTTCCTTTATCTCGATGATCCAATATACAGGCCTCCAGATGATGATGATGACGCTTCTTCTGTGTTCGAGCTTGGAATCCGTGAACTGGGAAACATGCCAAGTGACCAGGCAGCTCAGGGCTTGGCAGCTTACGAGAAAATCAAATCAAAACTTACAGAATTCCTCAAACCTTTTGCCCAGGAGGGCAAAATAGTCACAGAAGATGAAGTAAAAGCTTTCTTCAAGTCTGAAACAAGGAAGTAAAAAACAGTACCACCGTTCTACATTTTTAATTTACCATTTTATATAAGCAAGTAAGGAAAAATTAAGCTTTTAAGGGCTCCACTTAATGTCTTCTCTAAATAGTACATCGGAGGTCAATGAGGTGTGTTGTTCCTACTGGCTCGAGAAGTACGGGAAGTGGCAGCAACACCACTACCACGCTTTTCTAGTTCCACCTGCAGAGCTTTCAAATATCCATTCCAAACTAGACAATCGTTCTCCATCTCTTTGACTCGTTTATTAACATATGCTTGTTTCTCAACAATGCTTTCCACTTGTATCTTCTTGAACAACCCCTTGGATTCATCTTCAAGCCTTTTCCCCTCTTCTTGCAACCGTTTAGTAACCGCAGACAACTCGGCAGCTCGTGATGAAGTTTCCTGATATTTCTGCCTTATAGATAACGATTCAGCATCGCACTTATCCAATGTCACTTGTAACTCACTCAGCTTCTTTTTTAATTCTTGAATTTCATCATCCTGTTTCTTTGTGTCGGGTAACTTCTCAATGGCTTTACTACTGTATAAATCGTACCTCTCCTTTAAACCTAACTGGCCATCTTTATCGCTACTGGCTATCAACTCAAATTTCTCACATTCAGCAATCAATCGACTTTTGACTTTATTTCGAGCTTCTATCTTCACTCCCAGATCTCGATCCTTCTTGTATAATTCTCCGCAATCAAAATTTCCTCGATCAATAACATATTGCCTCTCTGTTTCGTCCAAATGTACAAACTCTAATTGCCGCCTGATATTGTTCATCCAGGAAAGCATAGCCTCCAAAGTTTCAGTGATCAAATTTGTGAGATGTGATTGATATTGTCTATATGTGAAATTATCGGGAATCGTACAATTAGATTCATTGGAACTCAATTTCATACGTTTGACAGAATGTTGAATTTCTTGCTTCACTTTAGTCATTCCCTCATCTTCTTCAACAATTTTCTTTCCTTTTTCCAATTTCTCATCAAAAAATGTATATTTGTCGAGTTTATGGAGTCCCAATATCGTTGATAGTTCAAAAGGTGAACTTAAAGTTGCTTTGACGCCATCAATCAATGTATCATCCAAAACATGTGGAATTTTCGTTTCTATCGCAGGGTTAAAGGGGTATGTATATTTCTCTGGGTCAACTAGCCAATCTATAACTTTATCAGAAACAGACTGTATCGTGAATGGCGATTCCACCTCAACTTCCGGCCATGCAGCAATCACAGAAAGGGCAAGCAAACGATTGAATCTGGCCTTTTCATCCGAAGTTTTCCCCTTGAAATTACCGTTGATGTTCGACAAAGAGACAGTTTCACTATCGACACCATTATTGTTATTCCCAGTAGCACCTAGGGCTGCAGATCTCGATCTTCTTTGTTTATTTCTCTTAGATGTGTCGCTGAAAATGGCTTGTTCATCATTATTCAACTCCCATTCGTAGTGCTCAAGAGATTCTAAAACAACAGGTTTAAGAATCGGAACTTGATGATGTAAAATGTTTGACACCTCTTCAAAGTCCGTAAAGTTTGAATCTAACGATAAGATCAAATCACTTTTCAAATCTTCAAACTGGAGTAAATATTTCAATTGCGATGACAGAATAAGATATACGTTCAACTTCTTACTTTTCTTTTCAATCAGCATTTTGCAGAACTCCTCGTTATGCTTGGACAGTCTGGGTACATACTCCTCCTTATTATCACGGACTTTATGGGAAGGAGTACCATCCTTATCGGTGCTCTTTTGATCTGAAGAGGTGACAGCAGCTATAGCTGCTGTCACCTGTGCTTGTTGTTCACGTGCACGCTTTTCAGCACTGGATGGACGTCCACTTTTTTTCTTTTTCTTTTTTTCCCTTTTATCATTTGAGTTTGATACAGTATTCCCGTTATTTGATTTCAAGCCAGGGGTTGAATCATCTTGAGAATCATACAAATTGCTTGAGTTGCTATTCTTTTTACTTTTAACCGATGACTTTTTCTTCAAGTTCTCATTAGTGTTTGAAGTTTCAGAAGATGATGGTGATGATGACTTTTCCGTGACACTTTCGATTTCTTCTTTGTGGAAATCAAAAGATCCATGATTGTCATAATAGAGTGAAGATCCGGAAAATCGATAGTACTGCAGTCCTCTTTTTCCCAATAAAAATGATTCAATAAGGTCCATTTCTTTGGCGTTGGATACACTGATAATAATTGTTTTTCGTACATCTCTTTGAACAAGTTTATCTAGAATCTCGCTGACTTGATAATACTTGTTGGAAAGACTAATAATGTTTTCTTTAGAATTCAAAAGAAGTAAGTTTCTAGGTATATAGTGGTCAACCAATAGAGATGGATGATTAGTTATTTGCTTAACATTGAAGATAAATGCGTCAAACATCGACTCATCTGACATAGTCCCTTCTTCTTGGCGTTCAGCAGCGGGGCGTGAAGATTGTGATTTTCCAGTTTGCGTGTCATTTGGCAACGATGTCAAAGAATTCAATGATCTGGTCTCAGTTTCTTTTTGTAAGTAAGAGAGGATATGAGGTTTGTGAAGCTGGATTAGAATGTCGATCAAACATTTCTGATAGACAGTTTGTCCTAGCGGGAGATAAAACAAAGAAGGATCCCCTTTGACTGACATGATAATGGAGATGATCAATATTCAACCTCTTTCTACTAGTTATGGGCAGTAAGGACTTTTCGAGATAAAAATCTGTTGGAGAAGAAGGAAAGAGCTTTATAAATTTGATCAAGACTCCCTGAAATAAAGTGTAGAGAAGGGAGAAGGGAAGGAAAGAAAGAAGAAAGGAAAATTGGGAAAAAACGCATGAAGATGTACGGAAATGGAAACCGCGTTTTAACGTCTTTGACGTCCACAGAGCGTAATGGGAGCAGATGCATTTAGTAACTATGGCTCTCTCTGAGAGAACATCACGTTCAACTAAAAAAGAAACAGTACATAAGAAAGTGTAAATAAAGATTAGAAAGATGAAGAAGGGGTCATGAAAGGAAGGACAGAGAAGGAGAGAAGGGAAGGAAAAAGTGATGGGCGACAAGGACTCAACAGAGTTGGATAGACCATTCATTCAATGTGCGATCTGTTCCAGTGTCGTATATACTCGTGAAACCCATGCGTTTTGTCTCCTCTCAAAAAACAAAAATCACAATTTTCATACGGACATTTGAATCCAACTGTTTCAGACCAGCTGTTCTTGCCGAGTTTGTAGCATACAAACCCGGATTCGGGTAATTTGGCAAACTCGCCCATGGAGTTAATTCCGTGCGTATTAATGAGATGACCACGATAACACGAATTGTTTCTTTCGTAGAACAACGAGTCGAACTTTCTTGAGTCGGAAACTTTGCAAAATGGACAAAGCGAAGGGTAGTCTCGTTTGAGCTTTTTTCCCTTGGAGTTGTACTGGATATCCATGGTGTAACGTTTCACTAGAGGGTCGTATTCGTTTTTCACCTCCGATGCCATATACACATATTGACTATCGCCATGTTGTTTTGCGTATTCCATGGTGTATCCATTTGGCGTGTTGTACTCTTTGTACAACCTGATATTCGGTAAGTGTCTGACTATTTGTTTTGCACAGCCGTAGCTGGTTTTGGATACTTTGAAGCAAGATTTGCACCTATGTTTGGATTGCTTTATTTTAGGTAAATCATCTATGGGCTCAAAATGAGTTGGTAAGCAATTTTCCGGGACGTTATTCATATCCTCTTTCCAGCTGGCTAATCTGGGTAGTGATGGTGAGCTGGGTTGAGTGCTGTGGTGAATGTTGGGGACGGCTACTTGTTGTGACTTCTCCACATAAGCAGTAGGAGCAGGAACTGATTCGCAAGATTGAGGGATGTTCACAAGGGAAGTAGGGTCCGTGCTTGATTTGCGAAAGAACAGTTCTGCATCTCCTAAATGGCTTCTTCTTGGATACTTTTTCGAGACTTTGGCAGCTGCAGGCCCAACGTTGTGGGAATTGTTATTAGTAGAGTAAGTGTAATTTCTCTCGGGCTTTTCGAAAAACTGCTCTTCCTTCCTAGCGTGCTGGTGGTTGTCGGCACTGTTATGCCTCTCGTAGAGGTCCATATTTTTGTTGGAAAAACCATCCATTATGCCATCGGTGGGGAAGAAGATTTCAATCGGGTCGGCAGTTGCCAGTGCCAAGTCCTCATCTGTCGGACACGGGAAAAATCCAACATAGGGGTCAAACAATGACTTTTCAAACTTGTTGTCGAGTGTGGCAATAGAGCTCAGTTGGTTTGAAAACTCATCGCAAAGCGCCTCCTGAAGTTTATCCAAGGAAGTTTCAGAGTTGTTGAGTCTGCTGGTGCTTACCGTGGTGGCGGAGCTAGGCTGGGTCAGGTTTTCCACCGTTGAGTCGGCGCTTCTGGTGTTGGTTGAGTTGGTCGGAGAGAGCTCCACCACGCTCAGGTCGTCGACGGTCTTCGAGCTTGGGAAGAAGTCGGCAAACATGTCATCTATTTTGCTGAACCTGTTGAGCGTGATGCTTCCCTCGTCGTGGCTGTCGGAGTACTTCATCTTGCCGGTGTCGCTTGTACTTTCGGTAGCAGGAGCAGAGGAAGCCGTAGAAAGCAAGCAAAGGGAAAGAACTAGCTAGCGGACGGGAAGTAAGTAACAAGGCAAGGAAAGGTCAAAAAGGTGCAAGCCACGGGTAGCCCAGGATGCTGAAGATGATGAGGCAAATTATTTTCGAACAACCCTACTCTTGCGCAAAGATACCCCCCAACACGGCGTTACCGTATTGACACAAGCAACAGAGTAAAAACAAAATGCAAAATGCAACCTATTAGCCACTATTGTTCGAAAGTTTAATGCATGCAGCATGTCAAATCCAGAACAGGCCAAAATGAAAGATTACCGACCACGATAAGCTGAGTCTTCTCCCCTAGACTCGGCTATCGGCATACTTCGGTGCAGTTAGCCACAATAGGCCTCATAGTGTCTCGGACGTTGTCCTACCCTATTAGTGCACCCCAGACCACTCTTTCGGCAAATTCGAATCCCACTTACAGTGTTCTAGATCCATCTTCTTTGTCGAGGCAGAAACAGAACATGTCCGAGTTTTCTGCCCTGCTCATCATTCTCCCGTGTAGAAGCCTATATTGCGCCGTAATTAAGGGCACCGTCCAATTACAGGCCCCACTTTCGGACGGCACCTCACGACATTCTTTACAGACATGGAACCATTCGCCTTGGTCATCTCTACCCCTCATTTCACTTTCGTTGCCCCTCCCAGATCCTTCTCTTGCTCCCTCTTCTTCCTCTTCGTCCTTGCACCATTAATCGGACACCCTTATCATGTTCTGGTTCTCGCTCCATATCCTCATTACGTAATCACAAACGTGGGATTTTTTTTTGTTGATTATGTCAGCACAGTCGATCGGCCCAAAATGCCCAAGGTTGGTCTCCGGGATTGACACGGGAACCGGGCGCGTGCTCTCTTTTCCTCCCTCACTCTGGCAACGGTTTCCTCTCTCTGGGGTAAAGCTGTGAGAACAGCCGGGATGTTTGCATGACTGTGTTCCAACCGAGGTGGGTTACTTCGGCTTACTGGGTGGCAGAGATCGGCAGTGGGCGTCTGTAGGCTGGAAGACCGAAAAACTTGTTATACACCGAGCAGCTGCGGAGCGAAACGATGTTCAAGCTAGTGTCCTCCATGTTCAAAACGGCCCCGGTCTCCGTGATACCGGTTACCCGAGAGGTTGTGCAGAAGAGAAGCAGTCTCTGCTCAAAACTGCAGCACATTTACAAGGCGCAGATTGGCCTGCTTTCGAATGCGCTACCAAGGGAAACTGTGGACCGGATTCCCTTGTTGAAGTATTACACGGCGTTTGGACAGCAGTATCTCGACCAGTTATCGGAGCTGGAGAACGGTGAGTTGGAGAAGACCGAGTTCTCAGAGGAGCGCTTTCTCGCGTTGATAAACAAACAGCTCGACTCCAAGGTGCTGGAGCTTGAGAGCATCAACCAACGGATCACGCCGAGCGACTTGAGGCTGCTAGACGAGAACTACTCCAAGCAGATCGACGCCTTTTTCTCCCACTTCCACACGAACCGCATAGCGGCCTCGTTTGAGCTCAAAGAATACATATACCCTGAGCCGCTTTTACAGGTGCACGACGCCAAGAGCGTTGTCGACCAGGCCGTGAAGACCACGTCGCAGATGTTGACATTAAACGACTACCCGGTGCCGAAGTTCAAGCAAGTGTCAGCCGTCGACGGAGATCTCAGTGTCTACTGTATTGCCCCCCATGTCGTGCATATAATGTTCGAGTTGTTCAAAAATGCCACGCTCCCTTCCATCACACACGGGAAGCCCATTCTGATCAGCATATATGGCGAGGAGGCCGACCCGAGCACAATAGTGTTCAAAATCAAAGACAACGGGGGTGGGATGCCTCCTTCCATGGTGAAAAAGATCTGGCAATTCCACTACACCACCACCCAGGATAACGAGCGTGACCCAATCCACGGTTTTGGCATGGGCTTACCCTTGTGCAAAGTGTTTGCTGAGTTCAACGACGGCTCCTTAACGTTGGTGAACGAAGAGGGGGACGGTGTGACTGTGTATTTGAAGCTCCCTAGAGGGGTCCGCAAATAATCACAGTAAGCGATTGTAGCTATTAGTGTATATAGACAGAGTTCGAAAGATGAAAGTCACATATTAGCATGTTATAGAATCATGGCTTATTATATTAAAGAGATATATAGACATATCCATATATCCTTATGAAAGCAAAAACTACAAGTATAAAACTCTAGTTCTTCTTTTGATCATTTTTTCGACATCCTTGCCCTGGTATTCCTTCTCGGCCTCTTCAATCTGATACATCAACTCCTTTGCATCGGTCTCACACATCACCTCGTCCCGGAATATGAAATAGTCACCTTCCACATTCAACCCACAAATGACGCATTTGAGACAGTCGATGTGGAACACCTCATTGATCTCGTTCTGCAGGCATTCACCTTCAACACCCTTATTACAAATCCAACACAATGATCCATTCAGTTCGTGAAAATGGCGCTCGCAATATGGTTGATCGCCATACACATAACATGAGCTACCCTTATTGAATTTAGAACCACACTTATGGCACCCAAAGCACGATCTGTGCCATTGTCCTGATAGTTGGTTGTCCTTGGACCAAATCTTCTTTTCGCTGTCCAAAATGATGTCCCCACATTTACGGCAAGGTCCTTCCCCAGGAGGATAGTACAGCTCTTTATGAGCAGTAATAAAACTTGCTTTGCTTTCTTCAAAATTGATATCTTTATCTGGAGTGGTGAAGCCAGATGACATCTGCAGAGGAGTGCTACCAAAGGATGGTGTGTTGCTATTGTGTGAAAGTGAAGCATATGGATGATGGCTTGCGTGAGCAGCTTCCGTATCTGAAGTCGATGCTGCAGAAGAGTGAGAGTGCGGGTGTTGGTGTTGATGTGGTTGCAATTGTTGGATTTCAAAATGACGTGGTGGAATTTCGAAACTTCCCATTGTTTGTTGCGAGGTATCGTAGTGTTCTCCCGATACATCAGCATCCCGATAATCTTCAGCTTCCTCATTTGGCCCACCTGAAGCAAGTCCAAAATTATCTATATCATTAATCAAATCAGAAATGCCATTGGCATTCAAAGCCTTAGGTTGAGGAGTTTCGGAGTCAGGAAGAAATGGGTTGAGCGAAGAGCTAGGTGTATCAACGATGTTTGCACTATGTCCGGTGAAACCTGCAACTGAAGGTTTTCCTGCTTCAAATAAACCGTCCTCATGATCATAATCCCCCTGTTCAGCATCCTTGAATGAAGCTATATCGTGATCTTCACTTGATGAGTCACGATTAATAGTCAAGATAGGAATTCTAGCCACACTAGAATCTGGAAGAACTTTTGATATCTCTGAAGGTACATTTGATCTGTAAGGATCGTTCATGTCCAGTGACGACTTACGGTCTTCTGATTCTCCTTCTTGAATCACGCTCATCTCGTTTATCTGGTTGAAATCAACTACATTGTCGTTCACCACCTGCAGTTCCTGCTGATCATCAGTGTCTTCAGAATCAAAACTTTGAAGATTGTAAATTTTCATGTCATTGGTCCCCAAGGTACTTATTCTTTTGTTGTCCTGGTTATATATATTTTTCATGTTAGGTACTACCGGTAGCATGCCTTCACTTTCGGTCGATTGAATTGTTTTTCTCAAGCCGCCTAATCCTCCCAAAGTTTCCTGAGACAGATCCCCTGTATAATCTTCTTCTTTGTCATTGCCATGTAACATAAACTTCTCATCAAATGACTCGACCGAGCTTTCGGACTTGAAGGATTTTGCGGGAGACCCTGGTACTAGACTCCTTGAATTACTTTGTTCTGGGGCACTCAACTTGGTATAAGACCGTGAATCATCAGCATATACGTCGATATTCTGTCCGTCAGGTTGGGATACGACTATATCTGGATTTGTAAAAGCATATTGTGAGGCTGATGGTACCCCACCCGGATGCTGATTGTTTCCAAAGTTAAGAGGGATGTCTGTGTGCTCCTCCATGTTGGGATCTGACTCTGAATCGTAGTATGGCCTTGGACCGTTAACTTGGGGAACCTGTCGGCTGTACAATTCATCTGCAGCGCCGTGATGAACACGTTTGCTTCCTTCCACCCAGATGTCCTCCGGTGGTGACATGAAATCACCTTCAGCTTCTGATTTATATGCAAGTGTGGCAGTTGGTTCAAGCTTTACTCTATCAGTTGGATTATACTCCAAGTCAGAATCGATGGTATGTCGAGGTGTATCTGATAGTGTTAAGTTTGGAACAACCGGCTCTGGGTATGTTTTTTCCTTTGATGAATAATTATTTTGTTGAAGGGGGGAAGCTGTTGGAACGGTTTGGTTCTGTTTAGCAGTATGCAAATTCAATCTTTGACGAGCATAGCTTAGAATACTATTTTTCTTCTTGATCTCTGACGATGGAGACGAGGAAGAATCGACCGGGGAGTGTGTCGATGAAGTTGACTTGTCAAACCCGTGGGCCAAGTTTGGAGTTGAGTTGTTCGAAGGGTTGGTTGTGAAGTTTCTAGTTTTCCCAGAAGGGTTTTTGAACCGCTCACCCGCTTCGTGGTTATCGCTGGCATTTGATCTATACTCTGTAGTCGACCTAGACGATGTATTTTCTGTCCTCATCTGGTTGTGCGAGTACGATCTAAGGGGTACTCGGTTTGGTGATTTCTGTGACGACGATGAGGATCTGTTTGAATGGAGCCTGTTTGGCGGGTGGAACTGGCCGTTGTCCCCATGATACAAGTCATTCAACCGCGGTGATCGTGTGCCAGACGAGATGCTTCTATCTTTTTCAGGCTTGTAAACATCAAAGCCTGCTCTTTCCATGACACCACGTACCCGGACCTTTGTTGTGAGCGGTGGGAAAGCACTGTGGAACTTGACCTGCTGGTTTGGAGACTGCATGAAATCCGGAAGCGAATCCAGGTCCAAGGGTGTTGCAGCAGGTTTGAAGAAGTTGCTACTGCTTGACATCTCTGTTATTTTTCTATAATCTGAGTTATACTAGTACTTGCTTACCTTCCGCTCCAGCCCGAGAGGAAAATCTGTGGTGTCCAGTTAAGTGATAGCAATAGTAATGATCGCAACTGTGCTTTCTGACTAGGAAACTAATAGGCTTCCCAAAACAAACAAGCAAGGAAGCACACATTTGGCCGAAAAGGACAAGCCATGTAGATCGCACACACACGAAAACAAACTCTTCCGGGCCCACGTTACAATCGAAGCCTAACAGACATCGCTCAGTGAGAGCTCCAAAACAACAACAAAGAACATTTCGCTAGTGTCGGAAAAAGAGCCTAAGCCTTGGCGACGCGCCGGTCTGCTCCTGGCTCGCGAAACGGGTTGTGTGTGTAAAGCGTGGGCACCACTGTGGTGTAGAGGAAGCTGAACGCAAAAAGCAGGACATAGACACCAGAAAAGCCAGCCATGGTGGCGAACACAAAGAACTTCTCGAGCAGGAAGCAGAGGTAGCCGTAGTAGCGTGCCAATGTCTCCAGCAGGATGATTTCGTCCAATGAGGCCTCCGCCTCAGAGCTGTTGCTCGTTATTACTGCGATGTCCTCCCGCTGGTCCTGCTCCACCCACTCTCCCCCATCCCCGTCCCGTAGCGTATTACGCCCCCTCTCTATTTCCCGTAGTGCTGGCTCGGTTTGTCGCCCGGGCTGGTTGGGGTCAAATATTTGTAGCGACTTCCGCTGCTCTGCGTCTTCGACAATGGTTGTTGCAAAACTGGTTGTGGTCCCCACTGCATTCACTGCCGAAATCGAAATGGAAGCAGGCGAGGTGGGAGTGGATGGGATGATTGCAGGACCGTTCACGCCGGTCTGTTTGTCGTCGTTGTAGGCCGTGAATATTGAGGCTTCAGAGCCGTTCTCCCGGATAAAACTCTTCCCATTTAGTCTGTTTGTTTCTCTGTCCTCCTCTTCTCCATCCGCCGTGGAGCTCGGAATTGCGTCGGCTGGGTTTTCGGAGCCATTTTCTGGATAAGCCATATACACAGCTTCGTTATTCATTCCTCAGGAAGTTCTCCAAAATGTTTGCTTCGAAATGCTAGCGGTGGTATTGACTGGAGCTCTGTTGTATAGGAGAAGAAGAAAAAGTGACGGACAATAGTGAAACACGCTTCCAATTCTCTTTTGGCAACAGATGAGCCGCCTGTTCTAATTACAATAGAGGCATCGTCTCAGCTCGGAACAAACTCCGCGCCCTTGGTGGCATTCATCCTGTTTTTCTCCTCACATAAAACATGCGAGTGTTGTATCTTGGGATGTGTGATGCAATGAATGCTAGAAATATAAGTCCAAAAGAGAGTTAGAAGCGGTTTCTTTTACATATAAATGGGGAACGATATTGAATAAAAAAGGTAGGAGGAGAAGGAAGTTTGGGGTGCGTCAGGTCAACCTATTGTCCGGACGAGGGGAAAATAACGCCTTTAGAGAAAAAAGTACCCAGCAGATCACCACGAAAGGCAACAGTATGCATGTGCTGAAAACAGTAGATGGGAAGTTTAGAAAAGTTTGAACGATGCTGGCAGTTACCTGCCTGCTTTGTCGAGCCAGCAGAATTTTGGTTCGGTGAATACCTCTATATTTTTCAAGTTTTGTTTGAATGTTCTTGCAATGGTCAATGGCTTTGGTCACCGGCACATTTATTAGCTCAAACGGAGGCAATAAGTCAAACACGCTTAATGTCAGGCAGTACTTGGCTAGAAGAGGATACGGCAGCAAATCGGTGTTTTTCATGCTGCTATGTTCTAGTCCAATTTGCTCATAAATTCTCTTGCCGTTAGCCAGGAAGTACTTTTGCAGGGGCACATTGTATGCGTCAGAGAGTATGACTATTCCCATAGCAAAGCTGTCACAAGCGGTGTCCATACGCGCAAATGCATCGCCGACAACTGCTGAAATGACATTTGCGTTGACGACAATTCTACTTTCCATTAGATGGGCAATACCAGATTGAAGTGAAGCGAATAAGTCGGAGATTGAATGGAAAGATCTGAGTATTTTGCCCTTATCTTCCATGCTGAGTTCACTGTGCTCCTGGTTTATTAGTTCCGGTATATAATGTCGACTGATGATTTTCAACTCCAGGTTGGTGCGTTTGATGTGTTGGTAGAAGTGAAAAAGAGATACCTGATCTTTCAACAAATCTGGCTCGAGCATATTGATAACCTGGTAGCTTTCCTCATTTATACCCCAGTACTGACAGTACGATGTGGTCTCTATCTCATACTCTGAGGCTCGCTGCTTCAAGCTATTGACTGTCAGCTTCCTGCTGAGTAAAGAGCTCAAAATGTTGTTTACCGGTTCATAGTGGGAGTATGTGACAACTTCCTCTCCGGGATTCAGCGGGCCTGTATCAGTTGTCTTTATTCTCTTTCCGAACACTATGAAAGAATCATGCGAAAGCTCAGAGAGGTGAGAATCTCCACATTGCTGCGAGTATCTATCGAAAATAGATGAGTAGGCTGAATCTGTGGAGTACAGTGTTCTCTGTCTCATTCTTCGATACGCCACTGCGGCAATTTTGGCAATCACTGCTCTCTCTGTAGCCCAGCCAGTTGTAGGGAAACGATCAACACCAAGATTAAACCCTTCTACATCAGTATCTTCGGCGAAAGTAGGCTCAAGGTCATAAAGTCGATCCGTCATATTCTGGGGGGGTCCTTCGAAAATATAAACAATAACATAACATTGAATAAGGCGCGGTGCGCCGAAAACGGATTATTAGCCGAGAGCATACTTTGGGGCCAACACTCGGTTGTATCTTCTCAAGGAAACAGAAATATGTCACAGACGATACAGCCATTATAGGCAACACCACAAAATAAGAGTATGCTTATACAGTATCCAATGGTACGTAGTCCTGGCCGGCAGAGCGCTGTTGGAACTTGTACTGTAATCTTTTGTAAAGCAACATGCTCAACGTGCCAAACGAGAGCCCTGTGACGAGAATGATGATAAAATGTACAAGCTTTTGGTTGTTGTCCCCATCTGGACCGCCAAGTTCTCGTAGCTGTATTCCCAAGAATATCTGAATCAAGTACTTAGGGGAGCATACAATGGTTGCAAGGAAAAATGCAAGGGGAGATAGGTGGGGTACGCACCCGAGCCCGCCATTGGTTATCGAGTACGGCAAGGGACACAACTTCATCAACGTGAGAACAAAGACCTCCTGTATGAACGTTGTGTCTGAGTCTTTGATGACAGAGACGAAGATCTGCAGGTTGCTGTGGGAATCGATTATCCTCTGCGAGGCGTCCTTGAAGAAGAACTTGAAGGAGCACAAAGCAACAGTAGACATCACGCTAGACGTGATTGCAATCAACGGGAAGCCCTGGTAGCCGTAAACTATTCCGATGATAATGCAGAGAGATGAAAACCCGATAAGAGGGGGAAAGCTCACAATACCAATTAACAGAGCGAAAATCAATATGCCCTTCGTCTTCATTTGCCTAATTTCATCCGAAACAGATACCACGTAGCTGATAATCTTCTGATAATTCACCAAAATGACGACAGATATCACCGCATGAGCTATAAGACCGATCACTACCCCGATTTTCACCGGTGTAGAAAGGTTCCTGAACCACGTTCTAAAGTTACCACCCGCTGATACTACTATTTCTCTGGCATTGTTCATGTCCGGGTATGTGTGGAGCTGAAGTTCGTCTGACTGTAGAGTCTGGACTGTAGGCGACCTCTATCAGGGCTTCGCCCAGTCTTTTTACCCGATGTCGAAGCTTCTTTCCTGCTCTTCCGCAGAAGGCTTGGTTCCTCACCTTTCAGCCTCCGCCGATCACGTGCCAAAATTTTCAAGGAAAGTATCTTACATGATTTGCTCCTGGTTCCTTCGATGTTTTAAGGCTTTGCTTAATATCGCCTAACACTCCGCAGATCCGGTAATAACTAAAATCGAGGGGGCCGAATATAAGCTGTGAGATTCATGCCTGGATTAGGACTGAAAAGTTTTCGACTATCCCACTGGCTCAGGCTCACAACGTGGAGGAGATGGTGCAGAAGACACACACTTGTGACAAGACGAGCAAACCTGATCATAAATGTCTTTCTGCTTTACATTACGTTCATCGCTTTCAGAAATTGCATAGATGCGTACCGATTTGGAGAGCCATTGTGGTATGTAACGAGGCATAGTCTTGTAACGTTGGTGAAGCACGATGAAACAAGAAAGCTTTACTTTGACTCAGGCACTGTCAAAAAACCTTTGGAACACAAGGACGTCCGTGTTCTTTTACGGCAAGAACATCATAAAGCAATGGAAGCTTCTTCATTGAACTATACACATTACTTTGAGGAGTTGAGTCAGAAAGTGGAGAATGTGCAACACAATCCGAATGCTAGATTGCAATTTCAAGGCGCAGGAGAAATTGCATTCAAAGCCTTCATGCAAGACTTCGCCAATCTAGCTGTGGAAAATACCCTTAGTTTTCCACATCCAGAACGTGTGATTTTCAATGGAGGCAAACCTGTCATTTGGGATACAGTTTTCATAGATGACGCTTATACAAAGTTATCCTACGATTATTTGTCAAAATTGATGGAATTTGACAACATATTTTTGAAGGATTTGAATTTGAAAAACAAAATCATCACAAGCTCACTACCGTTGGAAGATTGTCCGTTCTACAGTGGATCGGGATACGTTCTTCTTGGCGGAAGCACTTACTCTTGGTATTCTTTGTTGGCAGTCCAGTCTCTGCGAAAAGTCGGATCCAAAAGGCCCATCGAGATTATCATTCCAAACAAGCATGATGTGGATGAGCTCCTTTGTGAGACGGTTTTCCCCATGTACAACGCAAAATGTGTGACATTTGAGGATGTGTTTCCGAAGCCGGTGTTGAAGAAACTAAATGCTACGGGATATCAACTCAAAGCTCTTGCAATATTAGCATCTTCATTTGAAAAGGTCCTGTACCTTGACTCGGATGTATTTACTGTCGAAAACCCAGATACACTGTTTGAATCAGAGCTATTCCAACACTATGGTTTGATCACATGGCCTGACTTCTGGCGGCGTACCACATCTCCGGCACTATATACAAGTCTGGGACTCAAGTTCTCTTGGAAGCCTGTCAGATTTTTGAATGATTACTTCACACCGAACGAGCTCCTGTACCAGAGTAAAGAATTGAAAAATCCAAAGCAAAATGTGAATCTACACGATTTGAAAGGCACTTTACCCGATTGGTCCACAGAGGCTGGCTTGTTATTGGTTAATAAATCTACCCACTTTAGCACCCTTCTTCTTGCTTTATATTACAATTTGAATGGCCCAGCTGGCTACTATCCGTTACTTTCACAGGGAGGAGCTGGTGAAGGTGATAAGGAAACATGGTCGCTGGCAGCACAAGTCCTTGATAAGCCTTGGTGGCAAGTAAATAATCAACCGGATAAGACATACGGAATTTGGTTGAGGGATCGAAATTGGATTGTTGACTCCTGCATTATTCAGGTTGATCCAATGGAAGACTTTGAAGGTGTTTTGGGCTTGACCTGGATACAGGAGTATTGGAGAAAAGAGATGATTGATCGAGGTGGGTACGTTTACAACTATGACTATTCATTCGGTAAACAAGGTTACGAATATTCCAAAGTCATGGGAGCAGCGTTGGGCAACGGGGGAATTGCCAGCTTCAACAAAGATGGTGCAAAGTTTTGGAGACCAATGTACGATGAAAAGGCCAACATGGAGCACTACTCTGTGCCCATGTTGTCAAGACCAAGAGATATGTTCTACCATCTTCACAGTCCAAAACTAGATCCTTGGCACTATGTTCTTGACGATCTATTCATTGACATGAACAACCAGCCCATGAGAAATTTCGGGACTGTTTGGACTCGTTTGGGTTGGGACTTTGAAAAATGGATATGGGAAACTGTACGGGAAGACATGTGTGATAGTAAAAAGGATATCGAGAGTGTCAACGGACTCAATGCCAGTCAAATAAAAATTCTTCGTGCCGCTGTTAAAAAGTTGAAGTGCTTTCAAGGTAGGGACTACGAGAGAGTTTGTAACGGAGAAAAGGGTCGACTTGATAAACGAATAGAGTGGTTGGAAAAAGATGGGAAATCGGCATTGAAAAATTCAGGAAAACCGCCTTCTGGGTGGAAATTGGATGGCACAGAGCGTTCTCGGATACGAGATTTTGTAGAAGATAGGTGGAACGAAGACACTTGAGTTATGTCGATGCTAGCTATGAAATAGATTTATATATAGATTGGAAAGATACCCCCCACATACGCCGCATACCGTAAATGCTTGCATACGGCATTGGCTTACGCAATCAGAGAGCTGTTGAAGACCTGACACCACAGTATCTAAGAAAGATAAGCATGAGGTACTAGTTGTTCTTTGCAACGGTCATAATTTCTCTGCATTTGGATTGCTGAGAGTATCACCTGCGGGTGCCATGTCATCGTCTAGTGAAATAGCCAAAGGTCAGAAACCTCCATTCGCTAACCTTTACGAGGTGAAACATGTTGCTGAGAATGCCTGCAAGGCCTGCATTTTGTGCTTCAAACCAACAAACACAGTTTTGATAACGGGAGACAAGAAAGATTGGTTCTATGTGTGCGATGTACACCTGAAAGATAAGAACTTTGCAAAACTTGTTTACTGCAATGGTCTAGGTAAAGATACAGAGGCAGAATGGAGAAAATTGTGCGGTACGGTGGAAAGTTTGCAAAGGGAACTCCGTAAATTAGAAAAAAAGGAAAGAGACAAGTTGGCAAAGGAGAAGAGCTGGCTTACGGTGATTCCGAGTTGGGGGGCCAAAAAGGATGAGTCGTTGAAAGATGAGGGGAAGGTCAAAGACAAAGAAAATGGAGAGGAAAATGGATCCACACCTGAAAGTGAGAAGGCCAGCAGGAGCAAGGAGGTTGTGGCCTCTGAGCTGCACGATGGAGAACAGAAGCTTGCGGCTTTTGAGCGGGAAAACATCAAGTATCATCTAGAACAGGTTTTCTATCGGGGGCGATTACTACAAGATTTCAAGAGGAAGAAGCAAGCGGAGATTGAACAAAAGCTGGCGGCCGGGACGCTCTTTCCGACCCTGGATGGGTTGTCTAGTCTAAAGAACTGAAATTTAAACATTAGATATTGGGGTTGTGTTGAAGATGAGTTGAGATACACCTAACAAAGCTCTATAACGAATTAACCAAACAGGCTTTCCTGTTTCCACTTAGCACCTTTAACACCACGTACCATTAGATCCATGGTGAGCGTCTTCATTGCGCCGTCGTGCAGCTGGACGTCAGCGACGGGCACTGTTTTCACATATGTAAAACCCAACTTCTGGTATATTTTCCTGTTTCTTGGATGGCTGCTCTCCAAATAGAGGGAGGCACCGATTTTAGTGTGGCCGGAGGGGTTTGTTCCGGCCTTATTCCGTTGTCGTTCGTCGTACTTGGAGAGAATGTCGTCCTCCTCCTTGTAGTACCAGGATGAGTGCGCAGACTCGTTGTCCGAGAAAGAGGAGTACCCGGAGTAGTCGGTGAGATTATCGGAGTCCAAGTCAAAGGCGAAGTTGAAACTCTGTATCTCACTGTCCAACTTGGATTCTTCGTCGCTGCCCGTGCTGGCCTTGGACCCTGTTGTACCATTTTTGTTGTTTCCTAGGTCGTCGTCGTCATCATCATCGTCATCATCGTTTGGTTGCTTGTACACGTCGATGTATTTCTGACACGCGTAGTCGACCAACTTCCTCGCCAACCCTTTGCCTCTACCCTTCGGGATGGCGCCAATGTCGGACAGATACCAACTGTAGTCGAACTCGTCTCCTAGGACCTCCTCTCGATACTGGTCCAACAACTGCCACTGCTCGTCGAAAACCCGTTGGCGGGTTTCTTTGTTTGCCAACCAGACGAACTTCAAGTACCCGCCCTGGTACATGCTCCATAGGTAAGAGAAGAGACTCCTGTTTTCGGCATTGTCCGAGTCCTTCGTGGCCTTGCCCTTATCGGCGCCCGTCTTGGACTTCCCCTTGGACTTCTTCTGAGGCTTCTGAAAGCATGCAACGGCCAGAAATGGGGCGTCTGGGTCGTCCTGCTCCCCGTCGAGGTCCCGTATCCCCACAAGGAGGCCCGAGAGTATTGTCGAGTACGTTGTGGCCTCAAAAAGCGCCAAGTCCATCTGCTGCTTGAGGTTCGACTCCTTGATGCCCGACGTGAGGTAGTTCACGTACTTGTCGTCCTGGAAAGCAATCTGTAACGTGCGTGCAGCCTTCTTGTAATCCTTTATCGTGAGCATTTCGACGTGCAAGTTTTCTCTCGTATTTAGAGACTCCCGAGGTTCCGCCGTGTGATCTCCCTGCCGAGCCGGCGTCTCCAACGAAGAGGCCGTCAGGTTCGGTGACGACAACGACGATGTCGACGACGTCGTCGTCGACCCTGTAAAGTTCTTGAGTGTGTTTGAAAGCGTTGAGAAAAACATCGTGCTGCCGGAAAACAAATCGAAATGAGTTAAACCAAGTGAAATCAGATCCGTATCGATGTCGATGTCGTTTTTTATGGGCGCCGGCTGCCTTCTTCCTGCTGTTAGGCTTTCAAAAAGACTGTGTACGAAAACACACACACGCCACGAGGTTCCGCTTGTCGTCGCAGGCCGCTGCACCCACCAGGCACCGCCAGAACCCCTTATATATCACTCTCCCACCCAAACCTTTCTGCGATAAGCCCTTGCCTGGCGTCCTGTCTCCCTGGCGGGTCTTCCGCGGTGCAGGCCGTCTTCTTCAACACCGCGGCCGGCTGGGGCGAGGGGCCGAGAGACACGGGGAAGGACAGCCGCTGCTGCTACTGCTGCTGGTGCATTTAGATAGATAGATAGAGAAAGATTATACACTGTGCTGGGGGTATCCCACAATACTCCTGTTGCAGCCGGGTCAGCGCTTGTGCTCGACGCTCTCCCGGACGGCGATGGCCAGCGTCTCCTCGACGTTCACCCACGTCTCGGTCTCGTAGGCACAGCTCATCTGGACAAAGCTGCACCCCCACTGCTCGGCAAGCCGGCGGCCCTTCTCGACAAGCAAGGGAGCAGCGTAGGGAGAGTCGATGTGGGAGCAGACTACGACGACGGGCGGACGTAGATCGGAGCCTAGCTGCTGCTCGATGTAGGCCTCCATCTTCTTGCGCTGGGCCGGGTCCTGGAGCTCCTTGAGGTCCCGGGCCTTGTCTTTATTCTTCCACAGTTGCTTAAACGAGGAGGAAAGCGAGAGATTGTCGTACTCCTTGCCGACCTCCCAGCTGTAGTGGTAGCGGTGGTACTCCTTCCAGGCCTCCATGATGGACGCGTACAAGCTCTCGAGGATCTCGATGGCGGCGAGGCCGGTGTCCGTCTCCCGGGCACGCTCTTCCTTGCGCTCCCTTCGCATTGTGTCGTTGGCCTGAGTGCTGGTGTTGCCGATGCTGGCCCCCTTGCCGACAATAGGGATGCCCGGCGTGGTCGACGGGTTTGCGGTGCCCGCGTGGCGGTTGTTGTCCTCGTTGTCGTCGTACATTGGTGGCGGCGGTATGACGTCGGTGTTCTCGAACTCGGGGACACACGAGTAGAAGATGATGTAGCCGTCGACGGCGGCGTTCAAGTCGCTGATCCCGGAGCCCGTGATGAGCGGCTTCACGCGGGACCGGTAGTTCGTGTTGTATTCGTTCGCAAGGTTGCTGAGGATGTCTCTCGACAAGCGGTTGTCTAGCGAGCGCTCCAAGAACGGGATGAGGTCCTCCTTGAGCACGCCCGGCGTGTCGATGAGCTCGACCAAGATCGGCGTCGTCACGGGCGCCCGATAACGGCTGCTACGGCCAGCCCCGGTTGGGTCGTCGTCGGACAGCGGGTCGTCGTCGTCGTGTATGGACGAGAAGCTGTGGAGCGAGGGAAATTTGCGCCCGGCACTGTTGTTGAAGCTGTGCCCAAAGCTCTGGCCCCTGCTGAACGACGCAATCGGCGAGTGGAACGAGTTCAGCGGGGAGAACTTCTCCTCGTCAAAAAGGTCTGGGTTCGAATAATCGAGGTCGTAGTAGTCGTGCGTCTCGGCAAGAATCGCCTCGGACGTCTCGTTGACAGCGCCGGCGCCGGCCCCGCCCGAGTCGCCTCCGGTTGACGAGCCAGACACCTGCTGGTGCCGCTTCTTCAGCAGCCGGATGTTCTTCCTGCTGATCTTGTTCAACAGCGGTCTTGAGAGCTCCATGCGGGCGTCATCGGCGCCACCGGCCGTGCCGTCGTTCCCGAGGAGACCGAGCTCCTTCAAGTCCGTGAGCGAAACGTTCACGTCCAGGATCGCCCTTGACGTTTCCCGCTTCGGCTGGAACTGCAGCAGGATCGGCGAGTTCTGGATCGTCGGGTAGTAGTTTTCCAGCGAAATGTGGTTGGCGATGATTGACACAAACGCCGACTTCGACGACTTGTGTGGACCAAGTATGGCGAACCGCAGCGGCTTGTTGGTCGTGGACTTGAACACGTTTTTCTGCGGGCCTCTCGCTGAGGGTGGCCGGTAAGATGACATTGCCTGGCCTGGTTTGGATGGGGTGTGTCTAGTAGTCTCCTCTCTGCTGTGTCCTCTACTGAAAACCGCGTGATGCGCAGTCCGTCCTGGCCCAGCCCGTGCTTATGTGCGTGCCGTAGCGTGCGTGTCTGGAAATATTTTGCAACAAAAAATTTGGGAGGGAAAATGTGTCAGCTGGCAGGCGGGGCAGACGGCGGGCCGGGGCAGAACCGGTGGCACAGACAGACATTGTTGGGGCCATAGCCGCCCACCGCCACCACAACGGGATGTCCGTCTGGAACAGTGTTGCAGCGTGTCCGCCGTCTGTCGGGACGCCACACATGGGCCACGGTCCGCCGTGATAGCACACAACTACGCGGCGACGGACCCGAGGTCTCGTGAGTTGCCGTACGACAGTGAAGTGGACGAGGTCAGCGGCTGTTGTAGTCGAAGGCCTCTCTCCACGCGTGGCGGACGCCCCCGTAGATGAACTCCAGACTCACTTGCAAAGCCCGGGGAAGATAAAGCAGTCTCTTGTCAGGGTCCGGGCCTGAATCTCTGCCCAGTCGTCTGTCCCGCTGGTAGTACACCATGATGCCACCCCAGACAAGGCCGCAGGTGAGGACCCACGAGACCGAGGCAATGGCGGCGATGTCCTTGTCTCTGGATCGGGACCTGCTGCCATTGTTGCTGCTGTGCCGGTTTTTCGTGTCGACCACGACACGGGCAAGGTCCTTGCCGCCGGCGATGATGAGCCGGGACATCGTGTACATGGTGATCTGCGAGAGGATTCCCTCGTTCATCGCCAGCAGCGTGCCGACCAGCGTTGGTGGGTCTCCCTTCGTCCGCCGCCGGCGGACAGCCCGCTGCAGCAGCCCGCCGTATACAAGCACACCGCCGACAAACCCGGCGACGAAGTGATTGCTGAGCTGGCTATGTCCCTGTTTGGAGGAGGCCCTCAGCCGTTTCGCCAGCAAAAGCATGCTGCGGTACACAATGGCAAAAATGGCAAGCACCTTCCCGTGGTCGACGCCCAGCCGGACGCTCTTCCACACCTTTCCCAGCAGCTCCAGTAGCCCTTTCTGGGGCTTTGCCGTCGCCAGCTGGTACGCCACGCTGTGTAGAAACCGGACCCGGTACCCGTAGATGAAGGCGTTCTGCACGGCACGAAGAACCAGTTCCACGAGCCCGGCCAGCCCGTCCACCCCGTCTGGACCGTCGTACTCCTCCTCAAGTTCCCGTGTGTCGCTCAATGTCCCTGTCCCTGTCCCTGTTGCACTCATTTTGGCTCTGCTGTGCTGCCTAGAACCCAGAAAGCAGAGCCCCCCGGCCAGCCCGTCTTGCGGAGAACAGAGCCCTCTCGGGCCTCTTCAACACCTCTGCCGCGGAGCTGCCGGGCCTCCTCCGTCTCTGGCACCACGAAGACTACTTCTTTTGGGAGCAGACGAGTAGGGGGCTGCTGGTGCTTAGAGCATATGCAGAGAGACTCAGAGACTCAGAGACTCAGAGACTCACAAAGATCAATTGCCAGTTGAAATAAACATGAAGCAGACGCAACCGACATACACAGAGCTTGACACGTTTGTCGCCAACGGAATCAAGACCTCGGTGTTACGCTTCACATTGCCGTTGGACTACTCCGCACCGTCCGGAGAGACGGTTCCTGTCGTGGCGAAGATCGTCAACACCCACCGACGGGGTTCAGCAGGCGTCCGGATGGAGCAGACCCCTTCGTTCAGTCTCAAGGACGACGTGGGTCGCAACGCGTCGAACCTTGTAGTGTACTTGCAGGGCGGGCCGGGCTTCCCCAGTGCGTTTCCGACGGGCCCGACAGACCCGTCCTTCCTCAAACCGCTGCTCGACCGGAACTACACGGTGGTGCTTCTTGACCAGAGGGGCACAGGGCTGTCGGGCCCCATAGACACAGAGTTGCTGCTCTCGAAGGGCACGACGCAGCAGCAGTTCGAATTCGTCAAGCACTTCCGGGCAGACTCCATAGTGCACGACTGCGATCGCATCAGAGAAGTGTTGCTTGGTCCGGCAGGCAGGTGGAGCGTGCTGGGACAGTCCTTCGGCGGGTTCACCGCCGTCACCTACGCCTCGTTCTACCCGCAGACACTCCGGCACGTCATGTTAACCGGCGGGTTGCCGCCGTTGACAGTCTCCAGCGTCGACGAGGTCTACCATGCGACCTTCGAGCGCACGAGGGAACGCAACCTTGCCTACTACAGCAGGTTCCCGGGTGACGTCGAGAAGGTACACACGATCGTCCGCCACTTGGCCGAGAACGTCGTTGTTTTGCCCAACGGCGGTGTCTTGTCCGTCGACAGATTCCGTGGCCTTGGCCTCAAGTTTGGCGGCTCCGGCGGCACGCTCGGGCTCCACATTCTCGTTACAACAATGCACGCCGAGCTCGAATACGGCAAGCTCAGCTACGCCACCAAGACAACTCTCATGAACTACCTCGGGTTCGAAACAAACATCCTCTACTTCTTGTTTCAGGAGGCCATCTACCTCAACGGCAAAGGCTGCCGAAGCGGCTGGGCCGCCGACAGAGTCCTGGCAGCAACTCCTGCCGACCCTACTGGCCCGTTCATGTTCACAGGCGAGATTGTCACACGGTCCATGCTGGAGTCGCACAAGGAGCTCCAGCCCTTGGCCCCGCTTGCAGAGTACATCCACGATTACGACCAGTGGTCCTGCATCTACCACCTCGACACCTTGCGCACCCTCACCTGGGAAACACTCCCTATCGTCGCCTCCGTCTACCTCGACGACCAATACGTCGACTACGAGCTCGGCCGCCGCAACAAGGCCATTTTTGAGTACAAACCCGTTGTCACCAACCGTCTTTTCCACAACGGCCTTGCTGCCGCCTCGGAGCACGTCATCGACCAGCTCCACTCCATCCTCGACTACGGCGATTACATGTAGCTGGCTTTTGTATTTCTTTGTCCTATCTTGTCCTCTGCCTCTGAAACATGCACTGAGTCCCCAGCTTAGGTAAGCCGCATGTGGTGATTCTTTGTTTTTCTGTTTTTTTCCGTTGTAGCTCCGTAGATAAGTGGTGCCAGGTTGCTTGCCGTCATGATCCAGTGTTGCCTGGGGCGTGCACAAGAAGTCTGCGGTGGAGCTAATTGCAGAGAGACCGCCGAGTCCGTGAGAGATAGCAGGGGCACAGTGCTTCCGGAAAAACGACAGCAGCCCGCGTGCAGCAGACACATACGGTTATGGAGAAGTACACGGATAGATACCATCCGCAGTTTATTCCCGGAACGTACTCCATCTACTCGTCTGCGGTGATCCGCCACCAGCACCACATGGCGATCAAGCGGTACCGGTACTTGCTTGCTGAGATCAACAACAACGACGAAGCCAACAACGAGCAGGAGGCGGAGCAGAGCGTCGGTCCGAGCACACGCCTCTCGAAGAAAAAGTACCGCCAGCTCTCGAACAGTTACAACTACAAGTACTCGCCAAAGAGGCCGTTGGGAGACATTCCGGATCTGAAGACAAGGTACGGGGTCATTCTCCAGCCGCAGCCGACAAACTCGAGAAACGACCCGCTCAACTGGTCCAAGCGGAGGAAAACGCTGCACAGCTTAATTCTCCTCCTCGTGACGGCTTTCACCGCAGCGCTTTCCAACGACGCCTCTGCGCCAACAGACTCGATCAACGCAATCACGGGTATTTCCTACGACCTCTTGAACGACTCGGCAGGCGTGTTGTTTGTCAGCATTGCCGTTTCCACCTGGTTGTACAGCCCCTTCGACTACCTTCTAGGCCGCAAGAGCGTCATTCTGTTTGGCGCCATATTCGCCTTTTTCAGCTCGATCTGGTACGCCTTGATGAACGACGGCGGTGACTCGTACGGCTCGCAGGTGTTGACCGGGTTCTCCTTTGGGTGCGCTGATGCTCACGTCCAGCTCTGCTTTGCCAGCATCTTCTTCCGCCACCAGTTGGGCGCCATCATCACGATATACAACTTGGCGTACTCGTTGGGCACCTACCTTGGTCCGCTTTGCGCTAACTTTATCTCCTTCGACAGGACGTTCCGTTGGGTGGGTTGGTCTGGGGCCATAGCCTCCGGGGTACTTATTCTGATCGTGCTCTTCCTCTTTGAGGAAAACTCCTTCGACTACGCCAAGTACAGCCACCGGGTCGACGACCTGACCCTCAATTTGGGGTTTGTGCAGAACGGCGTCATCAGCAACGAGGAGTCCGACGACGCGTTGACGCAGGGCTATTTTGACAAACCATTCAGCTACCTGGAGAGGTACAAGCCTTTCAGACTGCCCAAGGACCCCCAGTGTCGTACCCTTCTTGGCTTTGTGAAGCACTACTTTCAGCTGTTGCTCATCCCTGTGAGATGCATTGTCTTTCCGCCTGTCATCTACGCGGGGTGCATCTGCGGCTTGCAAAATGCCATCTTGACCTTTTACCTCACCACCGAGGACACGATGCTCTATAGCGACCCCTTCAACTACTCTTCGGCACAGGTCGCTTTGATGAACATCCCCTGCATCATTGGCAGTGTCATAGGGTGCTTGTATGCCGGGTCCATGACGGACTATTTCATTCTCTGGATGGCCAGAAAAAATAGCGGCATTGTCGAAAGCGAGTTCAGACTCTACTTCGCCTTCTTGTCCGGCACCGTCGGCGCTGTCGGTTTGCTCATGTTTGGCTTCGGCATCTCCCGCAACATGGACTGGCGGGTCTTCTACATCGGCTTGGCCTTCATCTCATACATGTTCTCCTCCTCGACAAACCTCGCCATGTTGTACGTGATGGATACCTACAGGGAGCTCACCCTCGAGGTGCTTGTCTGTGTCGCCTTCATCAACAACATCATTGGCTGCATCTTCACATTTGCCTGCTCCCCCTGGTTGCAAAGCTCCGGCACAGAAAACACTTACATTGCTCTTGCCGTCATCAGTCTTGGTGTCATGCACTCCTCTGGTGGCTTTATCTACTTCGGCAAACGCTGGCGCAAGAGAACCCATGCGGCCTACGTCCGGTTGGCAGAGATCAAGGCAGACTACTAGACCGTGCCACCCCTTTTCAGCTCTTTGTAAACTATTACTTCTATTCTTTCTACTATTCCTTCTACTATTCCTTCTATTTCTACTTCTTTCTCTGTATCACTACCACTTATAATCCGCTAAACCAATTTTCAACCGCTATTGCTGGCACAGCAGCTCTACCTTTTCTGCCATTCCGACCTCTAGATGTGCCCTCGGCCGATTGGCACCGTTTTTTGTCGGGCCTGCCTGATAGGGAAGACAGGCATGGCATGGCATTGCCAAGAAAGCTGAGTGAGTCACGATAAGCAGTTGTATATATATGTGTATGTGTGGGTGGTATATCTACACACAGCGAGAAACAGAGAGCACTCTCTGATTGTTTTCCGAATGACAAGAGAGAATTGTCCTAGCAAAGGACGCTACGCACGGATGACGGAAACTGAAAGAACAGCAATGCTGGTCAATGACACAGTGGAAAACACACAGAAGACGTACTCCACGCCACAGGAGAACTACACGTCAGAACAGACGTTCCACGAGGTGGTCATCCCCGAAAACCTCGTGAGCATCATCGGGTCCTTGTGGTTGGGCACGTTTCTTTCTGCCGCAGATACAACTATTGTGTCTACGACGGCCAACACCATTGCTTCGTCGATGAACGGGTCGGACAAGTTGACATGGATTGCTACTTCGTACCTCTTGACCAACACCATCTTTCAGCCATTGGTAGGTAGATTCAGTGACGTCTTCGGGCGTCGAACGGTCTTGTTGATTGCCCAGTTCTGGTTTGCGCTCGGGTGTCTCTGCTGCGCCTTGTCGCAGAATGTCACTCAGTTCGCCATTGCCAGAGCCATTGCAGGTGTCGGGGGCGGTGGCATGTCTGCCCTAAGCTCGATTATCACCACAGATATCATCCCGCTCCGTATGCGGGGAATTTACCAGGGATATGCAAACTTGATGTACGCTGTCGGACAATTCACAGGTCCGATCTTGGGGTCTGCTTTCCTAGCATGGAACGAGACTTCAGGATGGCGTTGGATGTTTGGCATCCAAGTGCCCATGGTGATCATTGCAGGCGTTCTTGTGCGCAGGAACGTTCACGAGTTCAGACAGGACCAGCTGCTCGAAATAGACCCGAAGGATAGGTTTGCATGGAAAAACCTTTCGCAGATTGACTTGCCGGGCTCGTTCCTCTTGAGTTGCGGCATCATCTCGATGTTGATGATGTTCAACGTAACAAGTGTGAAGAGCCTACAGATCTGCATCGTCTGCTTTGTTTTGAGTGCCACAGCTTTTGCCTTGGTAGAGAAATACGTCATGACAGTCCACATAATTCCTCCATCGGCCTTCAAGGGTGTTTTACGTATAACCGCCTTAGTCATCTTCTTTGGTGCAGCTGCAATATATGGTATGAACTACGTGTTGCCTCTTTACTTTCAGATTGTTCACGACTTCTCGCAATTCCAGTTGGGGCTTTTCAACTCCTTCGGGGTGTTTGCCGTCTCCTTCGGCTCCCTAATTGCGGGCTGGTACTTGAAACATGACGATGAAAACATCGGCCCGAACGTTATCATATCGAGGGGCATCCATTTATCAATTGTGTGCTGTATGGGCATTGTCACTGGTGTGTTCCTGTGCATGTTTGCCGCCTTGAACTTGAAGCCAACTCCAGACAGATCCGATCTCACCCCGAAGGTGTACGCAAAACTCTCGATCTTGTTGCTTGGTTCTATCATTTCGTCGATCGGCTACGGTGCCTTCCTTGTTGCCCTGCTTATTCTCGTTGTCGGTTTAGTTGGTATCAAACGTCAGGCCACAGTCACAGGGATGAACTATATGTTCCGATCCATGGGACAGAGCTCAGGAGTGGGTATCACCCTCGGGCTTTATAATCACAACCTATTCAACGAGTTGCATAAATATTTCTCGAAAAAGAGCAAGCCAGATGGTTCTCAAATCCTCGAGCGTCTCTTGAGCTCTACCGCGTTCATCCGCAATGGACTACCAACAGAGTATCTTCACAAGGTGTTGAAGATTTACAGGGAAGCAGTCGGAGATGCGATGATATTAGTTTTTCTACTTGGTGCTGCTGCTTTCCTGCTGAGTCTGCTTTTAAAGTTACATTCAACAAAGGAAGAGCCTAACCGAAGGGAGCCAATCCCTTCTTCTTCTTCCTCCTCCTCCGGAGTCTAGATGTTTCCATTTACATGATATAGAGTACGTATTTCAAATTGAATTTGAAAAGAGGGAAGAATGAACTTCGGTATCGTTGTCTCGCTGCTATTCCACTAATCGGTAGAAGTCACCCACATCTTGATGTAGTATGTCGAATCTTCTATGGGAGTCTCCGAACATTGCATTCCGACTTTTCAGAATGTCCGGGTTGTGGAATAACGTGTAATCTTCGCCCAGAAATGCTAGGCACAAAAGGCCACGATCCACGTTGCTGGTTTCCCTGCTCGGTTGATTCAATTCTGCCCCCCATATCGTTAAAGCTCCCACCATTCCCTTGGCAACCAACTCAATGGGCAGATTTCCATACCCGGTTCCCAAACCTGGAATCACTAAAGTGTCCACCTTCCCGGCTAAGTCTGCCTTTACAGGCACATGGTCCTGCATCCCTAGTCTCGCGTTGTATCTGTTCACCGCACACAGTGCCTCCCACATGCAATCAAACACGAATGAAACAACACCCCTATTCTTCGTGTCTACCACGTCCTCCGAGTCTCCTTCCTTGACTGTATATATCGAATGAGGGACCCGCATCGTCGGCACAACAACTATAGAGTTGGCTCGGAGCTGCGTCCATGCCTTGGAATGCCTGAATTGTGGGAAATCTGAGAATTCGACGACGTGAGCTGTCCCCAACGGAGTATATCCGTGATGAAGATACCTTCTTATCCAGGACTCTACTGCGTTGCTAGTTCCGGTTTTGATTACCTCTTCCGTCGGATTGAAAAGCGTGCATAAGGCTTCATCGAACCCACCACCCATTCCACCGATTGAGTTTGCTGGTGACACTATAGCAGTACGTGCATCTCCTTCTATGGGCACTGTTGCGAGCTTTCCCCGGTGAGTTTCTACCGTTAGCGTCAACGGAAATTTGAGCTTGGAGAAACGCTGTGCCGAACTTAGCTGTCTGCTCCATGCATCGATTAAAAACGGGTTTGAGTCCACAAGTATCACCTTCAACTTGGACATTTCTTGCAAACACTTGCGTGCATGTGCCTTTCCCGCTGGTTTCAGTACTTACTTCACCACAACGTTATCTTGCTGGCAACAGGCACCTCCCAATGGGGAGTGTGACCACCCCCTCCGATTCTTCGCTGTAATTTTCATGTAGGCTCGGCTATGGTCTCCTGGGCTGGTTCAGCTTTCCAAATCCCCTCTTCATTTATCTGTTACTTACTTGTTCTTTGCTTCGTGGCATGAAAATTAACATGGCACAAAAGAGGTGCATGTAGAGCTAGAGAAAATACAAACGAAAATGTCATTTGATAACAATCTTGAAGGATTTAATACTTGCCAAAAGATGTGGTACTTTTTCTGGAATCCATCAGTTGGAAGTTTTACGACCCAAGTCCCGTGCCATGAGTCTCACGGAAATCAATTCTCCTGTTATGCACAAGCTGTTGCTATGCATGCAATTGCAGACTCCGCATCAGTAAATAAAGATATGACTATTCCGATTGTTGATAAGGCGATCAAATCGACCTTAAAGTATAGAAATCCCAAATACGGCGCATACTCGGTGGATTTCCATGGCGGAATCAACTCCGGTGACGAAGATATCAATTATGACGATAATGCCCATCTGTTGCGAGCCCTTATTGAACTATATGAAGCCACACAGAACAGAAATTATATGAACATGTGCAAAGAACTTATGAAGTTTCTGTACACTGGGATCATTGAGCACCAGATCTGGCATGTACCAGGCTTAAAATGGCACATAACTAAGCCTTATATGAACACAATATCGAACTCCGTTTCTGCTATTGGCGCTATGCGCATGATACCATATGCTGAAAATCAGCAGGAAGAGCAAAAGTTGTACGAGTTTGCCAAGATCTGTATCAATTTCGTTTGGAATAAGCTCCTCGATCCAAGTGATGACATCATCATGGATGGTGTCGGATGGGATTCTGAAAATTTGGATATCACCAAGTATAGCTACAACCAAGGCACAACTCTAAGTGCTATTTGTTTGTTGTACAAGTACGATCATAACCCTGAATGGAAAGAAAAGGCAATCCGGTTAGTTGATGGATGCATTAACCCTAGCAAGACTCTATTTGATCGTGATTACAAGGAATACGACAAAAGGTTCTTACAAGGTGTCAGCTATTTTAACCAGCTACTGATTGAAGGGGTGGTTGATTTTATCCTGACTTTTGAGAATGAAGTACCCTCTGAATTAATCAACAACTGCAAACATCAACTTCTTAGACACTTGTCTTACTTTAGGAAATACTGCTTAGACCCTGCTGATGGGATGTATTTCATGTCGTTCGATATCTACAAACTTGATAAAAATATCTACAAACGCTATCGGAACGAATTCGGTGGTAATAAAGAGTTCAAACCGGATCCTAGGGAAAGAATAGGTAACTCGAATGACACACCCGTTGAGAAAAGGCCTGTTGCGAAAAGCTTGATAGGTGCTGGGGCTGCAGCTCATATCTTTTTTCAAGGAGCCAGGATTTTTCCTAAAATGGACCCATCGTGTCCTTAAACTTTCTTTATTTTTGTGGTTAAGTATTCAATGACATTATTGTTACAGAAGAATCTAAAGGTTCATTATATATACACTACTTATATATATTAGTCGGTGAAATTTTGGTATTTTTATGTTAAAATCAAAGAGTGATTTTATTCACTTTAAATGCGGGTGGATTTGCCATGTCTTCAAGGTGTCTTTCTACAACCACCAATTCGGATTCGTTCAATTTCCCTGCATATATCAAATCTGTGTAGTTTTTAGTAAGCCAGAAACATTTGTTTTCTTCGTTATTAGATGGTTGTTGCTCCTTTGCAGAAGTCCCATTTGTAGCTTGTAATTGCGTTCCATTCCGGCTACGCTTTTTATTTTCTGTTGGCACTTGTTTAATACTGGGGAGGTCGTAATTGAGATCAAAGAAGCATAACCAGTTGCATCCATAGACACAGATACGACCCAAGTTTTCGAAGACCCCAAATGCACAACCTGGAAGTGAAAGAAAATGGGCAGGGATGGAGTTAAAGTTCCTCATGGCCCAAGCAGTGTAAACTTGCCCATCCTTTTTATTGTTCAATACATTAAATTCATGAACTTTGTGATCTAAAGTTACTGCAACAAGAGTTGAGTTGGATGTGAATGCAATGCAGGTAGCAACTGATGATAGTTTTATCAAAGTGAAAGATTCTTTTGTCTTCAAATTCAGTATGTCGATGGTTCCGTCAAATTTGGAAAGTGCTGCCAAAGAATTGTTCTCATCAATCGCAATATGGGTGTGGTATATAAGATATTGAAAATCTGAGGCTCCTGTAGAAATTCCTTCGGGTACATCATAATCAACTGGCTCTTGAAAGTCATCGAAAGGAGATGATGGTGATATTTGATCAAATTTAAAGCTGATGAGCTCATTATCTGATGTATATATCAAGATAAGATCCTCGCTATTGATGAACTTCGATTGTTTTGCACCAATGGCAGAAAGTAGCTCGTAGTCCATCCTTTTCACAGCAATTTTGTCTTCTGAAACCTCTTCTAACTTGAATAATTTGACGAGAGATAATCTTGAAACGAGGAGATAATTACCATTGGAACTAATGTCAACATTGGTTATATTTTCAGGGTCTGATAAAGTGAGTTTGGCGACAAGCTTTTTTGTATGATCCAATTTCAGTTTCCATATTTTTACCTCATTCTTTTGCCACATTAGTACTAATCTTTTTTCTTCATTGATTATGATGTTTTCAATTAGGGGGTTAATCGGTAGTTTGATGGAAACCGAGCTCTGGAAGTTGACAGCGGTGTTTATATGCATGATTCTTTCTATACCACCGCTGACTAAAAAGTCTAAATTTTTGGATTGGTAGCAGTTCATTGTTCTAACATCGTTTCCATGTAATAATCTATTTGTCATGTTGATCCATTTAGAATTACTCTTCGACATTTTGGTATAGTTGAAGTTGAATATTTTTCTATCCACGCCTGCAGTGAAAAACTTTTCGCCTGATGCATCCTTGGCTAGGCACAAAACATCGGCTTCATGTACTTGGAACGATTGTTGTAATACCAAATGTTTGAGATCCCATACTTTGACCGTTCCTGTCGAGTCACCGGACACAAACTGGTTAGATTTGGGCAAATACAATAAGCACCAAATTAAACTTGGTTCTCCTTTGAGTCTATCCACTCTCAAGGTCTGAAATAGTCTCCCTCTGATATTCATGTTCGTGTTATCATCTGCTTCCTGATCGTTGTCTTGAATAATATCTTCATTATTATATGACCAGCACCTAATTCTACCATCGGCACAACCTCCGATGATCATTTTATTTTCTATCCAACACAAGGAGAGCACTCTGAATTTTTGTCTTTGAAGAATACATTCATGTTCGATAACACCGGGACCACCATTGATGCTAACAACCACAACAGATCCGTCATCACACCCAAGAGCAATTTTGTCGTGGGTGGAGTTGATTGCAACGGACCATATGACACCTGCATTACAATCGTAATTCTTAAGTGGAGTTCCAGTTGATAAGTCCCATTCGGTCAAGATTGTGGAACCGCCAATGGAGAATAAACGAGGTGGTAGACTTGGATCATTATTTGAAGACCAAACTAGTCCTTCGATAGAATTTCCTCTTGAGCCTGGAACAATTGTTTCGAGGACCCATTTCGAGCGGGAATCGTGAGGATTCCAGATCTCTATGGTACCATCAGCTCTGCCTACTGCCAGCCTGAAATTTTTTGGTGTTAATTCATTCAAGTTTGATTCATGAGAGAACGCACATGATGTGATTGATTCTGGAGTATAATCAAGAAAAGAACAACGATGGATATCCATTCTTTTTCTTCGCTGATTTTCTATTCTTGTCTACCTATTGGTGCTGTCAATGTTAGATGTTAAAAGCCCCGAAACAACCTAGCTAGATAGGCAGATCTGGAAAATTTTGAAGTAAAAAAAAAGTCTAAAAATTTTTATAATAGAGGATAGAGAGAGAATAGTGAAATATTCAAGCCAAATACGAAAAAGAACATAGGTGTACAGATGTGCAGAAAGGCAAAATGTTAAAAAAAGGTACATTTTCAAATGGGGTCAACTGGGAATTGAACCCAGGGCCTCCTGCTCCCAAAGCAGGAATCATACCACTAGACCATTAACCCTAATGAAATTGTACGTCTCCCTCCTTCCGGGATCGAACCAGAGACCTCAGGATGTCTTGATAACATTACAGTCCCGCGCTCTTCCAACTGAGCTAAAGAGGGTTTTACAGGTTTTTCAAATTTGCGGTGCTATCTAAGGCGAGACTTCCATATATAAAGTGAAAAATATGGAGAATGTATTTTTGAGGAAAAATTTTGATGTGAGCCTGTTACCACCAGGAAAAAAACAAGGTTTTCAGGGAATTGGTAACAGATAACCCAACGACTCTAAGTATGAAGGAAGATTCAGTAGTTTCGGAGAGTTCTACTCATCGATAGGTAAAGCAATTGGTGGATATTAGGTTATCCCAACAAGGGAGAGCTGTCGCCACCTTTGCCCTGATTAGAATCGAGCAACTGGACAGGCCATGAGAGTTGAAGGAGTCCGGCTTGAGACGGCCTGCGCGGGTGAAAAAGCTCCAGCCGAAGGACGAGATTTTTGAGTTCCCGCCAGAAGGAGTAGCAGTGGAAGGGCTCTTTGAGCGTGTCAAGAAAGGCAAGGTCTATGATCTCCACTTGACAATGACTGAGGACAAGAAGACCATAATCGTTACGGGTGCCTCCCGAGGACTGGGCAAGTGCATTGTGCAGAACATACTTGACGACTATGCGCGGGCGCAGGTAGTGCTGATTGCTCGGAACGGCGACCAGCTCCAGGCCTTCTACGACGGCCTGAGCACAGAGGACCGGCAGCGGGTGCTGATTGCGCCGGCGGACGTGACCGACCGGGGCGCCGTGGTGGCGGTACTCGAGCAGACGCTGGCGAGGTTTGGCCAGATCGACGGAGTGGTGTGCAACGCCGGGGTGCTCGAGCCCGTGGGCCACTTGGACGAGGCGGACTACGACATGGCAGGGATGAGGCGGCTCTTCGAGGTGAACTTCTTCAGCGTCGTGCAGCTCGTGAACGAGACGTTGACGCGGACGGGGCGGGGCACGGTCAACCTTGTCTTTGTGTCGTCCGGGGCGAGCACGCGGGGCATCGACGGGTGGCTTGCGTACGGGGCGTCCAAGGCGGCGTTGAACGCGCTGTGCAAGCAGCTCCACGACGAGATGTACCCGCGGGTGCGGAGCATGAGTGTTGCGCCCGGGGTGGTGGACACGGACATGCAGCGGGCGATCCGGGAGCAGCTCCGGCCGCAGATGAGTGCCGAGAGCCACCGGCGCTTTGTGGAGCTGCACAGCGGCGGCGAGTTGCTGGACGGGATGGTTGTCGGGAAGGTCTACGCCCGGCTCGCAGTGGATGGTCCGCCCGCCACGGCGGCGGGCCAGGCCGTCTGCGGGGAGTACGTGCGCTGGAACGACCCCCGGCTCTCTGTGGCAACGAGCAAATAGTGGTGGACCGGTGCCTGGCCACGCCGTGTCCAGAAGGGTGCCAAGATAGCAGGCGCTGGCTGCCGAATGGGGCAGGTGTCTTCTGCTGTGCCGCGAGCAAATTTGTACTTTTTTCCCTTTAAGCTTATTTGACCATCGACACTCCGGAGTGCACGCTGAGCAAATTAGAGCCCGGGTGGTGTGTGCTTTAATTGCTCGTACCTGCTGCCGGACCAGCACTATAAGAGCCTGCCGATGCCCTCCCTGTAGCTGCTGCTGTATCTGCTGCTGCTGTAGCTGCTGCTGCCACAGACGCCTGTCCGACCTTTCTCCGCCACCACACCAGCAACCTCACCCGATGGAGTCGTACAACGGAATACTGTGCACCAAGCGGGACGCCCTCTTTCTCATCGAGGCAGCCAAGCAGAGGCTCGTGCCGCTCGTCACCCAGCGCTTCTCGTCCTACGAGCGCCAGACCTCGATCCGGGCCGGCGCAGTCTTTGTCTGGCGGGAGCAGGGCTCCAACATCCGCCGCTGGACCGACGGCCGCAAGTGGTCTGCGTCACGCGTGTCCGGCGTGTTTCTCTCCTACCGCGAGATGCAACCGCCAAGGTCGCAAACCTCCTGCCACGTTGTGGACGAGAAGCACGGCGGCCTCATCAAGCAGTCGTTTAGCTACTGTGCGGGTAGCGGCGACAAGTTCCATGTCGTGGGCTACGCCGAGAGCGACCTCGCCGCAGACCCCGCCCGTCTCGCCCGCTGCCAGAGGCCCTCCCTGGACCCGCGTTTCCGGGCCCTCGCTGCCGCCGTGGACGCTGCGGCCGCCGACCCCGCCGAGCCGCCACGGCCCACCACCGCCGCCGGCACCGGCAGGAAGCGGGCGCTTTCGGTCGACTCCGCCAGCCCGGCCAAGCGGCTCTCCACGTCTCCTCCACCATCTCCGCCGTCCCCGGCGTCCCCGCTGAGCCCGCTGCGCAGCCAGCCGCCGTGCCCCGTGCTCCCGCCGCTGCAGAGCCTCCTTGGCCCCGCGGCGCTGGGCCCCTGCGACTTCGACAGAAAGACTCTTCTCGCCCTTCGCTGCAGCTTCTCGTGAAGGGCCGACCCTGTTTCCGGCGCAAATTGTGCCTGCGCACGACCTCGGGGCCTAGCTCGCCAGGTCCGTGCACCACCACGCCCAGGCAGTAGGCGCAGGGAGCCGTTCCCGCCTTTATTTCCGGGAAGAATTGTGCCGCGACACGACCGCGGGGCCCAGGTCCGAGCCCGGAATTTCTGCTGCAGGTCCGGTATATAAGGGGCAGCGGCTTTGGCAGCAGCATGTCTGGGGAGGCCGATCTATAGTGGTATAGAGAGTCTGAGTCTGAGTTATGTAAGCAAGCGATTAAGCAATCAAGCAATCAAGCATACTACACACCCACCCACACACCACTACAATGTTCAGCGGCAAAGCAACGATCATCACAGGCGCCAACAAGAACCTCGGCAAGCAGACAGCAGAGGCCTTCGCCAAGGAGGGCTCGGACCTCTTGCTCCACTACCACTCGTCGTCGTCGGCAGCGGAAACCAAGAAGTTGGCAGACGAGCTCGCCAAGAAGTACGGCGTCACGACCGCCACCTACCAGGGCGACCTCTCCACGGAGGACGCGACCTCGGGGTTGTTTGACCTCGGCATCAAGTCCTTCGGCAAGGTCGACTTCGCCATCAACAACGTCGGCATGGTGTTGAGAAAGAGCTTGGCAGACATCTCGCTCGACGAGTACAACAAGATGATTTCCGTCAACGTCACCGCCTCGTTCCTCTTCTTGAGAGAGGCCGAGAGAAAGCTCGCGCAGGACGGCTCGGTCGTGATGCTCACCACCTCCCTCTTGGGCGCCTACACCGACGGCTACTCCGTCTACCAGGCCGCCAAGTCCGCCGTGTACTGGCTGACCAAGACCGCGTCCAAGGACACCAAGAAGAAGATCACCTACAACTGCATCTCCCCAGGCCCCATGGACACCCCCTTCTTGTACGGCCAGGAAAACGACCAGAGAATCGAGTTTTTCAAGACCCAGGCCGTCAACGGCAGACTCACAGAGGTCCAGGATATTGTTCCAATCATCAAGTTCATCGTCAAGGACGGCAAGTGGATGACTGGCCAGAACTTGTACGCCAACAACGGCTTCACCGCCCCATCCGCATGAGCCAGTCTCCCCTCCCCACCTCTGTATACCTTTTTTCACACTGTGTAAATGTTTTCGTTTTTTTTAACCCTATCTTGAACAATGATGTCCATGCTTCACCATCCGTTTCACGTTACAGCTCTATTGCCGTGTCTGCTATCGCCAAAATGGTGAGCCCCTGCTTCCACCTCACCCCCGGCAACAGCCCCAGCTTACGTAAACAAACCAGCTCCTCGATCCCGTCGGTCAATGATTGCGACATGTTTTTGTCGAATCTCTCAGATTGGTCGTGTTCTTTTCACCAGGGTATCCGCCCAAAGTCAGTCACCCCCAGCCCGATAGGTGCAGGTGAGCGACCAAACATGGACTTTGTGTACGATCTGGAGACTTTTGGCAACGGGTCTAGCCAGAAAAAGGTAGACTCCCCGGATCACCCAGCCTCAGGCGTCTCTCTCACGTTGCGCTCTCTCTCGACCTCCGACTTCTCCAAGAAACTCCAATCGCTCTCACTCCTGGATATCGCCAAGGGCGCAGCAAAGAGCGGAGCAGACAGCTTTGAAACAAAAAATGGCAGCAACCTGTCATACAACGCACAATGCCTCAAAAGGGCAAGGGCATCAATAGACCTCTTGGACTCATTAGGCTTTGATTACAATCCTCTCCAGGACGCCTCCACAAATGGATCGTACCATCCCAACAGCAAAACATCAATCGACAACGACGACCTCACTGACATATTTCTATACAACTCCGGATTCGACGGAAAATCTTTAGTGGAGAAGTTAACCAAGGTCTTGGAAAGCTCGGACGGATACGATACCTCCACCAGACATTCTTTGAGCATACTAGAACGAAGAATAGAATATGAACTATCCCTTGAAAACGGGGATAACTCGGACACAAAGAAGCAGTCGGGAACCTTTGGAGCAGTTTCCCATTTTGAAAACTTGAAAAACTTGACTTCCACTGGCCAAACGGGGAATTTGGCCCGTAGAAATTTGAGAGGATTGATAGAAGAAGACTTGCTCCATCAATATGCATCACAGCTACGCACCTTTCAGAAAATAGTCAGGTCGATTGAGTCAGTTCGTCCGAACCTCGAAACGTTCACAAAGGAGTACAATGACCTCTACTCCTCGATAAATACTTCCGTAAATAGTCTACAAGACTTGAGACAAGAAATCACATCTCTTGACAAACAAAAGAAAGTCGTCGACTTGAAGAAAAACATCCTTCTAGCCTTCAAGTCCACCTTCACAGTAACCCAATACGAAGAGCATTTGATCAGATTTGCGGACTTAAACGATGCTACAACGGGAGTCGATTTTTTCAACGCAATCGATAAAATAAGAAGCATTCAGAATAATTGTGATGTGTTGCTAGGCATGGAAAATGAAAAATTAGGTATGAAGATCCTGAAGCAAATGAGCGATTTACTTGTTTCTGTCAACGAGAGAATCACCTCTTACGTACAGAACAATATCGATTACGTTTACTCCGGCAGTAACCTCAATCTTAACATTTCCAAAAAAATCAGCCTCTCCACTTTCCACAAATGCTTGGTCTATATATGGCAAAATAACAGGAGTGCCTTTGACTCGATTATGTCAGACATGGTAGAATCTCGGAGCCGTCTCATTGCAAACGAGTTCATCAACCAATTGAAAGGCTATTCTGAGGAAGTGTCGACTTCGAACCAAAAAACAGCATACTCCAAAGCAAGCACCAATAAAAACCAATCAAGACTTTTCTTATCATCATATGATACAATAAGATTTATGTCCGACTCCTTGGCATACATACACAGCTTACTCGTAAATGAGATGGAGAACTCCCGTTCTTTTTTAACGTTTGATTTCATATCCAGAGATGAAAATAGTGAGTTAGAAAATATGGTTGGAAGTGTTGTCATGAGGATAATATCGGGCTTGAATAAGCCTCTGAAAGGTGCAGTTGAAAGTGTTTTAAGGCAAGAGGCAAAATTGCCTACTCTTGTAAACTCCTATGATTTGTTGGAATTATATTCTGGGATGTTTACCAAGTTACTGAACCCAGAACAAAAGGCCATGAACGATGGTACAATGGCTACAATGAAAGAGCTCGAAATAGAAACACAAGAACGTATATTCTTCTTGATCAAACTCAAATTGAAAACTTTGGAAGTAGAGGCCGCGGAAGAGGGTTTGAACACCACGGAGGATGGAGCTGTACTACCCGACTGGGTTGTTGATTGGTTCGCCTTCATTGACGATATGTTTGAAGGCTATAACTCCAACAAAACCTTTGATGATACAAATGAACATATTGTAGGATTAAATGATAAACAGTGGAACGAATTGCTCGAGTTGCTAATTAATAAACCCGTGGAATTGCTGAAATCAATACATAATAAGCTTAAAGCACCTGAGAAGGATAAACTTATCTGGGTGTTGAACTGCGTCGATTATATGTATAATAAAGTTGAGATTAATTCCTCTCTATCTTCAAAAGCTGATTATCTGAATTCACTGATTGAAAAGGATACAGATATTTTGATCAACTTGGAATTTACAGGATTACTTAAGAGTTCAGGTTTATTTGATATCTACAACTTGGTTAACATGATCTTCAAATTAGATGATGAATTTTTTGATGTTTCATTTTATGAGCCTATATTAGAAAACAAGCTTTTTAGTGTTGAAACCTTTCAAACAGCAAATCAAAAGATGGAAGTTTTCTTATCGAGCTATATAAATCAGAATGAGTTGAATGGTTTGATGTCCCCATCAATCTATAACAAAGTTTTTTTTGATTCGGCAATGAATTTCATTAAGTTTTACAGAAAACTTTGTCTGATTGTCAACCAATATCTCAGGGATAGAGATGATAACAAAATAAAGGTGTTTCAGTGGGATGAAATGACCATTGCCACTTTGCTTGGTATAGAAGAATACTATCAAGAGCACCAGCATTTCAACTAGATACATAGATTTATAGACTTCGTGTAACTATGATAGCTAGAGACCACGATCTGGTTTCTGACCTCTCCCGTAACCTTTACTCTCGTAGTAATCCATCGGATAAAAGTCCTCATCAAACTGCTTATCCTCATTCATCAACACCATAGCTTCATAAGGAGTGAGTAAAGGTTTGCTAAAAGCATACCCCCAATCAATACTCAATCGGGGACAAGCAACTTGCACAAATGCATCAATATCATCGAACATAGCTACCTTTTGAGGAAAAATTTCACTCAAAATTATTCGAACTACTGTTTTACCATTTTCTTTGAGTTTTTGTTCCATCTTTTCCACCGTTGAATTGTTGCCCTGTCTTCCTAATGCTCCTAAGATAATACCAAATTTTTTGGCATCTTTGGCAACGTTGACAGCATCTTGACGAACTTCAACCATCTGCTTCTTGTCGTAACCTTCTCTTGTAAATTTTCTTGAATATGGGTCATATCGGAATGCTGGTATCTTTGGATTGTGAATCATTGCAGATTCTAAATGAAATCGACCATCACCAACATATATCATTGCATCAAATTGTTCCGGCTCTAAATATGCACTGGTGCATCCTAATACTTCACCTTTAGAGAGAGGTTTGATTTGAGGGGTATAGCAATATATTAGTTTGTCGGTTGAACCATCAGCAAGTTTTGCACGAACACTATGAATGGAGGGGTTGAACTGAATGGTTCCAAACATAGCTATTCTTGCCCCCTGATCAAAATTCAATCTTATCGTATTAATCAGATGTGTTTCATCAATAGCAATGGTAACGAAAACGTACAACACTTTGATAAGTGTCACATCTATCGGTACCAAACATGAATGCGCATAATGAACAATGAAATCACAATCGAGAGCTCTAGCAGTATAATCATCAATACAACATGCGCCGTAACTGACATCTCCCATGATTAATGTTTCACATGAGCAAAATTCACCTAGTATATCAGCAATAATCGGTGCATAAATCAACAAACCTTCCGGCATCTGAAGACAAACTCTTTTAGCATTTCTCTGTTTGATATTGAAAACTGTTTTATGTATCTCAAAATTATAGTTAGACGGTAGAAGTTTCATAGCTTCATTCAACTGCTCGTTGTTTATTATTTCATCTGGGATTTGATTGACTAATCTTGAAATAACCCTAGATTTTCTAGTCCGGACTACAGCTGATGTTTCTGTAGACTTTTCATTTTGTGAAGTACTTGTGCTCTTTGCACCGCCAAATCTGCTTCTTCTTGGTTTTGGACCAACTTCTGTCATATTGTCCTTTATAATGTGTTAGGCAAGAGATACAGCAAGAAATCAATGCTTCCCCGTATACAACAATACGATTATTCTTGAAAAAAAATAACAGCTATATTTTTTGTATTTTCATTTTTCGATACGCACGAAAAATTTTAGGTTGTATGAATAATTCATGTACCTCCGAGCTTTATCTGTTATAGCTTTAATTCAAAAAGAGTAGATTTTCTTTTGAAAAATAGTGGTAATTACCCAAGCATTCAAATGCTTACCCCAAGATTTGAACTAGATCAAGATGATGAATTCGTGTACCTTAAGATACATATCTCCAACATAAGATTTTCCGCCGCAGCCATCGAAATGGTAATAAACGATAATGTTTTTGTGTTTTCATTACCACCATATTATTTGCGTTTGAGATTTCCAAAATCATTGATAGAAAATGAAGATGCTACCTCAAAGTTCGATTCTAAAGAGGAATGCATCAATATACGTTTACCCAAACTAAACAAAGGTGAGAATTTTCCAGATTTAGACCTCGGGGCAAAACTCTTGGCTAGGTTGAACGAACCATCAAATACTTCCAATGATCCACGCATCAAAGAAAAACCAACTTCATTGATTCAAGAGGTAGACGTGTCCAATGGGATAATAAATGACAACGAGAATGCAAAACAAGGCTCAACTCAGTTTTCGCAACTAGCGCAAGAGGCTTTGGATTACGATTGGGAAATACCACAAGTAATGCCTCCTCCGCTAACCGACTTGAAAGCAGGTGTTAAATATGGATTTGACAACCAATACTCTGAGTATCTCACGCCATCAGTTGCAAATGGGAATGATATCAACGAACTTTCCGATCCAGATCACTTACAGCCTGATGACCGGATCATGGAAAGACTAATCAAGGAAAACATAAAATTTGATATGGAATATTATGCTAATGATTACATTACTGCTAGGTATTTATCTGATGAAAATGACGGTATAAAAAGTGCTTTGCAGTTCATATGCCCCTATGCAAAACTTTTTCATGAAAATGAATCTAAAAGCAATGTTAAAATAGAGTTCAGTCAGAAGGAACAGGATCTAATGAACGATTTACCCCGCAAGTCTTACCTCATTGACGATCCTCGCCCGTTATACTATACAGTGCTATGCATTTTATTTTCTTACAGCTATGAAGCTAGATCTTTTCAAGGGGAAACAACCATCGAATCAGCTTGGACAATCGGAAAATTGTCACCTCAAATTAGTTGCCTTGATTCCCAATTGATACAAAGTAATAACCAGACGGAAAAAAACATGATCCGTATAATTATATTAACAATGTCTCGACGTGCATTGGATTACCCACTTTATCGCCATTATGATTTGATCAAAAAGACTTGGATGGATGTTTATTGGATCTTAAGATGTGGAAAGAGAGCTGTGCTCAAAGAATTACTGGCCGCCAGGGAGTTGTTCAGAAAGCATGACATTTACTACGTTTATTGCAAAATCTTAATGGATGACTTATGTGCTTGGGTGTTAAGGGATGATGGCTGTAATGACATTGTTTTAAGAAACCTTGCTCATGCATCAAGAAAAGCGCTAGAAAAGGTCACAAAAAATGACATTGTTTTTGAGAAGATAATCAGGGATGAAGCTGCAAGTAATAGCGATGAAGCTGGTGAAGCTGAAGAAGAAGAATTCTCGTTTTTGAACTTGATAGATGTGGAGGACTTAGCCGATGAAGCATACCTAGCTTCTCAGGATTAGGCTGATGTATGTAGATCAGTCGAAGGTGTAAATTATAGGAGGTACGTAGTATATTATATTATCTTATAACTTGAGACACTGAAAGCTAAAAATGTTTCTGAAAAGATACAAAATGCGAGAGGGTACGATTAGGAAGTTTGGGACTCAATTCTGCTAGGCCTGATGGGACTTGAGCAGCTGAATGTGGACGTGTTGGCAATTGACAAATCGACTATAGAACCATTTCCATCATTTTCAGTGATCGTCGTATTTTCTGTTTCATCTGTGATCAAGGTCATATTTTTTAGTGGAGAACCATTCACCAGCTTTCTCCGCTTTAAAAAAGAGCTGTTAGCTTGATCTGAGCAATCTAATAATTTTTCAACATCTTGCTCTTCTTCACTGTCAGTGGCTCTGCCCCCATCCATAATAAGGCCAGAATCATGCGCAGCATGGTAATCTTTTTTTGGGGTGAGATATGGTATAGTTATCTCTTTGAAACTGTTTCCTTTGCTCTCAACTGCATGACCGCTGGAACCAAATTCTACTGATTCGGTTTCTGGGATAGATACTGACGCCGGTAAAGACAGTGTTCTATTATGAGATGAGCCATGACGGAGGCTCTGCAAGTCGACAGAGACATTTCTACCACCACGTGTGTGAAGTGAAGATATAGCATGTGCTCCGATTCTGGAAGGAGAAAGCTGATGCTTCGGCGGTAAGGTAGTTCTTTTTCTTTGAAGCTGAGAAGGCGAAGATGAGCTTCCTTTATAAGCAGACCCCAGTCCAAACCTGAAATTTCTCATTGAGTTACTATTTGTTGAGCTCTGGCTATCTTCTGCTCTCCGGTTTTGTTCTCTACTGCCGCCAAAAAACCCCCTGTCAGTCTCCTGCCTGAGGTCTGTCATCTTTGAGATTGTATGACCTCTTGCATGTTTATAGCGAGAAGCCTTCACAGGGGAGGGAGAAGGAGAGGGAGAAACAGGGGATGCCGAAGAAGTGGGAGGGGACATCGGTCTTTCATGAAAACTATTCTTCTGGGTTGGTGCTGAGTCATGGGACTCAAACAGACATGGTATTAGGTGACCGGGGACTTTTGCAATCGCAGCTAACTTCATCAATTCGATAACCCTGTTCAATCTTTCCACCCTGTAGTACTCCTGTTTTGTTTTTTCTTGGGAGATCCGCAGGTGAATTGCTCTTTGAAGAGTATCCTCTGAATAAGGCCACTCTGTCACTTCTGAGCCAAACAGAGACTTGAAGATCTGGTTCATCGACGAGGTGTCTGACGATGGCGAACGAAATTTCGATTGTGGCAAATATGGTTGACTATCCATTGAACAAGGGTTGGAAGCCTTACTCGAAGCTAAGCTCGCCTTTAGTGGCAGATGTGAAGAAGGCAAGGATGAAGAGGACGACACAGAAGACGCCGACGCTGGGTTGAAAATGTACGATGTGTTAACTTGTGGGTACGTCTTCTGAGGTTGCGGAACTTTCTGTGGTAGATAGGGTAAAATTGACGCCATCCCAAGGTGATATAAAAGGAGTGGTTTCTTCTCCAAAATAAATTGAAACTTTTTCGAGATGAGACTAAGGAGTCCGGATATAATACTAAATTAGTGAAACTTAAAGTAGGTCTGATCAATCGCAACCAGTGAGGAGAAAAAAATAATTGTATCTGAGAAAGTCTAAATTCTTCTGCAGATCTGAGAAGTTGGTGATGTGACTTGTTACTTTTGTTCTTTTGCAATGACGTTGGGTTTGCCGAAAAGAAGAAGAGAAGAAGGTGCTTTTCCGATAACTTGTCACTTTTTGAGTATTTACAAGAGAGAAGAAGAATGAAAGAACAAAGTCTAGGTAGGCTCTATTCCAGCAATACTTCCATTACGCCCCGACCAGAAAGAGTGTTTCATCGGACAGACACAGCTCCTTTGTTTCTGTTTACGTCCTGAAAAACAACAACCAGCCAAGGAAAACCTGCAGCAGAGTGTTAATGAAACATCCCAATGCAGTAGCTGCCAAAAAGCTTGCAATAAGACTTCCTGTTTAGGAGAAACAACAACACAGGGCTGAAAATGGTCCGAAGATGTCTGGTTACGTAAGCGAGAGTTTTTTAATTTTCGTTTTTGATCTTTTTCAACCTCTGGGAATGACGCGTATTATAAATTCCTTCGACTTGAAAATGCCGAAACTTTGGCGTTTGAGTAAATTACGATGCAATAAAGCTTTGATGAGTATTGATGATAGGCAGGTAGTACATCGTTAGTAGAAGATATTCACAGATAATAGTACACGAAAAAAGATGTCAATAGTTTCTTTACTGGGGATTAAGGTACTGAACAATCCTGCCAAGTTTACTGATCCATACGAATTCGAAATTACCTTTGAATGCTTGGAACAGTTGAAGGACGATCTAGAGTGGAAACTCACATACGTGGGCTCTTCGAGGTCGCTAGAGCACGATCAAGAGCTTGACTCGATTTTAGTTGGTCCAATTCCTGTAGGAATAAATAAGTTCATACTGACGGCCGATGCTCCGTCCCCGGAACTAATTCCAGCGAGTGAGTTGGTTAGTGTTACGGTCATCTTATTGAGCTGTTCATACAAGGAGCGAGAGTTTGTCCGTGTTGGATACTATGTCAATAATGAGTATGATTCCGAAGAATTGAGGGAGAATCCCCCGACAAAGGTTCAAGTTGACCATATCGTGAGGAACATTTTGGCTGAAAAACCCAGAGTGACGAGGTTCAACATTGTTTGGGACAATGAAGGTGAGATGGACGAATACCCACCAGAACAAGGCGAGGGAGAAGACGAAAACGGTGAAGCTGTCATTGATATGGGCGCCAACGAGGATGAGGATGAAGAGGATGCAGATGAGGAAGAAGTTGAGGAAGAAGAAGAAGAAGACGGAGAGGACGACGAAGTGGAAGAGGAAGAAGACGGAGAGGAAGACGATGTGGAAGAAGAAGAAGACGGAGAAGATGAAGAAGTTGAAGAAGCGGAGGATGTTGAAGAAGCAGAGGAGGCCGAAGAGGTAGAGGAAGCAGAAGAAGAAGTTGTAAGAGGAAGCGACGTCAATTCAAACAAGACGAGTGATGTTGAGCTTGAAACAGCTAAAAGGCAGAATACAATAAATGATGACGATATACCCGAAATTAAAAGACAGAAGCTGAAAGAGTCAGATGAAGAAAGGAAGACAGAAGAAAGGGAAGAAGACCTTGAGGAACTCGAAGCAGCCGATGAAGAGGCGTTAGAGAAAGAAGAGCTTGAGGACGAAGAAGAACTGGGACGGGAAATTGAAGGCATGAGCAAACTAGATGGGAAAGGAACCGGGAGTAATCCGGAATCTACAGCTGAAGTCGAAGTTACAGAGGTGATAACGACCGTTGATCAAGAGGCAGAAACGCCGAAAATTGATAGTGCTGCTCCTACTCCAACTGAGTCTGCAAACTAAATGTCCACACAAGGCGTTTTTTTTCAATGTTTCGGAATTGAAAATATTTCTTACATACGTACACAGGAGTAAAGTTTACACACTTTCATAAGTATCATTAACTATCTGGAACACAAGAGTTACATCTTTTTCTACGCTACTGTTCCACATCTGACACCGGGAAAGAATTGTTCTCATTCGATCCGGATGCCATCGTATTCTCTCTTGTCTTATAATGGCTTTCTTTTTGAGAAAATTTAGAACGTTGGTTCTACCCAAATCATTTATCGAATTGGATTGCACAGGTATGGGAAAGCTCCCAGTCTCAACTCCAGCTTCTATTTCTTCCCACAAATCCAAATAATCATCAAATTTGTAAGTTGAAGGCGGAGGTCTTTGGTTTAGTTCACTGCTATCGATGGAGTCATCATCGTCATCAGGAAAAGTACTCTCATCACTATAATTTTCACTTTCATTTTTTATAAAATTAGGTTTTGGCGCTGGTATCTCCTTCTCATCAAATGCAATAAACTTATATCCGGTAGAATTGCTTCCATACTCAAAAACTTGCAAGGGTCGTCTTGTGGGCTTGCAATTTTCGACTTCCCTTCTCATTTTTGGGTTTACTTTTGATTGCAGATCCTCCGAGGTCACCTCAAATCTTACATTTGTCTTTTCCTTCCGAGCCACTTCTCCGACACGATCACTTAGGGGACTTTTGAACTTCAACCTTTTGCTTTTCTTATGCTCGTCTTCTGTTCCCTCTTCAGTATTATTTTCCAACGCAGATCTTGCATTCAGCTGTGTAGCGATCCCTGAATTCATATTGAGATTGCCTTCCCCACTGAATTTTGTTTTCTTCTTCAAGAATTTTATTTTATGTATCCATTCAAAATCATCTTTGTTGGCATTGCTGGACTGTTCCATGCTACAGTGTTTCAGTTGCTGATGTAATGGTAAATTGTTGTAAGTAATGATATAAACACTGGCATAACACATTATCTTTCATTTGAAGGCTGTGCGCAGCATGATTCTTCATCTTGAAAAATTTGATTATTTGCCTTCACTTTTTTTTCTTTCTATTAAGATCCAATAGAAAGCAAAAGATAAGTCATAAATTTGATTCCCTTCTGTAAGTCTTATAAACATTTTTTACTAATGTTGAGTCTCATGTCATACAGGCGGTTTAGCAAGCCACAGGTAGGGCTGAAATTTGTTAGATTTAACTCGACGTCTCCCCGTCCAAAAATAACCATTGAAGATCCTGATTTCATATACCCAAATACCAATCCTATATCTGAGGATGCTACACAACTGAAATATGCTTACAGATCAACTGGAGAGGTCTTTGGCCAGCTGGTTGAAGAAGTGCATCATGACAGAGATCCATTACACAATAGTAGAGTCATTACCTCCGAGGAAGCGCTGGAAGGTGTCGACCCTAGGTACCGTGATCCACAAACAGGACAGTTGCTAAATGCGGCCACTTCCAAGGAAGCTAGGCTTGATAGCGAGACTTTGTGGGGCCGTGTTAATCAAAAACAAATAAGGATTCCCGATGCTTTGGCTGATGTGATTCAGAATAATCTTTTATTCCAATATGAGCCGAAAGCATTCAAGGAACATGTTGTGCAATGGTATACTAGCATAAATGAGTCGGGATTAAGACAGGAATGTAAATCAGAGCTGGATGCTGATGTATCTATTGCTGCCTCTTTTGCGCAGGATTATGCTGTATCTTACCAAGTTTTAGATGAGTATGTGAAGAGGTTAGGAAAAGAAAAGACGAGTAAGATTAATAGCGTCTTGGATATTGGGGTAGGTCCGTCTGTCTCCATGTTGGCATTTAATGAAATAATGGGGGATACTTGGAACCCTGAGAGAAAAGATTCTGTCGTCTATGGAAACTTCCACATGGCAAGGAGAGCCAAACTCTTGTTGAGCAGGCAAATCAATGAGAATTTTTCTAGAGAGAAAGAATTGGAAGAATTCCAAGAAGACAGTGGAGAGAATGCAGAGAAAGAAGAGCCTTTAAAAGAGAGCATAAATATCAATAATTCTAATGGGCCGCTAAATGAATATGGAGAAGAAGAAGTATTTGTTGGTAAGGTCAAAACGAAGTCGTTGAAAGTGAAAACTGTTTTGCTCGACAGGCTCCGTCCAAAGGATATCAAATACGATCTTATAGTAGTTTCCCACCAACTTTTAAAATCCATGGAGTATTTCCCATTTGAAGTTGATTCCCTCTTGGAGGAGTACGTGAGGCGTTTAAATCCAGGTGGACATTTGGTATTGATCGAGAGAGGGACACCATTAGGATCAGAGATTATAGCCAGAGCAAGGCAAGTTATCTTAAGACCAGAAAATTTTCCAGATGAGCTGCAGAAATATCCAAGGCCATTCAAAAGCTCAGCAAAAAAGATGTCCGCCAAAGAACAGCTTAGATTGTCTAAATTATCGCCTGAAGAAAAAGCACTTGCAATGAAAAATCTTGAGCCTGAGTTATTGAAAAACTTTGAGGTTGTTGAAGATGAAGAAATTGCTGAAGGGCTAGATGCTCTAGATGAACCGATAGATATGTCTATTATTGCACCGTGCTCACATCATGGCAAATGCCCTTTACAATTTTTTGATCCACAGGTCTACTTATATGGACAGATCGGTAAAAAGCTAAAATTTTGCAGCTATAACGTATCTGTCCATAGGCCAAATTACCTTTTAGAGTTAAAGAGAGGAAAAAAGTTGGCTGTGAAATGGACAGCTGCAAATAGTGGTGTAGGCATAAGCAGTTTAGCAAGAGCTGGAAGGGGCAGAGAAAATGGTAATGATTATGAGACTGCAAGCTACTCATATCTTATTACAGAAAGATCAGTAGAAGACGGTCCCAGCTTGGAAAAGGAGAGAGTGAAAAGAGCAGAAGATGGCTTTGAAAAAAGAGAAATAGGATACAGAGCACAAAACAGAGGAGAATACCCTAGAATACTCTCAGCTCCAATGAAGAAGAAAGGTTATGTTATAATGGATTTGTGTGCCCCATCAGGACATCTAGAAAAGTGGCACGTTTCCAAATCTGTTGGAAAGCAAGAGTACCATGATGCTAGGAAATCTGAAATGGGCGATCTTTGGGCCCTGGGTTATAAGTCTGCAAACCAGTCTCGAAAAGAAAATACATTCTACTTCGAAAGAATTGAGGAAAAAAGAGAAAACCTCAGAAAGAAGAAGAAGAAAGATGCCACTCGACTTAAGCGCAAAATCTCGAAAGATTATAAGGAGGCTCTTGAATCCGAAAACGAGGATCTCGACGAGGATGTGGTACGTATGGCTAAGATTGATGCCTACGAGTTTTTAACCAAACCGAAAGAGACAGAGAAGCTAAAAGATAAAAGTAAATATAGATTTTAATTAGCGTAGTATATATATACCTGTAAATAGTTTGTACATTAAGGCGTCCGTAAAAGTGGGAACTTTGCGAGACACTATCCGCTGAGCCACTTATCAACTCCCTTTCGAGTTTCCTTTTTTATTTGCCCCCTCTGGTGAATGTCCTTCCCTGCTGTTTTTTTCCTTATCTCTGAGCTCCATGCTTGATTCTTGCTGCTTCAAACGTGGTTCTGCGTCTACCTTACTGACTCAAGTAGCATTCGGATGGCAGAATGTCCACACCATTCACAGTTCTATGTTGTACGTGAAAAAGAACGATGATTTTTTGTCCTTAACAAAAGCTGTATTACTAACAATCTAAATCGCATCCTTTCAAGCAGATGGAGATTCACCTACATGTACCTTCCTGGCATGGCGCTTGGCAGTAGGAAAGTGCCAAATATTAATAGCGGAGTCCAAAACTGTCACTACGAAAGATGACAATGTCTGCTGGACATCTCAAAAATATAACAATCAAGAGTATAAACCACTATCAGTTTATCGTAGCAACTCAGAACTAGCTCAATGCAAACACCGGATAGATTTTGTCTTACTCTCATCAGATAATCTCGAAAAGCTTACTGCATCATCGAAATCTATCCAAGACATCATAACAGAAGATACCATTATACTTGTAGATTCTACATATGCAAGTGACTTGGAAGATTCATTGGGGAAATGGTTCCCCAATAATTCGGTATTGAGTGCAGTATCGGAAGTAATTGTAAAAGTTACGATATATGATGACCGAAACGTATTCGACCATGTTGGAAATAAAGTTGCAACAATGATAGGCTCGACAGCATCAAACGTTAAAGATAGTACCTTGAAGTGTTTGAGTGGTACCAGTGATTCAGGGAAAAAAATGAATGAGTTGACCCAAATTCTACTTGGCAATGGAGTTTTCCCATGTCATATAATCCAAACCGGAATGAAACCAACAATCAAAAGCTATATATGGAAACAAATCATATCATTCGTAACATTCAGCATACTATCATTGATATACGGTGAATTGAAGATATACAATCCAACACATCAACTAATGATGAAGAGGTGTTTCCATGATATTTTGGCGTTGGCTTGTAATAGTTGTGAATCTGAGTTTCCTAATATTAATGATAAGGGTAAATGCGATCAACTATTCAATCAAATGGTAGAACAGTTTAATCTTCTGCATTCACGATATAAGGTACTGGCCTCAAATGCTGATATATCATTTTCAGATAACGAAATCTTAGATTCACCTTTATGCATCTATAATTTTTTGAACAATTTTGATACTTATATTCCATTGTGTTTGACTCAAATATTGAAAATAGCAAAGCAAATGCAAATAGAGACTCCGTACATAGAATGCATCAATAGCTTTTATCTCGAGATTGAAAAAGTGGGGGCCCAAAAAATTTATAATTGGGTGAAAAGAGAGTCATACAGTCCTGAGAAAATCCAGCCCTCTCCACGAAATCAAGCAGCTGGCAACATCAATGGTAATAATAGCTCTAATACCTTATTCAGTCAGCCAAATGATATAGCAAAAAGTGGTGATGCTACCCCAGTAACTCCACTGAGCAATTCGGTTTCCTCGCTACCGCCAGGTTACGTGATTTATGCACCTCCGGAAGGTATGATGGCACCAAACGGGAAACAAAACATTTACTATCCTGCGCCACCTCAAAATGGAGGATTTTTCAATTCTACCTCAACGCAAAAACCTTTGATTCAACATCCGAGGTTTAAAAATGTACCAAAGGAAGAAATTAACGGTAAAAAGATTTCTTATCATCAAATAAAGGAGCTCATTTATCCTCGCACAAAAGGATCAACTTCTTCCAATGATTTAACTGTAGCACACAAACATATTTACCAATATGCAAATGTCAATAATACTTTTGAAAGTGTCAACAACAGGTATGGATGGGCAGATTCCTTAGATGTTTTCAAATTATCAAGTGGTATCAAAGATTTGAGCAATGGGGAGGTCGGAGATGGGGAAGGGAAAGCCAAGGATTTGAACAAGGCTGTGGCGTCAGAACCTCAAGAAGCCGACCAACCAGAAAATGAAGAAAATTCCCGTAGCAAAAGCAGTAGTGATCCTTCCAATAGTGATATGGATATGGAAGATGCTAATGAAGAAATATCTGCTACTATGGAAAATGAAAAATGAATAGATATGTAATGATTGTTTAGTTTGAAGGGTATTTAATCAAATTTGTAGTTCCAAAAACGGTAAGAAACTCAGCGCAGTCTCCTAATTTTCTTCAAGGTGAATGATCTATGTACCACAAATTAAGCACCTTTGTTTGAACAGTCACAACACACCATAGCGTCAACAAATGTCGCCTACAGATAAAGAGATAAAAGTGGCAGCATTGACAAGACTATTGCAAGATAGAACCACATATATTCAAGAAGTGGGAGAAAAAGAGAAAAGACTAAAAGACATCAACAAACATGATGGCAAGAACAAACGTTCAGATTCTGATTCCAACGCTGAAATACTTTTACAAGAGACAAAGAATCTAATTCATTTGGTGGAAGCAAAGATAAAGGAAGTTGCTACAGACCTACGGGGTACACCCAATGGTGAATCGGGTGATGCGGTTAATCGGTTATTATACGAAGCCGATCGTTTTTGACAAAACATTTTGTACATTAACAGCTTCACACACTTTTGCCTAAAAGAATATACAGCTACATCTTCACGGGGACAAGGTTTCTTCCTTGTTGTTCTGTTCCCACTCTTTTAATGCCTCTTCCCACTCTGTTTCGGCATCAAAGGGTTTTTCGTGTTTTTGGTAGTACTCCAATAACTCTTTGTGCTTTTCCTCTTCGAGAGCATCCCAAGTTTCTTTTTCATCTATCCACCTTTCCTGTATGTCGATATCCTCCATAAATCCCATACTTGATTGTCGCACAGCATCTGTCCAAATAGAGTCCCCCCCTAGTTCATTAGTACCAAAGCAGTAACCATTGCTTTTGTCTATCAACGACAACAAATTTATCATCGAAGTTTTATCTTCTATTGCCAAAACACTAAATGATAATAACCCAAAATCCTCAACCAAATCTGCAATTGATTCTGTTAATTTTGAATACTTCTCATTGAACCAAGCATGTGACCTTTGATTATTTTCACTTTTTATATATGGGGTCAAATAGTGAAGATCTTCGACATCTGTGTAGTACTGTAACTTAAATGGTAATCCGCCCTCAGGATCTTCATCTTTCTGATCGCTGTCTGCGTTGGATCGTAGGGTGGTATTCTTTTTTTGTTGCTCAATTTTGTTCAGTTTATCACTCTGGACATATCCATTCAGTAGATCAATTTTGGATACGACATTTATTTGAGGCAATTCCATTTGTAGCATTGAGCGAAGAGTCAATAAAAGAGAGGATATCCAATGAGACGGAATAGTCAAATTAATCGAATCTATTAAAGAAACCACGCACAAACGGAAGTCCAGTACAGTCTTCAACTGCTGGAAGATTGATTTGAATACAGGGGTAGTAGTAAAAAGTTCAGTTTGCCCAGGACAGTCAAATATTATATATGTAGATTGACCATCCATGCTCAATTTGATTAGCTCACGTATTTTATCAATGAAAAAATCTATGCTTTCTTTGAAAATTTCTAAACAATGGATCAATCCTCCATTTGGTCCCAACTTTTCGTCGTCCATGATCTCTTCTAGAGTTATAACATCTCTAATATCTAATGTACAATCATAGGGTAATCGGTCATTTGCTGGATCCAAATTTATTATTAGTGAATTTCGTCCTATTGAGTTTAAAAATTGATTCATCCCATTGCAATATGTAGATTTTCCTGACCCTGGTGGACCAATAACAACTTGACCATACGGTGCCATTCTACTTTTTTCGCAAAATATTATTTGCCTGTATATATATGTTTTGTTACCCAAAAGTTTCAAGTTTGAGATACTCAAGGTTAAAGCACAAGATGTCGCCTTGGAAAAGCACGAAAATTTCTAGAAGGAAAATAATCTTTAAAAATTATTTTTTCTCTTAGATGTGCTCTTTAGATGAATTACTCTTCTTTCGATCAAGCTATATACCTCAAACTTTGCCCTAAACTTCAGAAACCAACACAAGAATGGATAAAGAATTGTCTATTATAGATGGGATTCTTTTAAATCTTGCTGGGATACTAAGATTTTACGAATTTGAACGCTCTCAGTATGTTAACGTTCTTTTCCTCTTGAAACAATTTCAAACTAAGACTTGTGAGGAAGAGGAGCTTAAGTCATCCCATGAAATTTTCAAAAAAGAGTCGAATAAAGAGCTCATTTTGATTCAAGAAAAGATTGAAAAATTAGAGGGAAAAATTGGTCAAATACGAGAGGAAATCTCATCCAGAAGCAATTCGAAAGAGAAGTTGGTCAGTTTGTTCAATGCACTTAAATCGGTTGACAGTTTGGATGATAATTCAAACCTTGAAAATATTCTTTCACCAGAAACTTTAGAGAAAAAAGAGCTTTCTTTGAATCCTAATTTACCTATCATGGAAATCAGAGAGGAATTAAACGAAGATAATGAAGTCATCAGTAGCGAGATTAAGCCATACCAATCACCAGAAAGCCAATTAAACACATTATTAGGTAGAAAGAAGCAGAATTCCTCAATCTCTGAAATGGCTTCTGATATGGATTCTGATGGGTCGAAACCACAAGGCCCTGTAGGAGTTTTAGCCGAATTTAAAAAGGCCAATTCGGTTGGTGGAACTGGATCAGATGGCAAGGGTAAGCCGGGAGCCGGAGATTTTCTACCATTCACAATCCGTGAAGAAATAGATGAGGATGGGAATATCATAAAAAGTTCAATAGCTAGAATTCCTCCAATGGATCCAAATAACGATGGTAAGGTTAACCAAGTAACGAATGATGAAAAATCTACAGAATCTGAAGAAACCAAAGAAATTGAGGATGACCAATTAGCAGAACTTTTTGAGGATATGGGGTTTACCATTCCTAAAATAAGTGAAGTAATAACACCAGCGGACTCAAAATATTTAGAAGAGGATGGTTCAAAAAAGGATAACAGTGATGACGTTCATGAAAATGCTAATGATGCGATATTACATGTTCCACTAAAAGATCAGTCCTCATTGAGCGACAGCATAGAAGTTTCACCCTCCTATGCCATAAGTAAAGAAGACTTGTATACTCTAGAGCTGATAACTGATGAGTTGAATAGAGAAGAAAATGAGGATAATGGCCAGGCTGAGGACTTCGAAAAAGAAAATTTTGTGAAAGAAGAAGAGGATAGTGATGATGGTGAAGATGATGATTACGATGACTACCAAGAACTCGAAGACTATGACATACAAAAGCGTGTCTTCACCAATATGTTTGGAGGAAAAGGTCAAAGCATGTTTGCTCAACAGATAATGAAACTTCGAAACAAAGAGGAAAACAACCGTTTAGGGGCCGTTGTTAAGGAAGTCAAAGATGACATTGCTGATCTGAATCCAAAAGAAGTCATCAAGGAAGTAACTGCTGATGCTGATGTAACGTTTTCTGAGCAAAAAAAACCAAGGAAAAGTAATAAGTCTGTGAGTTTCAATAACGTTGTTGACGTCAAGCAAGTTGATGACATATGGGATGATTTGAGGATTTCTAATGCAGAAGATGAACTTAGAGCAAGGAAAGAAAGTTTAGCAAGCTCTTTTTTCAAGCGCTCAAGGGAGACAGTAGTAGAAAAGGATCAAAAAATTGATCAGGACTATCAATCAATGGAACCACAAAAAGAGGTTTTAATGTCAGATGTTGTTGAGAGGCAAGTTATTGAATATGCTCCTAGCTCCGAAGCACTTCATCATAGTAGTGTTTTCAAGACTTTTGACTCCATACCTACTAAAATAAATATGCCGGAGTCAGAGATTAAAGAAGATTTGGTGAAAATATCCGGAAAAAGAGGCCCGTCAAAGTTCAAACTGGCAAGGGTAGCAGAAATAGGCAAGAAGTTCCAAGAAACCCATATTTCAGCAGAAACGCGTGCACAGTTGCAGGATGCAGCTGATTCGATCCTGACAAGAAGTAACACTAAAAATCCTATTAAAAGTAAGAGTAAAGTGCTGAAAACAAATCTCAAATCATTATCACCGACTAAGAGTCAACTAGGTAGTGATATCGGCTCAAGAAGAATTGAAGCTCCGAAGGAGGTGAATCCATTACCTGTCAATCCGCAGTCATTGATCGATGAGGATTATGAAATTGTGAGACATGAGACTAGTGAGGGCTTGTTTGATGATGACGAGGATATGCCAGAAGACGAATTCATTGTTCCACAGAACGAAATACACAACGGTGTATTGACTGATACGGAAGTAAAAAGCTCCAGTACGCTTACTCAAAATGATATCTCACAAAATGAATTCTTTCCCAAGTATTCTCCCAACAAAGCGACTCCAAGCACCGAAGTAGTTGGTCCCTCACTCGACTATAAATCAATCTCAGAGGACATGGATACTATGGCAAAAGCTTATGTATTGGGATTGTATGATGATGATATGCATACGACAGGTGAGGTCATTGAAGAACTCGAAGACTTCAAAAGACATAACCAAATTGTGGAAGATAGAGATAGCGTCCATTTGCATGAGCGAGTTACTGAAATAAATAATGATGGAAAGATTACTGAAGCGGACAAAGAAAGGCCAATGGTTGTTTCTGATATTGTCGAGAATGATATGAATGAAATCTTGGAGGCCAATTCTATACCGGATGATCAACTCGACATTGAGCTAAATGATGAGACTCTCACAAATGAAGTAGCACTTGACTACGCTAAAATACGATCAAACATGATCCACAAATACAAGGGGGGTTTTAAAGAAACTGAACAGGAAAAGGAATTTGTTCGTCCTGAAGGTAGCGAAAAGGTCAGCAGATTTAAACTGGCTAGACTAGGTGTTTAGATTAGTAAAACTTTTTGAAAGTTATCATTCAATTTTACATACTATATAAAGAATTACCGATCATTGATTAATGACTTTAAGGGGAGTATCACTCTGATAACCGCTAAGCATGAATGGTTCTATTCCAACTTTTTCTAAATATTGCCACGAAGTAGTTCTATCTTTGCTATTAGGAACAGGTTTTTTTTTTCCTTTCAATTGTCGGCTTTTCCTCGTAAATATAGCAGTATCTTCGGGAAAGTATTCCTTCTTCTCAGGTTTTCTTTCCATTATTTTGGTATCATTTCTCTCGAGAGATTTTTTTGAGGAGGTAAAGGAAAAGGTATCACAATCATAGAATAGTTCAAAACTCTCATGCTGAGAGTTGGAACTAGGTAAAATTTGGTGCCTTGGAACCTCTGGAGGAACAGAGCTATCAACAATTTTTGGGTCTTGCTCAGCCCCGCTATAATCTCGAAGGATTGACTGGTCCATTTTTTTGAGAGGTACAGGTGGTAGCTCTTTGTTATAGTTGGTTGTCTGTAGAGCGTTTGGATAGGAATTACCATCTTCGTTTCCAGTTTCCGGTAACGACACAAACTCCGAAGAACCGGATGTATAAGAACTGTGAGTAAATGAAAACAGGTCGTTATTTGTACTCGTTGAATCATGAGTAGACGTACCTCCCGTCATCGATCGTTTGGTGGCTTTTTGTTCTTCGACTGGGTTTAACTGAAGAGCTTTGGCTCCTGGGCTATCTGGCATTTTTGCTTTTTCAAAGGATTGCTGTTCTAAATTCATACGTGAATAAGATTCCAATAATTTTGATACTAGTGAAGTACTAGAGTCATTAGAGAAATTGGTAAGTAGGTCATCTTCAACTTTCACGTATCTATTTTCCAGTTGATTTTTTAATCCGCCGATAGGGTGGCATTCGGTCAGTTTATTTCCTGTAACCTGAGAAGTATCTCTATGAACCGGAACAAAAGGTTTGTGGTTGGTAAAATTATTATTACCGAAAGAGACCTTTTTCCGATGACACTGATGGTTATCTTTGATAGAAGAAGACTTATAACGTGGCTTTTGCCTGTGTTTATGGGATTTGTTTATGGTCTGCTGTGCATTTACAATAATTCCATGATCAGGGTTAGGTGGACGTAGTAGCTTTTGCTGTGGTCGTGGATGTGGAAGTAACTCTGGTTGTGGATGTGGGTGGGACTCTAGTTGTGGTGGGAAATGTACTGAATTTTTGATGTTCGTAGTAGCGTGATATTGTGGTAAAGATACAGAGCGCTGTTTTGCTTCTTTCACCTCAAAGCTCTCCATTATATTTCCAAATGTACTGATTCTCTTACTCCAACCGGAAAATATATTTCCGCTAGCAATTCTAGAGCTCTTGTCTCCTCTTCTTTTTGCTAAAGAAATACTTTGGGTTTTCTGAGGTGCTACAACCGGCACTGGTGTTCTCTGATCGATACTATGTTTGGCTTGAATGTATTGTTCTGCAAAAACTTTTGCATGGGTTGATTTTGGACCTTCACCAACGATTGTATTTATCGGCGGTAAAGTACAAATGCTTAGCTTTGACCGATTGGCCACTGAACCTCTAAAATCAATTTCTGGATCTATGAAATCGCCCCGTAGTTTTTTGTTGTACATATGTAGTCTTTGTATGTAAATTTCCTCGCAACTAATAGTTATGCGAAGAAGAGAAATATCCCCGAAGAAAAGGGAAAGAAAGTCAAGAAAGGCATTAAGGGAAGGTAAAAGAAGGAAAAGCGTGGATATTCCATTATATTTCACTGAAATTGTGTTACTTTCGGGCGATGTGGCAGGGCCCTAATTGCAGCCTGCCAATACGGTTCAAGATGCAAATCATCACTTATCGAAGATGGCTGATTTTTGGAATTGCCCGATTGGGATGATGGATCTCGGTGATGTCAATTATTCTTTTTCAATTTGGAATTTTTTTTATTTTTGAAATTTTTCTTCACTATATTGAGAACTTTCATGAAGCTACCGGGTGTCTCCGTCCATTTGGTAATTAAACTACAGAGCTTGCAAGGGCTTAGAAAATCAGAGACCGAGGCATGAGTGAGAATCATGTTGCCGCAGAATTGGTGGCTTCCGCTGAAAAGCCCCCACTTTCCTCGAGGATCGGGAGAGACCCACCATTCGTATTCGGACAAAGGTTTTTGACTGAAGACGCAGATGTTTTCAATCATAATGCATGGGATAATGTAGACTGGGATGAGAGGCAAATTGAGCAGTTTCAAGAAAGTATTTTGAAGCAGAAGGAGAGCCCAGTGTCTGATTTCAACAAAACAGAATACAACTCAAAACCAAAGAAATATTGGGATCTTTTTTACAAGAACAACAGAGAAAACTTCTTTAAAGATCGGAAATGGTTACAGATCGAGTTTCCGAGTATTTTTGAGTGTACTAAGAAAGAGTCCGGTCGGAAGACGATTTTGGAAATTGGTTGTGGAGCAGGAAACACGATGTACCCTATTTTAAGCAAGAATGAGAACCCTAATTTGCGAGTATTTGGATGTGACTATTCGGACATCGCAGTTGACCTTGTACGTGGGAACGAAAATTTCGAAAGATTGCATGATTCGGGGAACTGCTATAGTAGTGTGTGGGATCTGGCCAATGAAGAAGGTAATATTCCAGAGGATTTGGAAGATAACGGTGTTGATATTGCGGTTATGGTTTTTGTGTTTTCTGCGTTGAGCCCTAAACAGTGGGAACAAGCCATATCGAACCTGAAGAAAGTGATGAAACCTGGAGGGCTTATTTTGTTCCGTGACTATGGAAGGTACGATTTGGCACAGATCAGGTTCAAAAAGAATCGGCTCTTGGATGAGAACTTTTACGTACGTGGAGATGGTACCAGGGTGTATTTTTTCACCGAGGAAGAGTTGCGTGAGATATTCTGCACCAGGGGTGGATTTATCGAGGAGAAGATTGGATCTGATAAACGGCTGTTGGTGAATCGGAAGAAGCAGTTAAAAATGTACAGATGCTGGTTGCAAGCCGTGTTCAAAGTGCCTGAGATATAGGATTATAAATTGATAGATAAATAGATACAAAGACGAGCGGGTCAGGTGTTACAATTTGATGACGATGTGTAGAAAAGAGTCAAAGTATTTTGCGGCTGTGTACAACTCATTTAAAGGTGATTCAGGCGGGAGTTGAACACCGTGAGCGATGAATTGCAGCGGTTTCCGATTTGGATGTTCTCTGTGAGATTTCAGAGTTAACACGCTGTCGACAAGGTTCTGCAACGAGATTTCATGGAGGGGAGTTCTGGGAAACATTCTGTTGAGGTTTGGTTGATTGACGAACTTGAGGAGTTTGTTTTCGACAATGTAGAGCTTAAGAGGCACATTCATAGGAGAGGAGGGAAGCAATTTGCGGAAATGCTTTTCGTAAGATTTGTAGTCATGCAGCAAGACGGCGTTCCAGAATTCTTTTGAGTTTTCCAAGCTCATGGACATGATGATGTTGCTGCTTCCATTAAGGATGTAGCAGGATTCCTTGATTATATTTCTCCAATGTTTTTCCAAAAGCTTGACGACCCCAGATGCGGGTGAAGTACTTGCTGTCGAGGCCAGCTGCTGCTGAAATGCCTTGATTGATTGAGAGGACTGTGATGAGGAGATGAACTTGAGTCTCAGATCGATGTCGAAATAGCCGTGTCGGTCAGGCATGTCTGTGTATAGCTCGTAGGAGACGTCCAGCGGAAGGTTCCAGTCGACGATCTGGCCCGTACGAGCGTCTTCAAACCAAGCTTGAGATATTTTCGAGTGAGGGATATTAAAAAAGTCGAAGATCTCAGCAAGGAGCCGATAGAGGTAGCTGTTGCGGTGCACGAGGAGGTAAAAGGTTTGTCGAGAGTTGGTGGTGTTAGTTTTGTAGTTGACTTTGCAGCATATCTGGGAAGACCATATTTTTGAGAGTATGCTGTTCTCTCCGGGCATGTGATGGGGATGAGGTTAGGTGGCAATGTGGAGCTAACGGCCAACAGAGATGACTCTAGATTGCCGGATTAATTGACGGTAGACAGATAGGAGGATAGATATGGTAGATAAGTAGATACGGATATGAAGGAGGAAGGTGGCGAGCCCTGGATCGACGCGACGGTGGCCAGGTAAGGAAAAGGAAGAGCAGGCAGAGGAAAAAGATTGGATTGCGTTTCATAACGTTAGTCATTTATAAATTGGATCTATACACGACAGAGATATATGGGGATATAGAAGAAAGATATAAAGAGAATAAATAAATAATTTCGTGTTGGGAGTTTATAAGTTGGACATGTTGGGTGAGATGTCTGCATGGAGCTGGATGTGTATTTAGATAACTAGAATATTAGCATAATTATAAGTTGGAGATGATGGAGTCGGTGAAGCTGGAAGTGGAGGCGGTACCTCTCAAGTCACCGGTTCTGTGTTCTGGGCCGGAGGCGATGGTCTTGAGGACAGCTGTTTCGATTCTGTCGGCGTAGTCGTTCAAGCTCATGTGTCTCAACATCATACAAGAGGACAACAACAAGGCGGTTGGGTTAGCCAAGCCCTTGCCGGCGATGTCAGGGGCGGAACCGTGGACGGCCTCGAAGATGCAGACCTTCTCACCCATGTTACCGGAGGGAGTCAAGCCCAAGCCACCGATCAAACCGGAGGACAAGTCGGACAAGATGTCACCGTACAAGTTTGGCATGACCATGACGACCTTGCTGTAGGTGGTTGGGTCGGAGGCCAACTTCAAGGAGGTGTTGTCGATCAACTCGAAGCTGACCTTGATTTCAGGATAGTCCTTGGCGATCTCCTTGGCGCACTGGACGAACAAGCCGTCGGACAACTTCATGATGGAGGCCTTGTGGACGACAATGACCTCGTGTCTGCCGGTGGACTTGGCGTGCTCGAAGGCGTATCTGATGACTCTCTCGGAGGCCTTCTTGGTGATCAACTTGATCGACTGGACGACGCCGGGAACAATGATGTGCTCGATACCGGAGTACTCACCCTCGGTGTTTTCTCTGATCAAGACGGTGTCGACGTTGTCGTATGGGGTCTTGTAGCCGACAACGGACTTGCAGGGTCTGACGTTGGCGAAGAGACCGAACGTTCTTCTCAAGGTCAAGTTCATGGACTGGTGGCCCTTACCGATCGGGGTGGCCAAGGGGCCCTTGAGCGCAATCTTGTTCTTGTTGATCGAGTCCACGGCGGGCTTAGGGATCGTGGTCACACCGTTGATCAACGAAGGGGTCACGTCGACCGGCTCCCAGTCGACAGGAACCTTGGCGGCCTCGTAGATCTTCACCACTGCGTTCGAGATTTCCTCACCGATACCGTCACCCTTGATCAGGGTGACGTTGTATCTGCCGTTGGCGTTTGGTGTGCCGAGATATTGGCCTGCCACTTTGGAGGAGTACTGTCTTTGGGCGGACATCAGGAAGGACTTGTTGATTGGAATGGATCTGAACATTTGGACTATTAGTAACTAGGAGGGACTGGCGGGACGGAGAGAAAAAAAGGAGGGGGAGGAGGGGGGGAAGGGTGGGTTGCTTGTCTAGGGAGAAAAAAAAACAACCGGGCAGGGAGGACGGGTCCAGATAGTGAGTGTGTATGAGCAGGGTGGAAGGAGGCAAGGATGAAAGGAAAAAAGCAGACGCAGGCCGTCAGCGAGAGAGCGTGAGGACCTGCGAGGCGAGCAGCGAGGGGGGTCTAAGTAAGGGGCCGGGGCGTGGGGCGCCACGCCGTCTGGGGGTCCTGGGCGCTGGGGGGGCCGTGGAGGGCGCCCTGCGCCGCCGCCCGTGCCGCCCGTGCCGGCCGCCGCTGCACACGCTACATGGGGGAGGGCGGCGGCCCCGCAGGCGGTCGCCAGACACATTGCTGCCGGCGCCCGCCCCGGGCCCCGCCGTCGTGGTTCTGGCTGCCGCCCCGGCTTTTCTCCCCGACCAGGGCATTTGCGAGGGAGGCGCCGAGGCCCTGCGCCCGCGCTCCCGAACGTCTCCGGCGCCTGGCGCGCGCCCGCCCCGGCGGGTCCCGGCCGCGGCCGTGTGCGCGTCTCGGGGCCGGCGCGGTGCCCGCGGCACCCCGCTTACGTAACGGGAGTCCCGGAGATGCGTGCGCGCCCCGGCGACACGAGCGGGTCCCGGGCGCCAGGCGGCTCATCGGCCTGCTTTTTTTCCGCCGATCGCCCCCCCCCCCCCCCCCCCCCCCCCCCCGGCCTCACACAGGGCCATTGCCGTCGCCGCGTTGGGCAACTCTCTGCTCAGCTTCGCGCAGCTTCGCGCAGCTCCCACCGCCGGCTCCCACCGCCGGCTCCCGCACTCCCAGCCTTATATAGACATCCCCGTCCGTCTGGCCCCTCCGTTGCCCTCCGGTGGCTCAGCCAGTCGGCCCTCGCCTCGTCCGCCATCGCTACACCGCCACACCCATGGACAACCCCCTCCCCCAGGTCTCCGCTACTGCATACGCCCTCGGCATCGTCTCCGGCGCAGCCCTCGCTCTGGCCCTCGGCTGCCCGCTCTTCGCCTCCTTCGTCTATCTGCCGCTCTACGTCTGCTCCGTGGCCACCTTCCACTTCCTGGAGTACTTCTGCACCGCGTCGTACCAGCCCGCGCGCGTGGACGTGTCGTCGTTCGTGCTAAACGACACAGCGCTCTACCACGTGGCACACGCAACAGCGCTGAGCGAGTGTTTGGTGGAGCTGTGGCTGGTGCCCGGGTTCAAGAAGAACCCGGGGCTGCGCCCCGTGAAGCTCGTCGGGCTGCTGCTCACGGTGGCCGGACAGTGCACACGCTCGCTGGCAATGAAAACCGCCGGGCAGAACTTCTCGCACGTGATCCAGCGCAAGAAAGAACAGGGCCACGTCCTCGTGACACACGGGATCTACGCGTACCTGCGGCACCCGAGTTACGTGGGCTTCTTCTACTGGGCGCTCGGCACGCAGCTGCTGCTTCTCAACCCGCTGTCCTTGTGTCTCTTCGCCGTGCTGCTCTACCGCTTCTTCTCGTCGCGCATCCGGTACGAGGAGGGCTGTCTGACGCACTTCTTCGGCAAGGACTACGTGGCCTACAAGCGGACGTCGCGCATCGGCATCCCCTTCATATGAGCATTCTGGGCACGGAAATGCTTACTTGTACACGGCCTCTCTATATAGTATACACTTTTGTCTGAAACTGTCGCCTGCAACTCTCGTCTGCAACTCTCGTCTGCAGCTTTTGTACATTGTGTCCGGACACCACGCTAGTCGTCCGACGTCAAGTCGATGATCTCCGGCTCCACCAGACTCACGTTGCGTCCGGCGCCGCCCCGGCCCATGCTGCCGTGCTTCTTCTTGCTGCTGCTGCTGCTGGCGTTGGCGGAGCCGGCGGCGCCCCCGCCCTTCCGCTCGCGGAACACCCCGCTCACGTCGTTGGCGCTCTGCTTGAACATCCTCAACAAGTCGTTGGAGCCATGGTGTTGCTGTGGGGCAGGCGGCGGCGGCGGCGGCGGCGGTGGCCCCGGCATCTGCTGCAGGGCAGCCGGTGCAGTAGGCAGCTGCGGTTTCGGCTGCGCCTGTGTCTGCTGTGGAATCTTCACGGTCTTGCGCTTCTTCATCCCGGACGCCAGACCCCGCTCCCGGTCAGCATGGCCGTGGACCCGCCCGTGCTTGCCTGCCCGGTGCAACGCAGGGACGCTGCCTCCCACCGGGGACTTTCGTCCCTCGGCTGCCTCCTTCCTCTCATCACTCGCATGGGCCAATCTATACACAGGTGGCAATGGCGGTGGCGGCAGCGGTGGCAAGTCACCTTCATAGTGGGTGGAATTGGGGCTTTTCGCACCGGCCCCGCTCTCACGTTGCCGTGTGCCCTTGATTTCATCCGATACAGCGGGTCTGCTCTTATCTTCTCTCCTCTCGCGGCTCTTGCGTCTCTCATTCTCAGCCGTCTTCAAATCTGCCCTCTCACTTTCAGCACTCGCCTTCTTGGCCGGAGCCTTCAAGAAAGACTTCACTGACGAAGGAAGCGAAAAGCCTAGTAGCCCTCCGCCGGTAGAGCCGTTCTTTTCAGGCTCGGTCCCGTTTGCACCTTCTCTGCTAGCCGCTGGTGGAGGTATCTTGTCTTTGGTTTTCTCCAATTGCTTTCCAGCCTCTTTCCCAGCTTCAGCAGCCTTTTGCTTATCGGCACTTTCCTCCTTCTCACCTTCAGAAACCTCCGGCCTTCTCGCAGACTGCTCTTTCGCAACTTCGGGAGCCTCTTGCTTTTCGACAAGCTTCTCCTTATCATTTTCAGAAACCCTTGGCGTTCTAGCAGGCGCTTCTCTTTCAACTTCGGGAACTTTCTGCTCTCCTTCTGACTCCTCCTTATCGCCTTCTGAAGTTTTCTGCCTTCCGTCAGTCTCATCTTTCCCTGCTTCTGCAACCTTTTGCCTTTCCTCAGTCTTACCCGTATCACCTTTATCGACTTCGTCTGGCTGACTTTCCTCTTGTACTGATGGCTTGGCCAATATCTCCTGCATCTTCTGCTTCCTCGCAAGTTGGTCAGCCTTGGCCTTTTCAATCAACTGGATGACTTTGTCGCTCATCTGAGACTTTTCACGTAAACTCTTTTCCCGTATGCCAGCTAATCCCGCATACTTAATGTTCAGTGACCTGCGATTATTTTCAAGCGCCTTCAAAGTGTTTACAACGACATTCTGATTTTCAGCAGTACCATTTTTAGACTTGGTTTTGATCGCATTCGCAGAGATGGAAATAGGCTTAAGAATACCTTTATTCACATTATTCAGTAAACTTGGTGTCGGGAGTACTCTACTCGATGGACTAACATCTGTATCGTTGTCTTTTCTCTCAGATATTTCATGCGTTGGGGTGGAGTTGTCAGCTTGCTCAATCTGGTCCTCAGATGGTAAGTTTTCCGTCTCTTGGACTGAACTTCTTCTTGACTGTGGTAGTTGTCCATCATCATCAGCTTTAGCAGTTTCGCTGGCATCGCCAGTATCAGCAGCTGGTTTGTTTGTTGTATTTGCAACGTTGCCTTGGCCTGGTTTTTGAGTGAATTTTTGAATAAGAAGTTCTATTGATTGTTCATTAGATTTCCCGTTAGATGATCTCTGTGAGTTTCCAATTGGCGCTTTAGGCTCATTCTCCGCTAGCTTATCGACTGTAATGCCATCCAATTTGTCAGTGATTTTTTCAACTAGGTTTCCTGCAGAAACGTTAGCCACGGCTTCTGTTCGCTCTTGTCTTTCCACAAGCATGTCAGTTGATTTCTCCGCAGGCTCATGCGTAGTCTTTGCCATTGGAATCTCAATTGGCTTTTCACTCGGTTGCCCGACTGACTTCCCGACCAACTTCTCGACTGGCTTTTCCACTGATGCTTCATTGCTTGTATCCTTTGAAGTGACACTAGATGGTGGCAAAGAGGATTCAACCAATGCATCCTTGGCTGTTTCATTAACTTCTATCCTGTTCTCAACTAAAGTAGATGCATGCTTTGGAATGTCCGTAGTAATTACCGACACTCTGTCTGAGGGTTTTATAGTAGTATCATGTTGTGGTAACGCTTCCAGTGGGCTACTAGATGATCCGGATCCTGGGCTTTCGGTTGTTCCTTTAGTTAAGCGAGCATCTTGAATAGGAGGAGTCGAACTATTAGGTATTCTTTTGTCCAAGTTGGCCGAGATATTGTTATTAGTACTTGTGCTCTGAGGGAAATTAATGTTATCTGAGAGCGGTGTCTGCTCTGATGCGGAGTTATTTGCTGTTATTCTCAGATCTTGTGCTGAAGCAATGTTGTCCTGTGGCTGAAGCACTTCTGGTGCTCGTGAAGAAGCATGCGGAGAATCTCCATCCTTCCTACCAGCATCGACGACAGTAGTGTTATCCCGACTCTGAGTTGATTTAGGAAGGTGCGAATAATCCGTAGTTGTTGCACCATCAGGGCTTGGTAATTGATTGGAGCTGATATGGTCATGTTGCGGCATTCTATCCATGTTATGCGAAGCCGTATTCGCTGAACCCTCTGGTACTTGAGGAAACCCATATGAAGTTGTACTTTCATAGGATTGGAGTTGTTCAGAATGATTTCCAGTTGTTTGGCTAGTATTATCTGGAACTTGGGTGAAACTACCTTCTGCAGAATTATTAGTTGAATAGCTGCCGTTAGCTCCAGCAGAATTTGGTGTAAAATTTTGGGTTTCTGCCTGAGAGCTAGTCGTAGCCATATTATTAATATTGAAATTCCGACTGTCAAATCCAGATAATCTTTGCTCTAAAACTTTCAATCGATAAATCTCGCCTATATCTGTTTCTTGAACCACATTAAATGGGAAGCCACAATGAGATAAACTTTTAGCCAACCTTATTATTGAGAGTTTGTAAAATACTGAAGTTGATGGATTTCGAAAAAAGGCGCTCAAATCTGATCGGACATCCGAGAAAACATTAACCAACTTCAGCTTTTTCTCCATATAATTCAAACTATCCTTGACCCCTAATAACTCCCTGAGTCTTGCTGCAAGTCTATAATATATGCGGTAAGAAGCATCATTGAAGTAAAGTTTCATACAAAACTCATTATAGATCTCACCATGTTGAGGGTGTAGCTTAGGGATTTGCATTCTCAAATAATTATCAAGGGTCCTAGAAAAATTCTGCTCCCTGGAAACTATTTGTAAAAGTATCGAACAACAAATATCAAATGAAAAAGACATGAATGATACTATGGATTTTGAAGAGTCGCTATATTGATCGTTCATTATTCCCGGCAATGGGATGCCATTACTTCTCAAAGAGTGTGCCTCATTTACTACCAATTCTCTTGCCTTCAAATCCGACCACACGTAATTCAAGTACATGGAGTTGAGCAAGCTAGTGGTTTTTGACATGAACTTGAGCTCTTTGGCAATACTGCGGCATCTTTCAACACTCGACTCATAGCTGATGTCGGTTGAGTCAATAGATGGGGAGAAGGCACTGGAATTTTCTCTATTTACATCTGTACGACGTCCTTCAGCTTCAGCCAACTTCTGTTGTCTCTGGCTTTCTTGGAGCTTATGTGCTTCTTGGGCTTTTCTTGCTTGCTCCACTGTTTGGGCTCGTCTAGCTTGCTCAAGCGCTTGAGCTTGTCTTGCTTGTCTAGCTTGTCTAGCTTGCTCAACTGCCTGGGCTTGTCTAGCTTGCTCAACTGCCTGGGCTTGTCTAGCTTGCTCAAGCGCTTGGGCTTGTCTAGCTTGTCTAGCTTGCTCAACTGCTTGGGCTTGTCTTGCTTGTCTAGCTTGCTCAACTGCTTGGGCTTGTCTTGCTTGCTCAATTAAATGGGCATGTTCTTCTTGTTGTGCTTGTAGCCTCTGTTGGGCTTCAAGTTGTGCGTGTTGCACTCTCTGCCTAACCCTCATTGACTGCATTTGATCTGAGGCTGCCGATCGAGGGTTGGTAAGAAATTGTTGCTGCTGTAACGTGTGTGGTTGCGATTGAGATGATAGGGCAGAATTTTGCTGATTGGATAGATCATTTGTAGTGCCTCTGAAAATATGGGGACGCTCGTTGAGAATTGTTGGTTGAGCGTTTGATGTATTATTAGAAGAATTCGCATTAACGGTGGTTGCAATGTTGGGTTGTGCAGTTGTATTGGATCCTTGGATGCCATTCCTGGAAAAGTGGGATTTATCGATGTTAACCAGCGAATGTGTGTGGTTTGATGTAGCTGTTCTCATACTTTCGAGTTGTACATTTCCATTCGTTGCCCCTGATGGGAGAACAGAAGTATTTTGAATGTTTAGCATTTGATTCGACATATCAGCTGCGTCGATTGGTTCTTCCTCCTCAGAAAGAATCTCAATTACGTCGGTTGGCGGTGGTGGGGCCAATGGTTTATTTGCAACGGGTGGTGTTATTGTATTTTGCAAAGGAGGTTTCTCAGGAGCCAAAACCGCTGAAATTTGTTGAACAACTGGGGTAGATGTTTTTGCGCTACGCCGTTTGAGCTCCTGGACTTCAAAGATAGTGTTCCCATTTGCATCAGAATCTACCAACACCAATTTTCCCATGTCGAGTTTGATGACATCGCCGTCTTCCTGCTTGACTGTAACATTGGGGTTGACAATCTTTATACTGCCATTACTAGGTAAAATTTTAGACGGTGCTAAAGTATCGTTCAGATATTCTTGAGGGGTCCACGTACCGTCGTTCTTGATTTCCACATAATCATATTCTGGTCCTGTATTCTTTATGATGGAATCAAAATATTCGTCCACCTCGAGGTGAGAGAGCTTGATCTTATGGTAACAAACCGGACATAACCAAGTGGGTCCCTTCTCTTGCAATAGAAGATAAGAGTATATGTCAAAGCATTGGATGTGGTCACATTTCACCGACCTCACTGGATACTCCATTCGAACATAGGAGCAGGGACACAAAAGTGAGAGTGTCTCCTTTGAGGCAGATATATCGTCCTGCTCCGACTCTTTTATCATTGACAAAGTCTTCTCCATGGGAATATGAGGTTGAGCTAGGACTTCGTTGACTAAACTCTCAACCTTTATAGTTTGTATCAAGTAGAAGTAGAAAATGAAATCACACGTTGTATATGCATATTTGATTGTGACGTAATTCTTTTCCTCTCTCTTCACTGCAGATGTAATGTCCCACGGCACGACCGATGATTTCTTACCTTTGATGCCTTTGTAGTTTCCTGGCACTTCGATATTATTGACAATCAATTTACACGGTATTGGGAACTCTATGTATTTTTCTCCCCTAAATTCGTCCAACGGGCTAGCAAATGCACATAAGCGATGATCGGGTCTCGATAGGATTTCTCGTTCTTGATCGGTTAAAGTAAAGCTTATTCGGGAAATGTTTAAATCTTCTGGTTCTTTTGACGCTATTACTGGGTTTTTCCCCTCTGCAGAGACCTTGGTAACAATGTTGTAAAAGGCCGATTTTTTGAAAGTGACCTCCCTTTGCTGCACAGATTGCGGGTTCATGGAATTTCTGATCTGCATTCGTACTTGGGCCAAAACGTTTGTAAATTCGGGGAGCTGCTGTTCGTTTTCTGATAACAAAACCAACGACCGAACTGCATAAACAATGCCAGCATCATTTCTGCTTCTTGCAGTGTACAAATATTGTTCGATTGCGGCTGCCATGTCTGACTTCCTCTTCGACGCAGAAGGTAGGCCCAAAGCCCGGATCAGCTTCGACATAGCAGCCTGTTTGAGCCCTTTTATTCTATCGATGGTGTTCTGCAAAAAGACATGGGTTGCAACCCTAGAAAAAAAATGTTAGTATTCTTAACTGCAGGGAAGACCTTTGCTGAAAGCAGCAAACCGCTGTTTCATGTCGTGCAGCGGCGATTGGCAAGTCAAAAACGTACCTGAAACACCCTCTGAATTTCGTAGGCACTCATCCTTAGCGGTGCGTTGGTATCAGACAGTCACTATCTGGGTACTGGAAAGCCCAAACTCCTGTTGCGTCTTTGTTCTGTGCTCCCAAGGGGTTCCCGGCCGACGGAAAGATAACCCTGGCACGTAGTGCTGATTGATTTTGTTTTTTAGCTGTACAATCAATCTGACGTTTCTCGCATTCGTTTACGTTTCACGAATTCGGGTTTTTTTTTTTTACGCATTCTTTCCAGTCGAGAAAAAATTTGTTAGTGAAAGGAAACAGAAAGGGAGGAAGAAGACGACGATGAGGAAGACGAAGCAACAGAAAGGTCGGAGTGAGAGTTGTTGAAGGGCGTTTGGGTCCAAGCGAACATTTCTCTGCAATGTCTACGACTGCTTCTGCGTCGGCCATCAATGCTGCGAACAAACTAGAGGTTCTAGTGGAGTCGTACATCTCGAAGTTAAAGAGAAGACAGGTGACGGGCTCGTACAATGTTGCGATTGCGACGTGCCAGTTTCTCATGAGGGTGACGTCGATCTCCAGGTGGAGCACGGCGAACGAGTTTATTGAGCTCATACGAGGGCTCGGGAAGCGTGTGACGGAGTCGCAGCCCCGTGAGTTCGCTGCGGGGAACATTGTTCGAAGGGTGCTAGCCATCGTGAGAGACGAGCTCAACATGACGTCGAACAAGGCGTCGAGCGACAGCGGTCCGGTGAGTGCGTCGATGTTCCAGCTCTTGGTGACGAGCCACAAGGAGAAAGACGTGGGGAACGTGAAGGTGAACGAGAAGTCTGACTTGCGGTCGGTGATCATCCAGGGCATACGAGATTTGATGGACGAGATCCAGTCTGTGCACGAGAACATCGAGTTGATGACGGTGGACTTGATCCACGACAACGAGATCTTGTTGACGCCGACGCCGGGGTCGTCGACGGTGTTGAACTTCCTCTTGAAGGCGAGTCTCAAGCGGAAGTTCACGGTGCTCATCACGGAGAACTACCCGAACGACATTGAGATCTGCCACCGGTTTGCCAAGAAGTTGGCGGACGCCAACATCGAGAGCGTGATCATCCCGGACTCGACGGTGTTTGCGGTGATGTCCCGGGTGGGGAAGGTGTTGATCGGCACGCGGTCGGTCTTTGTCAACGGCGGGTGTGTCACGGCCGCCGGGGTGGCGACGGTGTGCGAGTGTGCCAAGGAGCACCGGACGCCCGTCTTCACCGTGGCCGGGCTCTACAAGTTCTCGCCCTGCTACCCGTTCGACCGCAACTCGCTGATCGAGGTGGGCAACTCGGGCAAGGTCCTGCCCTACGAGGACAGCGACTTGGTGGGCAAGTGCGAGGTGACGAACCCGCTCTACGACTACGTCATCCCGGAGCACATCGACATCTACATCACCAACATCGGCGGCTTCTCGCCGAACTTCATATACCGGATCATCCTCGACAACTACAGCACGGACGACGTGGACTTGTCGTGACCGCCTGCGCACACCTGCGCACACCTGCGCACCACCTACAGCCCCAGCTGTCTACTAGGCATCCGTCCTCATATAGAAACAACACAAACCACCTTGGATTTACCCCACCGGAACCAGTCTCCCATTGCCTCGCTCGGCCACATGCACCCATGTGTGGTCTTGAGCTGGATGCCGCCCCATGGGGCGGCAACGGGACATAGCGACCTCTTGCGGGCTCAACTTTGAGTACGCTTGCACCACGGCATGCCAATGGTGCAAGTGTAATTATTCGAGCCTGACATCTTTGGCCACCACCGTAAACCCTGTAGCCGGCCCAACCCCCGTAGCGTACCAGCGTAGCCGGCCCACTGGCCGTCGGCGGCCGCGTCTCTGTCGCCGCGCGGTACGAGGGCGGGGCCTCACCCTGGCCTGGCCTGGCCTGACTTGGCTTGAACTGAGCTGACGAGCCGTGGGCCGTTACTCTTGCGGCCCGTCCAGCAGTCCCCTGCTCCAGGACACACGCAACAGACAAGCAAAATGGAAGGATACCTCGTTGCAGTGCTTGTGGTGCTTGTGGCGGCGGCGGCGCTGAAGAACGTGCTGTTCTCGACGGTGAGCCACGTGGACCTGGAGACGGAGATCGACCCGGAGCGGGACTCGAGCCTGGCCAAGGAGGCGCCGACGGTTGTGCGGGAGTTCACGCCGCGGCAGCTGTCGAACTACAACGGCTTCGACCTCGAGAAGATCTACATGGCTGTGAAGGGCAGCGTGTACGACGTGTCCAAGGGCAGGCAGTTCTACGGCCCCAGCGGGCCGTACTCGAACTTTGCCGGACACGACGCGTCGCGGGGGTTGGCGCTCAACTCGTTTGAGCTGGAGCACGTCCGCCGCTGGGACGAGCCCATCGACGACCTCGCCGATCTCTCCGAGCTGGAGCGCAAGAGCCTCGACAACTGGGAGGGCATGTTCAAGGGCAAGTATCCTTGTGTCGGGACGCTTGTGCCGGACCCGGACTTTGCCCCGCAGCCGCCTGCCGCCGCTGCTGCTGATATATAGACTTCCCCTCTCCCCTCTCCCCTCTCCCGTAACATGAATCTGGCAAAACGCCTGTCGCGCCGGCCGTGCGCCTGCAAAAAAATCAACACTTTTCGCCGCCCGCCACAACCCCTCCTCCCTTGGCCACGGGGCCGGCGGGCGGCGCTGCCCGCCGCCCGCCACCCAGCATGTCGTCCCCCGCCGTCCCCATCAAGCTCGACAGCCTCACCGCCAACAACCTCGGCATCTTCAACAGAATCGCCGCCCCCGCCGAGTACCCGGACCACTACATCCAGCAGTGCCGGGACAGCGGCGAGCTCTGTCGCTACGCGTACTTCGGTGAGGTCCCCGTCGGCGTGCTCGTGCTCCACACTGTCGTGAACAAGTCGCCCGTGGCGCTCAACATCGCCCTCCTCCGCGTCCTCGACGCCTATGCCGACAACCTCCACGTCGAGGCCGAGCTGGTGCGCTACGCCCTGGCCCTGTGTCCGAAGCGCCACGTTGCCGCGTGCACGGCCGTCGTCAACCGCTCCGACACGGTGCTCGTCCGCGTCCTCACAGACATGGGCTTTCTCCCGCAGACGGGGCCCGTCCCGGACGCATACCGCACGCTGTCCGTCGACGCCGCCGCCGGCGAAACCCTCTTCGTCAAGTCCGTCTAGACCGCCACGACGTCCACGCTTGTGGACGTCCAAGTGGGGGCTTCCCGGCTGCCCCGCAGCCCCTCCCTGTATAGTACTCCCCTCTACAGTTAATACACCCGGCCCCGGCCAGCCAACCGGAAAGACCCACGCTCCCGTCCGGCACGCTCCCCACCCATGCTTTGTGGGGCCCCCGCGACGGAACTCCGTCCGGCACACGAGCTGCGTTCCGATTTGTCTGGTGGCCGGGACACAGGTGTTGCAGACAAAGTCCAGACAGGGCAGGGAGGGCAGGGAAAGCAGAGAGGGGCATAGGCAGGAGAGGCAGACGGAGCTGGTGTCGCCGTGGTCGAGGGGCGTCCTTCTGTGCAGCGATGTGGAGTCTGGACATGAAGGGGTTAGAGTCTGGTTTGGGTCTGGTGAGCCAACACCAAGACACACACACACACACACCAAAGCATCCATGGAAAAGCCTTCTGCGGAAGATTGGATGGCAGGCGTGGACGACGACGTGCACGTGTCCAGCCTGTCCATCCCGGGCACACACAACTCGGGCGCCTGCTTCAGGCTGTCGGCGCCGTCTGTGCGCTGCCAGGGCGCCTCCATCGAGGAGCAGCTGGCCCACGGCGTGCGGTACCTCGACCTGCGGGTCTCGAAAGACTACATGTCCCGGGGCGAGCGGGTCGACGACTTGATCATCGTCCACGGAAAGCTCCCCGTGCGGCTCTCGGGCACGTACAAGTTCAAGAGCGTTCTGGAGGACGTGCACTGCTTCTTGCGCAAACACCCCACCGAAACCGTGCTCATATCGCTTAAGTTCGAGAACACCATGCTCAACTGGAACGGCGACAGCGACGAGTTCGCCAAGGTGCTCTTCCAGCGCTACATCGCCCACAGCAGAGACCGCTGGTACCTCTCGGACAAGATCCCCACCCTCAAGTACTGCCGCGGCAAGGCCGTGCTGCTCCGCCGCTTCCCCGTCCTCGAGAACGGCGTCTACAAGCGTTTCGGCATTCCCTGCACGTGGAACTCCTCCTCGCCCATCTACAACGACCCGCACGTCTGCGTGCAGGACTACTTCGAGGTCAAGACCCCGGCGGACCTCGACAAAAAGTCGAAGCTCATCAAAAGCATGATGGCCAAGGCCCAAGACCACCACCACCACCGCCGCCGACAGCACCCCCCGCACCAGCCCGACAGCATCGGCGGCAGCGACTCCTCCGCCGCAGCAGCCTCGTCCTCTCTTTTCTCCTCCAGCTCGGAGTCATCAAGCACCCTCTCCTCGTCTCCTCCATGTCTGACCTCTCCGTCCTGCACTTCTTCGGCAATGGTGCCATCGGGCTCCTCCTCTTCCTCCGCCGCAAAAAACGCAAAACGGCGGAAAGACAGCACTGCAAGTGCTGAGCCCTGGGCACCAAAACTATTCATCAACTTCTGTTCCGGCGCTAGCGTCTTCAGCAAGCAGTTCTGGCCGTCCAACGTTGAAAAAATGTTGCGCAAGCACAACCTAGACAAACACTACGGCAAGGGCTGCGGTATCGTCGTGCTCGACTTCGCCGAAAGGGACGACTGGAAATTAGTCGACAAGTTGTTTCGCGTAAACTTCACATAATATGTATCAATACTACCTGTCTAATAATGCACTAATGATTAATCAAATCCTACATGTTGGTAAAAAGACAACCTAAATTGTTAATGAGCTAAAAGCTGCTCTTCAAAAACTTCAAAAATAATCGTCACAGACAGGATTCGAACCTGCGCGGGCAGAACCCACCGCCTTAGCAGGGCGGCTCCTTAACCACTCGGACACTGGGACAATTTACAAACTAGAAAAACAAAAGCCCCGTCATCATGTAAGAGTGTAATGTCTAAATAAAATGCAAATCGCTTTGGAGGGCCTGTGTTGTTGCTTGTTCTTAATTTTTATTGTACAGATTTCATTTCAGACAATTAATTCCACAAGCTTGTATACTATTTGCGTACGTAATCAATCATCGTCCTTTAAGTACATTTTGTTGTAACATTATATTATTATTAATAATATTATTATAGGATATAAAACGTGATAAAAGGCACCTTGCCGTTCAACAGCTGAGACGGAAGCTAAATCTAAAGAGTAAAAAATAAAAAACCAATACGGCCGCAATAACGACCAAACAACAATCTAATAAACCAAAAAAGAATCATAAAACTTCTATTATATCATAAATGTCAGTGAACTCTTCAACAACATAATACATTTCCCTACCTGTGTACTTTTTCTTGTCGATAATGTCTTTGTTTTTCAACGCTTGAGAACGGTTGAGATATATTACACATCCTTTCAACTTCAGATTGGCATATGTTTTATTGAACAGCTTGAGCAACCTGAAGTACTCTAATGATATGGCTCTCTCCCCAGTCAATATGATGAACTTTTCGTTGCAATGTAACTTTTTAGTAACTAGCATATGCTTCAGAGTCTGGAGATTTTGGAAGTCATTGATCTTGTTACCGAACACAGATTTATATTTCAGGACATTCAAATGCTGTAATGGGTTGTCCTTCTTGTTGTTTATCTTTTTCAACAGATTCATGTAGTCTAAAGACGGAATGAATCCCAGCTCATTGTCTTTGATGATGGTAATATCGTTTCTTTCGTTCAAGTTCTCAATGTTTCTGAGTTTGCCAAATATCTTCTCATCATATTTCACGTTGATGTACAACGAGCTGATTATCTTTCTAACCATGAACGAATCTTTAACAAATGAGTTCACTTTCTGTGTTGCCGTTTTTGAATCTTTCACAAACTGTAAATATATATTCTTTACGATTTCCCTCAAACCCCTTTCAATCTGGAGTTTACTTAAATTTTCTTGTCTGCCTTGTAACAATCTATCCATTTCATTGTTCCATGCTACCTTCACGGTCTCATACGGTGCGTTTTCCGCTATTTCCGGGACTCGTGCTATGATGAGCTTATATATTGTCTCACAAAGGCTTATATTTTCGTACAACAACTTATCATGTATGAGAATGTGACATGGCCTTTGCTGGATGATCGGGTTCACATTCAACCAGTTTGTCGATATCCAATCCTTGATCAAGTTATCAAATTCGCTTTTTGCTTGCAAGGAGGTTTTGCTCAAATTCGATGTAGCAAATTCGGGGGTCCAGTGGATTCCCTGATATTCTTGTTCACTTGAAAGCTTTTTGTTCAGTTCATCCCTTCGGCGCAGCATCGACTTGGGCACCTTGTTATTATTAGGATGTGCAGATTTCAAGATCTTCGGCTGCTGGTATATTCCGGTCACCGTATCCTTAGGGTGTGGGTGATTTCTAATTTCTGAGTTATACCTGACTCTGGAAGGCTCAAATTTTGTCTCCTTCGTTTTAGTGACATGGTGTTCATTTCTGAGATGCAGCAACTTGCTTTTCATGTTCTCTAGCACTGTATCACCAGAACTGCCAACTTTTACCATCTGAAGAGGTAATGTAGGTCTTAACATGTCGGATACAGCCAACTAGCTTGAAAGTATGAGCGTTTCAGAGTCTGTCGTAATCAAAATCAGGCTCTAGATGGCAAAGGCGTATCCAGAACCGTCGGTGGATGAACGAAGCCTGAAGATCCCAGCTGTAGCCGAGGAACAAAATAAAAGGGCCTCGGACCGGCTTGGACGAAAAATTGCGCACCCTGAAGCCAGCACGCTCTTCACGCACCTACACTTGTGAATGAATTTACGGACAGTGATGAATGATTCATGGGTTTGAGATATATATAGAGGTTATTATGTAGTAAACTAAGGCATATGGATATAAACAGAATCATTCGAGTTTATTATCTCTTCTCTTAGAGTCCTTTAATTTGGTCAATTGGGTGATAACCAAATCTAAAGCAAGTGCTTCGTTCTTACCCTGTAAATCTTGGATATCTCTGTTTCTGATGTTGACAGACTTTTCGGTAGCTTCTTGTTCACCGACAATGAAGATAAAGTTGTATTTTTGGACTTGACCATTTCTGACCTTCTTTTGTAAGGTGTTACCGGTGACATCGACGTCGGCGAAGAAACCAGCATCGTGTAATTTTTGTCTGACTTCTTCAGCGTACTCGATATATTTGACACCAACTGGAACAACAAGAACTTGTCTTGGAGATAACCAGAATGGCCATTTACCTGCAAAATGTTCCGTCAAGATAGCAGTCATTCTTTCGACAGAACCTAAGATGGCTCTGTGAATCATGACAGGTCTAGCGCTAGCAGCTGAATCATCCTTTGCCTTGAACTCTAATTCAAATCTATTTGGCAACTGGAAATCCAACTGAATCGTGGCACACTGGTGCCATCTTTTCAAAGCATCTGAAATCGTGATATCGATCTTAGGACCGTAGAAGGCACCGTCACCTGCATTAAGCTCCCATGCACCTCCCCATTGATTCAATGCGCTTTCTAATTTAGCTTCTGCGGCATTCCACGTTTCCAAGTCACCGAGGTACTTTTCAGGTCTGGTTGACAATTCCATCTTGAATTCAAAACCAAAGATACCGTAGACGTGCTTCAAGAACTCAAGGATACTTGTGATTTCGTCACCGATTTGATCTTGGGTACAGAAAATATGGGCATCATCTTGTTGGAATCTTCTAACTCTGGTTAAACCTGACAATGCACCGGAAAACTCGTTTCTGTGAAGAACACCGAAATCGGCAACTCTCCATGGCAACTCTCTGTAAGATCTTTCTCTAGATTTGAACATCACACAGTGACCTGGACAGTTCATAGGCTTCAAACCGAATTTCTCTTTTTCAACGTCGAATGTGAACATGTTCTCCTTATAGTTCGCCCAATGTCCGGAGGTTTCCCACAATTTGGAGTTGTACATGTTTGGAGTAATGACTTCTTGGTAACCTCTAATTTGGTACTGTTCTCTCATCATGGAAACAAGGGTGTTGTAAATTCTGGCACCATGTGGTAACCAGAAACAAGAGCCTGGAGACATCTCGTGGAAAAAGAACAAATCTTGCTCTCTACCGATCTTACGATGGTCTCTTGAAGCTGCCTCTTCCAAGAACTTCATGTAATCCTTCATAGCTTGCTTGTCGGGGAAGGAGACGCCGTAAACTCTCTGTAAAGAGTCGTTAGCTGCGTCACCCAAGAAGTAAGACGCAGAGTTCTTCAAAACTTTGAAGGTCTTGATTCTACCAGTGTGTGGCACGTGAGGTCCTCTACACAAGTCGATCAATGGACCACATCTGTAAACGGTGGAAGAGGTGCCATCTGGAATCTTGCTCTTAATCAATTCTTGCTTGTACTTGTTGTAGTTGAACATTTCGAGCAACTCCTCCTTGGTCATGACCAGTCTTTCGAAAGGCTGCTTTTCCTTGATAGCCTTTTGACAAGCGGTTTCGATGTTGTTGAAGTCGGCCTGGGACACGACAGTCTCACCGTTATCGATGGCCATGTCGTAGAAGAACCCGTCCTCAGTTGGAGGACCGAAACACAAGTGAGCACCGAAATGGCATTCACATCCTTCACCCAAAACGTGGGCAGAGGAATGCCAGAAAACGGCCTTACCTTCAGGATGCTCAAAGTCCAAGAATTCAAGCTTAGAGTCCTTTTCCAATGGTCTTTCCAAATCCCACAATTCACCATCGACCTTGGAAATCACTTGTCTGTCTGCAAAGGACTTGCCGATCTCCTTAGCAATGTCCAATGGAGACGTTTCCCACGAGGTGGCAGCTTTCACAGTACCGTCCTTCAACTCGACACTGATGGCCTTTCTTTCCTGCGCAGCGATCTCTGCATCTCTCTTTGCCTTGATTTCTTCAAAGATCTTGATTCTGTGGTCAATAAACGCTGGCTGAGGAGTTAAGAAGACCGGTCTGCTGGACTCTCCCTCCTTAGCTGCCTTCTCCTTCTTTCCCTTCTTTGGAGCCGCTTGCTTCTGAACAGGAGCCTCTTTTTTGATAGAAAGGTCTTCGACCTTCTTTTCAATTTGTTCTGTAGACATCGCTTCGCTGGTATACGGAGTGGAACCTTTCCGACTATGCAGACTGGCCAGAGCCCGCTGCTGAGTCATATCTTTGTCATCCATTGATCCTTCTTTACCCCCCGTCAACATGAGAAGCTCGCGTCCTCCCAGCAGTTCGGTAACATTACCCAGACGTGGCGGTGAAAAAAAAATCCTCTCACCGGGTAACTTTAGGCGGAAATGTCAACGGTTTGAGCACGTGACAGACACTAGCTATTTTTTTGGCTTTTTTCATGTTATTGCACAATTTTTCATGCACACTGGATAAGAAAGAGCCTTTAAGGCAAGGAAAAGACGACAAAGCAAGAACGAATCCCGACTCCAAGACTCTGCAACAGCACCGCAGAGATAAAGCAAGGTTAAATACAGCGGCATGCGTGAAGAAGCTCGGATGATCGAAGACGGAGACGCCGATTCGTACGGCGATGCTCTCAGTAGAACAATCAACGATGAAGACAAACTCGAGAGATTAGAACGGAACTTGCAGAAGGCGAAAGACCTGAACGACGTCGGCGACGGAAAGACGGAGGAGGCAGTGCAGAAGGCTGAGCAGCAGAAGAAGAAGAGCAAGTCTGCGATGGGGAACGAGGAAAACGGGGTCGTGTATGCTCCCAGCATCGACGAGGTGACAGCGGATAACGATCACTTGGCGAATTTGAGAGGTGAGGGCCGTTACTTCGGCGTCACAGACCCGGATGCGAACCAGCCGGTGTGTTCCAATTGTCACCGGAGGGGACACAAGCGTGCCCACTGTAAAGTAGTGGTTTGCCACGCTTGCGGTAAGGTTGATGATCACTACGAGACGCAGTGTCCCAACTCAATGGTGTGCTCGAACTGCGGGGAGAAGGGCCATTTCCGCAATAACTGTCCCTCAAAAAGAAACCAGACGTACTGTGTGGAGTGTGACTCAAGGAATCACTCCTCCGAGAGATGCCCTTCAATCTGGAGAAGTTACGTCCTCAGGCCAGCGGACAAGAACGCCAAGGTCGCCTATCCGTCTGCCAAGATTTTCTGCTACAACTGCGCCACCAAGGGTCACTATGGCGACGACTGTCGACAAATGAGAGTCTCGAAGACCCCTAATATCAACGGGTCAGCATTCAGCGGAGACAATCTACCAAAAGTATTGGTTTCCCAGTACAGAAACATGCTGAACAGAGAGTCACAGAGTTACACTGGTGATAACAGCAGAAAGCGGAAATTTGATGCCACAGCCAGCACCAACTACAACTACGCTCCACCACCATACCCCAGGTTCAACAGAGATAGTAATAACAACAACAACAGTAATAATAATGGTAACAACAACAGAAACAATTACAGCTCCAACTTACCTAGAGGACCAAAAAGGCCAAGCAAAGTAGGTTACATCCCTCCGAGAAACAACAACCAAAATCAAGGACGAAATAATGGCTACAGCAATAACTATAACAACAACAAAGGTAACCAGAACTCCCAAACCTCTCGAACATCCTACCTAAACAACAGCAACAACAACAACAACAACAACAACAACAGAGGCTCAGACTACAACCGGAATTCTTACAATAGACGATATTAGTGGGCGATAACGATAATTATGCGATATTTCCGTCATGAATCTATGTATGAGTATGAATAGATGTATATAAGTTTTAAATATATGTAGACAAAATCCTCCGAATAGTTCTGTCACTAGCTGTGTTGCTGCTCTAAACGTTTCAGGATTTCAAATCTCACTTCAGCTAGAGTCTTCATCTTGCCTTGTTTTTTTCCGTGCAAGCCGCCAAACAGTGGGTCAAGGGCTAACGCAAGCTTTCTGTCCATCGACAGCATCTCATTGTATGCTTGTGTGGTAGCATCCATGATGGGGTCCTCGACAGTGTCTTCAAGTTTCGTCTGTTTTCCATTAACCATAAGAATATAAATTACACGAGACAGAAATCTACGGAGAAATACAAAGCGCTGCTACTTGTGAACAGCGAATTTGCAGTCCTTCAGAACTTCCACCGCTGACTCTGAGCACTTTGAAGAGGCAGTGGGCAAGATGACCACTCAGTGCTATGGAATGTTCTATGATAAAGCGTAAAGTTAACGTGTCTTTTTAAATTATACAAGCTCTATGTGGCGATCACAAAACTAAAAGCTGTCCTTTCCACCAGAAAGCTTACTCACGTTGTGGTGGATTTCTGCAAACTCATTCGTAAGTTCAACATACAATTTGAACTCTTCCTGTAGCGTATTTATCACCATCTCCAAACCTCCTCTTCCCTCGGGAGTAGCAGGTACATTGGAGTTGTCTAAGTCGTTGACACAATTCTCCACCTCTTGCAGTATGAGCTCATATCTTTCGATTTTATCTTTAAAGTCTTCGATCTTTTCAATATAATACGAGTTTAGTACTGCCGTGATATTTATCGATGTATTCTTGTCAGTTTGGCCCTGCTTCTGTTGTTGCTGTTGTTGCTGATGCGGGCTTTCAGTCCTGTTACCGCTGACACCAATGATCACTTTTGAAGATCCTTGCACCTGCCCTTGGTCATTATTCGAGTTAGACATTGGATTAGTTAACTGGAGAAAAACTTTTATCAATTTTTCAACCCAGTCGTTGAAGCTTTCTAAAGTTTTGCTTTTGAAGCTTTCAACAAACTTCAGATCTGCAGTCAACGCCTGATTTGTCGAAGCATAAGTCTTTTCTAGATAGCTGATATCTCTCGGAACACTGATTATAAGCTCTTGGTGCTCCGACTTTTGGTTTTTCAAGTACTCTGCAATCGAGACCTGTGTTTGGATATACTCGTCTAATTGCTTCAACTCTTCCTGTACGGGAGCCGGAAGGTCTGCAACCTTGGTCATTGCAGTGAGTTGAGGAAGCTGGTTTTGCTGCTGTTGCTGCTGTTGCTGTTGACCAAGCATTCCCGATGTATTGCCTCCAAAAAGGGACCCACCGGTTGCCAAGGTTTGAGGTTTGGCTCCGAAGGAAAACTGGTTAGAAGCATTGTTGTTTCCGAATAGCGAGTTTCCTGGCGTTGATCCAGTATTATTTCCAAACAACCCTCCGGAAGTGCCCCCTGCATTCAAAGAGTTATTATTGTTGTTATTATTACCAAAAAGACCGCCTGCTGAAGGAGCAGATGTAGTTGTCAAAGATTTGTTTCCAAACAATCCCCCCCCTTGCGAAACAGAATTGTTAGAGCCAAAACTGAAGCCCCCCGAACCAGTTGTATTATTGTTGTTATTGCCGGTGTTGTTGTTGTTGTTACCGAAGGCAAATCCCGTGGTTGCTCCAGTAGCCGGCTTTGAACCGAAAAGGCCTCCTGAAGTCCCAGTGGTCGAATTGTTGTTGTTGGCGGCAGGTCCACTATTACCTCCAAAGGAAAACCCCGTGGTACCGCTACCTGTGGCGGCATTATTATTATTATTATTGTTGTTGTTGCCACCACCAAATAAACTTGTACCAGTCGTGTTTGAATTGCTATTGGCTGTGTTGCCAAAACTGAAACCACTGGTAGTAGCAGGTTTGGCTCCAAACCCCGACTGGGACATGGAGGAGGAGCCTGGATTGGCATTTCCGTTTGCTCCAAAACTGAAGCCCCCGCTAGGCTTGTTGGCACTTAGACCAAAGCCTGATGTCGTGTTTGTATTTGTTGCATTGTTGGTATTACCTCCAAAGGAAAAGCCTGTGTTGGGCTTGCTTTGGCCAAGAGAAAAGCCAGAGCCGCCGGAAGAAGTACCACCAAACATACTAAAGAGCTATATACTCTGGAAGAGGAATATGTAGTCTATCGAGTAGGCCCAACTGATTCCCGTTGTGGATCTAGCATGCAGTTTGTCGCAAAATAGTGGAAGACAGTTGAACTTGTGAAATTCATGAAGGGCACGAGGAAAAACCTGAGAAAATCTGGTGCACGGAGGGTTGCCGAAGGACGGCCATCTGAGTTCGTTCTCTTTCGTTTCTCGACATGAGAGGGTGACTTTGAACTTGTTCACCCTCTGCTCGTCGGGTTTCATTTTGATACGTATACGGGTTCCAGATAGAGACAACTACTCTTTTGCACTCTAACTTTCTCACACCGATTCGGAACACCAAAAATGGGTATGTTACATTACATGCGAGTTATTTGCCTTGTGGCCTCTTCAGACAGAAGCGTTACTAGCCTCGTGTCTCACCAATGGCGAACAATGCCTGCCCTGCTAGTTAATTCATCCAAAAGTGTCTAGTACTAACATGATATCTCATATGCATTTTACTTCCTTTTATTTACACAGGTATTCCTAAGTTTTTCAGATTAATTTCTGAGAGATGGCCGTTGATTACACAGGAAATCACGGTTGAGCAAGAAGTCGAATATGACAATCTCTATTTGGACATGAACTCGATCTTGCATAATTGCTCTCACTCAAATGATGGTGAGATTAGTCGGTTGACAGAGGAGCAGATATTTGGGGCGATTTTTGCATACATTGATTATCTATTTAATCTGATTAAACCTCAAAAGGTCTTCTATATGGCTATTGATGGTGTTGCTCCGAGAGCTAAAATGAACCAACAGAGAGCAAGAAGATTCAGATCTGCAGTTGAAGCAGAAGAACTTCTTAAAAAGGCGATAAAATCGGGCGAGCCGCTTCCAAAAGAACCAGCCTTTGATACCAACGCTATCACCCCTGGTACGCCATTCATGGCTAGGGTAACTGAAAACTTAAAATTTTACATCAATCAAAAAGTTTCTCATGACAAGCATTGGCAAGATATTGAAATTATATTGTCAGGCCATGAAGTTCCGGGTGAAGGTGAACATAAGATCATGGAATACATCAGAGTCCAAAAAGCACAGCCAGGATACAATGCCGACACAAGACATTGTGTTTACGGTTTGGATGCTGATTTAATCGTCCTTGGTATGGTTGCTCATGAACCACATTTTTCTCTTCTTAGAGAAGAAGTGACCTTTGGTCGTAATAAGAAGCAAATAACAGACGTTAGTGATCAGACGTTTTTCTTGTTACATATAAGTTTGGTTAGAGATTACCTCGAAGAGGAGTTCAGCACCCTCGGCGATGAGATCTCTTTTGAATATGATTTTGAAAGAATTCTTGATGATTTCGTGTTGATTCTTTACGTCATTGGAAATGATTTCTTGCCAAACTTACCAGACTTGCATTTGAACAAAGGTGCATTCCCATTGTTACTTCATACATTCAAGGAGGCAATGAGACGTACAGATGGATACTTGAATGAAAAGGGTAAGATTAACTTGAAGCGGTTATCTACCTGGCTGGATATTCTATCCATTTTTGAGTTGGAAAACTTTGAAGAAGGTGCAATTGACGTTGAGTGGTTCAATAAACAACTTGACAATGTTTCAAGGAAGGGTGAAAGAAAGAGAGAGAGACAAGGTAAGGAGTTATTGTTGAGACAACAAAAGAAAATGGTTGGATTAATAGGTAACTGGATTTTAAAAGTTTATCATGAAGATTTCAAGATCAAAGAGTTTCATCTTGATGATTCAAAAATACCTGAGTTATCATTGCCTTCAGACTTTTTTGAAAGCGAATTGAATTTATCATTCATCAGAAAATTTGCCCTTGACTTAGGCTTATTTATTGTTCATAATAAGACTTCAAACACATACACAGCTAAATTGGACATAGATGGTATCAACCCTGATGAAACAACAGACGAATACACTGAAAGGCTCGTTGAAATAAAGCAATGTGTTAGAAAGTATCAGAGCAGTGTTATTGTTGAAGATGAAGAATTGCTTCACTCAGAGGAAGACCTTTATAATGAGAAATTTGAGAACTGGAAGGACAAGTATTATAAAGACAAGCTTGGGTTTTCAATTCATGACAAAGAGTCTCTTACCGAAATGACTGAAAACTATATTGAAGGTCTACAGTGGGTCCTTAACTACTATTATACAGGTATTTGCTCTTGGCCTTGGTATTATAAGTACCATTACGCACCAAGAATCTCAGATCTTTCAACAGGGTTGAATGCCAAGATTAAATTTGAACTTGGTAAACCGTTTACTCCGTTTGAGCAATTGATGAGTGTTTTACCTGCAAGATCAAAAGAGTTGATTCCTGTTTGCTATAGACATTTAATGACTGATGAAGACTCTCCGATTATTGATTTCTATCCAAATGACTGTGAAGTTGATAAGAATGGTAAAACAGCTTCTTGGGAAGCTGTTGTTTTGCTATCCTTTGTCGATGAAAATAGACTCAAATCAGCTATGGCTCCGTTGTATTCAAAGTTGACTTTGGAAGAAAGACAAAGAAATAGTTTTGGTTACAATCTGATTTACAATTTCAACCCACAAATTCAAACTCTAATTAAGTCCCCATTGCCTTCGGCATTCCCTGATTTTGAGTCTCACGCAACAGAGCGTGAGTACACTCTACCATCTATGGAGGGGAAACATTTTATTATTGGATTGTTGGACGGTGTGAAAACCGGTGTTCATATGATGGCAGGCTTCCCAACTTTGAAATCAATTCCACACACTGCAAAACTTACAAACGCTAATTTGGTTGTTTTCCAGCAACCTACAAGATCAGAATCAATGGTCTTGACTTTGGAAAATGAATTCGAAAATATCTCCCCCGAACAGTTTGCGCAACTTTATTGCGATAAAATTGTTTATGCTAATTGGCCTTATTTGAGAGAATACAAGGTAGTTTATGTGACTGACTCTTTGATGAGATATGAGAAATCTAGAATCAGCGGCGGTAAAGTTGTTTCTTCACCATTAGAAGGTTATGAGATTTCTGATTATAATAAGAATGTGGGGGACATTGTTTATTCCATGCACAATAAAGTTGGATTACACTTTACCACAAAGGATATAGCAGACGAAATTATTGTTGGTAATGAAAAACCTTCCAAGAAAAAGAACGATAAATCTGAACCAATTGACGGTTTAGTGTACGCAAAAAAAGTTATTGGTGTTACACCTAACAACAACGGCAAGTTGATTAAAGTATTCTCTGACAAAATTGAATGCTTCCCAATACAGCTTGTTGTTTCTTCCATTGAGAATGCTGATGCTAGATTTGAAGAAAAAGATCCAGTTCCTCTTTCCGAGGAGTACCCATCAGGAACCCCTATTATCTTTTTAGGGAAAACTGCGTATGGCACTCCAGCTGTTGTAATTGGAACTGAGGGTAACACACTTGCTATTCAATTTTCTAAGCAAGAAACTCCAGAACCTTCTTATGGTTTGGATGCTGCAAAAGTTGAACATGACAGTATTGTTTTTAGGTCTGCTTTTGATACCTCTAAAATACTTGGTATTAAGGGTTACGTATTATCAAAAATCACTTCGAACTATATGATTTTTGACACAAATAATAAGAAAATCAATGTTGGTTTAGGCTTGAAGTTTGAAGGTAAAGGTATCAAAACTTTAGGTTACACCAAGAAGAATGGGAGATATTGGGAGTACAGTGATCTGGCTATCATTTTGATCCGTGATTACATGCAACAATTTTCAAAGCTTCTTTCTGCTTTGCAGAGCTACCAAAGCAATAACATTCCTAAAGCTACTGAGTTATTCCCTCACATGAATGAGGATCAAATTTCCGAAATATTGAGAAATGTTAAAAACTACCTTCTCAATAAGAAGGAAGGCTTAACTCAAGTTACCTTGAGTAGTGACTCTATGTCTAAATCTTCGATATCGAAAATTGAAGATCAGATTATCCACTATTCACAAACACCTCAGCCTGTAAAGACTTTCAAAGTGAAGAACATTCCAAGATTTGCGGTTCTCAACCCATCTGTTCCGGTTCTAAGATTGAAGCAACAACAATTCAGATTAGGTGATCGTGTTTTATATGTTTTAGTTTCTGGTAAGGTGCCACTATTCTCCAAGGGTACTGTTGTTGGTTTTAGGTCTTCAGAAACTTCTGTCTCTGTCCACGTTGTTTTCGATCTACCGATTTTGACTGGTAACAGATTCAATGGCAGATTGAAAACTCAACGTGGTCTTTCAGTCGACTCATCATCTTTGTTGAACATTTCCCTGAAACAATTTTTCTATGTCCCAAAGACTGGCAAACCTTTGTCAAACAAGACAAATAATACAAAGAAGGTTGAACAACGGAAGGAACAACGGAAGGAACAGAACAAGGAGAAAGAACTGAAGAAGGAAACCAAAAAGGAATTATTGTCTGTGATTTCTGGGAAAAAGCCGGCTGGGGAAGAAAATAGCTCCGAAGCAAAGGCAGCCGCTGAACCAGCACAACCCCCAACTCCGTTAGCTTCGAGTACCAGCAATGGTAATGATGCTAAGCGATTGTTGGATATGCTAGTGGGCAATGTCTCTGCGTCCCAAGCTTCCAACGGAAATGTTCCACAACCAACCTTTGGCGGATTCCCAGGTGCATTTGTTCCTCCAAATGGCATGAATGGTGGCTTTGTTCCTTCGATGATGCCATATCCGATGCCTATGATGCCTCCAAACGCCATGTATCCTTACATGCCGAACCCTCAGGCTCCTCAGGTACCTCAGGTACCTCAAAATGCTCACTCGCAGCATCCTGGTCCTGTTAGAGTAGATGTTGAAGGTTCTGCGCAAGTTTTGAATATTTTGAAGAACGGTAACGAGGAGAAGAACGGAGATTTTTCTGCGGAGCAAACCAGATCGAACGGTTCGGGCAGCAGAGGAGGCAACGGTGGCGCCAATAGGGGAAGTTTCAGAGGAAACCATAGGGGCGGCCCGAGAGGCGGCTTCAGAGGCCACCACAGAGGTAATGGCCGTGGTTCTTTTAGAGGATCCAGAAAGGAAGACCAGGTGAGCGGGAACTAAACGGCGCCAAAGGCGAACCTTTCCTCATCTCTCTTTCTTTCGTTGGTGTTTTATTATCTTTTTTTCTTGTTTTCGAATTGTATCTTATGCTTTTGTGCTATTTTTATTTGTATAATACAATGATTCTACTATTTTTTTGATGATATAATAATTATATGAAACTCTATTTTTTGTTTACCTGGGCGTCGTGCCATTTTTGTTCGAATCCGTTACCTCTAACAATTCCGTCCCAGCGCCAGCCCGGCTTCGTGTTGAATCGGTTCAGCGGGTACTGACCGACATTTCTGTATAGCTTCCTTCCTGTGATGCTGACAAACTGTTTTTCCAGCTCCTCCTCGTGTTTGCCGATGACCCCCTTATCGAACAGCAACGCCGGGTCCTCGGATTTGATAGCCTCCTTTTGGGCCTTGACCAAGCCTTCGTCCTTCTCGTACACGTTGATTCCCTCATTTCGGACTTGTTGCAAACGCTCCTGCATCTTTCTCTCCTTTGCAGCTCCTGCTTCGTCTCTATTCAGCTGCTCGATGCGCCTTCTCCGCTCTCTGTCGTCCTCTGCCCGTTTCCCGTTCTCACGGGCATCTCTCACCTCGGCGTCGGTCAGTTTTCTTCCCGAGGCGTCACGGTGGACAGTGGTATGCATCCGATCGCCAAGCTTCTTCAGACCTTGCAACTCTTTCCGCATCCTCTCCTCCTTGCGTGCGAGCTCTGCCGCTATCTCCTCCTGACTCTGCAAACCACCCTCTTTCCTTTTGGTACTCGCTGCCGCATCGTGCATCTTGGGAACCGCAACTTCAGCGTTCGTTTCCACGCTGACCCATCGTCCTAAACTCTCAGGCGTCTCTTCAGCCTTCTTTATCTTCTTGCTTGGGCCTGCTTCGGCACCGTCCTTGCCGTCTTCACGTTCTCTCGGCACTGGCTTGTCACTCCTTGCATCTTCCCGTAAAACCTTCACCTCCTTCCGCTTTCGCTTCTTTTCGCCGCTGTAATTCTTCGCTATGTAATCTTCAAGAGAAGCAGCCATGTTTGAGTCATTCACTGTGCTCTCTAGGTTTGTTTTCCCCTCCTGAACGGCCCTCCTGTCTCTTCTTTCCGTCTTCCAGAAGGATTGAACTTTTCATTTCGCCGTCGATCGCCTCTTTCCGCTCGAAAGCCGCGATTTCCCTGCCGCCAGCCGCTGTTGCGGGAACAAGGAAAGAACAGGGGTGGACTTGAGGATCACGGACGGCCTGCAAGAAGAGAGGACAAGCAGTAAGCGTAGCTCAGAAAGATAGAAAAAGCATTTTTTGCCAGCGGTAAAAGCCGAAATAGACGAAGACAAAATGAGCTTTGAGGATTGGAGAAGAATAGACGTGGACAAGTACGACCCAGACTACCAGTACACTCCGGATGAGCTTCCAGAGGAGAAGGCCGGGGCTACGGCCGCCGACATGCAAGCACTGACACAGACGTTGCGTGGCTTGATACAACGGATGGAAATTGCGCAAGCGTTTGCCACTGCCATTGAGTACGCTCCGTACGGGGCAGCGGAAGAAGTACGAGTCTCGTTTTTGAAGGCCGTGTTTGAGATTTTTGTGAGCGTGAAGATGAACGACGTTGCCGGGATCACCAAGCAGCTGGACCTGGACACGCTGGACACCGTTGTCAAGTTTTTGTACACGCTCATGGGAAAGGACTGGGCGCTGAAACAGTCTGGGTTGCTCCTTGTTTGGCTCGACAAGATTGTCGAACAAGTCGGCGAAGGCCCAATCATACGGTACTTGAGCGATCCATACAAGCTCTAAGGGTCCGCCTTCCACACTACTTTCCGGACACTGTTTCTGTAGTGATATTTTTCTATAGCCATGTATTTCTGTGACATTTTCTCCGAGAAAACCCCAGTAAATCCGACCAAGGCGGAAGACAAGACAGAGGCTTGAAGGTTTACCGCGCCAAGTGTCGTTTTGGTGCACGCTTTGTCTGTCACAGGTGCTATGATGATGAAGGCTCTCCGAGATGAGCTGCGTAGAATCCTACTGTACTAGCGTCGGACTACCCGGAAGACTTGCATCTGCACAACCAATACGCATACGCATCTGAAATGGCGAGAAAGAAGAGTAGCAAGGGGAAGGCAAAGAAGGATGCCATGCCAAAAACCGGTGCAGAAAACAGTATAGAGAGAAAGAACGTTGACGAACTGGACATGAATTGGACTCCAGCTGAGCTTGACAAGGCCGAAGACCGCTCGGATAACGAAGCTCCGGAAGACGTAGATGGAGAGGCTGACGAAAATGGAGAGAAAGAAGAAGAGGAGAAAAAGGAGGAAGAAAAAGAGACTGACGGACGTGGAGATGGTAATGGTGACGAAGAGACTCTGTCGAGTGAGGCGCAAGCCCCTGTGCCTGGTGAAATAGCGCAGGATAGAGGTGAGGAAGTTGAAGATACACGTGAATCTGACAAAGAGGATGTGGGTGCTGAAGAAGAGGACAAAAAGCAAAGAGAGGAGAAAGCCGAAGGAGACGGTGAAGGAGACAGTGAAGGAGAAGGAGAAGAAGAAAAAGATGAAGAAGAACACAACGACTCCACCGCTAATAGGTTTGTCATTGTCGATTCGGAAGACGAAGAGGAATTTGAAAAGGAAGATATACTACAGAATGAGAAGATCAAGGACGATGTGATAGAGAAGTCAACAGTAAAACCTGAATCTGATAGTCTGCTTAACAAGCCAACCGAACCTGAAGCTAAATCTGCGAGTGAAGAGCTTCCTGAAACTCCATCAATAGTTATTACACCCCAAGAAGAGCCGAGGGAAACTCCATTAGTGACAACCGAAGATACAAAAATGGAAAAGGAAAGCAAGGTAGAAATCGGACAGCAGCCTTACGACCCCGAAGGTGGACAAATCGCCAGTCATGAATCTAGAAGTTCTGCCGAACCTCGCGATCTTGCATTCATAACCCCTACCCCACTTTACAGGTACATTGAAAACAAGGAAACACGAGACAAGATGAAAAGTTTAACGTCCAACTTTGTGTTTGGCCTGGCAGTCGTCGATTTCGACCATATCAAGGGTCCGGAACTGACATATTGGCTGGATGATGAAGTAATTTCGGCACAAGACGAGGGTCAGTCAGATAAAAGCATTCAAGGGTTGCTGCAGCAGAAAATCAGACATTATTCCAAGATTTGGCCGTACCTAGCGTTTCAAGCATTGCCCGATGGTGTGCACATGTACGGGGAGACATTTACCCAATTCACTCTCTGCTATGACGAGTTGAAAAAAACCGATGTCGAACTAGACTTTGACCTCGTCGACCTTGTCTTCGATGACGAGGCACCAAAAGCAAAGACTGGCATTGGTGCTAAAGTGGAACAAAGCGACGTAGGTGCAGGTGCAGATGCAGAAGCGGAAGCGGACGCAGATGTTAGTGTGAAAACAGAGACAGATGCGAATGGAAATTTTGTCAACGTTGACTTCACCAAAACTGAGCAGGCGACTGGAGATGAAACATCATTAGAAAAGTCGAGGACCAGGCCGGTGGTTGAGATGGAAGACCCCAACCAGGGCGTGATCACACTATTTGGTTGTGCGTGTATCAGACAACTGGATACTGCGTTGCTGAAAAACATCGACAAGACTCATTTGAAACGTAGCGTTGTTCAGAAATCTGTGATACTTCTTACCAGGTCTCCGCTTCCTATTCAGCTACGCGAGAAGTTGAGTATAATCACCCAAAGCTGGTTTGAGCAGCGTGATTTCAGCGACCGTGAAATATTGAAGGCTTTGTACGTCCATGTTTCGAGCACGTACAACCAAAATGGGTACTTGATTGAGGACGACGATCTTTATGAGGTGAACAACAATAACAACAGCAATAGCACAGTGGAAGACAGTTGCAAGATTATCAAAGAAAGTGACTTCTATATGGGGTTGAACTTTCAAGAGGTTGTTCGGAAGCTGCGTAGGCAACTACTGGTTATTTTCAAATGCCTGGTTTTAGGGAAATCTCGGATTCTCTTCTTTTCGAAGGACTTAAACGCGCTATCGAACACCCAGTATTGTTTGATTGGACTTATATCCAACCTACTTTTGAACTTGTCCGACAGTGGGTACCCATTGAGTGACAACTTTCTTCACGAAGAGAAGATGACGAGCCAGTCGCTGAAAAGTTCCGACCGGGCGTCAATATTGAGGTTTTTGGGGCTTCCGTTGAGGATCTTTGGGTTTGGCTCCTTTTTCCAGCCGTATCTGACGTTGCAGCAACTCTCCTACATCACGAACATCAACACAAAGAGCTTTGTTGTTGGGTCGAGCAACGACATCATTCTGGAGCACAAGAAAGACTGGTTTGACGTTATTATTCATTTGGATGAGAAGGAGTCGGGGCTTTTTGGAAGCGGTGGATGCAAAGTTGAGATTCTGAACAAGTCCTTGAAGGACAAGGTTGGGTTGACATGGGATGACAAGAAGTTCATTGATTACATCATCCACTCTGTTGACACACACTATCTACAGGATGCGAAGGAGAGGCCTGAGGAGCAGGAAGGGGAAGAGAAGGAGAAGGCAGACGAGGAGAAGCACGACGCCGGATCCGCCACGACGGCTACGACCAGCAGCGCTGCCGGCAGCGGCGAGCACCGGAGCACCCGAGAACAGATCAAGTCCAAGACGGTGAACTCGAACCTGTCGATTGACAACGGGGTTTACAAGGGCGGCGACGACTTCATCCGGAGCCAGTTCGAGGACTACCTGATTGGGTTTTTGAGCTGCGTCAAGTACCACGACTTTTTGCGGCGGCAGGCGACGAGGGAGAAGGAGAAGGAGGTTGTGGAGCAGCTGCGGCTGGACACGTTTGACAACGACATCGCCAGGTTTGGTGCCCGCTGGGTGGAGGAGTTCCGCCGCAGCCAGGTGTACGAGCACTGGAACGAGATCACCGAGAACGAGCTCTTCAACTTCTTCGAGCCCAGACACGTCGGCAAGGACATCGGCAAGGACGACGCTGCAGAGTACCAGTTCAAGGGAGGCGACGTCTTCAAGAGCTGGATCAGCAGGTGGAAGGAGGCCGGACGATCCCCGGCCCCCAGCCCCGGTCCTGGTTCTGGCGCTGGCGACGCCGAAACAGGCAAGGTAGCCCACGCAGACTCGGCAGATAGGGGAGATAAGCGAGATAAGGGAGATAAGGGCGGCGCCGGGGAGGGTGCGGATAAGGCGCACGAAGGTAGGGGCGCCGACCCCGCTGCCGCCGCCGCTGCGACGGTGAAGACGACGATGAACACCTTTGGCCGGGACGTGGGGCTCTTCTTCCGCAAGATCGGAGACAACACCAGCCAGCGTCTCTACAGCAGCAACCCCAGCACCGATAAGGACGCCCCCGCCGAGGAGCATAAACAGCCGGAGGACGTTCCGGCGAGGGCCAAGCCCTGCGCCGAGGCTGACGCGGCCGAAAGGGGCAACGCAGCCGACACCGAGGGTGCCCCAGGATCCGGCCTCGAGAGCCGGCTTCGGGGGCTGTTCCAGTGGGGGAAGTAGCAGCACCGCTGGCGCCAGGCCTCTCTCTGTACATACACACCTGCAGCAGCGGGACATAGATACACACACACGTAACACAGATGCAGCACACACCGTAGTTCGCCCGGCCCCGCTGTGGCGGGAGCGCTTATCTCTGCTGCCCGCCCGGAAAGCCGGCACACACGCAAAGGTCCCTCGCTCGCGGGGCAGGGCGGTTGGCCCGGCTGCAAACAGGCTGGGGCGGGGACGGGCAGCACAGATAAGACGCAGAGACGGAGCAGCCAGACAGCCAGGGGTCGACCGGTGTGGAGTAGACCCCGGCAGACAGGCAGACAGGCAGCCCCCCGGGCCCCCGGCCCCCCCGCGGTCGCCCGAGGCACGAAGCAGAATAGGCGGGGGTGCAGACGTCTCGCCATCTCTCTCTTATCTCGAGGAACGCTCGGGCCCTCTTCACTGCCCCATCGCTATCTCCCGCCTGCTGCTGCTGTGGTTTTCTCCTCCACCACAGTTTCGTGTGCCCGAGCTCTGGGCTCCTCCGTCGCCCTCGGGTGTGCACACGCCCTTCTTTCTTGTGCTGCTCTTGCAGAATCGCCTCTGCTCTCGGCCTGTCCACCCGGCCTCCAGCCCTCTCCCCGACAGACAGACTTGTAGCGGGAAACAGATCAAGCGTCCGCCGCCTCCCCATTTACGTTACCACCGCCCCGACGCCCCGACGCCCCGACGCCCCGACGCCCACACGCACACACGCCCCGCAAACAGACCACAGGATGCCACGAGCAAAGAAACAGAGCAACAGCAAGCACCAGTTCGACGGCACAGACAAACACCGGTACCCGAACAACTACCCCGTGCACGAGTACAGCGCCCGGCTGGTCGGGCTGATGGACGAGGCGCACGCAAGCAGCCAGCGGGTCCGCATGGACGCCATCAACAAGAACCAGTACAACACGACGCTCCCCGTGGACGACTCGTCGCCCGACCAGGCCATCCACCCGTCCTTCACGATGGGCGCCGTCGCCTGCGAAGGCGTGCAGAGCCACCCGGCAAGAGACTTCGTGACGGTCTACGAGTACAAGCTGGGCAACCACGTGATCCTCTGGGACTACGTCATTGGATGGGTGTACATCACGTCCATCTGGAAGGCCGTGGGGAACTACAAGGCAGACGTGTTGAAGTTGGTGTCGACGTCGCCGGAGATCAAGAACAAGGTGTACAAGACCAAGGGCGGCTGCTTGAAGGTGCAGGGCACGTGGATCCAGTACGACGTGGCGAAGCAGCTAGCGGCGAGGTTCTGCTGGCCCATCCGCTTTGCGCTCGTGCCGCTCTTCGGCTGCGACTTTGTCGACCTGTGCTTGCACGCCGGCCAGCCCGGCTACGGCCTCTTCCAGTTGGCGGTGTCCGAGAAGGACTTGAACAAGAAGAAGCGCAGAAAGAGAAAGCTCAGCCTCAAGGGCACCGACACGCCTGCCGCCGGTCTTGCCGCCGGGCCCGCCGCCAGCGCCAAGAGAGACCGGGCGGTTTTCTCCGACGCCGACGACGAGGACGACGCCGACTCCAGCGACGACACCCTCCGCAAGCGCAGAAGCACGCCCGCCACGGGGACACACCCAAAGGGCGCCCCTGCCGAGCGCCGCCAGCACGCCTACTCGAGTCCCCAGCTCGACACCCCGTTCCACTCCCCAACCTCGCTGTCCCCCTACTCCGGACAGCCCCTGTTCCCCGCCAGGGACTCCAAGCCCACCTCCGCCTCCGCCGCCAGCTCCGCCGCCAACTCCGCCGCCAACTCCGCCTCCTCCTCCTTCTCCCTCTCCTCATCCACCTCCCTCGGCTCCTACCACCACTACACGCCGTCGGCCCCCGCAGACCTCCTCGTCTCCCCCTACTCGGGCAAGCTCTACCGCAGCGCCAGCATCCGCAGCGCCAGCATCAGCACCACCAGCGGCACCCGGGACGCCGTCCTCATGTTCCCGAAGCTCAGCGTCTCCGCCGCTGCTGACGACAACTACAAGTTCAGGTTCCACGGCCCCGCCAACCACCGCAACTACGTCTACAACACCGCCGACGGCCCGCCCTCCGCCGCCCCCTGCTCGGCCTCGTCTTCCCCGGCCTCCGCGGCTGCTGCCGGCGCCGCCGGCGCCGCCGGCGCCGCAGTCCCAGCAGCCCGCCCACGCGCCCCCGCCGACTTTTCCGAGCAGTGCGTCCCCCGCACCTCGTCCGCCGCCGGCGCCAAGCACCGCCGGTCTTCCACCTCCCTCCTTGACTCGCTTCTCCGCGTCGTGTCCCAGGAAATCAGCGGCTTCGGCGGGCCTGCGCCCGCGGCCCCCGCTGCCGCCGCCGACGACGACGCCCCGGTCCCGCCCGTGCCTCTCAGCGCGATGCTCACAGTCAAGCCTATCTCGCTTGAAGACTACCGCTGCTAATGGCCGCCTCCGGGCGGCGAGGGCAAACGGGGCGGGGCGGGGCGCGGTGCTATCTGGGGGCTCGCACGTTTGGCCGCCTTGGGTGGGTGCCTGCTTGGGTGCACACGTTTGGAGTCGTCTCGGTTGGTCGTTCGATTCGATGGTTCCGGATCTCTGGAACGGTGTCTTTTCTTTTCTTTTCTTGTCTTGCCTTCCGCTTTGATCATGTCCGCCTCCCCTCCGCCTCCTCTCTCTTGTTCTCTGAAGCATACCGAGCCTTGCTTTGCTTATCTTTACTCTGCGTTACTCCCCTGGGTCCATTTTTCTTGTCCTTTATTTCTTGTTGTTTTTGTTTCCGTTCTAGTTCTTTGGTCTCTGACTTTCTCTTTGCCTTTGTCCCGATCCCGTTGTTCTTTCCTCTTTTGTACACTGTATATTCCCCAACGCCCGTCCACGTCGGCAAGCACTCGGATCCGCACACCTGTCTGCATACACACCCAGATCACAACGCCCCGCCGCCACGCCAGCGAAGCAACAGCGAAGCAACAGCAACAGCAACAGCAACAGCAACAGCAACAGCAACAGCAACACCAGTTATATGACACTGCCCACACTGCCGCAGTTCCTCTTCTCCACCCTCAACGAAGCTAGAAATGGCTTGTCATTCCAAGAAATCTCCTTCCTCACCTTCCAGGCCGTGGTGCAGGTGTTCCTCATCTGTCTCTCCGGCTTCTGGGCGGCGCAGTCGAACTTGTTGAACAACGAAGGCGTCAAGATCATCTCCAAGTTGAACGTGGACTTGTTCACGCCCGCGTTGATCTTCTCCAAGTTGGCAAGCTCCCTCTCCTTGAAGAAGCTCATGGAAGTCATCATCATCCCGATCCTCTACGCAGTCACAACCCTGGTCTCTTACTACTCGTCCATCCTGGTCTCCAGATGGCTAGAGTTGACTGAGCCGGAGTCCAACTTTGTCACCGCAATGTCCGTCTTCGGCAACTCAAACTCCTTGCCTGTCTCCTTGACTTTGGCCTTGGCGTACTCGTTGCCCGACTTGGAGTGGGACGACATCCCGGACGACACCCCAGACAAGATCGCATCCAGAGGCTTGATCTACCTCTTGATTTTCCAGCAATTGGGCCAGATGTTGCGTTGGTCCTGGGGTTACAACAAGTTGTTGGCCAAGCAACCCGACCACGTCATCTTCTACGGGTCCACCTACAGCACGGAAGACGACCACGACCTGAACACCATCGAGAGCATGAACACGATCAGCTCCAGCGCCAATGACAGCTCCTTGGCTTACAACGAGGCTTCTAACTTGGAAAACAGAGTCCTCCCATTGTCGATCCAGAACAACGCCTCGAATATCACCAAGACTTTGAGAGATCAGCCCAACAGCAAAACCACCTCTTCGAGCTCCAATACCAACGTCAACGTCAACTATCTAACTGCCAACTACGGTAATGGTGAAGGAGACGATGACGATGAGTGTGGCGACGGAGATTCCACCACTCAGCTTATCGAAGAATACCCTAGCACCACCTCCGGCGCAATGTCATCTTCGACGTCTTACGGAAACAACAACCAACATGGAGAAGATTCAGAAGACAAGGAAGTCGAGAGACCATTTCTGGTGAGAGTGCTCCTCGGGTTCTACAACTGGATGAACCCGCCACTCTGGTCCATGCTAGCCGCCATGGTAGTGGCGTCTATACCGCCTTTGAAGGCTGCATTTTACGAGAACAACGGTTTCGTGCAACACACGTTGGCCAGTGCGATCAAACAGCTCGGTGGAGTCTCCATTCCGTTGATCTTGGTTGTTTTAGGTGCCAACTTGGCCCCTTCCAGCGATATACCGCCGGCATGTCCGCACTACAAGAGGATGATACTCGGCTCGTTGCTCGGCAGAATGGTTCTACCATCGTTGATCTTGCTACCGATGATTGTCCTCTCCGTGAAATACATCAGCTTGAGCATCATGGAAGATCCGATCTTTTTGATTACAAGTTTCCTTCTCATCACATCGCCGCCGGCCATCCAGTTGAGCCAAATTTGCCAGTTGAACGAGTTGTACCAGAAGGAGATGGCCGGCGTTTTGTTTTATGGGTACGCCATCTTGACGCTCCCGGTCACCATCGTAGTTGTTGTAACATGCATCGAAGCAATGAAGTGGTCCCAAGCATGATACATACATATATTTCTATATAGTAAATTATTAATTTATGAAATGAGAGCAATTTCGGGAAGGCAGCGAAGAACAATAGGAAAGGATACGTCTGCATCTCTTCACGCTCTGCCCTATTACAGCCAAACTCTTGGCGACAGCACCCGGTTCCTCTAACTTATCGTCTATCTTATCATAGGAACGGAGTGGATACGCATGGTAGAAGGCGCTGACGTAACCCTTATCCTCTCCCCGGGAGTGGCGCGGAGGTTCCTGTGCTGTTTGCGGCGAAATAGGGTGGCGATTCCCAAAGGCTGGACATTGCTCCTGCCTCGTTTTCGGCTTGTACATTTTTCTCGCAATTTAAATTGCCATGCGCTTGTGTGACCGTAAGGGTCTGCTTAGGTGTGTAGAGCAGCAACATTAACAGCAACAGCAATAGCACACCGCAAAACAGAGCTACGTGATACAAGCGATTGCACTCATACATCCCACTAGAAATGCCGAACTTTGTTTTTAAATGGTGAGTGTGTTCCTCGGAGGCGGGCCTGGCCGTGCTGCAGGCAGAGAAGCAGCGGGAAACGAAGGGAAGAATACTAACACAGAGCAATTGAGCGACCGCCACATGCTACAGGCCTGCTGACAAAAAAGTCAAGGACGTGATTGTGACGGGGACCTTTGACAACTGGTCAAAGACCTTGCCGTTGGTGAAGAGGCCGGACGGCTCGTTTGAGCTCGAGGTGCCTCTTGCCAAGGGCACGGAGAAGATTGAGTTCAAGTTTGTGCTCAACGGCGACGAGTGGGTCACCAGCGACACGTACTGGACTGTTGTCGACGAGACGGGCAACACGAACAACTACATTGAGTTTGCCAAGGACGGCAGCGTTGTGAAGGCCGAGAAGAACATGGGCAAGACTGAGTTTGGCAAGACCGAGAACGGCAAGACCACCCAGCCTGCCATCATTCCCGAAAGCGGCTTGAGCATGGGTTCTGCAGCTCCTGCTGCGGGCGCCGGTGCTGCAGCTGGCGCTGCAGTTCTAGCGCACGGCAAGAAGGAGCCGGAGGAGGTGAAGCCCACTGTGATGCCCAGCCAAGAGGGCGTGCAGACCACGCTCGGGGAGCCTGGTGTGGTTGTTCCGGAGAACCCGCAGGAGATCAGTGCGTTCAAGGAGGTGAGAAACGTGGACGCCAAGAAGCTGAACGCGGACATCAAGGAGCAGGAGGCGGCGGCGGCGGCAGCTCCAGGCAGCGCAGCCAGCAGCGAGGGCAAGGCCAAGTACGTGAAGAAGGTGAAGAAGCTGGTGTCGCCGGAGGAGGCCAACAAGGCCGAGGCTGACGCTTCCGCCGGCGCCACCGCTGACGCCAAGGAGACGCCTGCGAGCGCCGGCACCGCGTCGACCACCGCCACAGGCACCGCCAGCACCGCTGCTTCAAAGGACAAGGGCAAGAGTCCTGCCAAGAAGGACACTGCGCCAAGCACCGCCGCGTCCTCGAAGACTGCGTCGTCGGCTAAAAAGGAGAAGCGTGGCTTCTTCAGCAGGGTCAAGAAGGCTTTGTCCTAGACTGGCTGCCCCGGCGGTCTGTCCGCCGCTGTTGTACAACCATTTTTTCTGTTTCTGTTTCTGCTTCTACTTCTAATCTTTTTTGTGACTCCTCCTGTGTCCGACACGACACCTTCTGTTATACTGTACTGTACCCGATATACGTTGAACACGCATCATGTATGTATGTACCGCGCACCGCCACCGCGCACCGCCACATGCACCAGCCCCAAAGCCTCCTCCCACCCCCTCCCCCTCCCCCCGTTCCTTCGCCCGCCTTCGCTTCCCTGGCTTTGTCAACTCCAGTGAAGGAAAACATTTTCGCCGTTCCCATCCATGCACCTGCAACGTCGCCAAGCAGCGTGCGCTTTCAGGGACAGTTTGTGCTCTCCGCCGCGCCCGCCCGCGGGCCAACCAGCACGCGCTATTGCAGACGGCATTGCCCCCGGCGCGCAACAGGGCTATCTTCTGTGCGTCAGATGGCTGCACGCAGTGGTCCGTGCACCCCGCGCATGACGCATCACCGCGGGTGCTAGTGCGCAACGCTAGCACCGGCACTAATGCTCAATGCACTACCGCTAGTCTGCATTGGGATCTGCGGGAACCCGGCCCGCCACCCACGTCTGCCCCACCCCGCGGCACCTTGGCGCATCTTCTCCCACCGGCCAGTCTCGGCGCGCGTCTTTGCTGCTGCACCCTGCTGTCGGCGCTCCGTGGCCCCGCCGGAATCGGGCCGATGTCCGCTTGCGTGGGGGCGCTGCGTGGCTTAGCCGCCCCCGCGCCTCACGCCCTCGCCCGCGGCCCAGCACCCGGTCCAGCCAAGCACCGGCCACCCGCCGGCGGCCCCTGACGCCAGGCCCTCTTGCCGGCGATGGCGCGGCGCGCCGCTTGCGCTCGGCTGGCCGCCGGTAGCAGAACTCTGCAGCGGGCCGTTGGTGCATGCGGTTATACCCCTGTACATCCTCCACGTACAGAGATGCCAGGCCCTCACAGGTGGGGGTCCCTGGCCCCGGGATTGCAATGCCGCTGGGCGTAGTTGTTCATATAGCTGGCTGGCTGCCCCGTCTGTACACAGACGGCTCGCACAACGGCGCAGCGTTAGACAGGGAGTCCGAGTGGCAGCAAAGAGACGGACGTTTCCACCGCTTCGCATCCGTGCCCGCCGCCTGCCTGCCTGCCGCCGCTTCTGCAGTCTTCCGTGTGTGTTTCATACATCATATATGGCAGGAAAATAGCAGTTATCAGAGGAAGAAACGCCAGCGACAGCCGCAAACATGGTGGAAACCCCACGATCTAGCAAGTACAGCATCTCGAGCCTTGTGTCTGCGGATCCGCAGCACACCCGGGGTGCCAGCAGCACGCCTGCATCCGCATCCGCATCCGCATCCAGGGCCACAGTTACAACGACGCCGCTGAAGAAGGACAGCTCGTCTCGGTCGCACATACGAGACTTGTTGAATCCACGAGAACCGAGGCCCGGGAACGAGGCGTCGGCGGAGCCGCCTTTGGCTTCCTTCCCCGGATCGGTGTCCCGGGCGTCCTCCGGCGCCACGGATGCCTCGTGTGTCGGCACAACCTCCTCCGCTGACACCGTCAGCACCACGCCAAACGAAACGCCTATACGACAGCCGCGGTCTCCGCAGGAGAGCAGAGTGAAAGAGGAGGGGCACAAGCACGAGCACGAGCACGAGCACGAACACGACGACGACGACGAAGAAGGGCAAGAAGAGGAGGAAGAAGAGGAAGAGGAGGAAGAGGAGGATAGCAAGGGTTCGGAAAAGCTCACGTGCCGGTGGCAGGGCTGCTCGGCGGAGTTCGACGACGCCAAGCCGCTGTACGAACACCTCTGCGACTTCCACGTCGGCCGCAAGTGCAACAGAAACTTGTCTTTGCGCTGCAAGTGGGACGACTGCCAGACCACCACCGTCAAGCGGGACCACATCACCTCCCACCTTCGCGTGCACATCCCCTTGAAGCCTTACGTCTGCAAAACGTGCTCCAAAAACTTCAAGAGACCACAGGACTTGAAAAAGCACACACGCACTCACATCAACAGCACCCCGAAGGACCACAAGAGGTTCTACGACGACTTGACAAGCAAACGCTCTTTCGAGGAGATGAGCTCCTCCACACTTTCATCGCCCCTGTCTTCCTCCTGCGAACCCTCCCTGAAAAGACCACTTTTCCAGCATTCGATTACGGACTCGCAACTCTCCTCGAGATACATATACAAGCAGCTGCAACCGAATTCAAATCTCTACTCGGGTTGCCTGCAATACCCGCCCCCACCGTTCAAAGTGCAGCCCCAGATGGGTCCCGGACCCTACCCGCAGCCAGCACTGCCGCAGGCAGCACCTTTAGCGGCACCGCCTCACCACTCCTCGCAGGGGTATTATCCCTTCCAGTTCTCGAGTCCGCCAATGCATCACCAACCATACTACCACCTCCCACCCCGCCTACAGCCGCAGCGTATCCACTCATCTCCATCTCCACAGCCACCGCCAATGGCCTTGCCGCAAGAGCAGATACAGCCGCAACAGCAACGTTTCTACTCAACTCCTTTTCCTCCTTACTCAAAAATCCAACCACACCCCCTACGACATCTTAATTCATCATTCACCCCTCCACCTTCCGCAACCCCCGCTGGCGGTGGCAGAGCTCCTCCAAACGTTCTGGAACGTCGCTTTCCCGGCAGCCCTAGTGTGCCACTATCAATTTCGCCGGCTCCAGCCCCTCCTCCTTTGCCACTACGGCACGACCAGTTGCACCCATCCCAGTCGCAAACCAGGTATGCTCAAAGTTACGACAACACTGTAGCTAAGGAATCATGCACTTCGGCGCCTGCAGGACAGACTTCTAATGTAGGATTGGCTGGGCCTTCTACAACTACATATAATACCAACCCTGTCCCACTCTCCTACAGACGTGTATAGATTTACATATAACGACTGTAAAACAACAACTTAATAGCATCGAAGCAGCATATCTCAACAACGTAAATTAGACGGCTGCAATCTGAAGATTGATCTATGCCTCACAGCACATTCATTCAATGCTGCAGCATAACTTTTTTAATAGTTTTTTTATGCACTTAAAGTCTACTTTCCCCTTAATTTGAACAGAAACAGCTCGGCCGCAACCCCATAAAAACTACTATCAATGTCAGCCACCGATCCGGGAACCAAGATCTGAGTCTTCTTCATGTACAGATTTTCCCTTCTTTCGCACTTTCGCAAATGTGCATTTTCTCACGTTGTTACCATATTGGCCCTCCATTGTGACAAACATGACCGAGCCTCTCCTTCCTTGCCGCCATACACCTTTTCTACGCAATCCATGGGGTCATTCAACGAGTGACCTACATCTCACTTTCAAAGACCACTACACATACATAAATAGACAAACTTGAATATGCCGACGGGAGCGCCCTCCGGCACACGGACTCAGACACAAACAATCCAGATACCAGATATACCCACCCTTCATCTTCGTGCTTCAGCTACCCCCGAACAAGAATCTGAAGAAAATACCAACTCTAACAAGAAGACGAAAAAAAAAGTTTCGTGGGAAGAAGATGTCGTAGATAATGAGAATATGGGAAAGAAAAAGACAAAGATCTGTTGTATATTCCACCCACAAGATGAAGACGCATATGAGGTTGAAGATGGGTCTTCTTCCTCTAGCTCAAGTTCGAGCTCTTCTTCGGAAGACGAAGGAGAGATAAAGGATCGTGCAGAACCTAATGCTTATGAAAGGCAACCAAAATATAAAAAAAAGAAGAAATTGAGCAAGGAATCTTCGTCTGATAATCATCATAGCCATTCTCACGGACCTGACAATCATGCACATTTCGAATCTCATTCACACACGCATTCTCATTGATTATATTATATAGGACCTTTTAATACGAAGTATAATCATTTTACCTAATAAGAAGTACAAAACTAATAACTAATCAGTCAAATAATTTAAATTTAATTCGTATCTCATCAGATATTAATTTCCAAATTGATCAAAAGAGTGTAAACCTCCCTAGGCATCTTGTACTTGATTAACCCAGCATATATCATACAATTTTTGGAGATTTGCTTCAAATCGTAAAGTTTGGCATCGTTACCCATCGATGAGTAAGTCAGAGAGGAAATTAGCTTTTGCAAACAAGTCATTTCAATAATTAGCAACTTTGGTATGTTCTTCATAATACATTCATCATAATTGCTGAACTCGTTTATGTAGTTCCTGATCTTCGAAATATCATTGTTAGTCATAATTGGAATCAATTCAAGACACTTGATTTGATCTATGATTTTCATGCACTTGTTACCAAGTTCCTTGTCATTACCAAACTCCTTGATTATCTCAAAAATATCCAATAATTTTCTGCAAGTGACTCTATTCTTGGCAGAAGTCTTCGACAAAATTTCTGGAGAAGCGTTGTAAACCTTCAGCAAATTATCGCTAAGTTTGATAATATTGTTTTCATCGTCCGTTTCAGTAGTGCCTGGAATATCACTGATAGACTCAAAGTTATTAGCCAGATCTATTGAATTTATAAAATCGCCAAGTAATTTGTTGACAATTTTCAAGACTGTGTCATATTCTTCACTCAATTGATAAAGCAGTATACAGTCAATTAATCTGCCGTCTTCACTGGCCTTCTGCGCAGCCTTTTCAGCAATATTGTCCAAAAATGCATTTTCGTCTTCTAAATAGATCAGTGACTTTCTCTCTTCAATAACACCAGGAATTCTCATGCCATTTTTTGTAATTTTTCCTAGTAATAAAACAAACTCTCTTGTTTCTAATACCAATTCACGAACAGCTTCATGACAAAGTTCAATCTGCTCTTGCTTAAAAGTCTCATCAGACCCTTCACTCAAACATATCAAAAAAAGATATTCTGCTGCAACCCTTGGATCACTAAACTTGAAAGTTTTCACATAGTTACCAACCATTCTAGCAAAATTAATCGATTTGAATCCTTGAGAGTCAACGTTCAATAAATTTTCTGCAAAAGAAGGATTTGTCTTTTCATCAGAAATTCTAATAAGACCATAATAGTTTAATGTGATTGCTAAATGAACTGCGTCTATTTCATTGCTGAACATCAAATACTTGATGGCATCCTCATATAGCCCAACAAGTAGTAGAGTTTGAAGGTACATAGGATTTTTGGAAGAGCTGTTGAAGGCATCTACGCCAAACTCAAGTACGCTCTTTTGTAAGTCAAGTAAACTGTATGTGTCATTAGTCACATTCTCGTTGGCATCATTGAATATGATATCAGATTCAAAGGTAGAAGAATCATCCTCTTTTATCAGGGACAAATGTAGCCATAGCCAGTCTTCGATACTTAATGTAATAGAAGGTAGCGTCTTTCTGGCCAAATCACATCTACCGATGATTTTGTAAGTTGCATAACGATAAGGATCAATGTCCTTAGTAGAGTTCTTGAAATATTGGTTGAACTCATTATTGAGTCTTCCTTGCAATTCTTGAGGTAGTTTTCTTTCTTTGCTTTCACAATATGATTTCAGATAAAGCGAAAAGGACTTTTCGAGTTTTTGGAACGAGCTTTCATATCTTGAAACAAAAATTACGGCTTCTTCATAACAACCCGCTCTTAATAAGTAAAATAGGATTGCCCAAAGAGGTAATCCATTTACAAATGTCATATTTGGAACCTTCCAGCTTTTTTGCTTGGTTTTCAAACTCATCTCAATAAAATTTACCACCTTATCAACGTTTGGGGTTAATGATTTTGCTTGATCAAATTTAGAGAGATCCTTCATAGATGGAGTCTTGTTAACGGAATACAAATCGTTGATGTAATCCCTGAACTGGGACTCTAAATATTCTCTACTTTTCTGCTCAATATTTTCTTTCAATTTGATAGATTCGAACGTGTTTGAACTTGAATACGTTCCTTTAGAAAATCTGTGCTCTCTCAACTTGTCGTCGACATCGTTATATGGATTCTCACAAAAGTCTCGAAGAATGATCCACGCATCATGAAGTTGCTCAGACTTGCTGCTTGCTAAATCAGACTTGTTCAAACTTGAGAAAACAGTTGCAAGTTTATACCAGGTTTTTTGTTGTCTCGCTTCATTAAGTTCATAAATAACCTCAGCACATAACTCGAACTTTTTTCTCATAGCGTAAGAAATGTTTGGATTCATAAGCGAGTCCAAGTGTTTGGCACTCTGAACATCGTTGAATTTGAAGTTTGATGATATTATGCTTTTGGAAGTATGCGTGCCCCAAATCAACTGTTTCTCAATGAGTTCTTTCTGGGTAAGTTTTTTTGACTTCTTATCTGGCGAAGTTAGTGACGTTGATGCATCTCTTTTCAATACAGCTGATAATTTTTCACAAAGTTCACCTTTTCTTCGCTTCCAATCTAGGTGGATATTATTATTAACATAACTGTCAAAATCTTTAGCAGCGGACGATAGTGAACTTTCAATGGCCAATAACACATCTTCGTCTTTTTGCCTTGACATATAAAACTCAAGATTACTGGGTTTCTGTCTTGCATAAGCACCTAAACTTGCGTTTTGTGTATTATTGTTTCTGCTCAATTGACTATTATACTCATGCTTGTGTGCTAATTTTTTAATGTTATTTAGCTCATTATCAATTTCTTCGATAGTCAATCCTTTGCCAATCAAAAGATAGTGAGCTTTGGTATATGGATTGGACTTTGTATCTGCCTTGTTGTATTTCCTAAGCTTATAAGCTCTTTTTTGAATCTCGTTCAAGCTCAAATACAATGTATCGATATCATCCAAGCGCCTGGGTAGGTTTCTTGATGATTGTACAAGGTCGTCTAGCGAGGACGATTTCTTGCTTTTGTCTTTACCAAATGGGTCCAAAGTCCCACTTTTCGAAGTAGTCAACACTCCAGCCATATTGATAGGAATATTGCTTGATATAGCCTCTATAACTAGTTTTTTTAAATGTATAGAACGTTTTACGCAGTCTGTTGGGGCTGTCAGGTTTAAATGGATTTACATGTTTTCATTTCCGCAACTTTTTTTCCACATTCGAACAAGTTGTGAATTCTCGCGCCGGGTAACTTTGCGTTTAATGCTATCTTTATTTACATGTTACATTTGTCTTTTATCCAAACCCTACAAGCCGAAGGCCCTCTATATCTTTATTTTCCTCCAGTATTGATTCTTGTATTCCTCTTGGGAATCAGCAGTGTTGCTTATTTTCATATCCCCAGGTGGACATACACTGAGAAAAGCCTGCTCATCTGACTCGTTGACCGGGACTTGAACAAGTTCAGTAAAATGTAGTTTATCTTCATCAAAAATTGCTCTGAGTCTAGTTGCACCCCTCTTAGATATGTTTTCCTTCTTTAATTTGTTTCCGGTTTCATCAACCAGATCGTGGCTTTTGTACAAGAAGTTGAAGATTGATTCACGCACGATCACGCGAACACCTTCTGGAACCCATATTTGAAATAGTCCGTCAACATCATCGGGTGAGCTGGTCATTTTTATAGATAGAAAACCGAGGTCCTGTATGACAATGTCAACAGTTCCGTAAAATGGAGGTATAACGTATCTTTTCAAGTTGTAAAAAGCTTCTTTCGTCACACCAAACCTATTTCCAATTTGCTTTGGCCTGGTTTCATTTATCTCCTCAGCTCTGCCTAGCTTACTGTATCTTGCTTCAAATGTCTTTTCCCCTAATTTGAAAGCCAAACACCTTTTGAAAATAGCACCCTTTGGTGGCTGCAAATAGAAGAATCCTCCGTAAGAGTATAGACTCTTCCCACTAAAGACCTTTGGGCCTTTGACATCCAGCTTTTTGTACCTTTTTTTATCTTCAGCAACAAAAGCTGTATACTTTGGCTGTTTCCTTGCAAGTTTTTCAGTCAAATATTTGTAGAAACCCAAGTCATTCGGAAAGATTCCTGGTGTATCATAAACAGTTATCCTATCATTAATTTTGAATTTTTGAAAGTCTCTTGTATATCCTGGAATATGTGATGTACCAGGTGAATCAAGTCCAAGTTTTTCCAAATAATTCATACTTTTCTTTTCTATTTTTTTGGCTAAAACGTTTTGTGTGTCCACGCCATGAGTAGATGCTATCAATGATTTTATTAGACTGCTTTTACCAGCATTTGCCCTTCCTACAAAATAGAGATCACCACCAGGCAACTTTTGCAAAAGCTCCTCATTGTTCCACGACTTTGTAGTGGAAACAAAAAATACTTTCTCAGGGTCGGCATCTAAATATTTCTCCAGTACTTCTTGTACATATTGTAGACCTGTTCTGTTAAGTTGCACTTCTTGTCTGAAAAACAAGTCAGCTTTAGTAACAACGTGCCAAATATCTTTGGGATCTCTTCCTTTTATTATCCCTTTGCTGCAGGAAAGTGGAAAATCAAGAATTGACACAATGTTCACTATCTTTCCGTTTGACGGAATCTTCTCCAAGACTTGGTCGATTTGTTGGCCAAATATATCAAAGACACCATGCGAATTTAGTTGTTGACAACGTAAACACTCAACCTTAGAATTCGCAAGTTCGGCCAACTGCTTGACTTTCTGTTCAAACACTATTTCCTTTTCTTCAGCCAGATTAGAGGCCTCGTCGTAAATACCCATTTCTTTTTTCAATGCCAATTCCGCTTCAGTGAAAAGTTGATTTTTCTGCAGATGGCCTATGTTTTTTTTAAAACCTATTTGGGCACTAAACTTTGGTGGTTTGTAGTACTTATCTGAGCCTGAATCATTACTTTGCAAAGGCCCTGTACCACAACTTTTACATTTTAACTTTTCGGAAATTTCCCTGGATTTCAGAAAAGAAAGGTACTCATCATAAGCATTTTTTAAATCATATTCATGCTTCACTTTTTCCTGATTTAACATAACCGCATGAGCTTTAGTTTTTGTGTAATATTCGCTGCTGAAGATAGGCAACTCAACCTTCGGCTTGGGTTCAGATTTATTCATATTCGATGTACTAAAGCTAAATGCCGGAATATTTGATCGGAGAAAGTCATATTGAGGAAAAGGATTGGCCTTAAAGCCTAACCTTCCCGGCTTTCCAGTTGTCTTTATTGAAAACAAAACCCTTCTCATTTTAACTTAAACCGCTTTGCACATACGAAAAATTGCAATGAATAGGTCCAGCCGACATCAAGTCAATAAGGAAGATGTGAATCGACCATGTAAAGATTGGTTGGTGAAAATTTAAATCTAGCGAAAATGAATTTTGCTATATTTTTCCTTGTTTCTAAAAGAAAATGGACAAAAAAATTACAAAAAAGCTTAAACGATTTGAGTGTATATATGCATAGTATATAAAAATAGGAGTATATGTAGTGTATAAAAGGTTAATGTGTTTAAAAAAAAGGTGTTGAAATGTATAGGGAAAAATAGATTGTGCTTTGAAAGGATATCAACAGATTAGGATATAAATGGAAATGAAAAAGCTGACTTCAGGAAAAAAAGTAATGTATCGGTGAAAAAGTATTAGTTATTAACTATGTGGATGTTTTTATTGTTTTGAGTAGGAATTTAGTTAGCTGGCTTTTTTGGAACCAAAACCTTGTCGTCTCCTTCCTTCTTTTGGAAGATAGTCGTATCTTTTTCGTGTCTGTCGACTCTTGCCTTTTCAAACCACTTCTTAACGTTGAATAGACCAGAAATGGAGAATCCTCTAACTCTGAAGATGTAGTAACCAGCACACATTGCACCAAAGTTGAAACAAATGTAAATCCATGCAATACCAAAGTTTCTCCAATGTTCACTGTAGTGGATACCATACTGTTCAACAACTTGTTCTTGCTTGGTGTATGGACAGTATTTACATTGGGTGTCTTCAGTTGGGTTGACAAGATAACCACCATTGTTATCAACGTAAGTTGATAAGAAGTCGCCACATGTTTGACCAGAAGGTGGATCCATAATGTTGTATTCATCGAAAGCACAGATCAAAACTCTGTCATGAACAATACTACCAACGAAAGCCTGGACGAAGTATGTGAAAGGGGAAGCAACATACATAAAAGACCACAATCTTGGAGACCATCTCTTAGGGTTTAAGATACCACAGAAAAGTAACATAGAAGCAAACAAGTTGGAGTTGATCATGGAAGCTGAAGGAACATCTGGAGAGAAGTATAAGATAGCCAAACCGTATGAGATGAAGTAGATTGGGAAGATCAAGACGTAAATGAAGAAGAAGAAACCTGCAAACGGAGCATTGCCCGAGTACTGTGCTGGCCAGTAGTAGCAGATGTAGCAGAAGAACTCACAAATAACAGACCAGTAAATTTCAATCAAAGTGTGGGAGATCAATAAACAAGACCAGTGGAAAGTGTTGGACAACGCTTCTCTGACTTCGTACAATTCTCTTGAATCAATAGCGAAGACGTGGGATTGGTTAATCATAGCCAAGGAAATCAACAACAACATGAAAACAGATGAGAAAGCACCAGATGCGCCAGCGATGGTGTGGTCAAAACCAATGTAAGACAAACCGACGAACAAAGCACAGAAAACACATTCCAAGAACTTTGCTCTGATGTAAACAGGGGATCTCCAGAATTGAAGGTAAGTTCTCTTCAAAACAAACCAGAATTGTTTGTCGTACGTAGTTGCGTATTTGGCAGTCAAATCACCAACGTTAGAATTAATAGGTCTTTGAGGCAATTCAGCATGTAGTTGTTCAATATCAGCGGTAACTTGAGCACATTCTGGAGAGTTATTCCAAAGTTCAGCCCAATCTTGAGCAGTAGAAGCAGTTGCACCAGCACCAATACAGTTCAATATGTATTCAGCAGGGTTCTCGGAAACACCACAGTTAACACCAGAGTAACGTTCAAAATAGCCCAACATAGTTGAGGAGTTAGGACCAATATCACCAAAGTAGACAGTCTTACCACCCTTCTTTAGTAAAAGCAATCTGTCGAAAACTTCAAACAAAGTAGCTGAAGGTTGATGAATGGTACACAAGATAGCTTGACCAGAATCTGCAAGAGCCTTCATGAATTGAACAATAGACCAGGATGATTCAGAGTCTAAACCAGAAGTTGGTTCATCCAAGAACAACAACAATGATGGCTTAGCAACCAACTCAGTGGCGATCGACAATTTCTTTCTTTGTTCGACATTCAAACCTCTACCAATCTTACCAACCATGGCTTCGGCATACTTGTCCATACCCAAACAACCAATAATCTTTTCAACGTATTCATATTTCTCTGCCTGAGGAGTTGACTTTGGCTGTCTCAAATCAGCAGCAAATCTCAAAGATTCTCTAACAGAGAATTCAGCCATGTGCAAATCTTGTTGTTGGACGTAACCAGTTCTTCTCTTGAAGGAGCTATCCAAAGGTCTTCCATTAACTAACATATCACCAGTAATAGTACCAAAGGAGATTCTTTGAGCCAAAACGTTCAATAAAGTAGTTTTACCTGCACCAGATTCACCCATAAGGGCAGTCATAGTACCTGGCTTAACGTAACCTTGAATAGAACACAACAATTGTCTAGTTGCACCTTCGTAAGGAATAATGTAGTCCAAGTTTTTCCATGAGAAAATATCAGCTTCAGAAATAATCTTTTCTAGGTCAGCATCTGGACCATTCAAAGCAAGCATCATTTCTTCTCTGGTAGCAACTTTACCATCCCATTCTTCACCACCAGCAGCATCCGGCATGTGACCTCTCTTGAATAAAAGCATATCACCACCACCTTCAACATTTTTGACGAATTCGGCCATAAAAACATTCAGTCCAATGAAACCTGCAGTCCAACACAAGTTGATACCCCAGTATTTCCAGACGTTGTGCCATCTGAAGTCAAAGTGTCTTAAAATGTAAGCTTCACCAGAGACCCAGTCATTACCGGCAACAGCACCTGGCAAATCACAAACTTGGTTGATAAGAGAAACATTTTCATAACCAGGACCAGATGGGACCAGCTTGTAACAAGGCATGATTCTGTGGTGAAACTCGTTGGCCATTAATGAGTAGTAACAGTAAAACATAGGGTTCAAGTAGTGAATCCATTTGATCCAGTGATGCATCTTTGGCAATGGCAACATGAAACCTGCATAAACACAAAGCATCAAGACCCATAAACCACCGACTGCGTGAGCCGTGGTACCATCCTTAGTTAAAGTGGCAACAAGCTTGAAAATGAAAGACATACATTGTTGAATGGTTAGCAAGAATAAGAAGAACATGAAAAAAGCACCTGCAGTGTGTTTCAAATTTGGCATCCAGTAAGAAGTCAAAGACAAAATGATGACAGCAATTGCTTTGGTTGGCAATTCAGTGATCATTTCTTGCAAGGCTTCAGCAGACAAATGGTACATGGAGTAAGATTTTTGTTTAACCAAAATTGGTCTGTTTGCGAACGAGTTAGCAATTTCAGCCAAAGAAGTTAAAGCACAGAACAACAAACAGTAAAACAACATACCACCTCTGGAATATGCACCAACAGTGGATTTAGGAATATGGTAGTACATGGAACCGACAACAAAACCTTTAGTAACGAAAGAAGACAAGTAAACCATGGTATAAGTGATATCACCCTTAGTTCTTTGAAAACCTCTGATGACCAAATATCTTAGTTGAGCAAAATAGTTGACAACGAAAATGGATTTGTTTCTTTGACCAGTTTGCTTTCTTTGTGAAGTAGCTAGCTCTAATCTAGCTCTAGTTTCTTCAGCATTATGAGTGGCAACGAATTCGTCGTATTCAGCTAGCAATTCTTGATATTCTGGAGAAGAAAACCAATATTGTTCAAATTCATCGGCAGTATCTGGTACCTTACCTTCAAATCCAGGCTTGATTTGTCTAGATGCAGGGGAAGTGACGGCAGTTAAAAATTCTGGTGCAGTCATTCTGCTTGGCTTCACGTAACCCATTCTCTCGAAATAGCTGACACCGGTTTTAGCTGGACCCCAGTAAATTTGTCTACCCTTGTAAATGACTGTGACTTTATCGAAAAGCTCATAAATGTTTTGACCGGCTTGGTAGATAGCAACCAAAGCACCACAACGCAATATGTTTGTGGCAGTTCTCAAACATTGGGTGAACTCCAAAGCGGTAGAAGCGTCCAAACCTCTTGTAGCGTTATCAAAACAGTAGAATGAAGCATTCATGGATAATGCTTCCACAATGGAGACTCTCTTTCTTTCACCACCAGAGACACCTCTGACAAAATCATTACCGACTCTTGTGGAGTAGGTATGGGTCAAACCGAAAACGGTACACCATAATCTCAGCATGTTGTCAACGTATTCCTCTCTACCCATACTATCGATTCTCGTCTTTGGAGTTTTAGTTCTCAAAGCGAATTGAATGGTTTCTTTGACGGTGATGTAAGGGAAGTGGAAATCCAATTCCGGGTTGTAGACGATATAGCCTGAAAGGAGAGAGGGGGAAAAGGGGAGGATATTAGAAAAATCAAAAATGTTAGTAAACTGTGTGGAAAGTGGTAATTTGGGGAATTCGGAAAAAAAACATCAACATGGACATACCTTTATATTTTTTCATCATTTCTTCTTGGTCTAAACCATCGTAGGAAAAGGTACCTTCGACCAGGGCTCATAACCTGTTGTAATCTAGCTATTCTATTATGAATATCCATTGTATATGTTCACTTTTTCTTATGTTTGTTGCTTATTAATTTATAACTAATATAACTAGCCTACAAACTAATATTCTCAAACATAAATACAAGGGACAAACCTCTTGTATTTATACACTTACACCTTCGGTTAAACTTGCCATTATTCATTTATCATGGCGGCTAACTTTCCAGTTTTAGATTACTTAAGATGCCTTATCATGATAAGACTCTTATCTCTTATCACTCGATCATGATTGGCTTCGGCATCTTATCTCAACACCCCACCATAATCTAAACACTTGTAGATATGTTCGACATTCCAGCTAGACCAACAAACTTATTGAATTTAATCTTGGCTAAACTTTTAGTCAACATATCCGCAACCATATTTTCAGTGTTGATTGAAACTATTTCACAGTTTCCTTCTGAAATATGATGTCTAACAAAATGATGTTTAATATCAATGTGTTTGGTTCTCTGGTGATGGACCGGATGCGTTGATAACATCCTGCACCCTTCGTTGTCTTCAAAGATGCAGGGGACTTTGTTCATTTTAAGTCCAATGTGTTTCAACAGTTGTGTTAACCATAGTAATTCTTTAACTGCGTCACCCAGTGCCATATACTCTGCCTCAGTAGATGATAGCGCCACCGTCTGCTGTTTCGTGGATTTCCATGTTATTGCAGTATTTCCTAACATGTAAACATAACCGGTAATCGACTTTCTGTCCACCTTATCACCAGCCCAATCGGAGTCGCAGTAACCAACTAAATTGAAACTCGTGGTCTTCTTGAATACTAATCCTAAACCGAGAGTACCTTTTATGTACCGAAGAACATGTTTAGCAGCAGCATAATGATTTGCATACGGGGTTTTGATAAACCTTGACAGGGCCGAGGCCGCATATGACAAATCGGTCCTCACTGTATTCGCAGCAAACAATAATTTCAGTTTTCGATTTCACCGGCACAGGCTTTCAAAAGGGAAGAACAACCAGCACCAGGCTTACCCAAAGACAAGACCAACTCTCCAGGCTTTATAATACCCATAAAGTCTCTAATGATTTGTCTTTGGAGACGGGTGTCTTTTTTGAAGAACTTGGCAGGCCATTTGACCGAGTCTCTTAACATTTCCGGAACGGAAGGACCGTAGGCAGCAGACGCATCAACACCCCAACAGGTCAGGTCCTTGAAGGCCAAACCGGAGTGGGCAGATTCGATACCTTGTTCGGAAGCTCTCTCATGCAAGTATTTCAAGAGGAGCTTCAAGTCGAAATCTTGAGGGTTGACTTCGAAGTGGTCCAAGTCGGCCTTGGTCTTTGTGGACAACACTCTGGCCAAGGATTCGATCTTTTGGATACCTTCTGGAGTGGACAAGATTCTGGACAAGTGTTGAGATAAGTTTTCGCCATTTTCTTGTGCCTCGACGTCATCGATAGGGTTGAACTGTTTGACTTCGCCGCCGGCGGAGTCGACACTGTCCGTCCCGATACTGTGAGAGTCACTCATTGCTCAAGTGATGGATTAAAAAGAGAATTCGAAAAGACTTATCTGATTCAGCGTGAAACGGATAAAATCTTTTGGTGAAGTCAATTTTCAAAGCAGAAATTGATGCCGGAAGGAAGGAGTTACAAGGAAAAGGGTAAGAAAGCAAAACAAGAGAGAAGAAGGGGGTTCTGTGCTACAAGGGGTTGGAGAGAACATAAGCAGCTGGACGGAGATGGAGGATGGCACTTTTTATTTATATTAGGGGCCGGAACCTGGGACATTTGCAGAAGCTTGACGTGCTGGACGCTGAATCACGAACCACGAGGGATTTTTGGTTCAGAGAGCCGGCGAGTCACTATGGCGGGGGCAGAGCGTGCCAGGGCGCCGTGGTGGCAAGGGAATGCAGCTTCGCCGCTCTCGAAGCGGCAACACACCGGGCGTTCAGCCCTGTGACGATAATAAGCCGGACAGCGCTACGCCAGCCTGAAAACGGTTATCGACGATAAGCTGCGGGAAAAACGAGCTGGCAAATGGAAGAGTGAAGAAAATGCAGACGCTGCTCTCCCCACAGCGGCACCCGGCCTCAATGCATGCGGCGGGAGCTGCTGAGGGTGTTTCTTTGTTTTTTTTTCCTGCTTGTTTGTTTGTTTGTCTGTTGCAGGCAGTCTGTGTGTTTTCTCGTGCTGGGATTAGCGGCACCACACGCCTTGTTCTTGCCTGGCCCGTTGCCCGCCATGTACGACCCCGGCCCCAGCCCTAGCACCCGTGGCACATGTAGCGTCCCCCAGCACAGTCTGGCTGCCACACACGACCCCATACAGACCACACCCTGCAGCTGCTAATTCTGGCATTTCCCAAGCCGATGCGAGCGAAGCGAGGTTTTTTCCCCTTCCTTTTTGTTTTCTTTTTTTTTCCCTCCACCGCGTGCCCTGTATCGATGGATCTTCCGCAAAAGGCAACTGCGGGCTATCGGTCTGCGCCTGTGTCTATGCGTGTCTGGATGCCTGCATGTCTTTCTGGACGCCTGTCCATCTCCGTCTCTCCTTGTCCACTCTGCTCCGTCCACTCTTCTCGCTCAACAGCACTGGGGCCCCTGTTCCCCTTCCCGTTCCCGTTCTCCTCCCCGTTTCCGTTCCCGTCTTTCTGTTGAAACAGCACGCGTCCGCATGCCCTCCCCGTACTCTTCCCTGCATCCAGACGTCCGCAACACATACTACGTCCGTCCAGCCGTCCGTCTTCCGGACGGAAACGGCTTTAGCACTTGCTTCTTTCGCACGACCCGCGAGATTTAAATTCCCGCACCCGTCTTCCGGAACACAAGACGGCCCGAAAAACTCTCGGATGCCCTGCACCGCAGCAGCAGCAGCCCGCCCGTCCGCGCCAGTCTCGCCTGGCCTGAACCCGCTGAGCGCAGCGCACCGGTGCTCCAGCGCCTATTTTCCGCCGATCGACGGCTTGGGCCTTTTGCAGAGAGCAGCTCTCCGGGGTGTGCCTGTGCATGGACTATTCTCTACCTATGTATTGCCTATGTATCTAGTGTCATTGTCACTGCTATTGTCGCTGTCCACGCTGCCGACTGCAGGGTGTCTGCGCATGCTATTACGGCGCTCACGTGTGCCGACAAGGCCATGCCTGCCCCGACCAAGCCAGCAGCGGAATGGGCTTCCTTTTTATACAACTACAACGTTTCTCCGCAGTTCCTGCTCCTCCGCAGCGCAGAGCCTGTTGCTCTGCTCCCCGAGCCGCCAATATAGCCTCCGGCGTCCCTGCTTCTCCGAAAGCTCGCTGCTGCCGCAGAAAAGAGGCTATCTGGTCCGTGTCGCGGCGAGTGGGCGCGCTGACGTAAGCGGCGCGGCCCTTCCTTTTTCGCTTCTTGCCGATGCTGGCCCTGTCACGGGTAGGACCGCTGCTTGCGGTGGCGCCCTTGCCCTTGATAACGATTGTCTGCACGACACTGCGGTCCTCCACCAGCGCATGCTCCTTGGTGCGGGCGTCGTCGACCTTCCGCAGGTAGCCGCCGAACACGACGATCTCGGCCACGAGCACCAAGACTGCTGCAAACAGACTGAGCAGCACCCGGACACCCATGTTGCCGGCGGCGCCGGCGTCCCGGGAGAGACCCATGCTGCTGCCGCTCCAGTACCACACGGCGTACCCGGCAGACACCACCGTGATGAGGATGTTGACGATCGTAGTGAGCTGGTGCTTAACCTCTTTCGCCGCCTGGCCGGCGCTGCCCGCCTGGCCCCGCCCTGCGAGGAAGGCATAGCTGCCGATCCCGTCCACGTGGGCCCCGGCATCGTGGCCCCGTTTCAGCAGCGTGCGGTACTCTCTCTCCTTCTCCTCGGCCCTCAACCTGCTCATCAACGCCTTGAACTCGTCCGTCTTGGCGGCCTTCGCTAGCCCCTCCCGGTCGTAGACACGGAACACCGGAGTCAGGTCGCTCATATAGTGCATCAGAGACCCAACGTCCGGCTCGCCGCTGCACTTTTGGTGTGCCTCCCTCAGCTCCTTGTAGGTGATCCTGCCCAGCGACAGTATGGCGTCTTTCTCGCTTTTGTCTATCGCAGAGGCATTCACAAGTTTCTTCACCCTGTCCCCGAAAGTGTAGTTCATCTGTTTATCCGCAGTCCTGGCGTCTCCCGGTGGCAAGGAGTGGGCCGCCTCCGCCACCTCTCTGTCCATCCCGACTGACGTCTTTACTTCCTCGGCTGCATTCGTAGCTTTCACCCTGGCGCTAATCCCAGTCTCTGAAAAAAAAACCATATCAACGGCGCACAGACGCGTACATGATTTATGGCATACCTTTATCGTAGATTTCTCCACTGTCGACCGTTGGCACTGTTCTCCCAAGCGAGTTACGATACTCGAGGGACAACAGATGCCCAACCATGACAACTTTCACCATCCGTTTGAGACCCCATACCAGGTTCAGCTGGACCTCATGCAAAAAATATACGAAACCCTGAAAAAAGACTACAAGCTTGGGATCTTCGAGTCGCCAACCGGAACGGGGAAAACGTTGAGTTTGATCTGCTCGACAATGTCATGGCTCCGTGAATACAAGAAGCAGGTGAACGACGGTCTTATTTGTGAGAAACTTGGAGGCTTGGAAGACGGTAAAGACGAAGACGATGAGCCGGAGTGGGTCAAAGAAGCTTTCCAGAAAAAGGTTCTGGCCGACTACCTAGGCGAGGCACGCAAGTATGAACAACATCTACAAGAGGTCAGAGAAAAAGGCCTCCCGTTTTTTTTAGAGGATGATGGACGAAATAAAGAAAGCCGTAAAAAGAAGGGAGCTGTCAAAATTATCAAGAAGAGAAAAACCACCGAGAAAGCTGCCCAGCATCCTCCAGATATGGATCTGGATGATTTGGCGCCGGCTGATTATGACATTGCACAGGAGGAAGTCGGCCAAAGTGGGATCTCACGCGATGTCGAGCAGTTGTTGAGTAAAGTTGAAGGTTCGCATAGAAATACAAAGGCTAATGTTCATCCGACAAAGATCAATGAGTCCAAGGTGAAGATTTATTTTGTCTCCAGAACCCATTCACAGTTGAGCCAGTTCAGCAGCCAGCTAAAACTCACAAGCTTCCCGTCATGTATAGATAACCTCGGCACTGAGAGAATCAAGTACTTGCCCCTAGGATCGAGAAAACAACTCTGCATCAACCCATCTGTATATAAATTGAATGATTTGCAGGCAATAAACAAAGCATGCCAAAACTTGCAACAAGAAACTGAGAAATGCAAATTCATGCCCAAAGTGTACAACGAAGAGGACGATATGCGAAAAGAAAACTTAAATGACCTGGTTATGTCAGAAATTTACGACATTGAAGACATACATAGAATGGGAGAAGAGCTCAACATCTGCCCCTACTATAGCACGCGTAACGATATACCAGTCGCCGAAATTATCTCGATGCCGTACCAGCTATTATTGCAGAAAGACACAAGACAACTGTTGGGTTTGGAACTCAAGGACTCCGTTGTTGTTATTGACGAAGCACATAACTTGTTGGACACAATTTCTAGAATATATTCAAGTCAAGTGTCATTCAGCGACTTGAAACTAATTAAAAAGGGATTGAAAACCTATACTAAGAAATTCATGTTCAAAATGTCTGCAGGGAACAGAATTAACATAGCCAAGTTGAACAAGCTCATTAATGGTCTTTACAAATTCATAGCCGCAGCAGAGGCGTCTGGAAAAGTAACTTCCGGAGTTACCATTGACAGGAACGATATTTTCGGCGACAACGTTACGGACTTGCTAAATATCTATGATTTGGAATTGTACCTTGTTAAATCCAAGCTTGCATTCAAGCTCGAGTCGTACATGGAAAGAACCATAAAATCAGAAACCACTGAAGAATATTATAAATCAACAGGTAGTCCCAAGCTTTTTGAAATCAAAGCCTTCTTTTATTCATTGTCCAATCCTTTAAAAAGCGGGAAGTTCTTTTGGGATCGAACATCGCAGAACGACATTATCCTGAAATACCTATTGCTCGACCCAAGTGAAGACTTCAAAGACGTGTTAGATGAAAGCAAATGTGTCATCTTAGCAGGGGGTACAATGGAACCAATAACAGATTTCACGGATTTCCTAGTCCCTTCTTTAGAAAAGGAGAAAATAGTGCATTTCTCTTGCGACCATGTTATACCCGATAGTAATCTCCAAGTATTTACCGTTTGTCGCTCGCAAAGATCACCCAATTTTGAGTTTTCATATCAGAAAAGGAATGAGGAAAAGATGATCAACGATTTAGGGTATGCTTTGCGTGACCTTCTGGCCCAAGTTCCCGACGGCTCGGTTGCCTTCTTTCCAAGTTACAGCTATCTTGCGAAAGTGATCGAAACTTGGAAAAAATCCGGTGTATACGGCGAAATAGCTAAAATCAAAAAGATTTATCAGGAGGAAAGGAATCGCTCTGTGGATGATACCTTGATGGAGTATCGCAAAAGCATCGCCTTACAGGAAAGTACTGACACAGTAAACGGTGCGCTCTTGCTTTCTGTGGTTGGAGGTAAAATGTCGGAAGGTATCAATTTCTCGGATGAGCTTGCAAGGGCGGTCATCATGATAGGGCTCCCCTATCCAAACGCCTTCAGCAGTGACTTGATAGCGAAAAAGGATTACATTGAACAAAAGTACCTCAGTATGGGTAGCACCTCCACGTTTGCGAAATCGAAAAGTCAAGAGTTTTACGAAAATCTCTGCATGAAAGCTATTAACCAATCGGTGGGGCGTGCGATACGGAACATCAGCGATTATGCAGTCATTTTCCTAATCGATACGAGGTACAGTCAACCACGGATTCAAAGTAAACTTTCTGGCTGGGTTAGAAAGCGTATCGAAAGTGACAGCAGATCTGTTGAAGACGCTGTGCGCCACGCACGTGACTTTTTCAAGGGAAAAAATAGAAGCATCTAGAAGTGGAAAGCTGAAAAACAGGGGTGCCGCGTTCAGCGAGATGTTGAAGCATTCTGTTGTAGGTGGAACGTAGACTAGAGGAAGATTATATGTTGCCCTTGAAGTGTGTCCTCAAAGCTTTGCATCAGCAATTACAAAAAGTAGTTACAGCCAGCTGCATATAGAATACATTGATTAAGACAGAAAAATGGCAGATTACGAAGTAGATCCAACTCTCAAAGACATTGTTTCCCACGAAACTTTAAGGTGGGTGTTCGTTGGAGGTAAAGGTGGTGTTGGTAAAACCACCTCTTCCTCTTCGGTAGCCATCCAACTGGCGCTCAACAACCCGGAGAAAAACTACTTGTTGATCTCCACCGATCCTGCTCACAACTTGTCTGATGCATTTGATCAGAAGTTTGGTAAAGAGGCAAGAGTGGTCGAAGGCCTGAACAACTTATCATGTATGGAAATCGATCCGTCATCTTCGATGGAAGAGTTCACAGCTTCGAACAAGATGGGCATGGACTCAAGTGATCCATTGAACAGTGTTTTGTCAGAAGTCACTTCCTCGATCCCAGGTATTGACGAAGCTTTTTCGTTCATGGAAGTGCTAAAGCATATCAAGAACCAAAAGGCTAGTGCAAACGACTCGTCCATCATCAAATACGACACCATTGTTTTTGATACTGCTCCAACTGGTCACACGTTGAGATTTCTACAGTTACCATCAACTTTGGAAAAGTTATTGGGTAAATTTAACGAGATCACCGGTAAGATGGGGTCTTTGTTGAGTATGATGGGTGGAGATCAGAAGCAAGAAATGTTCAACAAGTTGGCAGACATAAAGGAACAGGTCACCGAAGTCAACAAACAATTCCAAGATCCGGAGTTGACCACTTTCATATGTGTCTGTATCTCTGAGTTCTTATCCTTGTATGAAACCGAGAGATTGATCCAGGATTTGATGAAATACAATATGGACGTCAACACGATTATTGTGAATCAATTGTTGTTTGCCGATGATGATGAATGTAAGAGATGCCAAGCGAGATGGAAAATGCAAAAGAAATACTTAGACCAAATGGACGAGTTGTACGAAGATTACCATCTAATCAAAATGCCTTTGTTGGGTAACGAAATTAGAGGTTTACCAAACTTGAAGAAATTTTCTAAATTCTTGTTGCAACCATATGACCCAGAAAAGGATAAGGACCTTGTCTTCTCTATTGAAGAAAGATAATCTTGCGTGTAGCTGTGTGTATTATTTTTTTATTTTGTATAATGGTGGAATTTATATAGGGCATCAAGACATTAATTTTCTAAGCTCCCTCGCCTAGCATGAAAACACTCATTGATCGATAACGATGTCTTACAACCGTGCGTGGTACACATTCTCTCTCCTTTCTCCTGCCAAGAGAATCGTATTGACCATTGATCATCAGACAGATCAATATGTCCTCTGGAACATATTTTTGCAGAAGTTGCAGACTTCCTCTCGTTATAGATGAATCCTTGGAGGAGCTTAGTCATGCGCAACAGCATCTACTTACGCTAAACTACGGAGAAAAACCACCGCCTTCCATAGTACGAAATGATAGTAGTTTCAGCATAAAACACACAGGAGGCGTCGCTGAAAACACATCAAACTTATACGATGACTATCCTAAGATACCAGACTCACGAATGAATCTTTTTCAAGAAGCTTTGGAGTCAAGTCAATATAGGGTTGTATCGAAAAGTGAAAGCTACAATGATGATAATGATTTAAACGATTCTAAGAGTAACGGAGGAGAGAATAAAAACAGCGAGAGTTCTTTTGTTTACCTTCATGATAAGGCACAGACAGACGATGATATATATGGTAACACTGGTGCTACATCATCTGTGATATCAAACTCCTCCAATTCGCTAAAGCCATTCAAAGTTGAAGAAATCAAGGATGTCGTAGACAAGAAATCGGATATAAGTGAAAGGATTGAAAGTTTGGATACAATCTTCAATATCATATCTTCTAAATATGAAATTGATTATCCTGTTTGCAGCGACTGTGCTTCAACGTTGATTGAACAGATGAAATCAAAATACGATACCCTTAATAAAGAGAAGGAAATGTACATGCAATTTTTGAGAAAACTCACAGCACAAAATGGACCAAATGTAGAAAAAACAAAAAAGGCACTGAAAGACTTGGATGAAATGAAAGAGAACGAGCGTAAGATTTTGAAACAACTTTCTGAGGAGGAGCAACGGCATTTGAACTTAAACAAAGAACTAAGAGAGCTAGAGGAGGATCTAGAGAAACTAGAAGCCGAGGAGCACGAATTATGTCTGGAGAAAAACCAGAAGGAGATGAGTATTGAGAAAAATATATCAGAATTGAATATAGCAAAAAACAAATACTACCAGAATTTAGACTTCCTTGATTCTTTGCGAAAAACCAACGTGTTTAATAATTTTTTCGACATATCTAACGATGGAAAGTTTGGCACTATCAACGGTTTACGGTTAGGCTGTCTTGACGACATCAAGGTAACGTGGCATGAAATAAATGCAGCATTAGGACAGCTAGTGTTACTTCTATCGACTTGCCTTAACATTCTTGCTTTGGATTTAAAAGAGTACAAGCTGATTCCGATGGGATCAACCTCCAAAATAGAAAAGTATGGTACAGATTCATCAGGAGCGACATCAAAATCAGTGGTTCAGCTTTACTGTACGGGGGAGTTTTCCATCGGTGGTTTTTTCTCACATAACAATCTCGACGTTGGAATGGTGTGTCTGGTTGAGATATTGAACCAAATCGGTGCTTACATTAAGGAATTAGACAATACTTGTCAACTTCCGTATCCCATGGATGGTGACAAGGTAGCTGGTTTCTGCATTCGTCCATCAGGGCGGAGTGGGTGGGAAAATTGGACAAACGGGTGCCGGTTTCTTCTGATCAACGTCAAATGGATCCGGACTTTTTGTGTTACATACTACGAAGACCGCATATGTGGCGAGTGATTTCCGCTTGTGTGGCTGGTGGCTTTTGCCATTTCTTTTTTTTTTTTCTGTAGACGCACTACTAATTACATGTATGAATAGAAACAATAGTAGCCAGGGAAGGTCGTTCTGATATCTTGTACTTCTTTTGCCTTAGCCAAAACCATCTCGAGGTATCAGTACATGCCGTCCAACATAAATGGGAATAAAACAGGTATGCCGTTGTCTCACACGATAAAAGTGGTCCATTCAGACCAAAAGTGGAATGAATACGACTCTTCTATCCTTGAAAAGTTTTTGGAAAGTTTGTCCTCGGATTTATCAACAGAGTATGTGAACATCCCCGAAGTTGTTGAGAAAATACACACAGGAATCCCAGATGAGATCACAACAGAGGAACTAATAAACTTGGTTGCAGAAACTCTTGCCTCGATGACCACAAGACATTACCAATATTCGGTAGTTGCTTCCAGAGTCTTATCACATCATTTACAGAAAAGACTTCCTCAAACGTTTTCTGCAAACTTCACAGCCATGTACAAATATGATCTTGCTAGCTCTAACGAGAGAAAAAATACTGTGATAAGTACAGAGGTTTACCAATTCATTCTGGAAAATAAAGATGCCATTGATAGCGCAATACGACCTATCAGAGATTTCGATATCGACTATTTTGGCCTTCGCACTTTGGAACGGTCTTACTTTTTGAAAATAGATGGTAAAATCCACGAAACTCCCCAGTATGTTTTTATGAGAGTGGCACTAGGTATTCATTTTAACGATTTACACAGGGCCTTAGAGACTTATGAGTTGATTTCCAAGAAGTTTTTCATTCATGCTTCTCCAACACTGTTCAACTCCGGGCTCGAGTCAGCCTGTTTTTCATCCTGCTTCCTCGTTGCAATGAAGGACGACTCCATCGATGGGATCTACAAAACTTTGTACGACACTGCCATGATATCCAAAAGTGCCGGAGGAATAGGTTTGCACCTGTCGAATATTCGTTCTAGCGGATCTTATATCCGAGGCTCTAACGGTGTGTCTTCAGGATTAGTTCCTTTGCTAAAAGTTTTTGAATCTACCGCTAAGTATGTCGATCAAGGTGGTAACAAAAGGCCTGGAGCATTTTGTATATATTTAGAACCTTGGCATAGTGATGTGTTCGAGTTCCTGGATTTGAGAAAAAATCATGGTAAGGAAGAAATGAGAGCTAGGGACTTGTTCTTAGCTCTATGGATACCGGATCTCTTTATGCAAAAGGTTGAACGTAACTTAGAGTGGTGCTTGTTTTCACCAGACAAATGTCCCGGTCTTTCAGAATCATACGGTGATGAGTTTAACATGCTATACGATAAATATGAAAAGGAAGGCCATTACATGAAAAAAGTCAAAGCAAGAGAATTGTGGCATGCCATACTGACAGCACAGACAGAAACAGGAAACCCATTTTTGCTATACAAAGATCAATGCAATAAGTTGTCAAATCAGAAAAACCTAGGTGTGATCAAAAGCTCGAATCTTTGTTGTGAAATTGTTGAGTATTCGTCACCCGAAGAAACAGCTGTCTGTAATCTTGCTTCTGTGGCACTACCTTCTTTTGTTGAAAATGGAACCTTTAACTTTCTGAAGTTGCATGAAATTTGTAAAGTGGTTTGCCGGAATTTGGATAGAATCATTGATATCAACAAATACCCTCTTGAAAACTGCGAAAAATCAAATTTAAAAAACAGACCAATAGGCTTAGGTGTTCAAGGACTTGCTGATGTTTTTTTTATGCTGCGTATGCCATTTGGATCTCCTGAGTCGAAACAGCTCAATATCCAAATATTTGAAACAATTTACCACGCAACTTTGGAACGATCCTGTGAATTGGCACAAAAGCAAGGGAAGTATCAATCTTACGACGGCTCCCCTATTTCGAAAGGGTTGCTTCAATTTGACATGTGGAAAGTAACACCTTCGAATTTGTGGGATTGGTCAACTTTGAGACAAAAAATAAAACAGTTCGGCGTAAGAAACTCTTTACTAGTTGCTTTGATGCCAACTGCATCAACTTCACAAATTCTTGGTTTCAATGAATGCTTCGAGCCGATTACATCCAATATTTATGTCCGCCGAGTATTATCAGGAGAACATCAGGTGGTCAATAAATACTTGGTTGATGATTTAGTCAAACTCGGCTTATGGAGTATTGAAATGAAAAATACTATTATTCAAAATGACGGATCTATCCAAAGTATAAAAGCAATTCCCCGTGAAATCAAAGCGTTATATAAAACTGTATGGGAAATATCTCAAAGGACCATAATAGATATGGCTGCAGACAGAGCTCCATTTGTTGATCAGTCACAGAGTATGAATTTGTTTTTGCAAGATGTCACTTTTTCTAAGTTGACAAGTATGCATTTTTATGCGTGGAAGAAAGGACTCAAAACAGGGATGTATTATTTACGGACAAAAGCTGCTGCTTCTGCGATTCAGTTCAGTTTGGACCCACTAAAGTTGAAAAAACCAACTATAAACAACAAAAGGATCAGCGAATTAGAGGATGAGTATGATGTCAAGAGAAGTAAACGCGAACTGTCAATGGAGACTGAAGGCTCCACTGATTCATTTGACATATTCAGCACCTCAGTTGTTAGCTGCAACCTGGAAGATCCAGAAAATTGTGACTCGTGTTCTGCTTGATGAAAATAAAAAAGGAAAAAAAATCGATACCTTGAATATAATCTGACTATAAACATTGTAAATACTAAGTAAATACTATCTAGTAGTATAACGAAAAAAATAAAACTTTGCTATAGTACTGTGTTTCTCTTGTAAACCGGGAACACTAAGTAAACTTTTATGCACTGAGAACAGGCTACAAAAATAAAATCGATAATCTATATTGACGTCCCATCACCCTTTTTGTATTCAATAAGGTAGAATATTTCACTGGGAAACTAATTTTAAATGGAAAGTGATTGGACCATCATAACCAGGGGAAATAGGGATCTGGGTGAACCGTTGTGGAACCTTATCAGCGCTCCATTTATTCTTACCGCCGAACGTAACAAGTCCTTTTTCTCTGTCATAAGCAAACTGCATTGGACTAACTCCTGCGCCACATAGCAAAAATCCTTCAGTGCCAATCTTACAGTATCCTTTTGAGGATTTGATATTGTAACCACCGAACTCGGCCTTGCTTAAAGTAAATTTTGCACACGTTCCGGAAGAATACCATTTTCCATTACTAATAACACATCCCGGTTGGTTTTCTGGTTTCAAGTAACCATGTAAGACTTTCCCGGTTGGAACAGGACTCGAAGGATCAGTATGAGTTGGCTTTGGGGGTGCAAATCCTTTCTTTGGAATGAACTTGATGCCATTCTCAGGACATTGAGATTCGAGTAATGCAGCAATAGGTTGATAAAACCCATCTACAATTGACCCACGTAAGTGATGGAAGTACCAGACTTCTTGAATCGCTTGGTACCTGTTACATTTGATAAAAACAGGTTGCCCAAATCTAGCTCTGAGGGTATCTTCAATCTGTTGTTTGGTGTATGTTTGTTCGTTTGATGGCACAATTCCGTTAGCTGCCAACCACTCATAGGTTGGCAACCCTTCGAAAAGCTCAACTGATTTTTTGTAAAAGTCAACAATATTCTGATTGGGTTTGGTATCTGCCGAATAACAAGATTCCTTTATTGTGGTCATGCATGTTCCGTGTTTGTTAAATTCATGTACCCAAAGAGACTCGTCATTTCCATTGAAGTTTTTCCACACTCTGGACATCTTATTCAGAAGCTCCGTTTCGCCAAAAGACTCAAGAATTGATTTTGCACTGTGGATCTCCCGGGAAGGATCACAAAATTGGTCGTACTGGCCGTCACACCTATCTGGCCATAATCCATGAAGAGTGAACATGTCATCTGGTCCAACAGCAGGGTAGTAATCCCAAAACTGTGTTTGCAAAAGCACTCCTCCCGGATATTCGAAACAGCACGAGTCGCTAATGACGGTATCATTGGTGCATGTGAATGGTATATCAGCAGGGCATTTCTTTACTTCGTTGGTCCAGTTTTCAGTGAAGTCTTTAAGACCTTTCAGGGCGTTTTGGGGGTTGAATGCGTCGGGGATTGAGACAGCATTTGCCGTCAATACTGTAAGCAGTAACGATAGCATGTTGGATAGATACTGAATTCTTGAGTGTCCACACAGTGACAATACGATCAACAGAAGCTCAAAACTGGGTGCAATGTATCACTTATTAACAAGCAATGCGTTTAAGGAACAGGCAGCCTAAGCATCCTCCGAGCAGCCCACAAGGTCTATGGGGGGTCGTGGGCCAGCCCCGAAACGTACCTTGATGTCAAACACTTATCTCCTCGAGGGGAGCGCGCTTTTATTGGCCCGATAGCATGTATCCATCCAAAGAGGAAAATACTTTGATTATTTCTAGTCTATATACGAGCGACATCATGTTACAAACATAGATTAGCGTAGAATCACTCACTCTCTGCTTCACCTTCGTCATCACTCCCAGCGTCCTTCAACTCAAGATCGCCGTCGGAGTCCAGGTCATGCTTGATAGCGTTGTCCTTGGCATCTTGCTCGAGAGACTCTCTGAGAAGCTTTAACCTTTCTTCCTTCACCAACCTTTGAGTGGAGATGTATGCACCAAGTGGAGTCTTAGTCCAATCAAGGTCCTGCAAAAACTTGTTAACTGCAGCTCTATTTTTTGGCCCATACTCGATTTGGCTCCTTTGCTTTTCGATATATTTGCTGTTAGCAGCTAATTTGTCGATGAGCGTGGACAACTGTCTGCTAAATTTAGCGTTGTTTTTGGCGGTGTTATTCTTCTTTGCTAATCTTCTCATGAAAATAAGTGGTGGTGTAGTCAATTCCGGGAATGCGACGGACTTGCAGTATAGTACAAAAAATTCTCCAATGAGTTCAATTAATTCTTCACAGACACCCTCAAGGTAAACACGTGTGTTCAAATAGGCCTTGTTAACTTTGATGACATTCTCAAAATCGACAGCAGGTAAATTCTCACGCTTTGGATTTCTAGAGAACATACTAGCATGTAGAATCTCACTCAATAGAGGGAATAAAGGAATATATACTCCTGTGTTGTGGGATAATCTTATCAACGATCTTATTAGATAAAATCTCAATGGGAAGAATTGCGCAGTAGGAATGAGCTTGATGGTACCGATGGTGACCTGGATCAAAGGATAGCTTAGTTTTTCTAGCGGATTGTCAATAATTTCGCCATCTTTGGCAGTTATTTGCACAGAAATTACTCTTGACCAAAAATCAAGGCCATGGCAGTACTTCCAGTTGTATATGGTTTTGTAGCTGTCTTTAGTTGGGTTATTAACACTACCTCTGAGGTGAATTGCCAATTGTCTGACGTACTCAAATCCGATTTGATACCCGAGTGTTGGATTCAAGCCGAACAACTCAGCAGCAGAGTTCTTTTGGAAGTTCAACAAAGGAGTGGTGTGAACATTGGTTTTACCACAGTTTTTGATGAAGCTGGAGTAAGTTGATCTGAGAATGATCTCCAACACAGATTTTGGATACTCTTTGCTTGCGTTGTTCATCCACGCAAATGCAGAGATTTGTGTTTCGAGGGAGCTTGAAGAACTCCAAATATCCACAACAGCGTTCACAACTGCCTTTAAAAGTTTTCTGAAAGATATTAAGTATGGCAATAGCTCCTGCACAGATTGTAGAACCAACGCGCAGGTTTCGGTATTGGATGAATCTTCAAGAAGAGTAATCAAGGATGGAATATGTGCCTTCACGATACTTGACACTTGTGCAATCTTCTTCTTGTTTCCCGAGATATTTCTGATACCATTGGATGAAACTTTGTAAGGAGTCAACTTCTGAATAGCCAAAGGCAGGTCTTGTAAAACGATAAGCATGAGATTCTTGAACACTTTCTCTTCCTTAACTGAGTACTTGAAAGCATCTTCTGAGTCTGCATTGAGGGCAGACTTGTATGCTATAACTGTGTTCTTCAAAGTTTTGAAACCAGGAGTATCTGATTTCAAGTCCTCGGACCATTTTTTGACTAACTTCAAGTCGACTTCAACTGCATGCTCTTCACCTTTCTTGTCTCCTTTCTTTGCATCAGTTTTATCGTCCCGGGCAAACTCTTTTCCCTCTTCTTCTTCATCTTCATCTTCGTCACCCTCGTCATCACTGATTGCATCTAATGGGTTCACAGCATCAAAATCCAATAAATCCTTGTCATTATCCTTCAAGTACTTGAAAAAGTCTGGATCTTCCTTTGCCAATGTGTTCATGTCAAGATCTTGCTCCGCGTCTTCTTCATCAGAGGAAGAAGAAACATCTTCCTTATCCTCTTCTTTTGCCTTGGTTTTAGACTTCTTGATCTCCGGAAGTTTTTCCTCTTGGTCAAAATATTCCTCCATATCAACATCTTCAAAAACCTTAGCGTTCTTCTGGTTGTTATCTACCTTGGCATCAGAGCCTTTGCTTCCCTTTTTGCTTCCCTTTCTCTGAGAAATTTTTTTATTATGCTCCTGAACTTTTTTTCTTTGTTCAATGGTGTGTTTCAAGTGCTTTGCTTGAAACTTTTTGGTGGACTTTGCAACTTTACCCATTCTGTATAATCTGATGAGGCTTCACTATTCCAACTTTCTTCTATAATCCAAGAACTCTTTCCAATCCTACATTTCTTAGACATTCTACCTTGTAAAAAAATTTCAGATGGAAAAAAAAGTTGTGGAGTTGAAAAAAAAAAATTAACAGGAATAAACACTGCTCTTTTTTTTCCTAATCGGGTCGATCGACCCTAAATTCACTTTCTACGCTATTCGTAAAGGTACCATCTGCAGGAATAGACAGACACACAGATAGATGCTAGCAGAGGCATTCAAAGAGCAGATGCTAATTTAGACAAGGCACATGGTCGGTAAGAATAGCAATCTGTTAACTTGTGCAAAAGGTCAGTCTAGTAACAGCTGAAGCAAAGATGGAATCGGAAGCTCAGTTTGCTGGATTTTTACTTTACAACAAAAGCTGGGTCAATAGCCGAACTGGTGATGTCTATAGCCACAAACATGTAACATTTGGTTTGGCTAACACGTTTACTTGTGTAATTTTTTGCGTGACGATTGACTTTCGATGATGTGACTTGCTGGCGCTAGCTTCATGAATTTATAAGTGTTGTGTCTAAAAGTAAGATTGAACTAAAGGAATGGAGCAAGCTCAACACCATCATCGCTATTGGTTGGTGGGTGCTACCGAGTTTGATTGGCGGAGTAATTGGGGGTTCGACCGGGTGACTGCAACATCTAAGCTCGAAAAAGCTCTCTTTGATGAAATGCGGAAGCGTCAGTTTGATAACGTTTTTCCTCCACCCGCATTCCGTGGCGTAAACAAAAAATGATTCAAATTACAATGGAAACCTATGTAACCTTCTAATGAGCATGCAGTTGCGTATAGCAATCACCATTTCTATCCTTAGATTAGACGCTGAAAGGTGTATATGAACCGTATATCAGATGGACAATAAGACTGGAACCGAAGGCTCAGAGCTTAATACATCGATAAACTTAACACTCGATGAGTCGTCTGTCAACATGTCCGGACTTCTATCCGACTCCACAAATTCCATTCTGGATCCAGAACAGTCTTTTACAAGGCAGCAGGATCTTTATGGATCCATACGGCCATCTCCAATGAAATCTGAAAAATCTGCAATTGAGTTGCCAAAGTTAGACGGTAAGCTGGTCTTGCCAAAGCAACGGAAAAGGTCTAACTCAATGGATGCCAGATCTGAAACTCCCAGCAACAAGTCAAGAGACTTGAAAGCGAGACAACTTCAAAGACCTTCAACTTGTGGAAAAGAGAACTTGAGAAACTTTTCTACACCTTTGCCATTGAAGGTCGGCTCTTTACACGATACCCCCTTCCCTACTCTTACCCCTGATACCCCTCAATATGTTGATTTAGTTGCCAACATCAACAAAGATGACAATGAGAAAAACAACGCTTCCCTAAATTCACTACAGCAAACTCCCCCTATAAGTAATTCGAAGGTGACATCACCGATATCTGTGCGATGCTTTTCCACGCCCCTGGCGGATATAAGATCAGGCTCGGCAGTAAAGACTGCTGTTCAGATCAAGCTTCACCAGCTTTCTTCAGACAAGTATCTTGAAGAGCAAGAACGTCAACTACAGCGTGAGATACTAAAATATCAATCGGAGATCAATTTGATGAAAAAGTTGAAAAAGTATAGGGAAACAAACGATACCGAGAAACTTGATCGATTAATCGACAAATGGAGAGATATTGCTGCCAAAGGCTCAAATTATCTTTATAATGAAGCTAGATTGAAAATAAGTAGGATGGGTGGTCTGGATGAATTCAGAAAAAAGCAAAAGAAAACCAAGCTACGGAAAATGAAGTTTGAGTATGACGAGAGTTTGCTTTATAGGATTGAAGAATACATGGAAAGTGAGGAGTATAAGAATCTAGACAATTATGAAAAGGAAGAGGTCATTTCTCGGAAGAGAGAAATTGAAGAAATGAGTGAAAAAATAGAAAATGGAGACTTTCTCTCCGACAATGATGATGATGAGGAAGATGAGTTAACCATGAAAGAACTATACAAGCAGCTGGGGTTGGATTACGATTTGGTGTATGAGTCCTGACATGATAATCAACTCTTTGCTACATTGGTCTTTTTGCTATTATTACTTTCGTTCATTAATGTCTGTAATCCACAGAGTTCTCTATAATTATATAAAATGAGCATTTTAATCAGAACACATCACCAAGTTTCAGACGCGGTGCAATATTCATTGAAATCAACTCTTGGAATAGTAGTTTTGCGGCATAAGGAATGGTCATCTTAATGATGGTTTCACTGGTTTTGCATGTTGGACACCATCCATTGTAACCCATCAAGCCACATGTGTTACAAACATCAACGTCAAATGCATCAGAGCTGAGCATCAATCTTTCGAGTAATAACTGAGAAGCGCCATAGGCAATGACACAATCTCTTTCCATCTCTCCCAATCTCAAACCACCATCTCTAGATCTACCTTCGGTCGGTTGTCTAGTTAACACAGCCCTAGGACCCCTAGCTCTTGCATGCATCTTATCCAAAACCATATGTTTCAATTTCTGGTAGTAGATAGGACCAAAGAAGATATACGCCTGAAGACATTCGCCAGTGATACCACTATAGAGCATGTCTTTACCACTATAATTGAAACCTTTGTCCACTAGAATTTTGGACATATCTTCCAACTTAGAGCCTCCAAAACATGTACCGTATTGTAAAGAACCATCAAGAACGCCCGCTTTGCCAGAAACTAATTCAAGCATCTTACCCACAGTCATACGAGACGGGAAACCGTGGGGATTCATAATAATATCAGGGCAGATACCTTGATCATTGAATGGCATATCCTCTTGCTGAACAATAATACCACAAACACCCTTTTGTCCGTGACGTGAAGAAAACTTGTCACCTAATTCGGGGCGACGTGTTTGTCTTAGCAAAACTTTGATCAATGCCTGATCATTATCACTTACAGACATCATAACCTGATCGATATAACTTGGCTCTGGAGCTCGATAAACCATTGGTTGCTCCCTATGTGCTTGCTGTGGGGGAGCCTGTTGACCGCCTTGCGCACCACCCAATACGCTCTCCGAGGCATTAGCAGGGACACATTTATTGACGTAGATTTGACCACTTTGAACTCTCATTCCAACTTCACCTAAACCATCTGGACCTAACGCCGTGTGTTGCCATATTGGTTCACCGTCTTCGTTGACACGCATACCTGCTAGAATATCTTTGGAATTATTTGGATATCTTTTCAAAACAGCGGTATTTTTCCTGAAAACTTGGCATCTACCAAATCCTCTATCAATTGATGACTTATTCAAGACCAACGCATCTTCAATATCATAACCTGAGTATGACATGACAGCCACAGTGGCATTTTGACCTGCAGGAAGTTTGTCATACTGGATCAATTCAATTGTTTTAGATTTAACCATTGGCTGTTGGGGATAACACATTAAGTATAACAAGGTATCAATTCTTCTGAATTGATTATAAGCAATTGCACCAATTGCTTGCTTACCCATCGCACATTGATATGTATTTCTTGGAGATTGATTATGATGTGGGTATGGAATCAAACCAGCAACTGCACCCAAAACTGTGAAAGGTTCAATTTCCAAGTGGGTAGTAGCAAGAAAAATATCCTTTTCGTACAATGCAATCAACGAATCATTCTCTTCATTAACATCGAGATACTCAACCAATCCATTAACTAGAAAGTCGTCGAACTCCCATTCTCCATTTTTTAACTTGCGCAAATGATCAGCAGTGACCCTAGACTTTCCATCTTCAATAATGATCAAAGGTCTACAAATACGACCACCATCAGCAGCAATATGGACAGCATTTTGATGAACATTAGTATATATGGAAACAAATGCCGATACTTTTCCTGTTCGTCTTAAATATCTAAAGCTGTTGACAAATCTTATTGGGAATCTTGTGGTTGCAACCAAAGTACCGTTCAAATAAACACCAAATGTACCATTAGTATGTAAAGTGGAACTATCTGCAATGTTGATATTCTCAGCCCCAAGGATATAACACAACTTTCTGATTGGAGTCTCTTCATCATCTGTAGTAATATGAGTCATCAATGCCAAGTTTTTAACCAAACCACAAGCTTCACCTTCAGGTGTATCAGATGTGCAGAGCATACCAAATTGAGATGGCTGCAAAGCTCTTGGGCCTGAAACTTTTCTAGACTTTTCGAATTGAGAAGAAATTCTTGTCATCATACCCAAAGCTGAGATATAGGATAACCTACTCAAAACATGTGTAACTCCAGCCCTTTCCATCTTGAATCTCTTCAAGGACCAATTACCTGTAGATATTGCCCTGTTAAGACCAGTGGTAATATTGTTCGAGTGGATGTTGATGTGTAGTAGTGCATCGAATTCAGAAGCTCGGCTGGGCTTCTTCAAAATTTTGTCAAGATTCATTTTGAAATCATTGTTGAATTTTTTGAATAAATCTTCAAATAAAAGTGACATTAACTGGCCTGCCAACTCTAAACGTTTATTACCGACGTAATCTCTATCGTCGACTAACTTCGAATTGTTCATGGTCATCACAACTCTCCTAGTCATAATTGCTATGTATATTGCCTTTTCACGGAAATCCAAGTTTTCCACAGACAAATGTGCTATAAGAGTTGACGCTATTGCTTCAATACCCTCTTGAAGAATGGTTAGTTTCGGCGCATTCATTCTTCTAATAGTCTTCACTTTTCTTCCGATATATTCTAAAGCTTCTTTTTGAGTGTAAACCCCAAGTTTAGCAGCCTCCTCAAAATTAACTGCAAAAATATCCTGATAAACAGAATCGTCACCACAAACAAGTTGTAAAACTTCCAAATCTGATACAATGCCGGCTGCTTTCAGAACAATCACAATCGGAACTTCTTCACTAATCGAATTATGTTTGAGATATATCTTATCATTTTTAGTAACAACATAGGTCTTCGATTTCCTTTCATGTGTGGAGGAAGTGACGGAAGCTTGTACTATACCCTTCTTATCATCTGCTTCTACAATAATTCTATTTTTACTCAATTGTTCTTGCACCAATATAACTTTTTCTGTACCATTAACAATAAAGTATCCACCTGGATCCAAAGGACATTCATTCAAATATGCCATTTCATTTTCTGTCCTGCCATTCAAAACACATTTGTTTGATCTTAACATAATTGGCATTCTTCCTATCTCCAAATCCCTGTGAATAATGATTTTTCTGCCTCTTGTATACTCGACATCAACATAGATAGGTGCACTATAGGTCATGTCTCTCAATCTGCACTCATGAGGTGGGTATAAAACCTCTATCTGCTTCGGATCGGCTTTACTCTTATAACCGACTCTAATATCTAGGTACTTTAAGTAGAAATCGGGATCAACATCACTCAAAACTTTCTCATTTGCTTGGACAATTTTCTTCAAATCAGTATCAACAAAATAGTTGTAAGAGTCTAGATGCTGTTTGACTAAACCTTTCACTTTCAAGAATGCTGGTAACAAGTTCCATTTGTCCTCTGCCGTGTTTATTGGATCAGTCAAAGATTTACCTTTGTAAACAGGATTCAAGAGATCCTCAAAAGAATCGCTGTGCTCCCTTTTCACGGTTGTAGTCATGTGCCGTGATTAAGTGAAGCTTTAATTATGGAAAAGGTTGTATTGAGTGACAAGACCACAGAGTGAATTACATTAGTAACAGAGGGAATAGTAAGCAGAAGTAGTGTATACTTCATGCTGAAAAAAATTTTCCCATAGTAAAAATGTCGGAGCGCTCAAGTTCGATCTCGATTTACTCTTTTCTGAACTTGAGAATATGGACATGAATTGGAGATCGCCATCGATGAAAGAAGAATTGGTAAGCATGATTCGATGCTCAGGGTCTTGCTATAATAACAGCTTAATATACAAAATTGACAAATGAGTACTCCTCAACCCCCAGGAAGCTCCAATTCACAAGGAGATGACGAAGCTGTAGACTTCTTCAAGTCTACAATTAACGAATACTTGGACAATCTGCCAGAAAGTGTCCATCAGCAATTATTCCAATCGAGGGAAACTTGTTTAGCAATATTCCGACTACTTCCGGCACTTTCTAAGTTTTATATAATGGCAATACTGTTCAATGAAACTAGTGTGCCGTACTCAGATTTGAATAGATGGGTGAAATCAAACAAAAATTCAGAGTTCAAAGGTCATCAAAACCCTACCAAGATTTATCAAAACGATTCCATTAAAAGGCTCAAATCATTGCACATATTAAAAGAAATCAAAAGGCAAATGATACATCCAATCACAAAACAACCTACTATTATTATATTTGTTCAATTAAATGAGATTTTTAGACAATCATTCAGAGACGCATTGACTGGGTTTCTACCGGATAGTACCCAGGATCAAAGTAAAATCACCTTAGCTTCATCTAAAGATGAGAAGCGGGACAAGAGTACAAGTTTAAATATGATGTTTGATGACGATGTGGATAATAGTATAACTGTTGAGTATCTCGATCGTTATTGCATTGCCAAATGGGAAAACATATTGCATTTCATGGTTGGTACAGAAATCAAAGAAATACCATCCGTTGGTGCTTTAACGCTTCTAAGATTTTCGGGTTTGATGGAATTACCTTCTGATAGAGAGCGTAGAGAAGCTTTGGATGGACAAGTGGATGAAGATATAGATTATGGTTACGAAGACGATAACAAAAAATCGATACATACACTAAAACAATTGCTCATTACAAAAACTGGATTTCAATTCTTATTGCAAGATATAAGTTCTCAAATATGGACATTACTTATTCAGTACCTTATAATGGCTGAAAAGCTCAAAATGAATCCTGTTGATGTTTTGAATTTCATTTTTCTTTTGGGAAGTTTGGAGTTAGGTCAAGGGTATGCGATAAGTATGCTTCCTCAAACCCAGTTGATCATGTTGGATGACTTGCAAGATTACGGTTTGATTTACCATCAAAAAGATTCTTCTGTATTTTATCCAACTAGGCTTGCTACCTCTCTTACTTCTGAAGGTTCAAGTTTTAAAACTGCGTCGGCTGCTATGGATCAAGAAATATCACAACCCCGTGCCGATAAATCTACAAATTCAGGCTCTATTATCATTGAGACAAATTTCAAGATTTACTGCTACACCTCTTCACCACTACAAATTGCCATTCTCAATTTATTTGTTCATTTAAGGGCGAGATTTGCCAATCTTGTTACCGGTGTTGTGACAAGGGAATCTGTAAGAAGCGCATTGAGAAACGGAATCACATCTACCCAAATCATCAATTATCTTGAAACACATGCACATAATGGTATGATTGAACTCGCTGAAGCCGAGTACAACAAAAAGTATGAGTTTGAAAGCTCTATTGGTAATACTACAGCTCTGGAACAATTGAAACTTGAGATTTTACCACCGACGGTTGTCGATCAGGTGAAACTCTGGCAGTTAGAAATGGACCGAGTGCAAGCATTCAAAGGTTATCTCTACAAAGATTTCAATAACGATTTTGAATTTGAGAAACTTTTGTCCTATGGCGAAGATATTGGCGTTATTGTTTGGAGGGATAAGGCGAAGAGAAAGTTCTTTGTCTCACAAGATGGTAATCCCCAATTGATTGACTATGCAAATAAAATAATCCGAAATAGTTCTGGTACTCCCAGGGCAAATACCCCAACCTAAACATACGTAGATGTTAAAACCCCTTGGTTGGGAAATATAATATGTGTAACATCAGTTTATACGTTTTTTACAAAGGCCTTATGAATAAATTTAGTTGTGTAAATTTAGATATATTTATGTACGTTTAGAGTTCCATTCTCAGATGGAAAGTTAGCAAAGAAGAAACAAAGTATAAGCACTATTTTTCATCAACTGCATCTTCTTCAACTTCGGTATCTGTATCAATGTCTGTCCAAAGTTCTTCTTCTTTATCTGAATCTTCGTCACCACTACTTTCGTATTCGTTTTCAAACTCTATCTTCTTAACTGGTTCTCCTCTTAATTGAGCCATTGCACCAGCAATTGAGTCTTCATCTGGATCTTCAATGCCGTAAACGTCTTTTTGTACGTCCATAGGCTTGTCTTCAACTTTCATAACCAATGGAATGTCTATGTCACTTCCGAAATATATGAGGTTTCTAATGACCAACCTAAACTGATATTCACCAACAGCACTTGGAGTAGGAGATTGTAGCTGAATTTTGAAAGTTGAGATTTGACATTCTGATTTGATGTATTGCTCTTGTGTGAGTCTCATATTACTCAAATCGGCCTTTCTAATCATTTTTGGGATTTCGACAATTTTATTATCTCTCTGTGCAACCAAAAATGCAACCCAGCCACAATTTTGCTTGATATAATCTTCATCCGGGAAGAAAGGTGGTAAGTGATCTATTACTATATCCTTTTGCTCTTCCACAAATTTTAAAGGATCTCTCAAATTTTCCATTGATTCCTCTTCTTTGAGTTGAGTCTCAAGAACATTTTTAGCAAAATCCTTCAGTTCTGGCTTAGACTTATGTAAAGGTGATTTTGTTATGAATTTCAAGTTGATGTGGGAAGACGAGTTTGGAGGAACAAAATCTTCTCCTGGAACTTTAAAACTACATTCATATGATTCAATAAGTGGGATACTCTTTGCATAATCTTGGATATTGCTGACAGTTTTCACTTCAACTCCCAAAAATTTAGATGGTTCAACAGTTGGCTTTTTCAAAAGTTTACCCAAAGTCAGAATATTTTGAGTGGTATCAAGTTTGGAAATATCAGTACCAGGTAGTTGTAAGATTTGTTGAAACTTACGAGTTTTTGCGTCCTTATCGATGTTTAACGCCTGAATAATACTTCTATGAGCATCAACCAACTTGACACAATAGTCAGTATTCTTAAAAGCAGCAGATATTTCTATGAAAGCAGATATTAATTTAGGGGTGATGGAAACGACATTCAATCTCAACCTTTCGTCTTTTGTAGGTTCTCTATTGATGTAGGACAACAGCAAGCTGTGAACTTGTTTTGGAGACAGAGTAGAGTCAATTTCCACGTATTCGGCGGCATGGGAAACATATTCCAAGACATCATCAATCAATAACATCTTTGACGGGTTAGCATTGATCATAACCTTCATGAAATGATCTGCAGTGTTGACATGAATGTTTTGCTTTGTTTTGGATTTAACGCCGTTCCACCATGAGCTAACAACCAATGGTAAAATCACAGCAATCAATAGGACATACACTAGAACCAAAAATGGTGACGTTGGACCATCAATGAGGAATTTGGGTAATGCAATGCCATGTTTGATCTCATTTGGACCATCTGGATTACCGTATTTGAGAAAATTTTCTCTCACGGTATCGTCAGTCAAGGCCTTGTAGGCTTTGTTGATCAAGACATAGGCTGCATCAACTGCATCAATTTCTTTCTGGGACATAGAAGAAGTGTCGACCTTATCTGGATGGTACTTCAATGATAGTTTTCTGTACGCGGTTTTGATAACCTTCTCGGTCGCAGAGTCGGAGATTTCAAGGATTTTCCATGGATCAAAGTTTGTTTCAGAAACAGTCAGGGTTATTGAAGAAATCTTCAAGAAAAGTATGGCTGTCAACAACCAACCCAATGCTATCAAGCTATTACTTTTGTTGAAAAGTTTGGATCTTCCACGTGATGCTTTGAAATTTTCAATTTCTTTATCATTGTAAGGTTTAAACCATTTCTTGGTTGATCTAAAGGAAGTCGATGACTCTTTGTCTGTTGCTTCCGACACAGAACTGTAAATTTTCGACACAGTTGCTGGAACCAATGGAACCAAGATAGTTGTCAACAAGAAGTATGGCCACGTTTCAGAATTTTCATCGTACTCGTATCGAGACTGGGACATCGTTGGGCGCTATTACTTATATATTCCAACGGTAACAACTTCACTCAACAAGTTCGTGAGCTTATCTGTCTAATACTTCAATCCCGGAGGGTTGTCGCTACTCCTGAGTTGGACAGATTTCATATCACTTGAATAGCCATGTTCAAACAGCAGTAAAACGCCAACGACGTCGAAACGTGTCGAGTAAGTCTTGTTCGCGAGGGTGCACGGATGTCCAAATGCTTGTAAAGTTGAAATGGAAATGGATGAAGATGAAGGTGAAGATGAAGTTGAGAAAGAGGTTTTTGCTTCTGTTAACCGACAAAAGAGGTTATGGAACCCGTTGAGGGAGTGAGCTAACTCAACTCTATTTCCCTGTATGTGGTGCTGAATAATAACCCTTCGATAATAGTTAATTGTAGCTTTTTTCGAATTGACTGCATTCATGCACATTAAATTGATGTCGACTATATTCTGGTAAACCATGCTTGTAAAACTGCAATGACATTGTCAATAACAGCAATGGGAAGTTCATTTAGGCAAGAACACCGAGCCTCTGCAACTACAAAGTCTCCCGATTTATGTGATGGACGCGTGTAGCAGTAACATCAATAAATGCGAAATCTGGCACGGTACGCTTCTTCTCCAGAGAGCTGGTTATATGGCAGAAGCAGGCAACTGTCCTTTGAAGGCGTACCAGCACAGTGACCTAGGAATCAGTAGAGTATGAAAATCAAGTTTGTGTCGTTGATATCCAGGGATAACCGGCCCCTCTACATACAGTCGTTCGTTTCGACGCAGAACGAGAAGTCGCCATCGTCAGATGCCACTACGCCTGAGGAGATGAACGAGCTATTGAAGTACAACTTCCTTTCACATATGTCACTAGATGTTTTTGAGTCACCGTTTGCTCCGATTGGGACGCACTCGGCAAAAGGGAAGCCGACTCTTTTGTTCGTTCAAGACGGGGTCCTTGTGTACGGATCGGAGACTCTTACGGGGCTCAAGGTTGTTGTTGGCTGCAGCCGATATAACAGAGAGGCTGAAAAGGGTACGGGGAAAGAGCCTGAGGCGGAAGAAGGGTCGACGACGGTGGCTGCTAAGGTGAGCAGTGAGAAGAGTCTGGGTAACTTAGACGGGTTTGTCGACACCGACGTGATTGAGCTTTCCGACTTGGATTCGGTCACAACGGCGATACGCAAGGAGTACCTCAGGTACAGCTGCAACCCGTTCCTGGATCCGAAGGAGGAGACGGAGATCAATAGCGAAAAGTTCGACAGACAAATCAAGCGTATAGTGGACGGGTTTAATTCGGAGAGCGTCTGATGTAGTACGATATAATAATTTACACAAGAGTTATTTTAGAATGACGTTTGCCCCACGCAAGGAGAGGTACTGCTGGTCAACGCCGGCAGGCATCGAGCGGACGATTTCGTAGCACTCCTTGTCGTAGAACCTGATCTGGTTGTGCGGGCTCTTGTAGTTTGTTGGCAACCCGGTGATGTCGCAGTAGGTTCTTATAGGTCTCAAAGAGGGAGGCGCCGCCAGGGAGAAGTACGTTGTTCTGTCTTTGGGCGGCTGGTCGGGATGGAGGGTCTTCTCCTCCTCCTGGAGCTGGTTGAGCCGCCTCGACTCCTCGTTCAAAACCAACCGGGCTCCCTTGTATCTGACCTTCTTGACGACCCGGTTCGGGTTCTTGAACTTCTCTGCCGTGGCAAAGATGTCCATGTACCGGCTCAGGCTGAGTTCGTCGCCCTGCGTCATTGTGTGTGTGTGTGTGTGTGGTGGCTGTATTGTCGAGTGGGAGAGGCGACGGAGCCTGAGGGCGTCCGGTGGTACCATGTATCGTGGTAAAGGCCTTCAAGTAAACCGGACAAGATCACGAAAAAGGCATTCTGGCGCGTCACGTGACCCTCTCCGACCTCCGATTTGCCCTCTTTCCACTACAGGAGATTACAAGTGTTTGGACTACATTACGGACGATGTCTGGTCTGATATGGTAGATGATTGAGTCTAGACAGGTGGTGCAGCTAAATATTCTGAGTTAAACGCAAGCAAAAAATAGTGGTAGTTGTATACGGTTTCAGTGTTTTTTTTCCCTTTTTACTACCCCACAAACCCGTGTCTTGTTTCGATTTGTTGATTTTTTTGGTATTCTGTGTCAGTGTAAAGGCAAATCTGGATGGTGCAGCGCTTACCAGCACTGGTAGCCACCGTCGACGACGATGTTCTCACCGGTGGTGTAGGAGGAGGCGGAGTTGGAGAGCAAGTAGAGGACGGTGCCGCTGAACTCGGAGGGGTCGGACATGCGCTTCATAGGGACCATGGACATCCATCTGTTGTACAAGTCGGCGTTGCCGTTGATGACGTTCTTGGTCAACGGGGTGGCGATGTAGCCCGGCGACAGGGTGTTGACGCGGATGTTGTACTTGGCCCACTCCGCGGCCAAGGACTTGACCATGTGGATGACGCCGGCCTTGGCCATGTTGTAGGCGATCTGGGGCTGCGGGTCGTTGACGATGACGCCGGACATGGACCCGATCATCACGATCGAGCCGCCGCGGATGCCGTGCTTGATCAACGGTCTGGCAAACGACTGCGCGATGTAGAGCGAGCCCAACAAGTTCACCTTCACCAAGTTCTCTGCGTTGGCGGCCGGGTACTCCTCTGCCGGGTAGTTTTCGCAGTAGCCTGCCGTGTTCACGAGGTGCAGCGGGTACGTCCCGAACGCCGTGTACACGGCCTCGCAGGCGGCCTCCACCTCCTGCGCGTCGGCGATGTTGCACGCAAAGCACTCCATCTGCGGAACCGCGTCCGCCTTGACCCCGAGCTCCGCGGTGCAGAAGAGCACCAGCTCCTCCTTCGTCTTCTTCAACGCCTCCATGTTTCGGTCAAAGAGCGCCACGGGCGCCTCGTAGGCAAGCAACGTGTGCAACAGCGCCTGCGAAAGACCCCCGCAGGCGCCTGTGATGATTGTGAGTTCGTTTGTGAGCTTGAAGTTAGGGACTCCGGTGGCCATTTTTGTCTGTGTGCTGTGCCTGCCAGCCTGTCCACCTTCTTCTGCAACGACGCCCCTTTTCTTATCGCCAGCCGGAGTGGCAACCGGACACCTTATATAGCGGCCGCACCAAAAAAAATTTGCACCGGCTCTCGGAGCCCCCCTCTCGGAGGGGTCCTTCCCCTCTAGCCAAAAGAAACAACGGTGCCGCCAACGGCCGCCCCCCAGGAACGTCGCCGTCCCGTCGCCGCCGCCGGCCGCCCGTTCCTTCCTGCCCGTGGCCCTCTCTAATCTCCCCCCATTCTCCTTGGGCCCCGCCGGTGTTGTCCTCCCGGCCGGCTGCGAACTCCGACCACGGCTCGGGACAGGCCGCGGGCTCGTTTCTTTTCCCGTCCCGGCAGGCCAGCAGCGGCGGGGCACGGGGCACGGGTGTCGCTGGACGGTGCTCAGCTGAAAGGGCAGCTTGGGGACAGTGGTGGAGACGGAGGGGACACGGGGACACAGGGACACGGGGACACGGGGAGTCGAGAGCCAGAGAATCGAAAGCCAGACACCAACAGCTAGCACAGCAAGCATGACAGCAGACAGACACTTGGGCAGCCCCTACCCCATCCTCCTGAGCGCAGGGTTCATGGTCTCGGCGGCCACTGCGTTCCAGACGCTCGGAACGTTGGTCCTGCCAGACTACCTCGCCGGCGGCGGACACTACCAGTTCTTGACCAACATCGCCCTCTGCTTCTCCACAGCATACTTTGCCCTCAACCTGTGCTACCACACGCTGCGACTCAGGGCGCTCGGCGGCGCAAAGGTGTACCTCTCGGCCACGTGCTTCTCGCTCAACTTCATCGTCTCGCTCGTGTACTGGGGCCTCAAGCTCTTCGTGCCGCAGTTGATCCTCTCCGAAAAGGACACGTTCCCCTTCTCGCTCGACGTCAAGATCCACCTGCTGCCGCTGCTGTGCAGCGCCGTCGACTACCTGTGCTTCATGCAGCGCTGGGACGTCCCCTACCTCAGCGGCTACGCCATCGTCGCCTCGCTCACCACGCTCTACTGGTTCTGGCTCGAGTACCTCGTCGCCGACGGCGCCGCCTACCCGTACCCGTTCCTCAACGTGGAGAAAAACCTCCGCATCGTGATCTTCCTCGTCGTCAGCCTTCTCGCCTTCGGCTCCTTCTGCGTCGGCAAGTTGATCCACCCGGAGTTCATCCCGGAGCTCGAAAAGGCCGAAGACGACTACGCCAAAACCAAGTAGTGCCTCTTGCTACGTCTCCTGCCCGAGTCTCCGGTTCCCGTTTCCCCGTTTCGCTTTCGCCAGGCTCCTCCCCTGTTCTTTGCTTCCGCCAGGCTCTTCTAGTGCAATATAATCACTCCGTTATTCTTCTCTACGTCCTCGTTCCGCCCCTCTGTTCGTTGTCTTGCCCCTCCGCCCTCCCACTCTTTGTTCCTCCCAGCTTATCTTCTCCACAGTAGCTCCAAAGCCTTCGACCCCAGCTATTGTAGCGAGCGCTGCCCCCGGCGCTATTGCCGCTACCGCTGCACTCGCCGCCCCGCCGATATGAGATATGGACAGCCTAGGACATGGCCTAAGAAATGGCCAGCTTCTTCTCCTCCCTTGAGGACCGGCACAGACAGGAAGACCCACCGCCGCAGACAGACAGCCAGCTATGAAGCTCTACACCAGTCAGGTGCTGCTGCTATTGGCATGCGTCTGCAACCTGCACGTGTGTAATGCGTTGCTCTTCTTCCAGAACTGGTTCCAGCCCGTTGAAAATGCCGTGGTGGACACCAAGACGTTCCTTCTCCACGACAGAGTCCTGCGGTTTGCAAACGAGGTGGAGGTATTTGAAGAGAGTCGACACGACCTTTCGCAGACAATTGCCCAACTGAACAGTGCAAATATCAAACACTACTCACAGGACCCACACAATGTCCCAGTGCCGTTGGAACAGTACCAAGGCCAGTATATCCTACGGCTCTATGACTGGAATGAGAAGTTGGAGAACAGACTTGCCTTAAAACAGCAGCCGTCGTTCTTTGAATTTGCCTTCACGATCGTAAGGCAGTTGGAGGTCCCAATATGGGAAAAGTCCACCACCCACAAGTTCATTGACGTGCAAGTTACAAAAAGCCAAGGCGAGGAGCTTTTATCTCTACTGTCGATGGTTTACTCCGGCCCAGATGACTTCCAGAGCAAAATCATGATCTTAGACTTACCACAGTCCGTTTACGAAACCTTCTCGGTCTCCGAACTCGACTCCGGTGACGCTGTCGTCGACGACATCTCCACCAATGCAGAAATATTCTTCAAATCCTACAGAGACTTGGACACCATCTACTCCTGGTTCGATCTTCTTGTTGACACGTACCCTGACATTCTCCAGGTGGAGTACATAGGAAACACCTTTGAGGGCCGGCCAATGAAAGCTTTGAGACTCTCTGTCCACAGTGATTCCAAAGTCGACAGTATCAAGACTGTCGTCATCACAAGCGGTATCCATGCCCGTGAATGGGTGAGCATTTCCTCCTCCTGTTTCATCCTTTTCCAACTTCTCTCGGACTACGAAAATGGTAATTTAGCAGTGAGAAGATACCTTGAGAACTTGGATTTCCTCTTTCTGCCAGTTATGAACCCAGACGGTTACGTCAACACTTGGAAAAATGAACGTCTATGGAGGAAAAACAAACAGCAAACGTATAACCCACGATGTGCTGGAATCGATATTGATCACTCGTTCGGCTTCCATTTCACTACGGGCTATGAATCTCCTTGCAGTGAGGATTACGCGGGAGAATCTGAGTTTGAGGCTTTGGAAAGTTACAATTGGGATAATTACTTAAATGAAACAAAACACTCTCATCCAATTTATGCATACATTGACTTGCATTCTTATGCCGAAGAGGTTTTATATCCGTACGCATACTCGTGTGATATATTACCAAGAGATGAAGAAAATTTGTTAGAGTTGGCTTATGGGTTAGGCCAAGCAATAAGGCTAAAATCAGGGAAATACTACGAAGTCTTGAAGGCTTGTGAGGATAAAGGAGCAGATCTACTTCCAAGCATGGGTGCAGGATCGGCATTGGACTATATGTATCACAACAAGGCATACTGGGCTTTTGTACTCAAGTTGAGAGACTCGGGCACCCATGGTTTCCTACTACCGTCAAAATACATCGTTCCCGTTGGCAAGGAAATTTATGCCGCAATTAAGTATTTTGCAGCTTTCTTGTTATCCGACAAATACGCTTAAAAAATTTCAAATTATCTCTAACCTGTTGTACTTTTGTTTACTTTTCAAAGAAAAATTCAATGTATAGTTTATAGTTGATAATAACTACGAAAAAGCTTGTTGCATTTAGTGACTTGATCTTACAACAGGTAAAGGCTTGCCTTTTGCAACCATTGTAGTTATCAGTTCAAAGACTACTTGGGCTGCATTAGTGCTTGTCACTTCAGCATGGTCGAAACTAGGCGCTACCTCAACAACATCTGCACCAACCAAATTTAAGTCCAGCTTTCTCAACAAATAGATCACCTCTCTTGGAAGCATTCCGCCTGGCTCAATGGTACCAGTTCCTGGTGTGAACCCAGGATCCATACAATCGACATCTAGACTGATGAAAGTCGGTAGGTCACCAATTCTGGCCTTGGTCTCGGCAACTATTTTATCTAAACCTTGGCGTCCTTCAAGCCATACGTCATCTGCCGAGTATCTTTTCCAGCCCTGTCTAGAATCATCATCAAAATCTTCCCATGTGGTACCGGAGATTCTAGTCCTGATACCAATATGCACGTTGGAGTCATTGCTGATCAAGTCTTCATTGCGGGCCATCCAAAGCATAGAGCCATGCGTAAACTCACTTTGGTTTGAAGACCAGTAGCTGGGGTACCCTTTGGGAGACCAGGTATCCAAATGTGCATCGAAATGGATTACAGCAATCTTGCCGTAAATCTGCTTAAGGGCCCTCAAATGCGGTAGTGTAATTGAATGGTCACCCCCCAATGCCACCAACCGTGGTGGATGGTTTTTATCGGAGGAAGAGAATCTTCTCAAAAGTAACTCCTCAAACCCCATAGTCATTTGTTTCAATGCAATGGTATTGTCCATTGGGGAAATAGGAATGTCGCCACAATCCAAAAACGAAGCCCAATTATTGTACGGATTTATGCCTGCCCTGGTGTTGAACCCTCGCAATTGCGCCTGTCTTTGGGAGGCAGAGCGAATGGCCCGTGGACCAAATCTTGCTCCGCTTCTGTATGTAGTGGCAGTATCGAAAGGTACCCCTATAATCCCAATATCAAAGTCAGTCTCAGGAGAAAGCAAGCATTTTGTGTGATTTAAATGCGCAAAAGTAGGAATGCCATTGAAAGGCCATTCTTCTCCCCAAATATCCTCGAGTGTCGGCTCACTTGCGTAGCCGCCAAATGCCAATTGCAGTTGTCCATTAACATAACCTTCTCCCAGGACGGCCTTCACCGGTACCGTGGCTGCCAGAGAAAGCAACAGAACCGATATCATTGTGTTGTACTAAGCTTTTCCAACTATAAAAGAATTGCTAACCAGTCAGATACCTTCAAAGACCAAATCCAGTTCCACTAGTGCTCTTGCGTTTCCATTATATCTTCCTTTCACTCTGCCCAATTTTCCTTCTCTATTGTGCGTCTCCTGTCTCTAACACCTGCTTATCTATTCTCTCCTCGGGGGATGCTCTATCCTTATCGGACCTTCAAATTCCTCGGAATTTTTACGAAATTCCCTCGCTAACATTACCAAAAACGGTATGTTTTTACCCTTGCTACAAGCACGTGCTTATGGTGCGAACCCTTTTTTGCGCTCATTACTTTCCCAACTCCTTCGTCTCCCTCACTCGCTGAGGCCTGGAGGAGGGAAAGCTTTTGCGGGAGTGAAAAAATATGGTGCACACATTAACTACAGACAAGGCCTTCTTGAAGAAAGAAAAGCTTTATTTGGGGCTGGATTTGACAACCAAGAACCTTTTTTCGAACCTCAACAATGGGTATGTTTATACAATAATCATGTGGAGACAACATGTTGTGAAACAATAGTTACTGGAGCCTGCGTCTGCAAGAAAAACCGCATACTCTGACAGGAAAAACAGGCCGACCATAAAGAGAAATGAGATAGATGTACTGCTACTTTTGAGAAACCGCCAGACTTTTGTACCATGCAAATTGATAGATTTATTAAAGTTTCAATTGAAGCATCCCCGGCCACTCTAAAAAAGATCTTTCAAGAGGTCAAATATCAGAAGTATGCTCTTCTCATCATCGGTTTACCACTAGAATACATAACTTGCATTACTGTGATGCATCCGTGTGAATTATTGCCGGATTTTTTGACCCCAGTTCCATCTTTGTTTGACTATCGTCTTCCTACATGTGATACCAGTTTTTTGAAAGTTACTAACAATTTTTCATTCCCACTCACAATTCAAACTTTTTCGTTTTATAGGTAGAGTTATCAGAAACCAAAGAAAGGGTGCAGGTTCCATCTTTACTGCTCACACCAGATTAAGAAAGGGTGCAGCAAAGTTGAGAACTTTGGATTACGCTGAAAGACACGGTTACATCAGAGGTGTCGTCAAGCAAATCATCCATGACCCAGGTAGAGGTGCTCCATTAGCTAGAGTCTCCTTCAGAGACCCATACAGATTCAAGTTAAGAGAAGAAACTTTTATTGCTAACGAAGGTGTCTACACCGGTCAATTCATTTACTGTGGTAAGAGTGCATCTCTTAACATTGGTAACGTTTTGCCATTAGGTTCCTTGCCAGAAGGTACCATTGTTTCCAACGTTGAAGAAAAGGTTGGTGACAGAGGTGCTTTAGGTAGAACCTCCGGTAACTACGTCATTATCATTGGACACAACCCAGATGAAAACAAAACCAGAGTCAAGTTACCTTCTGGTGCTAAAAAGATCATCTCTTCTGACGCTAGAGGTGTCATCGGTGTCGTTGCTGGTGGTGGTAGAATTGACAAACCATTATTGAAGGCCGGTAGAGCTTTCCACAAATACAAGGTCAAGAGAAACTCATGGCCTAAGACCAGAGGTGTTGCTATGAACCCAGTTGATCACCCTCATGGTGGTGGTAACCATCAACATATTGGTAAGGCTTCTACCATTTCTAGAGGTGCTGTTTCTGGTCAAAAGGCTGGTTTGATTGCTGCAAGAAGAACTGGTTTGTTGAGAGGTTCCAAGGATAAGAACGATGATTAATTTAGATAACTTGTATAGTTTTAACTTAGTTTGCTCTTACTTCTTTTCTTAAATATCTTTCCGCAAAATGAATCTTCATTGTTACATTAGTTTAAAACGATATAAATGTTAGCAATAAAAGAAATTTTCTTTGAAAAAATATCTTGAACTCTTCTACACAAAAACTCTAAAGACTAAAGCAATTCCACCTTGAAGATAGTTAATTTCAAAAGGAGCAAAAATATAAATTTAGCATGATGTCTCTGCAACTTGTGCTGGCTCATTTACATGAGTTAAAGGTTCTGATGTCTCGTTGCTGACGGGTTCATTGTGATGATCTGTCTCTTCAACTTTCGGTTGATCAGCAGTTACTTTCTTATTATCTTTGAGTTTTTTACCGTTATAATTCTTTGGAAAAGGGTTGTGACCGTAATAGACATCATTTACATTAACCGGAGTTAAATATTTCCAAGGCTTATGATATTTGACCTTTTGTTTATAATTACTCATGTTATCATTGATCACATTGCTAGAGTCATGATTGGGGTAATTCTTTCTGTTACTGTTATTCTTGAACGAATAATTCGATCTTGTCGATAATGGGATATCATATGGTACAGGAACGAACTTGGGACTGAAAGCTACAAATTGCTTATTTCCATAAGGCTTACCTATTTGATTGTATCTGTGCAGTTGAGGTCCGCTGAAATTTCTCGGGACAACAATTGGAATTCCATCTGGACTGTACATGTAGTTCCCCAACATTCTTCTGTCTTGATAATATAATTTGTTGGTTGCATTATTATTAATGAAGCTCTTCTTCTTAGTATTAGAATGCTGAGGTTTTTGGTTTTCATTCTTCTCTACATTTTCAATCTTCTTATCTTCTTGTAGTGGTGCATTTTCATCTTGTGTATCAGCAACTGGTGACTTTGAACCCAAAGGTTTTGATTTATTCTTTTTCGGGAACTTTCTCTTGTAGTACTTCTTTTTAGCTGATAGAGCCTTGTTCTTGGTAGAAGCATCTTTTGCCTCTTGTTTCTCCTCTGAGATTGATTGCTCGGCCGAAACGATTAAATCAGCAGAGCAAGCATCAGCTGAAGTCAAAACTTCAGTTGTAGGGTTATCAATGTTCTCGGATTTGAGAGAAATCATATCACCAGGTTCTGAAGCATCATAATTACTGTTAGCTTCTGAGCTTTCTGTAGCGGATACATCATCTGTTGACTGTATAAAACTAGCAGGCAATACAAAAACGGAGGATAAAGAATAGACCCGGTTAGTATCAGTCGACGTGTTCTATACGAAACTTTCGAACGGTGTGTACAATACCAATTGCTTTAATTCTTCGGTTACTTTTTCGACGGTGTCAGCTTCTAAAGTAACAGGAGAAATTACTCGAGATTCTGTAACTTGTTGCTCTTGTGATTCGGACATGGCTTAAGTAGATTTACAAGAAAGGAATTGACGAAGTTGAAGGCAGCAGATGAGAAACTCCATAAACCCTAAGAGAAACAAGCCGGAGAAAAGGGCAAACTGGAAAGAAGGAAGGTGTTTATGGATAGAGCCTTTCAGACGGAGGGGCAAAAGAGAAAGCATCAATGTGGTTTAGCAAAAAAGGCAACAAATTTATTTCCTGAAACGGAACTGCACCATACCTGGAATCCGAGTGCTACACTTTTTTCATTCTCAAATAACCAGAACTAAGCGCAATCCTCTTTGCAAGAGCTTATAGAGTGGGGGTTGTACGTGTTTAAGCAAAATCTTCAATTATACATGTTATAACAAATGATTTATGTATTTATTTATTTAGCTGCAGCAGCTTTCTTTTCGGCTAATGCCTTAGCAGTACCGTGTAAAGCCCATCTGTGGTTTCTTCTGAACTTTGCATCAACACCCTTCAAAGATGGGTATCTGTGAGTCTTAGGCTTCTTGATACCGTTCTTGTGTGCCTTCTTGGTTTGGTTGTGTGCGGTATGGTTCTTTGACTTAGACATTCTGTGGAAATGGATAAAATGTTTTTTTCGCAATTAGAGAAAAAAGACAAAAATGTTAGTAACTTGCTCCTTCAAACAGAGATCATCATATTGTTTTTTGTAGGAACCATGGATTTGAAAAGAAGCTGCTTTAGTATATGAATGCAAATGAGCAAATAGCAAACGGGAGTCAATTGCCTTGAATATACTTCCACTTGTTCATCTTTGACAGGAGTACTCAGTTGCCGGTGTTCAGGGTGGCCTACTCCAACAGGTAGTCAAAATTCGACGAATACAACTCTTTGCAGCTGTGCTATTCTCTTTCATTGCTACGTCTATAGTGGCGTCTATAATTGTATTTCTATGATACTTCTTTCTCTTAGTTTTGACATCAGCTTTTTCAAATAAAGGTTCGTACTTTCAGTAGTTTATCTATATCAGGCTGGTAACATACGTTTATCTGTGAAATCCGGTGGGTTCTGAAGGGGTTTCAAAGGATTACTGTACTATAGTAAAGACCTTTCTTTAGACGACCAAAAAATTATTCACCTCCAACGTATATCACCGTCAAGGCGCTCGCAAACTCTCACTCACGCTCCCGCTCTCACTCAACATTCCCTGTTAGGAAACCACACCTTCAAAGATTCCCGCACACAATTCACGCTTTCAGCGAGAACCCCTCGCACCTCACATTGTGTTTTCAATCGTGTTTACGTGAGGTGCGAAGAAAGGTTTAGTAAATCACAGTCACGATAACTTTATGGACTGCTCAAACATGAAATGTGCTTAGATATATACCATGAATTGAAATAATGGACGTGATAACTACTAGAACGCATAGAAAGTATATTGTTTGAAGAGATATTAGAATTACTATATAGAAAAAGCGGAAAACGACAAAAAGAATGATAAAATAACTCAAACCCTTGGAGCAGTAGAAGATGCAGCTGCAGCAGCTGCAAGCTTAGCTCTTTGAGTAATCTTGGCTTGTGCCTTGGCACCCATAATACCACCACCCCAGTGTCTCTTGGAGTCGTCGTACTTTTCAATGTAGTTGGCGTTGATGGTGGAAATCAACTTGGCCAAAGTAGCTTCGTCTTCGGACTTGACATCGACGAGAGCTGCAACAGTAGCAGTCTTTTGGTGGACAAGAGTACCTAATCTGGCCTTGCCCTTGACAATGGCGTAAGGAACACCCATCTTGTGGCATAAAGCTGGAAGGAAAAGAACCAACTCGATTGGGTCGACATCATTGGCAATCAAAACCAACTTAGCCTTTTTGTTTTCGATCAAACCAACAACGTGGTTCAAACCGTACTTGACAACGTAGGGCTTGTCGGAGACATCTTCCTTCGTCTTACCGTCTGCAATTGCAGCGGCTTCCTTGGTCAATCTTTCCTTCTTTTCAGCAGGGGTTTCTGGTCTGTACTTGTTCAACAACTTGAAGGCCTCGGCTGCAGTGTTCTTGTCTAAAACGTTAGAAAATTGTGCGATAGCTGGAGGAACCTTCAATCTCAAGGACAAAATCTTCTTTTGTCTTTGAAATCTAACGTATTCTGGCCATTTGACAAATCTAGACAAGTTTCTCTTTGGCTGAATTGCTTGGCCCAGACCAAAGTTCTTTGGAGTGGACTCAAACAAAGGGTTCTTAGGAGAAGCTGACTTTGAGGTCTTGGTGGCTAAAGGAGCTGCTGCGACTTTTTTTGCTGGCTGTATCATTGAGGAGAAGAAAAACTTATTAGTAACTTGCTCTAAAAAGAGAGAAAAGGGGAAAAAAGATTTCCCTTCCCTGTGGTCATCGAGTACAAGTTAATCCATTTAATTTTTCTTCCGTAAACTTAATCCTCTACTGGATATGTCTGGGATGGATGGAACACTCCCATCCAAGCCACACATTTCCCAGCCTTAAATCTTATGAAACCAATCTATAAGACTTATTATCAATGCAAAAAAAAGAAGCAAGACATGCATACATCAATACACTCTTGTAAAAGAAGTACTAACAATAGAACGACGTAGGTCATCGTTCCGTGATATTATTAGGATAGCTAAAGCTGTGTAATGAAGTATGCATGTCCTGAGTCTTTCCGTATTATTGCACTTGACAACAAACCGAGATAGATTTCTTCCACAAGAAAAAAAGTAAGACTATCAAGTTATTTGGAAAAGAAACTGCAGGTTGAAACATGTCACACGTCCATCAGGGAGCAAATCTTTAGATCCTTTAGCCGGCGTTAATTTTTTTCTCAAAGAGAATTTAGTTATTCAAGCTTTCAGGAAAGCAGTATAACCACACTTACCATTTTGGTAGTTATCTAATGTAGTACTGTCTTGATAAGCGTAACTCAAACAGAAAAAGGAAACGAAAAAAGTAGAAAAAGTCTGACGTTAGAAGGAGAAGAAAAATAGCAAACAGGCAAAGAGCAAAAAATTGGAGACCTGAAAGAATGAAAAGCTCGAGTCTCGCGGGATTTTGCTGAGCTTGGAAAAAAAAGAACCAACGCAACTTTTCGCCGCCGACGCGTCGATATCGGCCACACATTCCTCCGGCCACTTTAATCAGCAAAAGGCCGCATGGCTTACTGCAGTTCTCCATTGTAATTGATCGATTGCGGGACCGATTGATTGAGCGACCGATTAGAATGAGGTACAGGCGGATCATCTAAGAAGCCTGTGTTCGTCTGGCGTCTTTACAGGACGGTGTCCAATTGCAGACAGTACAAATAGTCTGTTCAGATTAGGAAACAGGCGATTGACTTTCGTGTGTTTTTTCTTTCGTTGCTTGCACTTGCCAGCTTCTGTTTTACCCTTCTCCGATCCCCCACACATCGGTTGCTTGGGTTATCAGCTGAATATCCTGTCTCGAACGTTCTGATCAATATCAGATTTCTGGCATGGGTTTTTTGAATCGCCACCAGCACACAGCAGTCACGTCGACTATAAACGACTGCTGCGAAAAGAATGACCCCTCGGGTGATGATTTCTACATCGAAACACAGCTGTCGGTTTTGTTAGACGCAATCAAGTTCCAGAAAGATTTTGCCGAGCCTGGTCCTGTTGAAGCTGCCAGAGCTTTGAGAAAAAAGATGAAGTACGGTAACACAAAGGAACAGTACAATGCGTTGCGGGTTCTTGACCTATTGATAACCAATGGCGGCAGAGAGATAACGGCTTTGTGCAATGACGATAAGCTCTTGGACAGACTACAGTTCTACCTCATGGACGGAAGCACCTCCTCATTTTCTTCCTCCGCAGCCTCTCCTCCAAACAAAAAGATTTCCAACTTTACACGCTCTCTGATGGCTGGGTGGTATGATAAATACCGGGATGACGACCGTTTGACAAACATAACCCTTTTATATGAGCGTTGCATGCAAGGACGAAAAGCAAAGCAAAGGGCCGCTGCGACGTCCAGTTACGATCGTCAGGTTCCAGACTTCATGAATGACGAAGCAGATATGGATTATACACCCTTTGACGATGATGGGGAGGATTATAGCAATGGTGAGGAGCAAAGTAGATACAGTTATGCTGATGAACCCAGCAGATACAGCACTAATAGCTCCTCTCAGTCTCGGCCAAAGACAAATGCAGAGCTGGACAAAAAGTTCAAAATACCTAGAATCAACTATGACAAGGAGGGTCCTAAAATCATGCAATTGATCGGTCAGGCAAATATAATGGCTACGAACTTGTTAAACATTTTGAACAGTCTTGATAAGAACGAGTTGTCAATCCACTCGATCAGGGCAAATGACGCATTCGATGAATGCCGTGCCATTAGAAGAAAAGTGTTGAGGTATTTACAGTTAGTCAATAGGGAAGAGTTGCTTGGCCCCCTGCTCAAGTGTAACGATGATTTGGTCATCTCCTTGAAAAAGTATGAAGAGCATAGTGTTCCCGCAGAAGCCAGAGTTACCACTAACTCCGACTCCGATGATTACGACTCGTTGCAAGACTATGAATCGGATCACGAGCCCGTAAATCTCCCTCTTGGCACAGCGAGAAGAGCCCCGATTAGCGATGATGACTATGACACCAGCGACTCAGATGACGACGACAGGTATGTGAGGGAACGGGCACCTCCAGCCGGAACACGCTATGAAGTCAAAGAAAGAAGGGCTCCTCCGCCAGTGCCTGCTAAAAAGAGCGTTCTGCAAAGTCCAAAACCTGTTAAACAGACAAGTATTATGAAAGAAAAGGTGTCAAAAAGTGATTACGACCCTTTTTCCGACGATAATGAAGTCGCCCCTGTTTCGTGGAGCTAGGATTTCAGTAGCTCATGAGATATACATATAAATAGCGTCTCTATAGATAGCCTAGACTGTATCTTTATCTGTTTCCTACAGTTTCTATCAGCCTACGTCAATAGGCAATAATACGTGGGTGCTCGCACTCTCAAATTTTTTTGGAAGTGTGCAATCGATCAATCATCAGAATTGAATAATCGGTGATTACCGTGTATAGTTCCTAGGCTTGACTATAATGAAGTGCGCACATCACTGAAACAAAGTCCACGATCTTTCTGAAAGCTAGCTCAGTACACGATGTTTGGTACAAGACTACTAAGGCCGACGATAATGTCTCCTCCAAGATTTTCATCCTTATTAGTTCGAAGTTTTTCACTAAAACCTCGTCTTCCAAAACTTCCTAACCTAAGACTCACACCGGATGTACCAGGTAATGTTGTTGGATCAGTCAACGATGCATATGTTCCACCACCTACAGAGTTTAGCGAAGGTTCTTTTCATTGGGCTTATGAAAGATTGGTAGTACTTGGAATGACTCCGCTTGTTGTATTTCCCTTTGTTGCTGGTGTTGATTATCCCCTCATCGACGCGACATTGGGTGTCTTAATTGCTGTACATTCAAGATACGGATTCCAAAGTTGTATTATCGATTACATCCCACTCAGAAAATTTGGAAACTGGCATAAGCTTGCTATGTTTTTCTTGAACATAGGCACATGTTTGTCTGTTTACGGTATTTACTTACTCGAAACTGAGGAGAATGGTATCTGCGATTTAGTCAAAAGAATCTGGCACGCATGATTTTTTAGTTCTTGTATATATTATTAAGCTTATAACTACAAACTTTATAGTTCAACCGGTTTTTTCATCTCGTACTCTCTTTATTAAACGGTATAGACGGCAATCCTTCATCTGTGAATATAACCCATTATTAACACCAATGTTCAGTAATAGATCAGTCTACAACCTCATCACTCTCAGCAAGGTTTTCTCTATCTTCTACCTTCTGTTTCCATAATTAGGTATATATGTATCGCTGGTCCTAGGACGGAATGTGTGTGCCGGCTTGTATAGCTTAGGTCCATATCTAGACCTATCTCGTCCTCTCAACCTATCAATGCTACCTATTCTCCTAGCAGGCGGTCTCACTCTGTCTGGTACATAGGTGCTTACACCTATAATTTCATTAGCTCGAGTGGACTTATTGGTACTTCTATTGTTTCTCTGAACCCTTATGTAACCCAGGGAAGCATTTGGATAGTTCACCATTTCATGTATGACTAGCTTGAAGAATGTCCCAATTTTCTCCTTCGAAGGTTTATCTACATATGTGATCTTCCATATAGCGTCTGGTGGACCCTCTTTTTCCTGTTCAATCCAGCTTTCGATTGCTCTCACTGGCACGAAATCGGCAAAAAGTCTGTTTTGGCTATCGGCTTTTTCCGCCGAAACGTTAGAATCCTCCGCAAAATTAAAACCATTCAGCTTGGCTTGAATAGCAACAGCTCCGGGGGTATCAGAGCAGAGAACGTAGCAATGTGAACGAGAACTATTAAGCCAAGCTCTCTCTATAGTACATTTTTCCCTTCTGGCCTCTTCAACCATAATATTTCTAAACTCATCGATATCTAAACTGTCCGTGATATTTGCAATGAATAATGCTCGTGTTTTGTTAAAGTTAGAAGCCTCAGTGATTTCGTAGCGTACCCTCATTGTCTTATCTTCGGGTGTTCTGCCATCATCATCTCTCTGACTGTAATTTTCATTTTCATCTTTTGCTGAATTCTCATCCATATTCGGATCTATGAACTCTCCAAGCTTTAGGAGTTATCCAAGTTCAAGCTTTTACAACCTCCAAACCAAAATTGTATTTCAGTACTGCAAGCATCGGGCAGCTTTGGCTAGCAGTGGAAACAATGACTGCAAGAGAAGATTTGAATCTGAATCACCCGAAACGTGTAAATAATGTGAGGAAGCCTCGCGAAAAAGATGAATTACAATCATCAGTTTGATTTTTGGGGTGGGTTCTATAAATTATGTACAGAAAAAAAGAGGCATATTAATGATAGTATGCATCTAGATAGAAAGGTAAGATCTATTAGCAATGGCCATTTTGTGGCTCAAAACTCTCTTGTCCATTAAGGAAGACTTTCCAGATAGAACGTGAAGAATTTCATCGCATAATCTAACAGCGAAATCATTCGACGCTTTCGAATCGGAGGAATTTAATATCCACAAAAGCGCCATTCTATTTCTTTGCCTCTGTGTTAATGGTACAGGAACAGTGTAGTTTTTTGCAAATCCAGTTTTCACTGTTTTGGTAACGACAATAGGTGCAACAATATCTAATGCCTCCTTTAATTTCTCAACAGGGTTGCTTCTTGTTTCCAAAAATAATAAATAAAGTGCTCTGTTCAAGTTAGTTCTTGCTACTTCCTTTTTACCATCCTTCATGATGATATTGACAGCAAGCTCTAAAACTTCATCTTTTTGCTTTGGTAGGCTTTTACCCTTCAAATCCTCAGAAGTAGTCACTTGTTCAGTAGAAGGCTGAAATCCTAGAAGTTTGTCCAATTTAGCACTGACTTGGCGGGAAACTGGAATAAAGGTATTACTAGTCAATTCTTCTTCAATTTCGTCAATTATGTCAATTGCCATATCATACATTTCATTCATTTTTGCGACATCCTCAGGAAGTCTTGATTGATCTTCTTTTTTTAAGTTTTCAAGCACAGAATCAGTTCTTTCAAAAACTGGCTCAACTTGAGCTATATTCTCTGCGGGAGTTTCAGTAACAGACAAAACATCTGTTTCATTTTCTGATTTAAGGAAAATTTGATCAGCAAGAAGTTGGTAGTTTAAAGACTCCTTATCTTCTAAAGCACCAACAATAGAATTTGGTTCCTGCAAATATTCTTGTATTTTGGCATAGGTTGCCATTGCCTTTTCATTGTCCTTTTCAGTACAAAGTTCCTCTGTGAGGCTTGCGAACTCAGGATCAATCTTAGAGATGAGCTTGAATCCATCGCTATCCAAGCCATTTTGAACAACGTATTCTACAAGCTTATCGGCAGTCACTGTAGATTCCATTTTCTCCCATTCAGCATCTAGTATGGATCTAAGATCTGAGAAAGAAGAGGATTGCGTGTCATTCATTGCAATGTAAATAGGAGTTTCTTTGTTGGCCAAATAAGTATCGATTTCATCGTTCTTTTCTTCTAAGTCTTTTCCTTCTGGAAGAGTTTCCAAATCATTTAATAGCTCACCAAACTTTGGATCGATAGACTCAATAGATTTAAATAGATCGCTAGCAAAGTAATCAGGATAGAATTCGAATACTTCGTAAATTTCAGTCAAATCTATAGGTACTGGTTGCTTTAGCGCTTCATCCATGAGAGCAAACTCGGCTGAGTCAGAATCACCGAAAGACTTGTAGATTTTCTTTTCATGGTTAGAGCAGTAGTCTAGAATCTCTTGATACTTTGCCTTAAGGAGATCATCGTTGTTGGAATCTATGCCTTCGTAGCTTTTCAATAACAAAGCAAACTCAGGATCTATTTTTTCAACGGTTTTCATCAGTGGAGAGATATTAATGTTCTCGTAGGTGTTCAAGTTAGAGAAAATGTTTTCCAGAATTGTCAATCCGTCGACAGGTGGATGGCTCACATTTACAGGAGCCTCTTCAATGGTGTCCTTAACAGGTTCAGGGGATACTGTAGTCTTTTTGTCAGCTAAAAGCTTCTTCAACTCCGCATACTGCGAGTCTGTTATTTTGGAAATGGGACCAGATTTGAAAGCTTCAACCATTTCGTTGACGGTTTTTTGAGTTGGCTCAAGTCTGATATTTTTGCCAAAAGCCTTCGCAAAATCTGGATCAATTTCATAGATAAACTTGAACCCAGCGGCTTCATTCAAGTTTTCCGCAAATGGTAGCAAACCGTCCAATAATTCAGAAACTAAATTGGAAGGGCCGTTAACTGGCAAAGCTAGACGATTGACAAACATTTCAATTTTTGATAAGGATTCAGCATGTTTGGCTTTTACAATTTCGGCCTTTTCATTCACTTTTGCATCAAACTGATTCTTCAAGTCTTCATACTTGAGGCCATTTTCCTTTGCCAGAGCCTTCAATTTTTCTTCAATTAATCTATCTTTTTCAGTAATAGCTGATTTCACGTATTTGGCGAGCTCAGAGTGGTCGTAATCATTTCGAGTTGGTCTTTCAATCAAAAACTCACCTTGCTCGTTCAATTTCTGGCTTTTCAAAAAGTCCACGTAAGTGTCGAAAAAGGGCTTTTTAAATTGCTTCTTGGTAGCTTTTGCTTGTTCTGTGCTTTCATTCGAGTTGAATCTAACGAATGTTTGTCTGATTGCAACAGTCTTGACCTGAGAACTTGCGCTGGCTTTGAAAGCCAAGGCTGTGGATCTGGAAAGCATTTTCTGGATACTTAACTCTGCCGCCGTTGGTGTGCCGAGCTCAGGATGTCTGCTCAAGAGTTAACTGTTGCTCTAGTTCACTCGTGCTCAAATCTGTAGGCCTGAAAGACGAGGCCACTAACGATTTTCCAGCTCAGTCTTGTCGGCGATGAAAATTTATCCACGATGTGGTGCACGGGTGTCAATGCTGTTTTCCTGAACATGTTCTGAAATTTTGGTTGATCTTCTGCAAACAATTTAAGTTGTGCCTCAAATTTTCATAAGAGAAAAGGTGAACTGAGCTAAAAATGTTGTATACATCAAAGATATAAGTGTTGCAAATAGGAAATAAATAAGGAAAGGGGAAAAGCGTAAGTTACAAAAGTTATGAGGAAATGACTTTCATATCGTGCATTGATTTGTCATGTCTTTCATCGCTGACGGAACTGCCAGTCCCTTCGCCAAGTCCATCAAGGACATTGATATTTCCAAGCTCGTAGTCGTCGTACGCATCGCCTTGGATAGCCTTCAACGAAAACTGGGGATACATTGCATCCACGTAGTTCCCGTCGTTTTCGGCCATTTCGAAGAAGTCAGCACCCATTGCCTCGAGGTTTTCATCAGCCTTGATTTTCAAACCAGGGATCTTGTCGATAACAAAACAGATGATATATGTTGCACCCAGAGACCAGAAGAAACAAGTAGTCCAGCCAGCAAATTGGTAGCCCATCTGCTTCCAGTGGTGGAAGATCCATCCTCCGTCAATTTCTGTAACACCATCTGTACCAGCAATGAATGGTGAAGCGAAGACACCAAGACAGATTGAGCCCAAGATTCCTCCGAAACCATGGATGATGAAAGATCTTGTAGTGTCATCGATACCAGTCTTTTCGTTAAATCTGTATGCCAACCTGCAACAGCCGCCGACGAACAAGGAGGTGATGAAAGCCCAGTAAGGAGTGTAAAATCCACAAGAGGGGGTAATGTTAACTAAGCCTGCAACCGCACCTTCACAGGCTGCAATTAAGGACCACTTGCGAGTGAAGGCATAGTCCACGGCAACGAAGGCCAATAAGGCGGACGAAGCGGCAATTTGAGTGTTTGCCATGATGTAGCCTGTTCTGGTGTTAACTGCTAGCAAAGTACCTGAGTTAAAACACAACCACGAGAACCATATAATGGAAACACCGATGAACGTAATCACTGTATTCTGAGGCTCGTACTCCTTTTTTGTCTTAGGGTCAAGCCAGTCTTTTCTCTTTCCTATGAAAAATGAGTAGGCTAACGAAGCACCGCCGGAGGCGATATGAACTGGTCCTCCGCCGGCAAAATCCAATGCACCGAGGTTGTACAAGAAACCCTTAGCACACCAGGTCGAGTATGCTAGGGGACAGTACACAACGGTACACCAAATGAAGCCGACAACTAGAGACGGAAGTAATCTAGATCTCTCTGCGATAGCACCAACAAAAATTTGGACGGTTGCAATGGGGAAGAACGCCGAAAAGGTGAAGTAGATGATGGAAGGAATGGTGCCTCCTTCGACGTAGGGACCGACACCGATGTGCGTGAGAGCACCCCAGCTAAAGTTACCCAAGACATGGGAGGCAGACGGGGAGACTGCTAGCGAGTAGCCGAACAAGAACCACTGGACGGTGATAAGAGCGGTGACCATATAACTCTGGAACAAGATTTGGATGATGTTTTTCCTCTTCAAGGTACCACCGTAGAACATGCCAATGGCCGGCGTCAAGATCATGATGCCGACTGTGCAGAACAAGACGTACCCCATGTCGGAGGTGGAGAAGGTGGATTGGTCCTCACTCATCGGGACATCCCGGTTGTACAATAGAGCGGCAGAACCGAGGCCTGAGTTAGCGTAGCCCATGGTGATTGATGCTGTCTTGGTTGTCAAACTCTAGCTCGAGGGGTCTTTGGGGGAGAGACACAAGCAAGCAAGAAGAGAGGGGGCACCGCAACTAAAGGTCCAACGTAAAGGTTACAGCGGAGCAGAGGGTGCAACAGCGGGCCTTAAATACAGAACCGTACCGGACCTGGTGAACAGAGGATCTTGTAAAGATGCAAATTCGCTTAATGGGGATCGCGTAGCATGCATCTTCCTGATGACGCATGTTCTCAGATAAAGAAAATGGAAAGGCGGTAACGATCCTGGCTTCCTTTCCCCACCGGTGGAACGAAAACTGAGACTCCTGCTGCTGCTGCTGCTCCACAGGAGGACAGCACGTCATGCACCACGGTTAATGATAAAGAAAGGTCAAGCCGCCATGACGCCCAGCAATCCAAGACCGGTTGACTCTGCAGGTCGGGGACTCGGGACGCAAGCGCAGACAAAAAAAATTAATCTTAAACAAAGATATCGCTTTAGATCCACCTATCTTTCTATCTACCTAATCTTTTTACTTAGACCCTCCAGAACCTGTGGCTGCATTGCTGCAGCAGAAAAGCTATCACACGGGGTATCTACAGCCTATTAAAATAGAAAAAAGTAGCCTGATGAGATCCCAGGGCAGATAAGGGCAGCAGCTCCTGAAAGGGGAAAAGGGTCCTGAGGCGTGCCCAATCGAGGCCCGCCCGCATGCGATGCACCGAACTGCCGTTTTGGGCGCAGCGCGTACGGGCAATGATGTCTGGGGCAAAACAATTGGATTGGGGGTGGGTGGAAGAGAGTGGAAGCGTGTGAAAGGTGGCTACGCATGCCTTGAGAAGGGCATAGAGATGCCGCATTTGACACCATGACGGTTGTTGCACAGCACCTGTGTAGTTGCTGCTATCACCAGCCGGTCTGTCCAGGCAGAAGGCTAGCGGGTGCAAAAAAGAGGTCCGACAGAGGAGACGGCAAAGGCGTGATGGCATTAGAAAGTTTAGAGAGCCTGGAGAGCCCGGAGAGCCTATGGCACTTGTGCCTGTATGTCTATCTTGCAGCGTCCTCCAGGCTGGCGGAGACGCTGGTCTTTGCCTTGATGGAGTCCACCTCGGGCGCAAGCTCGGGGAACTCCTGCTTGATTGACGCCGCTAGCGTGTCCCTGAAGTTCTCAAAGGCGAGCGACTTGCCGTTCAGGTACTGGTTGATTTTCCTCACCACCTCGACGAACTCCCTTGTGTAGATGTCCGGGTTTCGCCCGTCCTGAATGTAGTTCAACAGGTCGGTGGGAATCATGATGTCCCGCAGGTCGTCGCGCGAGCTCACGTCGTGCAACTTGGAGATCGTCTTGTTGATGTGGTTTGCCAAGCCGAGCTTGGCCTCCTGCGTGCCCTGGAAATCGTGCACTTGCACGCCAAGATGCACAAACGTCTCGATGATGCTGGAAATCTCCTCCTGGAGGGACCCGAGCGGGGTGGTTGTGTCCTCGTACGCCTTTTCTGTCGCCATTGCGGTGCCGTCTTGTCTGGCTGCTATTGTCGTCGGTCCTCTCCCTCTTCTGTACGGTGTAGGACGACAGACAGCGGAATTTGAACCCCTTGTGCCATGTATGGACATGGCGAGAAGGAGCAACAGAAGTCAAAACGCTTGGACTGCTCACGTGCAGCGCGCAATTGCGCCACACTTTCCGTGTTGAGCGAGTCTGACAAATCTTTTTGATAGTCCGTCCTTATGACAAACGCAGGGGATCGTTCCCCGACGGACCTGTCGATACCGGGACCCGGATCTGGAGACGTATTTTTCATTTAACTTCCCGGACGGCCACAGTCTGTTGCTTCGCCCAAGGTGTGGATCCTACGGTGGGAGCGCCAAGGAGCCAGAGAGCACAGATCAACAATGACTACGACAGAAAGACCGATACTCAACATCGACTCCAAGCTGCTTACGCACTGGAACAAGACGCTGGCGACGCTGACTCCGCAGGAGATCTTGCAGTGGGCGGTGTTGACGTTCCCGGGGCTCTTCCAGACGACGGCGTTTGGGTTGACGGGGCTCTGCACTATCGACATGTTGTCGAAGCTCGAGTCTACGAGCAAGCAGGACGCGGCAAGCGCTGTCGAGCTGGTATTTGTGGACACGCTTTACCACTTCCCGCAGACGCTGCAGCTCGTAGCGGACGTGAAGAAGAAGTACCCGAACTTTAAGCTTCACATGTACAAGCCGGAGGGCTGTGCCACGGACGCGGACTTTGCGGCGAAGTACGGCGACGAGCTCTGGAGCACAGACGAGCTCAAGTACGACTACCTCGTCAAGGTAGAGCCGCTCAAGCGGGCGTACGAGGAGCTGGGCATCATGGTGGTGTTCACGGGCAGACGGCGGTCGCAGGGCTCTGCGCGTGCAGAGCTGCCGATTGTCGAGGTCGACGAGACGCTGCAGGTGGTGAAGATCAACCCGATGGCGTCGTGGTCCTTCGCGGACGTGAAGAAGTACATCGACGAGAACGGCGTGCCCTACAACGAGCTCCTCGACCTCGGATACAAGTCTGTCGGCGACTGGCACAGCACCGAGCCCGTTGCAGAGGGCGAGGACGAGCGCAGCGGCAGATGGAAGGGCAAGGCCAAGACCGAGTGCGGCATCCACGTCACCTCCAACTACTCGCAGTTCATCAACAACGAGCAGAAGTGAAGATATAGACCACCTGTAGTACCGATGGCAGTAGTAGCAGTAGTAGCAGTAGTAGCACGTTAATAATACATTCGAGTTAACTCCGTCCACCCTCTCACCCTCCCTCTCCCCCCGGCACCCCCGCCGCCTACAGCGCACGCCCTGCTCTAGACCTGGCGCTGATCAGAACGAAGGGAGGCGACAAGGGGCGGCGACACGGGCACAATAGCGTGTCGCTGCTGCCGCTTCTGCCAACAATAGCCCGCATCGAGGACGGCAGATAAAAAGGTGGAGCAGACGAGGCAAGACCAGGCGAGACGAGACGGACGAGACGGGACCAGCGAGGAGGCGTGGGAAGCAAAATTCACGGGAGAGCTGTTGTTTGCAGAGCCGGGGGTAGGTGTTTCTTTGGGGTCGGCAGGAGTGCCGGTCTGTTGTGGGCTGGACAGACGATTATCGAGACAGCCAGACAGCCAGACAGCCAGACAGTCGGCAACCGTAAGTATCCTTGCCCGGGCAGCGCCCGGGGAGCTCGTGTGCCGCTATAGGGCGGCGAGACAGAAGCATACACCCACACACGCACACGCTGACGCACAAGGAGCCAGAGACACAGCAGAGGGGGCATGTCGATGGACACGCAGCAGAGGTTGCGATGCACGTCCAAGGAAGCCCTGCAGTTGCTCGCCTTCAGTCCCGTCTTGCGAGCTTTCCATGCACGAGACTGCAAGGGCGGCGGATGCGAGAGGGACGGGTGGAGAAGAGCATGTGTCACCAGCTGATGCTTGTTTTTGCAGACGCAGCCAGTGTCTTGGAGACATCATCCAGTCGGGTGCAGGTGAGCCTGAAATCCGTCTGTTGTGGTTGGTTCCTTGTTTATGTTTACCTGTGCCTTTTCTCGCGTGCTTATGTCAGCACACGAGAAGTAGTGTGGTGGTGGTGGTGGGCCACCATCTCCTCTTCCAGGTTTGTGTTTCTTCTTTCTTCTCAGCTCTTTGTTTCTCCCCCTTCGTCTTTGTGCTCCGCCGTCCCATTTCCCGGGGCCGTCTCATTTCTGTCGTTCTTGTTACTAACATCACATACCGCAGCTACGTTCGATACTGGCATAGATTTATTTCATTTTTTTTACCCCGTTTGAGTATTAGACATAGTATAGTATTCGAGCCCCAACAAACCTGGATATATACACACAGAGGGTAAACGGAAGCATACACACTATAGCGTTATCACCACATTATAGAAATACGCATACACTTTTAGAAGCAAACTGACACACACACTAAAAACTCAAAACACAAAACACACACACAATGTCCAGTGGTATTGCAGACGTTAGAAAAAAATTGGTTATTGTGGGAGATGGTGCCTGCGGGAAGACCTGTTTATTGATTGTCTTTTCTAAGGGTGCCTTCCCCGAGCTGTACGTTCCTACTGTTTTTGAGAACTACGTGGCAGACGTCGAGGTGGACGGAAGAAGAGTCGAGTTGGCCTTATGGGATACTGCCGGTCAAGAGGACTATGACAGATTGAGACCTCTATCTTACCCAGACTCCAACGTCATTTTGATCTGTTTTTCTGTCGACTCTCCTGACACTCTCGACAACGTCCAGGAGAAGTGGATTTCGGAAGTCCTGCATTTCTGTCAAGGTGTTCCAATCATTCTTGTTGGTTGTAAGATCGACTTGAGGAACGATCAAGCCACCATCCAAAAACTGGCACAGTTGGGTCAACAACCAGTGTCAACCTCTGAAGGTCAAGAGGTGGCTGACAAGATCAACGCATTAACGTATATGGAATGTTCTGCTAAATTGAACCAAGGTGTTAGAGAGGTTTTCGAGGCTGCAACTAGAGCTACTTTGGCAAGCAAGGAAAAGGAAACCAAGAAGAAGAAGAAGAAGTGTGCTATTTTTTAGATCCTACAGCTATATATCATTATCTAGCTAAGTGCATACATATCCTTTTGTCTTTTTTTCCTTTTTCTTTTTCTTGTCGAAGGCAGATAGAGAAATTTTCCTTTTATTCACACTGGATTATATATAGTGTATAATATAATTGAATATATAAAGTTCTATATATTTTGTAACCATAGGGTACACACATTGTTGTCATAGATGAAAATGGGGGAAGGAAAAAAAAGCATTGAAGCTAAATAAAGTTTCAGGAACGAGAATGCGATGTCTGCGTCAACCCTCTCCCGAGGCCTTTACGGATGACTGCCACGAACATGTCGACATCACTCTTCGTATTATAAGCGCCAAACGAAACGCGGACTCCAAAACCGTACTGCGAAACATAGACGTGGTTGTCAACGAAGAAGGGTAACCACTCCGAGTGTAGTTTGATAACGTTACTGTGCGGAGATCTGTACTTTTGATCATCCGGACCAATCGTCTCGACACCTAGGCCTTTCAATTGCAATCTCAGGTACAAACTCAGGCTCTCTAGATGGGTCTGGATCTTTGTGATGCCAACGGTGTCAAGAAAATCCAGGTACTCCCCCAACGCCAGGCATTGCATCAGTGCTTTGTTGTTGTGCTCAAGAGATCTGGCAGACTTGCAGCCGGTAACGCTTGATCCACCCTGGGTGCTGTTCAACGAGCTTGGTGTCATTATTGGTGGCGTTAGCTTCAGATCGGGCAATACTTGTGGGTCGATATATAGCACCCCCAGCCCTGTTGGGCACGACAATCCCTTTTGGACACTAAAGGCTAGGGCAGAAACGCCTAATTCTCGAACATCGATCTTTCCAAAGCCAACCTCTTGGGTTGCGTCAACTAGGACGTGGACTCCTCTTGGCCTGTAAGTGTTGCAAATAGACCTAACGTCATGCCGTAAGCCAGAGTCAAACATGATAGACGAAAGGCCAATGGCTATCGTATGTTCGTCAACTACATCTCTGAACGCGTCAGCATCGTATGGCTGAGGCCCAGACTCTCCCATTTCGATATATCTGATTTCCAAACCTCTTGATTTTAGCTCTAGCCAGCCAGCGGCTTGGCTGGGATAATCGTTCCTCAACAAAACCACATTGTCGCCTGGCTTGAACTCCAATGACCTCTGGAACAAGTTGCATGACTCCGTGGTGTCCCTGGTGAACACTATATCTTCCGATTGTGCGTTAATGAACTTAGCGGTCTTCAATCTCACATTCTCACACTCGGCGTTCCACTTTGGCTTTGGATTCGGTTCGTGTAAACCATCCTTCACATAGCGTTCGATTGCACCCGAAACAATCAGGTTCATCGGCTGTTGGAAAGAGGAATTTAAAAAAATAACCGTTTCATCGGCGAGTAAAGGAAACTGCGAACGGATGTCCTCGATGCCGTATTTCATTTGGTTTTTGGCTGAGGAGCTGAGGTCAAAACCCATATACCGACGTGAGTAACTGTCCAACTGGGGCGATCAAAGGCAAGATATAGGAAAAGACAAACCGCCTGTGACTGTGTGTGTGTGACTAATACCGAAATCCATCGCGTCGGCTGTTTTGATTATTGCCGATCGCTGCATCTCGTCTTGCCAGCATGCAGATAGTAAGAAAGGTTCGATGACTCTAGCACCCATTATCCAGCCTGAAGCAGGCCTCGAGTAGCGGAGACCGAAAGGCCATCTTCATCTTCGTTCCCTCTGTAGCGTCCTTCGAGCCCAACTAAGATACATACATACATTAGCCGCCCAAACGGGTGGTTTTCTGCGTAAAAACATTATTCTCTGTAGCCCAGGTGGCCAAACCGGGCCTACAATGCCGGAAGTCGTCTTTTCCTTCACTTTCAGGAGGTATACCCGTAGATAGTCCCAACATGCTTACTCAACTGCTCCCGAGCTCCTCGTGCTCCTGGTTTCGACGGAGTTCTCGTGCCTGTGCGGAAAGCAACTTCTATGGAAAACGCCCGATTTTGCGCAGGAAGCGTGCGGTGTCGAGGGCCGTCTGCTGTGCCGGCCAGGTGCGCCAGCCCCAAAGCGCGCTCGCAGGCGCGGGCTCCGGAAAGCAAGTTGTGTGTGCGTGCGGCCGGCGAAGGCACCAACGGGGCTGAAAGAAAAGCCGGAGACAATGGCGGCTGAACCGAACTAACCACAGTCTTTGTTGCCTCGGGAGACAAAAGTGGATGGATGGGGATACCTGAGTGTGTCACAGTTTGGCTACCAGCTACATGATGGGTATACTGTTGGCTTCCTGCGAACTACGAAACCCACTGGCCCATTTGTTAGCCAAACGGGGCATGTGGCGGTAGTACGAACTCCCGCTGCGGGGCTGGCTTGCAGACTTTCATCCCCGGACTGTGTCTTCCTCTCTCCTCAAAGACGGTCCTTTCATTTTCACCGAGCCGCCAAGCTGACACCTACCCGAGCCGCAGATGTCCATGTCTGGTCCGGTTCTGCTGTACTGCTCTGATGCTCGTGTCTGGCCCCCGGAATAACTGACGATAAGGGGGCCGGAGAGAAAGCCGGGCCGAAAAAAGCACTATCGGACGAAAATAGGCGGCGAGCATACTATTTTTCTCCCTGTAGGGTGGTTGTAGTGGCAGCGTAGTAGACTGCGGTAATGATCTGGGGAGAGAGGCTGGATCAGATGGCGACATGACATGTCTGTGCCGGCTGGTCGTGTGCTGTAGATGGCCTGTTTAGCTTCTTCTTTCTCTTCTTGCTTTTTCTGCACTCATAGGATAGATACGGTCTCCGCTCAGGTGATAGTACAGTAACCACTAATAATAGAACGGAACAGGCGCAGCAGTTAGGACAAACAAGTCTACTCGAGCCCACGACCACAACATCCAAACTAACAAACATACAAACATGGCTGGAGCGATCGCAGATATCCGGAAAAAACTAGTTATTGTCGGAGACGGTGCGTGTGGAAAGACGTGCTTGTTGATAGTCTTCTCCAAGGGGGCTTTCCCCGAGCTGTACGTTCCGACGGTATTCGAGAACTACGTGGCCGACGTCGAGGTGGACGGAAGAAGAGTCGAATTGGCGTTGTGGGATACCGCGGGGCAGGAGGATTACGACAGGTTGAGACCGCTCTCGTACCCGGACTCCAACGTCATCCTGATCTGTTTCGCTATCGACTCCCCGGACACTCTCGACAATGTGCTGGAGAAGTGGATTTCGGAGGTGCTGCACTTCTGCCAGGGCGTCCCAATCATCCTTGTCGGCTGCAAGCTCGACTTGCGGAACGACCCTGCTGCAGTGCAGAAGCTTGCGCAGCTGGGCCAGCAGCCCGTGTCGACCTCGGAGGGCCAGGAAGCCGCCGACAGAATTAACGCGCTGACTTACATGGAGTGTTCTGCAAAGTACAACCAAGGTGTCAGAGAGGTGTTCGAGGCAGCGACAAGAGCAGCCTTGAGAACAAAGGAGAAGGAGAGCAAAATCAAAAAGAAGAAGTGCTCCATTCTCTGATTCTCTCCTACCCTCTCCTTCTCAATTATTCTGCCCGCTTTTCCCCACCTTCTTTCTTTCTTCCTTTATTTACCTCTATCTTTGATTATGTCTCTACCTCTTATCTTGTGTTTAACTCGCTACGAAAATAAACGTGCTAAACGTGTTTTAAATTTCCTAATAATCAGCTACTCATTGGCTGTGCCCGGCCAGGACGCCAAACGCTTTGTTGCGCGTCCGTGCTCTTTGGCAATTTCGCTTTTTTTCTCTCAGCTCTGTTTTACACTTGATCTTCCCTCCCCCTTACACAGTCCCGTTGGCGTTTGCAACGATTCTGGGTCACGGTCTGCTTTCAACACTAAACAAAAGGCAAACTTTCGATTTCTCCCCCAACGACTATGTCAGGTCCTATCAAAAAAGGTCAAATCGATCAAGCCCCAACTCCTCAGAACACTCCAGCCTCTGCTGCAGGTTCTTACATGCCAAAAGCTGATGCACCTTCAATTCCAAGCACTATCGACGAAAAGAATGAGCTGTTGAAAGGAATGCTAGCCAACAATCCACATTTACTTGCCTCGATACAGGCCAAACTGGGACAGTTGGTGGGTACAGACTCCGGTTATGTCGAAGGATTATCGAAGAAGGTGAAGCGTAATCTGTACGGTTTGAAAAGTCTACAAGAAAAGCAGTACAAGGTTGAAGCTGAGTTCCAGGCCGAATTATTAGAGCTCGAAAGAAAATTCCAGCTTTTGTACGAACCGATTTTTGAACAAAGAAAGAAATACGTCACTGGTGAGCTTGAGCCAAGTGAAGAAGAAATTGAAAACGGAAAGAGCATTTTGGAAGCTGAAGAAGACAACGAAGAGGATGAGGAAGAGGAGGACGACAAAGAAGAAGAAAACGCCGAAACTGAAGATAAAGGTGTCCCATACTTCTGGCTCACCGCTATGCAAAACTTGCCACCTATTGCAGACATGATTTCTGAAAGGGACGGGGAAGTTTTAGAACATTTGATCAATGTCAGGATGGACTACATTGACAAGCCTGGTTTTAAGTTGATTTTCGAATTCACCAAAAATGATTTTTTTAAGAACAAGGAGTTGGTCAAGACTTATTACTACCAAAAAGAATTAGGTTACACAGGCGAGTTTGTTTATGACCATGCCGAGGGTGACGATATTGAGTGGGTCGACAATGCCCACAACGTCACCGTTTCTATCGAGTTGAGAAAGCAAAGAAACAAACACACCAAGCAAGTGAGAACTATCGAAAAAACCACCCCAACTTACTCGTTCTTCAACTTCTTTACACCTCCTGTTATGCCTGGTAGCAATGGTGACGATGACGAAGGTTTCGAGGATGTTGACGAAGAATTGGAGGAGAGCTTGCAAAATGATTACTCCGTTGGTGAATTAATCAAGGAGAAGTTGATTCCAAGAGCTGTGGACTGGTTCACTGGACATGCACTACAGTATGAGGCAGAATTCGCGGGAGAGGAGGATGAAGAGGAGGACTATGATGATGAAGACGGAGAAGACGAGGACGATGATGATGAAGCCAATGACGATGACGATGACGATGACGATGACGATGAAGAAGACGACACTAAGCAAAAGCCTGAATGCAAGCAACAATGATGTTGTGTCTTCACCCGTCAAGTAGTTATACGTTACCCAATTTCTGTCTTGAAATGAGACATCCTATGTTTGATTGTCTATATAGTTACTTTGTAAAGAAAGATCTTTGCTTACACTAAAAACTAGAAGCATGACTATAATTTAAACCCATATATGTTGTGTGAAAGTACCTGTGATTTAACTATTTTGCTGGAAACTTCGTCTAAAGATTTGCCAACGTTAAATGATTTGATGGTATAGCCAGTCAAATTGACGTCTTCCAGTTGAAAGGAAACGGTGACGTCTTCTCTATCGGAGATCCAGTCCGACAACTTCGATTTCAAGTCGACATGAACCATTTTGCATATCTTAATATCCTGATTTCCTGCCACAAACGTAAGTTTCCATTGAAGGTATCCGTCTTTTCGTGCATTATCCTGCAACTCATCTTCCGTCTTTTGATGGCGTAGTAACGGAATATCCGTCACACGGATTGTATTCTTAGGCACAGGAATTTGAACACATATTTCCTTCGCAATCTGATTTGCAGGGTACCTGCATTCTAGTTTCATATTAACCTCAAACTTGTCCCTTGCCAATTGTTTATATGAGCCCACCACTATTATTGGTAATTCATCAAAAAGCAATTGTGCCGAATAATTTAGAATAGGCTGTATCGGTTCGGCGATTATGGTGCTGAAGTTGAACTTCGCGGAGAGAGATGGCTCTTTGACTTTGAGAGCTAATGGTACAGTAATATTTTCGAGAACTATTGACGACTGGTCGGCCACACGGGTGTCGAGATCAAATTCAACAGCCACTGATGTAGAAACTGTAGAAATTGATACAACCTCTCCGAGAATTTTGACATCAGTTTTATCTTTCACTTGTACGTATTCATTCAGATGAAGTGCAATCACATTTTTCTCATACATGCGTTCATAAGATTTCACACCTAAAGCTCCTAGCAAAGATAAGCTTTTTTGAACTATTTCTACAGCATGGTTTGCCTCATTATCAGTCCTGTATCTACCATCAGTGGCTTTACTGATTGGTGAATATATCTTTGATAAGAGAAAAGATGTATCAACTTCTCTCGCAAAGCCTTGATCAATAGTGACATCCAACAGTTCGTATATCAGTAAGAAGTTGTCCATCAAGTGATAATCCTTCAACACTTGACTGGGAGATATCGCAATAAGAGAATGAAGCATGGAGATCAATGTGTTGAGATATTGCAGTATCACCGAAGCATCGGAATTGTTTCTCGTGACTGCCACAAAGTAAATTTCGCCCCTCTTTTCATGAAGAAACGTAGTCGAACCCAGCGTTAGAATTGGATTCTTAAGGTTCTTGGGATCAACATTGATTATCTTGGACCGGAAAACCTCACTCACACTGCACTTTACGTCTTCTCTGAACACTCGGGAAACAATGACAGTGCCTGATGAGTTTATAATAAATATAGCCGAGATCATAGCTCCAATGTTTTTGCGGGTGGTTGTATGGGATAGCCGAGCAACCAGCCATAACGATTGTACTGCACCGATCTTACCGAAACAACAAAGTCCAGCTTCAACTTCATCCGAGCCGGTTAGCTCTTCTCAAAGGATTACGTCAGCGGAAGCCGAAGAGTCCGTGAAGTTTGATGAGTTGTTCCCGACAGCGACAAAGATGGATAGAACTGGAAAGAATGCACCACAACGAGTTGATGGAAACGGAAAACCAGGCTTTTGTTTTTTAAGAGGTCTTCCTTTCCCAACGCAGAAATTTAGATAATTGAATACACACATGGCTAGAGGAAATCAGAGAGATCTGGCAAGACAAAAGAACTTAAAAAAGCAGCAGGAGCTGGCCAAGAGCACGAAGAAAGGAGATTACCAAAAGAGGAAGGAAAACGATGCCGACATTCTTAGGGAAAAACAAAGACTGGCCGACGAAAGAAAGGCGGCCGAAGCTGCCGCAAATTTGAAGAAGTAGTGCCGGTAGCAGCCGGATTTCGACTGTGTACAAAGTGTGTAGAATATTATATAGCTATCTTGCGTTGTTCTACGAAATGCCGTTGAGTGTGTAGATCTGCTATTCAATGAAATTATGAGACATTTACTTCCGATTTTTTCTGACATTTATTGTTGAAGAAAAGAATATAAAAACTAGAGTATGAGGAGAAAAGAGAAACACAAAGACCCTATCTATTTATCTATACAAGATGTGCCTATCGTTAATTTTTTTGATTTTTTTTTTTGATCATCTCAGGGCTTGCCGATCAAGCAGAAGCTTCTATCTGCTCATTTCCAGAAGACGAAGAAGAAGCGTTTTGGTGTTGCAGTGCCTCTGCAGTTTTTTCGACCTCGTATTGAAACTCAAAGTAGGACTTAGGCAGGTGGTGCAATCTGATAAAACCGTCTTCTCCTCCAGAGACGTAAGAAGTACCCTCAGGGTGAATTGCAATACAGTTCAAAGGACCAAAATGACCCTTGACTCTACCAATCACGTCCATGAAAATTTTGTGAAAGATCTTGGCGTCGAACTTACCTTCACCAGCTCCCGTGGTGGTGACATCTCTTGCATCTTGACCACCTCCGAGAATGATATAGTCTTTGACAGGTGTAATACAAGCGGCATTGACAGGAGACTCGGATTCATATTCTTTGAGTAACTTCCAGCTGTCGATGTCAAACAGCTTGGCAGTCTGATCCTTAGAAGACGCAACGAAATAAGTTCTGTCGCTAGAAGTCTGGATATCTGTGATGGTCTTTTTGAAAGGGGTGGAGTATTCCAACTGTTCACCAGTGGTGGAATCATATTTGGAGATGCTGCCGTCTGCATGACCGGCGATAATGTGTTTGCCAGCGTAAGACCATGTCGCGGTAGTTGGTTTAGTTGTCGCATCACCCTCGTTGATGATTTCTAGTATTGGCTTAGACTCCTGCTCTGGCTTTGTGAAGTCGATGTCGAATATCTGGATTTTACCTTGCTTGCCCATGACGTGGTCTGTGATAAAAAAAACTTTCTTGCAGTCCGGGGAGTATTCCACCCTCTTGACGGGAGATTCGAAGTTCCAAGTGTAAATGCACTCACCAGTCTCGGCTTTCCAAAGCTTACCAGAAAAGTCTGCACTGGCTGTGATCAAGTAGTTGGAAGTAGAGTCGATGTCGACAGACCAGACAGAACCTTTGTGTCCATCGTAGGTCCCAAGTCTCTCACCGTTGGCAGAGTACCATAGACAGACCTGGTAATCCTTGGCAGAGGAGAAAATCAGGTCACCCTCTCTGTTGAACTTGACCTGAGTAAGAGGACGTTCGTGACCCTTTAGAAGGATCGGTCTCATAAGCTTGTTCGACATTGTTGTTTGCGGTGTGTTGCTGTTGTCTGTGTATCTCTCCAAGGGCAATCTAGACCTCTACCGCTTCCTCTAGTTGTTAGTCAATATCTCTTCACCATTCTTTTCTTCATCTCCCTTTAAAAAAGAAAAACGTGAAATTTTCCAAGAAATTCACGAAAAATTAAAAAATAAAATTATACCGGTGCACGGGTGCGACTGTCGGCGGAATTTTCGTTCTGAAGGCCTTTCTTTGTTTTGAGGGCCTTCGCTGTCTAACTGAGCATGCTCAGACGGTTAATGATGAGCACCCTTCAGGCGAAATATCGCAGGCTAGAACAACACAGGCCATTAAAGTTTCAGCTGTTACGATTGCGTTTGACCGTCAAAGATGGCTGACAACAACGCTTTTTGGGGGTCCGGCCAGATGGACGATGATATGGCGTTTTTAAACTTCGGTGCTGACAGCCACAACAATGACGACAACGGGGGCAACGGTAACGGCAACGGTAACGACAACGGTAACGACGGTCAAGGGTCGGCTGGTAATGAACTCGGTTTCATGCAGGCACCGTTCAACAACAAGGGCGATGCCAGCATGGGTGAGATACCCTCTAGCGAAGAGCCTTTTTTGTCGCAAGGTGCAAATGTTAATCAGGGCGACGCCCAGGCCCCAATTCAGGACCCGATTTCCCAGAACCACAGCCAGAACCACAGCCAGAGCCACCAGAAGCAGCAGCAACAGTTGTTTCAGCAACTTCAACAGCAGAAAGCCCAGCAGCAGTTCAGTCTTCAGTCCCGTAAAGCTTCTCTTTCTTCTCAACACTCACATTCACATTCCCAAGCTGGTACTCCAAAGGTCCAGAACATCGAAAATGCTGCACATCCGCTTCTTGGTCAAACCACAAACATGGTGGTTTCCAATTCCACTCCCATTTCCAATCCCAGTTCACATCTAGACCACTCTCAAAGTCCAATGAACGCTGCCTCTCGACAGCAGTATCCACAGCAACCGCAACAGCAACCCCAACAGCAACCCCAACAGCAACCCCAACAGCAACCCCAACAGCAACCTCAACAGCAACCTCAACAGCAACCTCAACAGCAACCTCAACAGCAACCTCAACAGCAACCTCAACAGCAACCTCAACAGCAACCTCAACAGCAACCTCAACAGCAACCCCAACAGCAGCCCCAACAGCAGCCCCAACAGCAGCCCCAACAGCAACCTCAGCAGCAACAGCAGCAACAGCAAGGTCAAAGGAAGCCTAATATGGGCACGCAACTGAACCAGCAGAATACGGAAAGATTTTTGGATTTGGTAGAGCAATACATGAAGAGGATAAACAAACCCTTCAATAGATATCCTGTGATTGGCGGAATAAAGATAAACCTCTTCATATTCTACTACATGGTCACTTTTGTTGGTGGTTTCATTAAAGCCTTCCAGGAGCAAAAGTTCCCTTTAGTGGCAAACCAATTGGGAATTCCAGTTTCTAATCAAAAGCTTTACAACGAGTTTTTGCAAACCTACTATATCAACCTTTTACCTTTCGAGCAATATGCTCGGACTGCAGATGGCATGAAAGAAGCAGGCCGCAGACAAGGTCAGCCTGCTCAACAACAAAATCAGTCTCAGACCCCGCAACCGCAAGAACAATCGCAAGGACACTCACAAGGCCACCCACAGGGACACCCACAGGGACACCCACAGGGACACCCACAGGGACACCCACAAGGACACCCACAATCACAATCACCACCACAACCACAACCACAACCACAACCACAACCACAACCACAACCACAACCACAATCACAATCACAACCACAATCACAACCACAACCACAACCACAACCACAATCACAATCACAGGTGCAAATTCAACAGCAACAGCAACAGCAACAGCAACAGCAACAGTTACAGCAACAACAGATTCAATTGCAACAACAGCAGCTACAGTTACAGCAGAAAATGCAGCAGAAAATGCAACAGAAGTTGCAGCAAGCTCAAAGAAAAACACTACTTCATCAACAGGCACAGCAAAACCAATCACAACAGCCACAACCTCAACCACAAGCTCATGTCCAAGTTCAGGCGCATGCGCAAGCACAGGCACAAGCCCAAGCACAAGCACAAGCACAAGCCCACGCACAAGCACAAGCACAAGCACAGGCCCAAGCACAGGCCCAAGCACAGGCCCAAGCACAGGCCCAAGCACAATCTGCTAAAGCCAGGGTGCTTTCCGGTGTCAGTCCTCATTCGGCAGGTCCTGAAGGATCTTCAAGAGTGCAAAGTAATAATTTTGCGACAAGGCTCACAAATGGAAAAAATTCTACAGAACGTTTAAAAGAAGTCACAAACCCTGACGTTTTGAAAAACTATCTACCTTATACTTTTATTCAGGATAAACCAGGTGGCGTTGATATAATTAATATTGAGCGTCTGGGTGAACAGCTGGATGATATGAAGCCAGTCTTTTTATATTTTCCTGAATTGGGAAAAGTTGACATAAAAGCTTTGGCACTTTCTATATCTTCGGGAATCACCGCAGAAATCAACGTGGCTTTGAATATTCTTTTGATAATCAGTTCCGACCCTAATATTCAAATTCCATTTGAGCAATGCACAATTCTTCTTGACAGTCTGTCTTTACTTGGAAAGAATATTATCGAGACCTTGGCGACGCCAAACTCTGATTATAAGTTGGAGAGTAGTAAAGAGAGCAACATTGAAAGCATGTCTCATAAAAGTCGGATAGACAAAGTTTTTGAGAAATATTCAAAAGGCCACAACAGCTCAGATTATACCATTCAAGTAGATTCATTCACGTCTCAAATTGTGATAAACCCAGCCCGCTCCCTTGATGAAAACAAAAAAGTTCCCAACTTCATTACAATAGAAGGTGAAATCTATGACTCTCCGGTTCCAGTGATTTCGAATAATAATAATGTAGATACTTCAAATGCAACTGGATTCGAGGAGTACTCTAGTTTAATGTCCGATTCTTTTCACCAATTTGAGATCCCAAAGTACCTGCATATGCTTCATGAATGTCGTGCTCAAGCTGATGATCTCGGTTTCAACATTTACAAAAAATCCTATCTCGATAAGCAAGTTGTCCTTATCGAAGAGTTGAGCACCATCTCTTTGATTTTTAGAAACTTGTCCTTTGCAGGAAATAACAATTTAGTGCTTGCCACAAGCGGTAAGTACTTGGATTTCATATTTACTCTCATTTACGCCACTATCGCCAAACGTGACATATTTTTGTTTGCAAGGAAAAGACTTTCGTTCATGAAAGATTCCTTGACAGTTTTCTCAAACATCATACATGCAGTAGATGTAAGATCAGACATGGAAATGTGGTTGATTCTTGCTTTGACTTTTTCCTTCAGCTCAACTTTGAATGAGCATGAAAAAGAATTATGCTTCATGACTTCGAAGGTTGAGCCTGTGATAGACAAATATCATGCTCATTCAGTAGATATCCTTAGTAAAGTTATCTGTGGCTCATTTGTCAATAAGAAGAAGCTAAGTAATATCCTGACAGGAAAAGCGTCAGACAAAAACGTCATAACGATGATAACTATGAATTTTGGAGATACCTGCTTTGAGGATGGCTTGCTTTTGAAGTCTACATTTTCATTATTTGTTTCAGTACTACCAACCATAAGAATCCATCAAGGAATTGAATGCTTCAGTGAAATATTCCAGACTTGTTTGGAATCTTTGCTTGGTTGTTTGACCCTTACCGAAATTCTGGAAAATGGCAGCACTTTCAAAAGAAATGTTGCTCTTGATATTCTCACTTCTCCTGAAAGTTTAGGTATGATTTTACAGCACCTATCTTTTGTCTATGCTGCTATTTATGTCAACACCAAGGATAGTTCCTCAGAAGTACAGGCTTTAATGTCTGCACGCTGTGCCGAGCTTGCAAATAACTTGATAGAGTGCGCTATTAACTATGCAGTTACAAATGAGACAGTTGATGAAGATTTAACCAAACTATGTGGTGTCTCTCGCTTATTGGGGAGCATGGAGAATGTTATTAGTATGCTAATGACTGTGAGGATGCCACAGCAAATATCTGAGCAAGTGGTTAGAACTCTGAACATTTCCAATAAATTAGGACGTTTGGTAAGAGTGTAAGTTACAGATTACTAGCAGAGGCTAGTTGCGTATCATATATAGTAATTGTATTATAAATTGTATTAATGTTCATAGAGATTTCTCCCACTTACAACAATCACTTGTATTGTTTGTTTATAAATTTGTGGGCCTTTTGTGCATTTTCGTTACCTATTATTTCGGCCATGTCAGCAGCATTCATCTGACAAAAGTCATAAAGATTTTTGACCTTGCCGATAATCAAAAGTGAGTTAGAATCCGTTATACCTGGTATCAATCTGAGAAATTTTATAGCATCTTCATTAAATCCCGATCCACTATCCGTATCGTTCATTCCGGCAGTCAATGCAAACTCAATGTCTGGTTCGTTTTGATGAACCTTTAGCTCTCTGAACAATCTAGCGGTTTCAAAAGGTGAGCTACTCCACAGTATGCTTAGTCGAGGGAAGGATCTAACCAAAGCTGCCAGTCTCAACTGCAATTGCTCTAAATCGGCATTTCTTATATGCTTGGTTGAGTTGTTGGTTAGGAACCCAGTTGTAAAAGGTTCAAACGAAAAAGACTTTCCTTCTTCAAACTCAATGAGCAATACAGGTCTGGCATACCATCTGAACATACTTTCACATTGTTTCATTAATCTGCCATTCTCTAATGAATCAATCAAGTCACGAACTGCTTTTCTTTCGACACATATCTCGTCGGAGAGAATATAGTCCCCAACTGTAAGCATTGCAGGAACTACTTCTAAGCCTGCCAAATAGCAAACAAATGGTAACTGGGATACAAAATCTCTCATATCTATAATCACCTTGGAAGTTCTTAAGGCAGTTAATCCACCACCTGCAATTCTGGTATTTGAGTTCAAATGTCTAAAACTTTCTTCAAACTTGCTTTTCTCATCATCCTCAGTGCTAAAGTATTTCGGCATGTTGGCTTTCTCTCGAATGAGTTTGGTAAATGCATCTTTTTCGTGCTTGATAGAGGTCAAATAAATCTGTTCCTCAACAGATTCTCCGTAGTACATGAAAAAGCATTTTGCTGAATTCAATGACGCTTGATACAACTCAACGGTTCTTACAAAGGTAAGGTCGGGTTCATAGCAAATAATGTAGGATGGTAGTGTCTCTTCCAATATTACACTTTCAAAGGTTGTGATTATAATTTCGTCGGTTCTTTCTAACAAGTTGTATTCAACATTATTCTCTGGGGCATAAAAGTCGTCAAATTCAAAGCCAAGTGATTCCGGTGCAGCTTCATCGATGTCAAAATCAGCATCGGCGTCATCATTAATATCATCATCATCAGGTCTCAAGTTCATCAACCTGTTATGCTGTGCAATGACACTTCCTCCCCTGCTTCTCCTTCTATCCGTATTTCTGAAACGATTCTTCGTGAACGTCTTTGATATTAGCACATCATCATCTTTTACTCCATTAGTTTCGTTGTTTTCAGTAGTCACCTTTCTCAACTCATCATTCATCTTTTTCATCAAAGTCCCTCTATTCCTTCTATTTTTCTGATATTTGAGTTCCGCTGTCATGATTTTTCTAAAACTGTAAGACCTTACACCATCATTGTCGAATATCTGGTATTTCGAAAGAACTCTCTCTAATTGGTGGCAAGTGAGTCTCGACTTACATGCAATGACAGTAGGCCCATCGTCTGTGACATCATGCTGTAGTTTTTCATCGTTAATCTCGTCCAAAATCAGCATCAACTGCTCCCATTTGGGCATCTCTTCGAGTAACATGTTTTCAGTACTGTTGTCTCTGGAGTTCATCTGTCGAGGGTCTGCAGTCTTGATTTTTCGATAGACACGGTCTTTACTACACGCAATAGTGGCGGACGCTTCTGGTATCATCAACCACAATGATTCTTTGTTAGAGATCGACTGTGTGTTCTCGTTAACAAAGCTCTTTATATTTTGATAGAAAGTAACGGAGTCGTATTGGAACAGGTCTAGGAGAAACCCCTTCACTGTTGATAATTCGGACAAGACCTTCTTCGTCGTGACGGAGATCCGGTGCCACACCGGGTTCAGCGTTCCCACAATTGATTGGATGAAGTTGTCATCAAGGGCATTTTCGATCGACCAGTACTCGGAGGCAATGTCCGGGTTATTTCTTCTCAGTTCTCCAATGAGGAGCTCCATACTCGCCATTAGAGAGTTCTGAATTTTTGTCATGTAGTCGGTCATCTTGATCCTGACCTCGGTCACCTTGTTAAAGGAAGCGTGATTGGTACCCTTCGTCTTGCGCTTGATCGACTCGGTAACGCCAATATGGAATCTGGGCCATAGGAAAGAGCTTTCAAGTTTAAAGTACTTCAACTTTGTCTGGAGCGGCTGGAACCCCCTGCAGCACCTCTCCGGGTCGTCCGACAACGCCTTCACAAACCCCCACTTGTTATCCCGTCGGTACAAGTTCACCACAAACCGGTCCATCGAATACTGGGAGATGTTTTCTGCATGCAAGATGACGAGACCAGTGATCACCTTTGGCTCCACAACGTGGCTAAGCATGTCCGTCACCAACACCCGGTTCGACACCGACACAATCCCGCCGTTAGCGTACAGGTCTCGGCGCCGGTCAACAGTCCCGGCGTCGCCGATGATCGACGAGAACCCAAAAGCGGTTTTCTTGTTGCTGCTCTCGTGGTTATCTTCGTGGTCCGGGTCGTCGTCGTAGTTCCACGCAAGCTCCATCAAAGACTCCTCGATGAGCCGGTTTTCCTCCTCCGAGGCGTTGATGAGCATGATCAACGGTCGCTTATTGTCTCCCGTCGACTGCAAAAGCACATGCAAGAGATTCGACACAATCTGGTCAATTCCAAGTCCCCGACCTAACACCAACAGCGCATCCTCTTCAACTAGATCCACGACGATCTTTTCCTGGAACTTTAAGAGCAGAGAGAAGTTCACCTCAAGCACGTCCTTCCGGGCGCCCGTTTCCGAACCGACAGCATCTGACGACATGGTTTCGACACCTTCGTCTTCGTCTTCGTCTTCATCCTCTCCGTCGTGTCTGCTGCCGCCTTGTGAGCTATTCCCAGCTCTATGCCTCTGACGAGCCACCAAAACCCTCCTTCCATCTCCGTCCCGTCTCCGTCCCCCGCCTCCCAGCCGGCCCCAACACCTCTACACAGGGCAACTGTGGCGGGGGCCAGAAACCGCAGAAAACATGCGCTGCCTATCTGGCCAAAACGAGGCGACGCGGCCGGAGTCAGAGTCACCGTTGTGCTGTGCTGTTGGCCGGGAGCAGTCTACGAGAGGATGAGATAGACAGAAGCAGGTCTTGAGAAGAGCTCTTTTCGAGAGATGAGCGGTCTCTCTTGTGTTTATGCTGTTTCTGTACAGCTTCTGGGTGCCAGCAGACCAGCAAAGACCAGCAGACAGACATGAGCGTCAAGATTACCGACAAAATTGCCTCTCTCAAGAAGGATGAGCCGTTCTTCTCGTTGGAGTTCTTCCCGCCAAAGACAGACAGCGGTATGAGGAACCTGTATGCCCGGTTGGGCCGGATGTCCCTCTTGGGACCGCTGTTTGTGACGGTGACGTGGGGTGCAGGCGGGACGACCGCCGAGAAGACCACGGACTTGGCGGTTACGTGTCAGCAGGACTTGGGGCTGACGACGTGCATGCACTTGACGTGCACGAACACCCCGAAGGCGGTGATTGACGAGGCGTTGAACAAGGCCAAGGCTTGTGGCATTCGGAACATCCTTGCCTTGAGAGGCGACCCGGCACGGGACACTAGTGTGTCGCACGGAATAGGGGAGTTTGGGCACGCCGTTGACCTGGTGAGCTACATCAGAGCGCAGTACGGCGACTACTTCTGCATCGGTGTTGCCGGCTATCCTGAGGGCCATGCGGACGGCTCTCTTGAGGAGTTGCAGCAGGATCCAAAAAAAGACCTGCCTTACTTGGTGGAGAAAGTCAAGGCGGGCGCCGACTTCATCATCACGCAGCTCTTTTTCGACGTGAGCAAGTTCATAGAGTACGAGGACCTCGTCAGATCTCAGCCAGAGCTCGAAAACATTACAATAATTCCCGGCTTGTTGCCCATCAACGGTTACAACATTTTCCAGCGGGCCTCCAAGTTGTCCCACGCGTCGATCCCCAAGGCTCTACTAGATCAGTTTCCACCAGAGATCCAGAACGATGACGACACGGTGAAGGAAATCGGTGTCGACGTTTTGGTGAAGATGATTGACCAGATCTACGAAAGAAAGGACAACCACATCAAGGGTATACACTTCTACACTCTCAACTTGGAAAAGTCCATTGCACATATCATCAACAAATCAAAATATTTGTCCAAGGTCGTTGCCAAGAAAGAAGTAGAGCTCGAACAGGAAGAGTCATCCTCTGACGAAGAAATCGACGACTCGATAACTTCAGCAAAACGAGCAGCATATGCAGACAGATTCAACACGACGAACAAAGTAATCAGTGATGCAAAGGCAGTCCACGATGTCAGAATGACCACTTCTCCATCTTCCCAGCTCAAAAAGTTGATTTCAATTAGTGCCGGACACGGCGTGTTGGGTAAAGACGCAACGTGGGATGATTTCCCAAACGGTCGTTTTGGTGACTCCAGATCTCCTGCCTACGGTGAGATAGACGGTTATGGTCCTTCGTTGAAGGTGTCATCCACCAGAGCATACGAACTCTGGGGGTACCCAACAAAGAAGGAAGACATCTCCAAGTTGTTCATCAACTATCTCCTCAAAAAACTAGACTGTTTGCCATGGTCGGAGTTGAGTTTGAGCCCCGAAACCTCCCTTATTCAAGAAGAGTTAATCAACTTGAACGAAAAATTTTACTTTACCGTTGCCTCTCAACCGGCAGTAAACTGCACAACTAGCAAGGACAAAATATTGGGCTGGGGACCTTCGAATGGGTTTATTTACCAAAAGGCCTTTGTTGAAATGTTTGTTTCCAAAAAAGAATGGAACGAGCGTCTGCTTCCGAAATTGGATGCTTGTGGAAGTTTAGTCAGCTACTATTACGCTGATAGCAAAAAGGAGTTCAAAACTAACTTGCCGTCTAACGCATCAAACTGTGTTACTTGGGGTGTCTTCCCAAACAGAGAAATCTTGCAAACCACCATCGTTGAAGAAGAATCTTTCAAAGCTTGGACAGAAGAAGCGTTTGAGATCTGGAAAGAGTGGAAACTTTTGTATCCAAAGAACAGCGACTCTGCAAAGCTAATAGACAGCATTTTAAACGATTATTACCTTGTGACAGTACTCCATCATGATTACCCGAATGAAGCGGCGCTTTGGGAATTGTTGTTGGAAGATTAATAAATATTTATAGTATACATTTTATCTATCTATATATAGCCATATATAGCAATTTGCTACCTGTCAATGAAATAGAATTTACGATCAATACTTTTTTCATCCCTCATAGTGGATCTCCTCTTTCAACTCTTTTAGTTTCCTCTCGTACAATTTGTAATCCAATTTCATGATGTAACCCCCTAAAAATTCTACATTTTCATTTTTGAGCTGTAACGTGTTGAAAATTATTTTTGTACCCGAATTCACAACAATCTTCGAGCCTAATTTAATAGGAAAAAAGCCGTTACTCCTCTTCCGAAGAAAACCAAGTGGTTCAACTTCGTACGCGTAACATGTGTTGCCAAAGCAATCCTGTAAAGTCAGCCTATAACTACTACTCCAGCCTCCATAAGGGGTTGCACCATCATGTCCAAGCTCTTCATCAGCGTTGACGGCATCGATCGTTGCCCTAGGTTTCGAGTTTTGCTTCTTAGAAGCCCCAGGACCTGTTATAGCTCGCTGTCGGTCTTGGAAGCTTTCGTTGATATCAATCAAGAGCTTTAGCCCTTCAATCATGGAAAGAACCGACTTGGTGATGTCTCGCAGGTCGACAATTTGAAATAACGTGGTATCGTGTAGCTTATCATCTGGTGTCGGTTCAGCCAAACAATGTCGGAATGGCACCAAATAGTTTTTGCAGTCTCTTCGTGGTTCATGGAAAGTAAGCGTGGATTTTCCCTTGTAAATATCTTCCTGCAGAAAATTAGGCATATTTATAGAAGTGATTTGTCAACAATGTCTTATCACTTCAAAAGTAATAAGAAAAGAAAACTTTAGGATGCATTTTCTGATGTGAAGATTTCTTGATCTCATCACTAACGTGCATTTAACATTTCAAAAAATAAAAAATATGGACGAGTTGGGAGTTGAACCCAAGACCTTTCGCATGCTAAGCGAACGCGCTACCAACTACGCCACACGCCCTAGAAGATGGTGGTCCCTAGCAGGATCGAACTGCTGATCTTGGCGTTATTAGCACCACGCCTTAACCAACTGGGCCAAGGGACCTTTTGTGAAAATGAAGTTTGATACTTTGAATATGATGCCACTTTATAGCTTAAAGATCTCTGAACATTTGTGATCTAAGAGGAGACTCATCATTTTTATGTAAATGAATATGAGAATAAAGGATATAACTGCATGTTCCAGCAAACGAATTCTATACCGTGTAACACTATAAATGTTTCTATTGAAGACCCACAAGGGTAAAGTAGATACCCCTACCTACACATAATGACCGGAGGCATTATCCCAAACCTTTAAGTTAATGTTTTCATCAATTATACTTTGAATGTCAGCCATCTCCTTGAAGATTTTATCCCAATCACTTTCAATAAGCAGATTCATATTGTTATGTGGCATGTTACCGTTTTGTATAAATGAAGTTTCCGAAGAGGTGGAACTAGTGCATGATTCGCCTCTAAACAAAGAATCCCAAGTTATATCTTTCAATTCTTTGAGCATTTTCCACCGTTGTTTGCACAATTTGGTAGTATGCTCTGATAGATAGTTTAATTTTATGAATACTTGGTCAATAATCTCGATTCTTTTTTTCATCCTGCATGAGGTTAAAGAGAAAGACTTGTCCATCGCATCCAAAACAATGCCTTTTAGCAATGAAAGTAGAGTTTGTATTGGCTGGTATTTTCTTACCTCCCAAACAAAAATAGCATTCCTGGGCATTGACCCATAAATGAGATATTCACTTAACAAGTGGACCTGCTTTTCGCATGTTGCTTCTTTGAGGAAAACAAAGTCTAGATTTGCAACAGATGACGTATCAATCGCTTTACTTTCAGTTGAAGATTCTCCGGCCGATGAAACCTCTTCTACCGGCATCACCCGCTTCTGGTCTGAGAATAATACGTCGAGTAAGATAAAACAGCGATCTTCAAGTGTTGATAGCATAGAAGAAGCAAATTTGACAAATTGTTCCTCAGAAGGCATTATATTCAAAGGGTCTAACATTCGTTGAATCAAAGAGGAACAACAGAATGATAAATTCTCAATTTCCCTTGTTAAACGCACAATTATTTGATCAGAAGGGGGTTTGACACAGAAAGATGCTTTCAACAGTTTATTAGTACATTCTGCCCACCGAAATCTACCATTGGCAAATGCTATTGCTTGATCTAACATGTATTGACCATTGAAGCGTTTCCTAAACTCGTTAGGTAATTGTGTATCGTACTCACAAGGTTGAATAATGGGTGACAATTTTGTGGACAAAGCTGTTGTACAATCCAAAAAGTAGATTTGCCACCATAGTAGACGCCGCAGCTGTACATCTTTCGATTTTGCAAGATGATGATAATTTTGTGGGTCTCTATTAAGTTCTAGAAGTTGTGAATATCTCACTAGAGTGGAAATGGAGACAAAGTCGTCTGTTTTGCAATCATTTCTGACAATAGTGTATAGAATTGTAGACGCTTGCAAGCCAACCAGGGAGATTTTGTTGGGAAAATCGTCCATCACAAGAGCAGCTTCGGTTGCTCCCACGAAAAACTTCATCTTTTTAATGAGTTCTTCTCTATCCACCGTCTCATCAATCCTGATGCATCTTTCTTCAAACAAAGATACTGAGGACGCATAGAAGATGGTAAAAATTATGATGTAAAATGAAATTGATACCGACTCTTTGTTACCCCAAAACCTTTCGTATAGTGGGAATATCGTTTGCAAGTCAAGTATTGGAACGATAGGATGAACTGAGGACCTGTACCTATCCATCAAGACATCCGCCTCAGCCTTATTGGGTATAAAGGATTCTAGGAGATCCAAATCTGGTGGCACGCTTTGCTCATTTAAGTTCAAAGAAGAATTGAAAAGCTTAGTATATACTGATCCTACTCTCATTTCCGGGTGAACCAACCTCTTGTTATACGACTCGGCCCTCGGGCGAGCTTCATACTGCGGATCTAAAATGAAACTTTCGTCAAATTCTGTAATTTGCGGTCGCAAAGACTTAAGATCTGCGGTTTGCTTCTTGAGAGAGCTGAGGCACTCTGATTTCCGGGTCTTGGCCGCTGGTAGACCGTCGGAAGGCAGCTCATCTAACACCTCGCTCTCTCTTTTAACATTCACCCTCTGCAGTTCTTGTTGCGACGTTTGTTCTGAATAAAGTTCTGGAGTCGGTCCATCATAGTTTTCGAAGACATTCTCGGAGTTCTTTTGTACGTTTGTGTATTGATCCATGCTGCTTTTAAGATTCATTAGTAATCTTGCGTGTTTTTCTGTCGGACTGGTGTCATTCACCCCGTACACACATAGTCTCCGATGACGGGAACAGTAAGAGCAGGTAGGATATTCCCTCGAACACTTCCGTTTCTTCCCTCTGCACTCCACACAGGACTTCGTTTTGTTTGCGGGAAATTTATCTACCCTAAAATGGGCTGTACCGGGAAAAGAATTTTTAGACATCTGCACCTTTTTACTGTTTAAACCCACTACCACACAAAATAACACCCTGGTTTCTATCCAGCAGGCAAACACCAATAAGATCCGATCTATGCAGCTGATTATCCACTTCTGTGTTGAACTGAGAGCCAGCATGGCCATGTGGATAGAGCCAACCAAGGCCGGTACACATTGCGGACAGCGTTTGCCGGATGCGGAAGACGCTTTCCACTGTGGCATCAGCGCTGCGGAAATGGGTTTTATTACCAAAAAGGTCCAGCATCACCGATAAGCAAGTACCCATATAAAGGTAAGCGCTACTAACCTGCTGAAGAAGAGTAGTGACTCTTGCGCAGTTTTAAGTTTAACAGGCAATGGATACACAGTTACCAGTGGGTAAACAATGGTATCGCTGGAGAAAATAAAACTCCCCAACAAGCACGTATTCAATGGCAAGGAGTTTCCAGTTGCATACAAGGTCATTAAAGATCCGGACGACGACAGAGAGGAGTATGGCGTGGATGATACATTGAAGTTTTTGGAGGACCAATCCAAAAAGGGGCTCTTTAAAAAGTTGTTGAAAAGGCATGGTGTAGTGGTACTGAGGTGCGGAAAGAGGCTGGACTCAAATACCTTATCCAAGTACATTTCTGCCATTGGTGCCAATTCAGGAGACCAGCCCTTTGAGCAGAATGGCTCCACTGCAAAAAGAACTGAAATCACCGAGACTTTGAGCACTGCCAACGAAGGTCCATCTAGTATAAGAATCCACCAGCATAACGAATTTTCTCGTTTTGTCAAATACCCTACTAAGCTATTCTTCACTTGTGTAGAGTATGCTGCAGAAGGTGGTGAAACACCATTAGTTCACGGCGGAGAATTTTTCCAAAGGATAAACGCAAAAGCGCCCGAATTTCTTAGGGAATTGTCCCAACGAGGACTATACATGGAGCAGATCTGGCCGTTGAAGTCGGATACTAACACGAACTGGGCGAACAAATTTTGTTTCGGGAGGAATATCGACCCCCGCGATGATGATTTCGAGCATCAGAAGCTGCAAGCCAAACAGCTGGCTGAAGAGATTGCCAGCCCAGACTGTGAGTTTACGCCCGAAAACGACTTACTTATTCGTCAGTACACAAAGCCAATTAGAGTCTATGAAGGTGACGGGGAGTCCTTCCCATGTTTTTTCAACAGTCTTTCAACATTCTACGCATACACGAAGTACAAGGTTGCAGAGTACGGAAAGACTAGGAGCATTTGCTACAACGACGGAGGAGAGATCCCGGCAAAATACCTCGATCTCGTTCTTCAGACGTCGTTGGACCTCGCCTATGCCCACCGGTGGGAGGAGGGCGACATCGCCATAGTGGACAACTACATGGTGAGCCACGGTCGACTCCCGTGGGAGGGCGTGAGGCGTATTTTGGTCAGCATGTGGGATGAGGTAGATAAACCGGAGTACGCACCGTGGGTAGCTGCGACCTGAAAGCTGTAAACATGCGCTTTGTTTTATCGTCCCTGCTCTGTGTATACAGAAGACGGCGGCTTCACTGCTGGGAAAGAGCATGATATCGAACAGTAGCCGAGGCAGTAGTCTCCTTAATTGTAGTATCAAGTTGCCTCACTGCAATCAAAGGGACATCCATCACCTTCCCTATGTTGGCCTGCCGCTTCGGGTAATCTGTCTCCTCCCAACTGTGGCTGACCCTCGGAGTTGACTTTCCCCATTGGGTGCCACAGCTCTTTCCACACTCGCTAGAGACCTACCACCACAATAGATTAGGGTGATGCGGGAAAGCTTTGCAGAGGATAGAAAAGGTGTTTATAACTAGTGTGATCCGACAGATGTCGCCAGCTGCAGCATTTCCCGCAGCACTGGTGTTTGTCGGTCGATTATTGAAGTGGGATGCTCAGTCTGGCTACTTAGCAAATAGAAATGACAATAAAGAAAATCGGGATCATTGGTGCTGGCCCGGGTGGCTTGATTGCCTTAAACGAGTTCCTGCTTACCGGTGTAGACGGGAAATCTACCATAATAAGTTTGAATTCGAAAGACAACAAGCTACCGGAGAAAGGGGCCTTTGATGAGATTGTGGTCCAGTAGCAAGGCAGTGATGTGGGAGGTGTTTGGAACCACATCACCGACACTGACCCGGACTTCCCTACAGGTAAGAACTACTCCGACCCTAACTCCGTGAGACCGAACTTAAAAGCACCAACGGAAGAGGACCAATTGTTGGTCAGGACTGCAAACACAGTCCAGGAGAGAAATTCGAAAAGATAGTTTGGAAAAGAGACAAACTTGAAGGCGAAACCATGAGGGATCTTGTGTGCTCTGGTACCGTCCGATCTCAATCTTCTCAAGATGATGTGGCAGTATAAGTTACATATCTCAAAGAGAACCAAGGCACCCCCGAACCACTTCAATTCGTCCAAGGAGCGGTCCTCGACATGGTGGACCACGCTCCAGAATTTGTTGCTATAGACAACGTTCTGTGGGGAATAGACGGAGAAGGCAATGAGCAAGCTGTTGATCCAGTAGTGGCCCGATTTTCTGAATAAAAATGCAAAAGGCATGGTGTCTGCAGAAAACGTGTGGATGAAAAAAGTCTCGTACTCTTTTTTCAAGTAGTGCAAGAGTGTCAAGTTGTAGGCAAGCACCTGGGTGTAGGTCATGTCGCTTGCACTGTAGTACCCATAATAGAACAAGGAGTGTATGATCATTGGTCCTAGGTTTTCGAGAAAGTAGACGGTTCTCCAGCCGATCTGGGGCCCGACGTCCTTGGCATAAACGTTGAGTGTGGAGGCCTTGGCAAAGTCCAGGCCATTTTCCTCGAGTGTCAAGTAGCTTTTCAGAGGAAGCCTTTTCTTCTTGTCCCTCTCCTTGTCGTTCTCCTCTGCAAGGTAGGAAAACTTAATTCGGTTTGGATCGGAGACGCTGTTCTTCTTGGCATAGGCCTCGATGATGGCAGAAAGACGCGTGTTTGGCGCGCTGTCGCAGTTGATCTTTTTGAGCTTTCTGGAAAGAGGGTTGATGATGAGGTTCACCATTGCCTGCTGCGAATTGAGTATGGCTCGGTGCTGTGTAGCCACTCCGTCTCCGTCCAGGTCGGTGCTTCCGGTGGAATTGCCTCTGACAGGCGTGCAAAGAGCAAGATGTCCACTCTGCGGCGCGGGAGAATTTTTACATTTTCGCCTCGTACATGAATTGGAGGGTGTATTGAAGGAAATAAGAAAGAAGAAGCGGTGGCACAAGAAGATCCATTTCACATTTCACATTGCACAGCATAGGACAGCACACGCACACTAAATCATTCAGATATACATATGACTATGCAGGAAAGAAGGTACTTTTTATTGGGAGCAGTATTAGTGCTACGGACCTTCTCCAATATCTGATTCCAAAGAGCAAGTTAGTTTGGTTATCGTCAAATTCTACCGATATCAAAAAGTGCTTAACTGATAATGAACACATTGATTGATGGATGAAATTCTTGCTGACGAGAAGGTTGCCATCCATATATGTCCGAGAATAAAAAAGTTTACCGAAGATGGTGTTGAGATCACAGATGGGCAGAAGGGCGAAAATTTTGATAAGATCTTATTTGCCACAGAATACCACATGTGGTATCCTTTCTTGAATATCCCTGAAAATGAAGGTAAAAGTTATATTAAGGTAACGTCTGGCAGGGATGACCAGCCGAACTACGCTCACACAAAACTACGCTCACACAGAGGTTGTCAATGTCTATTTGTACACATTTTCGGTTGGTGAACCAACCCTAAGCCATATAGGTATTCCACAGAACCCATTGTTCTTTTTAACTGCAGAGGTAAATGCCATCGCCTTAGCAGGTTTGTGGTACGGCTACAAACATCTTCCACCAACCGCAGAGCAGATTGAGTGGTGCAGCAGAAGGTTAAGAGGTAAAAACAGAAGCTTCGAGCTTTTTGACGAGACATCAATTAGACCATACTATTCTAAACTTTACGAGCTTGCTCCTGCAGATAAAGTTGACCTACAGCAAATACTACGAAGCGATGAAATAGCAAAGGCAAAGAACGTTCTAAAAAAATTATTCTATGCTTTTGCTAGTAGAGAGCTAAAGTAAGTCAATGGACCAGATGGTGGGATCAGTTAGAAAATTTTTATTAGATCTTTTAAGTTTAAAGAATTTGTGCAAGCTTGAACTTTACTAAAGTTAAAGTAACCTTTCATATGATAGCATGATAGTATGGTGCTACCACAACTTGTACCAAGGACGATGCAATTCTGCCTTCAAGTTCCTGAAGTTTTCATACTCATCCCAACAAGATCGGTCGCCAAAATTACAGCCGGCCATGTTAACTATGAAATCACGATCCTTCTTACTGTAGAAATATCTCTTATCATCCTTTTGGTCCTCACAAGCACCATCTGGGAAAGAGTTGATGGCCTTCAATGGAACGAATCCAAGCCTTTCCCTTATCCAAGGTTGCTGACTGTACAACACTTCCAAACAATCCTGTTCCTTGTGTTCCCACACCATGTGCATCTGCTCGTACAGTACGGGGTCCCACCATGCATCTAGCAATAGATCAGTCCATTCCGATCTTCTGATCAGGAAGGACCCGAGATTGAAACCTCCACAATCCTGTGCTAAAATCATGTCAATGGGTTGATCCAAAGTGTTCACATAAGGCACATCTGTTTTGATGCCTAAGGGATTAAAGTGTTCTACAGATCTGTATGCTTTCTTGTTTATGTCTTCGAGAAGATATGATTCAAGACTCAACTCTGGTTCCATTATGAAGGTGTATGTGTCCAACCACCAAAACCATTCAGCGTCTGGATATTCACGCATAGTTTGCCTCAGAATGTCGACTTTCTCCCAGCCTTCTCTCCATTCGTGACTGTATCTTCTTTTTAAACTCGTATCTTTCAAAGTTAGGGTATAGCCGTGTCTTTGCGCATAAGCCTTCTTATTAGCAATACTGGATCTTTCCACCGACCATTCTTGCGGAGTCTTCCAGCGTTCCACACCACCACCTTCATTTACAGCCAGAATCATCACAATTTTTGACGGCGAATTGTCTTTATGGGAGGGATATGTTATCAGATAGGCAAACACAAACAGGGGTATAAGGAAAAGAACGTATCTCACGAATTTGTGTTCTTGTATAAAGCTTTTCACTTTTTGGAAACCGCCTTTCAACCTGAATGCATTTCTTCCCTTCAGCATCTTGCTGTAGTCTAAAGAAGAGACTGAAGTATCGTATGTGTAGTTGTCATAGTCCGAGGTGAGGTCCATAGGATCGACTGTCTCCTTTGAGCCAGCATCCAACATACCTGTTCGTTGCATGTTCCTGTGTGCGTAAGGGGTGAGGGAAGAGGGGGAGACTGAGCGAATAGTATGTGGACTCAATTCTAAGGATAGCTACAGTGATGAAGCTTTTTTTTAGCCTTGGCGTATATATCTCAAATGAGGTTTTTGGTCTCAAGTTGTACGTGCGATGCTGGTTGCGAAGCTAACGATGCAGATGGCGGGGATGTTTTCAATTTTTGGAACAAATGCTTAAACGAAAGAAGGAACAAGAATAGGACCAGACAACAAAAGTCCTAGCGTTAGCCATCGATAATGAAAATAACATTTCTTTTGGCCATGCCGGCCTCGGATAGGAAGCAGACACGTCCAAGAATTATAAATCTCTGCAAATCGTTATGCTGGCGAGGAGATGGCGGAGCACGAAAAGAGGGCGGACAGGAGAATAATATTCATGGGAAGACGGCTTAAGTAATCAAAACGGTAAAAGTAAGAACTAGAATAGTTCAAGTTATTTTATTGCAGGAAACCGCTAAACATTAAACCGAGGTAAACTATCTATTCCATTGAAAATTGTAGACAGAGATCTATACCGAAGCTAATGACTCAACCTTAAACTGGACTAAGGGACCACAGATTCGCATCAGAAGGTCTCAAAAGATCACGATTATAGAAAAATGATAAGAAAGTGTATTATGGATGGTGTACAGGATATATAGAAGGACAGAAAGCAAATACACATGTGACTGCTACTGCTATATATTAAACTCGCTTCTGAAACGGCCAACGTTCATGCCCGGCCGGACCTTGTCAATGAGGTCTCGTCTGTCCATGGCTAGGAAGGCCCGCTTGAGTGTCTCGATCAGATTGCCGGACTGCTCTGTGTCACTAACCAACATACCTTCGCCATCAGGACTCTCCACCTCATGCATGCTCAACCCTGTGAGCAAGTGCTCGATAGAATCTTTATACATGCCCATATTGATGAAGGAGACGCCCAGGTTGTAGCGGGCCCGCACAAAGTTTGGGTTTAGCTGGAGGGCCTTGGAGTACGCCTCTATAGCCTGCTCGGGCCTGTTTGAGTTGGCATAGGAGGCTCCGAGCCTGTTCCAGGACAAGGCGTCATTGGGGTTGCAGCGGATGGCTGCCTGGAAGCAGTCGAGGGTTTTGTCATACTCCTCCATCGAGTAGAATAGGACACCCAAGCCGGTCTGTACGTCTGCGTCGATATTGGCCCCCGCTGGCGAGAGCTGTGCTGCCCGCAGGAACAAGTTTGTTATGCGTTTGTTCAACGAGTACCTGTCGTCGGAGGTATCGCCCGGGTTTTCATTTCTGGCTTTGGATACCACGTCCGGGTACTTGGACTCAATCCAGTTCTCAAAAGTCTTAAAGGCGGCATTGTCGTAGCCCTCGTTGACATAAGAGATGGCCAAACTCATGAGTGCCGTTAGATTCTTCGGGTCGACGAGGAGACAGTTCTCCAAAGCGGTGATTCCATGCAGCTCTTTCTCGTTCTGAATCTGCACCTGGCCCAACTTCAACCACGCCTCCGTGTGTTTCGGGTCCTCCTGGACGGCGGCCTCAAAGGCCAAGGCGGCCTCGCTCAACTTGGCCCCGCCATCCATCAACCTGCACCCGATCTCGTACGCGTTCGGGTTGTTCATGAACTCGTTCTTCTCCTCAAACTGGTAGTCCTCGTGGTACTTCTCGCTGAAACCTATTGGGGGGTCGAACCTCGCGTCGTCGAACGCCGACTGCATCTCTTCCACCTGGACGCCGTCCTCGCCGTTGAAAAGCCCTGTTTCTCCCTCGTTGCCGACCTGCTGCTCGATCTCCTTGAACGAGTCTTCCCACGCTGCCTTGTCGTGGCTGCTGGCGTGAACATCCGTCGCTTGCGCGTTGTTTCTCGTCACTGTACGCATGTGAGGAGCCTGCATCATGTGCAGCCGGGCACCCATGCCGTTCATCAGCATCGAGCTAGGCTGGCCCATTTGGTATCCCAGAGCAGGCGCATGCCCCTGCACCGGGGCTGCCGCCGTCGACAGCGGCGAGGCCGTCCCCATCGACGATCCCATAAACTCTGTCGACCAGTTGCTGTGTTGCTGCTGTGGCACATGCTGCTGCATGTTCTGCTGGACGCCGTTGTGCATCAGAGCCACGTTGCTGAGCTCGTGCGACAGCGGTTGGAAGTTGAAGGCGTTGTGCTGCTGCTGCGGGTTTTGCTGGTCCATCAGCGCATGCATCATGTTCTGGTCTCGCTGGTTCATCGCCGGGTCCTGGCGCAATCCGCCCGCCATCCTCCTCGACTCGCCGTCCAGCTGCGATCCATTCCGCAGGTTGTTCTGTAAAGAAGTGTCGAAATCCGTTCTTTTGGTCAGCTGTGCCAACGGGTTGGCGTTTGCTGCACATTCCGACCCACCGCTCAAGAACGACATCTGTGTGTGTGTGTGTGGGGAGTGTGCACTCTTGTACCGAAGGTCCTTTAGTTCCTTCTTCCCCTTTCTTCTCCAGGTCAAATGCTCAGCTGAATAAATGCTCAGCTCTCCTCCCTTATCGGGCGCCAATTGCCATCTCGCCGTCTCCAATCATCCAACCTCTCCAGCTTCCTCTTTTGGCAGTTTCCCCGACGCCCGCTTACGTTAGCCACACTTACGTCAGCATACTCTTCCCCGGTGCGATGTGCTCCATGCTCCGCTTCAGGAGCAGGAGAGGCCCTCTGGCGATGCCCGTCAGCCAGAGAGCCGGAGGAGATGGGGAGAAAAGAGGTATCCCAGAGAAGAATAGCATCCGGAGACAGTTGAAAGGGGCTTCCAAGATACCAGATCAGCACAGCACAGTTCCACCCATCCTCCGACTTCCAGAAACTACAAATATGTCTTCCCCGGTCACGAACTCGGCAGCTCAGAAGTTTTCGCAGAAGGTCTTCAGCAAGGAGACCCTCAAGTACGTCTTCACGACCCACTTCTGGGGCCCTGTCTCGAACTTCGGGATTCCGATTGCTGCGATCCTTGACCTCAAGAACAAGCCGGAAGAGACGATTTCGGGTCCGATGACTGCGGCCTTGGTTGTGTACTCCGCCGTGTTCATGCGGTACTCTCTCGCCGTCACCCCGCAGAACTACTTGCTTTTCGGGTGCCACGTGGTGAACGAGATTGCACAGCTCGGCCAAGGTGCCAGGTTCATCCACTACAACTACTTATCTTCCCGTCCTGCTGCCGTCGAGGAGAAAAAATAATGAACGACTCGTGGTGCCCATTTGGGATCGCCCCCATGTATATCGCACCCTGTGTACCATGATTATAAGATCAAACTAATTAGACCCGCAAGGGTTACTTTTCTATCCAATTGCTCTTCCCCTCCTCTGTACTTAGCAAAGCAGCTTTCCTAGTCGAAGATCCCTTTGACCTGCAAGTCCTGCGTCGGGCCCAGATACTCTTCTCCAACCTCTTTCTCGTCTTCCTCTTCCCTATGCTCCCGCTCGAGCTCCTGTTCGGTACCAAGCGCCTTCTCTACAACATGGGACTGGTGAAACTTACTGTTGTCCCAGAAGATTCTCTCAAAATCCTCACTGCCCCCCCCAACAGAGCGTCTGTCTCCGTCGCCCACACTGGTGGAGACACCACCCATGTTGGACTCTTCCATATCACCCCCTTCATCGGCAACAAACAACGGCTCGCCAACATCTGTGTTCCGTAACCCATCTTCCACCCTTCCTGTAGTGGTCGCTACTCTTCGGAGCCGATCATCAACGAATCCGTTAGCAGCCTGTAACGCAAAGTTCGCTAGCTTGTCGTTAACGTTCGTGCTCCCAGCTTCAAGCACAAGCTTCCTTGACTCTCCATCTGTGACTTCGGTCAACGTCACAGAGCTGCACTCCTGCATTTCGCTCACCCCATTCATGAAGTATCTTTTCTCAAATATGATCGGATATCCAGGCTTCGAAAACATAATGTCGCATATGTTGTCGTCATCACCAAGCGTAATTCCTTCTTCAAAGGACTCCACCGCCTTCGCTCGGCTCTTTCCATTCGTGTCTTCATCATTGAACACACTCAGGTTTCCGCTTATGATCTGTATGAAGGTTTTGAAGTTTTTAAGCCTGAATGAAATATGATGCTCATCTGCACTTTTCTCATTGTTATCTTCATCTCCCCTCAAACCAAGATCTCTGATGTTATTGTACACTATCTGGTCCAACCGCATACAAATGCTCAAAGTCATCGGCCTATTGCTCATACTCTCAACCTTTGATGTAATCTGCTGTCGATTGAATCCCTTGAAAAAAATCGTTCCCTCAATTGGAGCTATTCCAATCTGGAAATCTTCAAGCGTCGGAGGGAATGACTGTATGAATCTTCTTAAAATCAGTGTGTTCAAAGCAACCCGATGAATTCGCTCATCTTCTTCCTCATCAAACAGATTGGCATCGTCGAACTCTCCAACTGCTGCACCACTCCCGTTAGCAGCCCCCTCTAAAATCTCGTCCCTCATTTTCTGATTTTCCAACGTTTTTAGATATATACAATGGATCCTGTCATCAGACGTATTGATTCCGGGACGAAATGCAATAGAATACTTTTTCTTCATCCCGGATCTAGTATCGAATTCCACAAACAACTTATGAGAGTATACCATGTGAGATATTTCATTTCCAGCCAACATGAAAACTTTCCAGCTTATCGCATCGTCTCCACAATCCTTGAACAATATATTCATATCCTGGCTATTAACGATCAAAGTATAGCTTTTTGCGTAGTTATGTGTAAACTGATTTCCCGTTACTCTGTATCTCTCACTCTCGCCAGTGGCAATCTCCCCGGTAATGCTGAACCTCTTGAAAAAGCATTCTTTGAAAGATATATTGAGTACAGTGGTTTTCGTCTTGTTCATAGTAATGAACTCAATTTCAGAGAAACATTTTCTACCCAATGCATCCACTCCGCTTTCAGTTCCCTGGAAAATGACAATCTTGAAACTATCCGAGATAGTGTGGAACGCATTTATCGCTTTCGTCCATAGCGCACGTGAATCTTTGGCTTTCAGCTCAAACTCTGCACGAAAGGGCATTTTATAATCAGCAAGAGTGAAAGCCCATGATCAGGGGAGCTGCAAGCTTCTGGTCCCAAGAACCCCAACACGAAATCTTCAGCATCAAGATGAAACACGTCAATCTCGCTTTCTTCTATTCTGCGATGGAAACCCAAACAAACGCCATTAACGTAAAAATAATTTCTTTGTTTGGATGCGCATCATGTTTACAACTCGAGAATTACTTGCGGTAATGAAGTGCCACCTAGATCACTCCTCTTGGGCTCTAAGCATCTCGTCATCAGACTAACAACTTGTCAGACTAATTTCGACCAGTCATGAAGGTTGAAGAGCTTGTCATTGATGGGTTCAAATCTTACTCCGTCAGAACGGTGATAACAAACTGGGACCCGCAGTTTAATGCAATAACTGGGTTGAACGGTTCTGGTAAATCAAACATCTTGGACGCTATTTGCTTTGTCTTAGGTATCACGAACACTTCGGCATTGAGAGCCCAAAACTTGCAGGATTTGATCTACAAAAAAGGCCAAGCTGGTGTCACTAAAGCTTCTGTCACGATTACATTTGACAATACAGATACAGAAGCCTCTCCAGTTGCATATAAAAATGATCCCAAAATTAGCATTACTCGTAAGGTGTCTGTGGATTCTCCAAACTCTGCCAATACCAAATATCTTATTAATGGTCGTAAGGCAACACAAAAGGAAGTGGCAAACTTGCTACAGTCAGTGCAGTTGAACATAAACAATCCGAATTTTTTGATCATGCAAGGTAAAATCACCAAAATGTTGAACATGAAGCCAACTCAGGTATTGAGCTTGATCGAAGAAGCCGCTGGAACTAAATCATATGAAGCCCAGAGAGATTCATCAGAGAAAATAATAAAGAAGAAAGATTCCAAACTCGATAGTATCAGAGAGACACTTTCTGTTCAAGTAGAACCTAAATTGGCGGAATTAGCCAAACAAACGGAAGTCGTGTTTGAGTATAGAAATAAAGTTACAGAAAAAGACCAATACTCTCAAATTCTTGAAGCATTCGAGTATCAGAAAAGTTTAGACACTTTGAATGAGTTGAGCTCTCCTTTGGAAGAGTCTGAACAAAAAGCCGAATCTCTCAAAAAGGCGGCACAAAACTACGAGAACCAGATTGAAAATTTGATTAACGACATAAACAATATAAAAAAGAATAACCAAAGTAATGACTCTGACCTTTTAAAAGAACTTGAAGCATCTGAGCAAAACTTGATTAACGACTTGACTAGGTTGAAAACTTCACAAGATTTGAAAAACGAAAACATTGAAGAATTGGTCCACTCTATTAAAGCGAAGGAAAATGAAATCGCTAGTATCCAAAAGTTCATAGAAAGTCAAAAGAATAAATACGATGAAGTACAAACAGAGTTTCTGAAAGAAGAAGAAAACTTGAAAAGTTTTAAAGAGCTGCTGCAAAGGAAGGAAGATCTTTTGTCTACATTGTCAACTGGTGTTTCATCGAAGGGTTCAACTGATGCAGGCTATGCTTCTCAATTGAGAGAGGCCAATAAAAAGCTTTCAGAAACAAGAACTTTGATTGAACAGGATAGAATGAAGATCAGACATTTACAAAGTGATCTTGACATCAACAAACTAAATGAACACAAGAAAACCTTGTCAAACTTTTCGGAAGAAATTTCTAGAAGAACTCAGATTTGTGAGAAAATTAAGGAGCAGCTGAGGAAAAGTGGTTTTGATAAAACGGATTATGATAACTTGAAAAACGAAGAAGAACTTTTAATGCAACAACTGAACACTAAAAATAGAGATCTTCAGGATTTTGTAAGGCAAGATTCGAGGTTTGATTTCACATATGAGAATCCGACTCCAGACTTTGATCCAAATTCAATGAAAGGCCTTTGTGGTGAACTATTTGACTTACCAGAAAACAACCTCAGAACAGCAACGGCCTTAGAAGTCTGCGCTGGTTACAAACTATTCAATGTTGTGGTCGATACGGATCGAACTGGCTCGCTAATTTTAGAGAAAGGCAGATTGAGAAAAAGAGTCACTATTGTGCCATTGAATAAAATCACATCAAGAGTAGTCAGACCTGAAATTTTGAATGAAGCTAAACGTCAAGCTCCTGAGAAGGTTGAATTAGCCCTAAATCTTGTCGAATACGATAATTCCGTTAAGAAAGCTATTGAATTCGTCTTTGGAAACAAGCTGATTTGTGAAGATCCAGAAACCGCAAAGAAAGTCACATTTAGTGATAAGATTAAAACAGGATCAATTACCTTAGAAGGTGATAATTACGATCCAGAAGGAAGATTATCTGGTGGTTCCAGAAGAACTTCAAGCTCTTTGATTTCCAAATTTGCAAAGTACAAAGCATTGAAAGATGATGTTACTAAAATCAGACATCGGTTGGACGAAATCTCCAGTATAATCAGAAAAATGAACCTTGTTGCTGAGCAAAACAGGGATATTCAACAAAACCTGGTTTCTGAAGAATACCACATAAATTTGCTGAATAAGAAGTTGACCGAAAGTAATAGTGCAAAGTATGCTCAAAATTTTGAAAAGACTACAGACAAAGTCAATGGATTAAAAAAATCTATTGAAGCCAATGATCAAAAGATTATAAATATTGAAAACGAAATAGCTGAAATTAATAAGGATATAGAGGAGTTCAACAGTGATGGATCAAAGAAGCTAAGAGAGCTTGAGGAAGAAGTTAAAGGAATGTCAATTAATCTCAAGAAGCAAGAAAAAGCTTTGTCTCGAAGAAGAGTAGAATTTAATGAAGAGAAAGTAAAAAACGATGACGCTGTTGTAGATATTGAAGCATTGAAAGGTGAAATTGCTAAACTTCAAGAAGAGATACCCGAGGTTAAGCGAAGCATAGAAGAAGATGAGGTTAGAAGACGTGACAAACAGGTAGAATTGGATATTGTCTCCGAAAAAATTCAAATCGAGAAGGAACGTACTGCTGGTTTTGCTGAAGAGCTTAGTCAATTATTAGCTCACTTACAATCTACTAGAGATAAATTGTCAGATAGTAAGAAAGAACACGAGTCATATGCAGGAAAAGTGTCCTCTTTGAAGCACATGCTGAAGACTGCCTCTTCGAGAATGAAAAAGGCAGAACAGCATTACGATTGGATAACAAATGATACCCAAAGGCTTAGGATCATTGAAAGTAACCCTGGTATTGACTTAGATTACTGCGAGGAGAAAATTGAAGAGTGTGAATCACGCTTGGCTGAGCTAAGATCGAAGGGTGCAGATGCCAATATTATCCAGCAAGCCGACATGCTCAAAAGTCACGCCATTTCATTGGAGAGTAAAATCAAGAAAATCGAGAAGGACAAGGAAAAGATTCAGTCAACTATTAAGAAACTAGACCAATATCTAAAAACTGAGTTGAACAAAACGTACGAAAAAGTTTCACATGATTTTGGTGAAACTTTTGCCCTTTTGTTGCCTGGATCTTATGCAAAATTGGTAAAAACAGATCCCAATGGTGACATATCTAAAGGGTTAGAGGTTAAGGTTCAACTTGGATCTGTTTGGAAAGAATCCTTGGTCGAGTTATCTGGTGGCCAAAGATCTTTAGTTGCACTTGCTCTCATTATGTCTTTATTGCAATTTAGGCCTGCTCCCATGTACATTTTGGATGAAGTTGATGCTGCGTTGGATTTATCACATACTCAAAGTATCGGGCAACTGATCAAGACCAAGTTCAAGGGATCACAGTTTATTGTTGTCTCATTGAAAGAAGGTATGTTCACTAACGCAAACAGACTTTTCAAAGTTCGGTTCCAAGACGGTACATCTGTGGTGACAGCTACATAGGGTTGCAAAACTGTGATTTTCATTCAATTATGTATAATTATCTGTATAATAGTAATAGAAGTTCCCTTTGACATAGGATACTGTTTGTAATTAAGACTTTCTACACATGAAAGAATGACAGATTTGTACCTTTTGTTTTAAATTTAGGTCTAGTTATTGTTTTTTTACTCAGTCGTCAAGTTGGAACTTAGGACAAGACCAATCATTTATATCCGATTTTTTTAGATCGGTAAGAGATATTGGAGCTGATACCTTTTTAGGTTTTTTCATACTACTCATGACGTCTGTTATAGTTTCTTTTGATTTAACGAAGTCGTCATCATGGAGTACATAGATGGTTGATTCTTTTCTTCTTTCGAGAAAGTCATCTAAGAATTTGCTTATCCCGTTATTTTCAAATTTAGGTTGAAGTTGATTATCTAAAACAGGATTTTTTATCTCATCATTACCATATAAGTTTTGAATTGGAAATACAAGTCTTTTTATGTTTTTATTCGAAACTTTGCGGTCGTGAGCTGAAACTTGCAAGAAACTAAGTATTGCAGCTTCCCAGTACTCAAAATCATTTTCAAAAATTTTGTTCTTTAACAAATATACGTTTATTTCAAAACAATTTACATCCATGTCAGTTAATTTGAGATGAAATATGGGAGAATCATGATGTGTTTGATAAATATCATGGTATTTAAGTTTGAAGTTGGTAACACATGATTTGTAAATAGCAAATTTATGCCTTTTTATACGCATATTCGCTTGAAGTTCAAGATCATCAGGCTTATGCTCTTTTACAAAACTTTCCATGGCAGTACATACAACTCAGCAAGAGCTTTGATGAGCCATAATTATCGTGAAGTGGTCTATCATGTTTTCAATATCAGGTAACAAAGTAGCTATAGGCTTCATCTATATTTGAAAGTTGCCCTTTTTGACCAATTTAGGTTGGCGAGCCATATGGCTTTTTTCATAAACTCTACTACGATCCTTTCAACACCAATGTTCAAGTTAACGTTTGATTTTACACCTGAAATTCATCAAAAGAAAGAAATATATAGTTTGAATTACAAATGGGAATAAAAGAGAGTGAAATGAATGTTGGATAAAATACACCATAGATTAGATAGTAGCATGATACAAATTGCTGGCAATTAGGTTTTACCCCAAGTCCCATCATGTATAATTGTTTTGGAAACACCATTCAAAGAAACAATGTTATCTTCAATAAAACGACCTCCGGGGCTTCCAGGAGCCGAATTGCCTAAGAGTTTGTTTTCGCCATCAGTTGGTCGGGTAGCAAAATCATGATGAGACTTCGGCACAGGGATACCGTAAGTGTTATTGAGGAATGACCGTTTCGCAGCATCTAAAGACTCTAAAGTGTCCACTTCACATTCTTCGGGAAGAGAGGCTGGACATTTGGAAGTATGTCTTGAGGCGTTGGCGTAAATACCCTGAACCAAAGCTGCTGCTTCTGAAGAGTGCACTTGTGGTTCAGGCTCATTTACAAAGGGCGTTGGTGAATTGGAACCATAATTCTGATCATTGTAATTTTTCGAGAGTCTCAGACAATCTCTTTCTTTAGCAGCGGAAGTACTGATGTTTTTTGTAGCTGAGGGTTCCAAGTTGGGCTGTTTTTTGATGGTTATATGAGTGTTATTTGTTTTCAATGGATCTGCGGCCAAATTGGAAGGTTTGATCAGTCTGGGCACTCCTTTGTTGAGTTCATATGCATCCTTGTAAATATAAGCCGGGTTGTGCGGCAGTGAATTGGAACGAGGTTCAACGTCACCATTTGCGATTGTTGGGTTTTTACTTGCTGAAGAGTAAAGCTTGTGGAGATAAGACGTAACATTTCTTTTTGAAAGCGGACCGGGAATTGTTCTTTTTATATTCTTATTGACATCGATATAAACATCACTCTCATCAACAATCTCTTCTCCGATTAATTCTTCGATGACGTCTTCCAAAGTAACAACACCTTTAGCACCGACATCTTTACCTGGAGTTTCACTGACGACGACCATATGAGACTTACCCTCCTGAAAATAGTTCAAGATGTTCAAACAAGAGGTATTTGATGCAGTCTCAGGCAAAGTTGCTAGCGGGAAAGACGAAATCGGTAAATCATCCTCAGGGTCATAGCTGATGAGAATTCTTACCAGCAGCATTCCAACAAAATTGTTTGGTTCGCCAGGCAAATGAACTGGAATCCGAGAGTAGCCGGCGTTGAAGATCTCCTCAACGGTTTCTTCGTCCAAGATCTTATCCGAAGGCAAGGTGTAAACCTTTGAGATTGGGGTCATAATTTCTGAGACGGGTTTTGCCTTCAAATCTAAGACAGCATTAATAATGGTGACTTCATCCATGTTCAATCTCTCAGAACCCATGGTATGGTGCAAGTTAACTAACGTCTTCAATCCACTCTTTCTGTATAAAGTGCCGTGGTCTTGTCCTAGAATGTAATCCAACAATACCGCAATCGGATAGGCGACAGGATACAAGATGTACATGAGGATGAGGACGTAGGGCGAGAAGAAAGCGCCGAGCTCCAAGCCGTAACGCACACAAATTGACTGCGGGATGATCTCACCGAAGATGACGATAGCAACAGTTGAGGAGAAGACTGCAGCAAAACCACCACCTAGTAAACGATCCAAAATAACTGGAAGAGTTTCGTTGGTGATGACGTTGGACAACAACAAAGTGACTAATAGCCAATGCTTGCCCCTCCCAAGTAGCTCCAACACTTTATTTGCAGCTTTTTGTTCTGTCTCAGTGCCCGAAGAGGAAATGACTTTCAAATAGACTTCATCTTGGCCCATTAAACCAAGGGTCAAACCTGCAAAAACACCTCCCAGCAAAACCAAGCAGCTGGAGGCAGCTAAATAAACATAGAACTCGGTTTCCGTCAACGGCGTATGCTTGGATATGTTGACTCCCGAGGCAGATGATGCTGCAGAGACAAGTCTCTTGACTGGATGCAGGTCTACCGGAACTGCTTGTGAAATCGTTGGTAAAATTGATAAGAAAACCTTGGCGACATTGTAGTAGCGGGATCGGTTGGGTAACATTTATATCGGGAAAGCCCTGTTTGTATGTATGGAGAGGTTTAGTCGAGGAGTAAATTCAAGGGACCAGAATAGGGCAAAGAAACCAAGAAACAGTGTGTAGAAGACGAAGGAAAAAGGAAGCTCTGGAAAGTGACAGAGGCGGCTAACTAGAGACAGCTGAATGGCAACTGCGGAACAGAAGGAAGAGGCGGCCATGTTTACGTAATCAAACACATTTTTTCTTCACGTGCTGACATGAAGAAGAACGAAGAAGGCTCACGAGGTTTAAAAGAAGGGAAAGCAAGGCAGACAAGGCGGAAAAGGGCCAGATCGAAATAAGCCGAAGTTATTGAAGCAGTATCGATGTTGTCAAGAGCGTTTCTCAAAGAAGTGAGAGTTTTTGTGGAGCGGAGAGAGCCGCAGACGGCGATTTTACAGTCGTCAGCGTCCCTATCACCGTCTCCGTTTGAAGAATGGAATTTCAAACAGTTTATTGGCGACAAGCTCGAACGGCAGGTGGAGAGACAAAAGAAGCTTCCAACGCTTAACGCGTTGGTGGAAAACAGGCTAGAACAATTGCTCCCGCTGTACGCTCACCTCTTAGACACCGGCAAGGACGATTCCGTTCATGGGCACATGTTGAAATTCATGGGCCGAGGCAGTGGCAGCGGTGATGGCAGCAGAGATGCCAAGCTTAAAAATTTGAAGGCACATATAATCAAGTATGAGATCCACCGAGAGTATTTCGAGGTCTCCGAGTTCCGGAGGTCGCAGCTCTCGATAACAGTGGACCCTACAGTGTCGAGTGAGATGCTCGTTCACACGTACACAGACAAGGATCTCGTTCACTTCGTAAAGCTGCTGCACGATGAAACGTTTCTCAACAGTTCATACTACAACTATTACCGACGGTTCAGCCGCTTGTTTTTTAACCTCGTTGAAGGCAGCAACGAGCCAGGCTCGAACGCAAGGTTGTCGAGGAAGCTACGCCCGGCAGACTTGGAAAGATTGCTTCAGCACCTGTTGTACTCGAACAAACGTCTACGGACCGAGGAGAGGCTTGAGTTACGGCTCGACGAGATGAACAACATCCTTCTGAACGATTTACAGGAGGCGGGACTGAAACTCTCCAACAAGGAGATGTTTGCGCTTCTCCAGTTGACGTTCCGTAAGACCGTCGACTTGCGCAACGTCGAGATGCTCTACGACAAGTTCATGGCCAGCGACAAGTTTGACAAGAACAACGACTTCTTCAAGACGTTCTTGAACTTCAACATGTCGTTGGGGTTCAGCAACGAGCGGATGGCCTCCACGAAGTTCTGTAGGAAGGTCATCCTCGACCTAGTGCAAAGCGACGGTGTCGACGTCGACCGACACCTACTCAAGTACCTACTCAAGTACTCGTGGCTTGTACACGACGGCGAGTTGACAAGGCTAGTGGCAACCTACCTCCTCAAACACTACGCCCTCGATGTGGAGACTTTCAACATGATTTTCGTCGGGGTGTTCAGGCAGGACATGAGCAGCAACACAGTCTCCCCCGCTCTAGAGCAGCTCCTCAACATCAACCTCAAGCACACCATGCGGGTGTCGTCGCTGGCGACGTCGTCCTCGGTAGCCTCTCGGATTGCTCCACCTCCGATCACCGAGGCCGAGCGCTTCAACATGCGCCTTTTGGACCACCTTCTCGAAAAGGCCGCCCGGGTGACTCCGCAGATGCAGCCACTCTGTCCGGGCATCATGCACCGGCTCCCGCTGAACCTTGTTCCCCATGACCTCCTTCTCCGAACTACACAGAACAACACCGGAGACGGATTCCCCGTGGTGGAAGACTATCTCCGGCAGATGTCACGTGTTGCGTCTGAGGGCCCCGAGGGGCTCCAGCACCGTCTGCGGCACCGTAATCAGGGGGGCCGAACACAAAGGCCCACTCTCCACCTGGACCCGGGACACGTGTGAAGGCCGTCCGGCAATACCGTGGTTGTCGGCCGGGGAAGAGAAGCCTCCGGTGAAGACGGCGGATGAATGGTGCCACGCCGCCTGCGGGCCGTTCGGCTGCAGGCGGGCTTGTTACTCGCAGCGGAAAGGAAACAGCGGAGAGGCTGGCTGGCGGGCCGGCTGGGAATTGCCGGGCATGCTTCTTCGCCCAACACAGGGCCGGCTCATGGAAGGATGAGAGTGCTGTAGTCGTCGGGGCCGGCATTGCAGGCGTCGCCAGTCAGATACAATAGGTACAGCTGTTACACAAGATCCACTCTTTGTCGGGACATCGCCCTTGCCCGAATTCTCCCTCTTGTATCTGCCAGACGTCCGAAAGTAAGATGCCCAGCAACAATTTCTTAACTCGTCTCTTCAAGAAGGATAAGGACAGAGAAAAGACCCATTCAACGGGACATGAGCACATCAGCGGTATAAGCAGTCACAGTGGTGGTGGTATCAGCAACAGCAGTGGGCACGCCAGCTCAGGCGATGCGCCCCACTCGGTGAAGTTGTCGTCGGCTTCATCGTCCACCTCAACGATCCATCCTGTCGATTCACATTCCCACCACCCACATCTCAAGTTGGCAAGGTTCATGGAAAAGAAAGAACACCATTTTTTCCCGAGTTTTGAAGGCCACCACGCCTACAGCAACAACAAATCGCCCGCATCTTCGGCGAAGAATGTACACGCCCCAGCTCCGAGGTCACCATCTACATTTGCCAAGCCGTTGGAATCTAAATTTGACGACTACAACGCGTTGGTGCACTTGGTATCCAAATACGGCTTTATTCCCGACAATACGGTTGACCTGATGAAGTTGCTGACTGCCCCAGACGACTCGAGCATGGTCATCCCAGAGGCAACAGATGCCTCCACTGCCTTGATTATTGGTAAAGGTGCCGGAGGCTCTGTCTACCCACTATACGATAAGGCCCATAACCATTTGTATGCCATGAAGAAGTTGAGATTGCAAATGTCTAGGGAAAACTGGGTCTCTTATGAAACTAAATTAAAGAACGAATTTCGCATAGCAAACAAGCTACACCACCAAAACTTGATCCGTACTTACGACCTTTTACAGGATAACGACTTATTCATCATTGTCATGGATTACGCTCCTTTTGATTTCTTCACAATAGTTATGGCTGGTGTTTTGACTAAACATGAGATCTACTGCTATTTCAAGCAAATGTGTATTGGCGTTTCGTACATGCATTCTATCGGTTTGGCTCACAGAGATTTGAAATTGGACAACTGTGTTGTTGATGCAAATGGTATTTTGAAGTTGGTTGATTTTGGTTCTTCCGTCATCTTCGATATGAAGCGTTATAATCAAGAAGGTGAAAGCAGGGAAGTAGAGAAAGCCTCTGGTATAATGGGCAGTGACCCTTACTTAGCTCCAGAAGTCGTTACTTATCCTTTTTACGATCCTTCTCTGGCGGACGTCTGGTCTTTAGCAATCATTTACTGCTGTATGATTTTGCGTCGTTTCCCCTGGAGAGTACCAAAAGATTCGGATGCCTCGTACGGTTACTTTTCTAGCCCTCCGGGTGAAGTTGTTGACAAAAACGGCCATAACAAGGTGGTTGGCCCTGAGAGATTGCTAAAACTTTTGCCGACCTCATCCAAATCTTTGATCGGGGATATGCTGAAGATAGACCCAAAGGAGAGATACACAATGAAGGAGGTTACCGAGACTCCCTTTTTTGCCAAAATTGAAAACTGTCATTATGAGGATTATGATTCAAACAGAAACCGTGGTACCCTAGTCAAAGCCCAAAACCATACCCATCATCTAATTACGAACAAGCAATTCACAGAGGAACATCCGGATGAGGTGAAAAGAGAGATGGAGAGAGAAAATGCACAGGCGAAACAAGTGATTGCTCAAAACAACGCATAACCGTTGTCACGTAAACCCAGTCTAGTATCTGTTCTTCCGTTAATGTTAGATATAAATAATTGTTTATTCCTTTGTTTTTTTTCTCTATCCTATTTCTTGTTCAACGAATAATATAAATATACATATTCATACCATAAATACACAATCCTAACCGAACTTAACCCTCTTACATTGTATTCATCATATTATAGTTAACGGTTAAGTTTCAAATCTTGCAGTTGTAAATTATAGAGACAGACTCACCATTATTTATTCTTCTAATGGCTTCTCCAAACATTCTTGAGACATCAAGAACATCGATATTCGCATCCTTTGCTCTTTCGGTTTGGTCCACACTGTTTGAGGTAACTATTTTTTTAAACAACTTGGTCTCCTTCATTTTGCTTATAGCATCGCCGCTGAATAAACCGTGCGTGACAATGGCATAAATATCATTGGCGCCGTTAGCTTTGAGTAATTTTGCACATTTGATCAAGGTGCCGGCAGTGTCCACTAAGTCGTCAACAATAACACAATCCCTATGCTCCACATCACCGACCAACATTGACATGTCTTCGTTGGTTTCGATTCTTCTTTCCTTATGGACCAATGCGAACGATAAGGACATTGAATCTGCCACTGCCGCAGCACGCTTAGCACCACCAGCATCCGGAGAAACAATGACCGCATCTGTATACTTTGGTATGAAGTTGGAAATATAATATTGTACAAGTTGTTTCGAGTATAGGTTATCAACGGGTATGTCGAAAAATCCCTGGTATTGTGAATCATGCAAGTCCATCGTAATTATATGGTTTGCACCGGCAGAAGTTAGCATTTTGGCAATCAGCATCCCATTCTGAGCAATCCATGAACCTGTGGTACCTTGACTGGTTTGAACTATTTCCCCAGTCCTGACTGCTGGCATGTCCATTTGACGTGAGTAAAAAAAGAGTGGCATAATCACATTAATTCTCTTTGCGCTGGCCATCTTACATGCTGAAATCATCAACAAAAGTTCAACCAAATAATCGTTAACCTCACCTGCTCCACTTTGTAATATAAAGACATCTTTCTCACGAACAGACGTTTCTAGTTGTACAGACGTTTCTCCATTCGCAAACTTCTTTAATAGTACTTTACCCTGTGGTAAGGAAAGGTTGTGACAGATTCTCTGCACAAGTGGTTCATTAGATGATCCTGCAAATATGACAATATCTCTCATGGTAGCACTTTATCTTCCTGGAGAATTGGACAAGGATGCAAACGTGAGTCTAAGTGCCCTTCTTTGCTACACTCTCGTTAAAATAGCAGTCGGCTGCTTCACACACATTGACCCCGGAAAAAATAGTAGAGGGTCTATTGCTCCTATGATAAAATTTTTCTTTTTCCTCACTAAAACAAAGGCATGAAGAAAAACTATGTACTGTCTTTATAAGTGTTTCCCACAAAGTGTATATAGATTCATAACGTTAATGTTCAAGCAGTTTTAATACTCCACATGCTGAAATGCAAGAGAAATAGAAAACTGCAAATAAATAT